TAGACGGGGCGGGCCTGCGGGAGACCGTGAGGGGAGGTGTGGAGGTGTGGGGCTTCTTCTAAAGCGGGCATTTGTATGGTGGGCACGCAAGAAAATTAAAGTGTGACGACGGGTGCCGGTGGTGTATGCGTGACGTTACTGGAGATCACGCAGTGCGTACCGTCCTGTGTACTGCGTACCGCTTCCGTGTGTACGGGAGCATCAGCACCACCACCACCACCACCACCGGCAGCATCACGACAAGACGACGAGACGACGACGACGATTATTTGCTTGCTTGTGGGATGCTTGGGGAATACTTGGGGGTGCTGCATATGTACTATGCATGTACGTAGATACTTTACCACCCAGATATGAGCTGTTCCACTCACTGGGCCAGACCTACCTGCTACTTCAGGCTATCGATGGCTATCGATGCATGGAGACGTCGAAGTTCGAGCATTGTAGATTTCGCCTAATGTTAAATGGCGTGGGTTGTTGATATTGATATTGATATCTGATCTCGGTAGAAAATCGTGGAAAATCGTGGAAAATCGTGGAAAATCGTGGATGGCCTGGGTGCCTGGCTGGGGAGGGGAGCCTGGGGAATATCGAGCATCAAGCATGATGCATCAAATACAATCAGAATACGGTACGATAGCCGCGGTAAAAAAAAGCCGGCTGCATCTACGTATGTACTCTACTAGGTACTCTACTAATCGAAGACATCTGATGATCCTCATGGTGGAGGAGGCGGGGGAGGTAGGGAGGCGGGGGAGTGGGGTATGCATAAACATGTATGCAGACATCATACATGGCCACAGCCATGGGTACTTGTCAAGGGCATCTCCTCGGGAGCGAGCCTTGGGGAAAGCATTCGATTGTTGTAGACCGATTGACTGCCAGATCGAGGCAATCTCAGTTGTGTTCTGTCTGGTTTGGTTTGGTTTGGTGGAACACTGTAGGGGTCTGAGGAGGAGTTTGTTTCGTTTCGGCAGCGTAGGTAGACGCATGTTGATGTCCGTCCGTTCCTCCGCTCGCTCGCTCTTCTGCCTACTATGAGCATTGGAGATGCGCGTCCTCCGCTGCTCCGTCTTACTCGTGCAACGCTGGGAATATATTGCATCGTCCTCGGAATCGTCGGGCTTCCTCTTGTCCGCGTTTATCATGCCATCGCCGCGTTGCAGTCGGAGTCCGTCCTCCACTGGAGAGTATGTATGATGTGTATTTACGTCGAGAGGGAGGAGGGAAAACATCGGCTGACGTTTTGGTATCAAGGCTGCCGATTCGAATACTCGGACCAGATGGGTGGGCTGGGTTACAACTTGTGATGGCTCACTTCACTCATTGCTTAATATAGTTGCGGGTCAAGACTCAAGGACGAGGCTCACGGTTCACGGTTCACGTCTCTCTCGAAGCCTGAAGGCGGGTCGTGCTTCCGTACCCTAATGTCATGTCACCGCCGGCAACTACATATCTATGGTAAGAATACTATGTATACTCCAATGTGATGTGACCGGTAACCAAGACTCAAGTATGTAAGACGCCGATATGTATAGAGGTAGGTACTATGTATACTCCAACGTCACCGGCAACTGTGTAAGAAAGTACCCAAGGTATGGATGAGGTATGTATCTACCTACCCACACACATACTCGCCTTGCACCGATTGCAGCCCGGGTCCGCACAGCGTTCTAGATCTCGACGTCAAGCCGCAGCAGGTAGAATCCCGGGGCAGGAGGGGAGGGGGGCAGAGCGAGCGAGCGAGCGATCCTACAGTGCTCGATACGGTCAACGGTTGCGAAGATCCGGCGCGGGCGGGCATGAGAGGAGGATGCTGTTCTGTTCTGTGCCGAAACACGAGCTGCCCAGACATGATGGATGGCTTGTAAACCACTTATGACTTGCAACCAAGTACTCTACAAGTCTCCGATACTACAGGAAAAGCATTGTGAGACATCGCAGTCTCTGGGATGTCCGGGAACTAGTGGTCTGCTAGTAGTACTGTCGTTAGTTATGGCCTCAACGGCCCGAAACACCGTGCGCGGCTGCAATGCCTGAGTCGTCGCCGTCCCGACGAAACGCAAACCATGCACCGCCCACTCGACTACTCTAACTACTCTACACTCCGCGCCACTTTCCCCCACAGCCGCCTGCCAAGCAACTATCTACACACTTGAGTAAGTAGAGTAATCCAGTTACCGACCATTTGGAAACAGCGTTTTTTCCCCGCAATCGCACGAGCGTTTCTTTCTTCGCTCGGAGATAACTAGTTCATTCATGGTTGCATACGGAGATGCTCCGATTTCCACGCGGTCCGCAGATCTCGCCTCCTCAGCCTCAGATGAGAATACATTGCGCTCCGCCAGGGCTGAGGTAACCAGGTCGCTAGGTGCGTACGTCTGACGCGCCGTGCAGGGGGCGGTAAGTACGGTATCTATGCGAGCGTGTGGGCTCAGAGCGAGCGAGAGAAAGACGTCCAGAGCGAGCGATAGAAAGCCATCCGCCCAGACCGGGCGGCGTGGCGATATTGGCAGAGCGGGTGAAGTGAGGCAGGAACGACTTGAGGGTGGGGGGTGGGGGGAAGACTTGGACTTGGACTGTATGTAACTGCAAGTGGGCCGGCCAGCCACATGCGGACAGACTATTGGCGGGGTACACCAAAGTCCAGGGCTGACCCCCCCTCCCACCCCCCATCTCCCGCCGAATGGGTTGATTGAGTCCACGATCGTGCTGCGTGTGACACTGCATGATAACTGTGTACTTGGCTGGCCGGACTGGGGAGAGAGTGGGCGAGAGCGAGCGAAAGAGAGCTGGCGGAGGACAGCCGACACATTCCAGCTCAGAGAAGGAAAATCCGAAAATCCCATTCTCCAAGCGAATTCGAACGGTCCTCCCCCACACCCCCTCGGAGGGAGTGGTTGCCGCAGAATCGCGACGGCTGAACACAGCGACCGTTCGTATACGACACACGCCCGTTCGTGAATGTACCAAAGTACCAAACTCCCTGGGAACTCTACTCTACACTACACGACACTACAGACCTCGCCTGCATCACCAGCCAATGATCGCCAGGGGCAACCGCACCATCGCAGCCTTCCGTTCCCGGCCGCCGCTGCACCACCCGTCCAACCGTCACCGAACCGAACCTGCCCCGTCGTTCGTTGCGCTTGTATTCTGCCTGGCGCGTGGGCTGCTGGTACAGGCCCAGCACTCATCCGTACCGGCAGAATCAACCACCGACTGGAACCGTGGGAAGGGGTAGTGCTACGGCATTCCCTCCAAAGCCGCGTCTGGTCACAGCTCTCCCTCGTCTCTCGCGCCGTGTCCGGTCACAGCACTATACAGTAACTAAGCACACAGACACCGGTGCGTTAATCTGGATTATACCCACTCCTCCTCTCGTTTCCACCCACCCCCTCCACTACCCTACCCTCCCCGTCGTTGGGGGGGCGCAAGCGTCATGCCATGTCGGCCTACACGTTACTTACGCTACCGGATGTTTGTGCTGCTGTCCCGTCGGTGCCCGTCATTCACTGCGTACCTTGCAACCCCCGTACGGTGCGGTTTGCGGCCGAGCTGTTGTTGTTGTGGCCGTTGTTGTTGGTGCAGCCATGTTGGTGCAGCTGTCCTGGGAAGGGATATAAGACTGCCGCAGGCACCTCAACTATTACTTCGTGCTCGATCCAACATCAACTCCAACAACAGCGCCACTCTTTCACAATACGAGCTTCGAATTAACTGCCCCGACGGCATTGACGACTCGGTCTTCATGTAAGTGGCTATCCACTGCGCTCGCCAGCCAGCGGCCGCCTTGCGTCTTGACGATTCCCCTACATACTGACATGCGTGCACAGAATTTCCAGGCGATCGGATAGTCGTCTATCTAACGTCTGCAACTTCCCTTGAAATCGTATTTTATACGGTACGAGGGCGCTGCAGCTTGCCGGACGGTTCCTCGAAAATCCTTGCGTTCCAGGACGGCTGCCCCGAGTCTCGAGTGCTCACCCCTAGCCGAGTGTTCGCTGTATTCACAGCAACGATACCAATACCGCCAACAAGAAATCCTCCCAGAACTCTACTCCCCCTCAGAGCTTTTGCCATCCTGTGCATCGAATAGTCGCTTCCAGATTATTATTATTTTTTGAAAAAAAACCCCCCCCCCATCGTACGTGGTGCTGTGAAGACCTTGGCATCTCGGAAGCAATTTCGCGGACGGCTTTCATATCATAAAAGAGAGCCCTGTCCTCGATACGTTTGTCGAAGGCGTCCAAAAACTTCCAAAAACTTCCCAAAGCCCTTCCAATGTCTCGACACGGCACAGACATGCAGACTTTTCCCCGAATCATGCTCCTTCTGGCGGGATGTGCAGCCACCACCGCACAGGCAACCAATGGCGACGCTACCCTGGCGAAGCGGCAGACAACACACACGCTGTTCAAAGGCGAGGCGATACCAGTCGTAAACTGGACGTCGACAGATACGTACAATTTTACCTGGGGATTGACCGGAGTGGACAACTATGAGAACTTGAGATTTGGGTACGTTCCGGCTTGTGGCGAATCAGAAAGGTTTAAGGTTCCGTTTCGCTGATATTCGAGACTTGCAGGGACATTCTGGTCATGACAGCTGGTATTCTGCTGGCCATTCTCTTCGTCTATCGGGTCTACATGGCCCATATGCATCACGTTCGCTTGATCTCTTCGGTCGCCACTACTGCATCCGCAAACTACTTTGCTCAGCCGCTTTCGAAGGCTCTCATCTTCGTGCAGAAGCATCTCCTCATCGCCCCGCTCTTTCGGAAACGCCACAATGAGCCTCTCCAGACCAGATGGTTCCAGCTGTACCTGGGAACTCTGCCCTCAAGAGTCAACGGCATCTTGCTTTTCGCTTACATCTTCTCGAATGTTCTGTACTGCACTCTCTACCTCCCTTGGAACGGCAGCATCGGCCCGGACAACAAGCTCCACGCACCGACAAAAGCTTCTTTGGTGGCTGAATTCCGTGGACGCACCGGAGTCATGGCCACGGTCAACATGATCCCACTCTTCGTCTGCATGATGAGGAACAACTACGTGGGAAAAGCCGTTGGAGTTCCCTTCAACACGTGGAACCTGTACCACCGTTGGGCCGGCAGGATCGTCGCGTTGGAGTCCTTCGCTCACATGGGAGCGTGGACTGTGAACCAGGTTGACCATTCGAATTGGGCCGGCGTCGGAGTGGCAATCAAAGGATCCCTTTTCTTCCAGATGGGTCTCATGGTTGGTTTCCCCGCTACATGGATCGATACGAGTGCCGGGATGATACTGATATTACCCGTTGCAGGCCGAGATCGCATTGTTCTTTCTCATCTTTCTTTCCCTTTCGCCGTTGAGGCATGCCCATTACCAGATCTTTCTGGCTACGCATCAACTCTGCATCGCCTTCTTTTTGGTTGGAGCATGGCTCCACTGCCACATCGATGAGCTCCCCCATGAGAAGTTCGTGAACATCGCTATTGGTATCTGGGCGTTCGAGCGTCTGCACCGATTGGTCACAATCTACCGCAAGAACGTGCGTCTCGGCAAGGGTTGGAGTCTCAACAGCGCAGAAGTCAAGGTGGCTCCGGCTGGCGAGGATGCAGTCCGAGTATCCATCACGATGAAGAAGGGCTGGGAGTTTAAGCCTGGACAGCACGCTTATCTCTACGTCCCCCGTCTGTCCTGGACCCAGTCGCATCCCTTTTCCATTGCCTGGTCGACCACAACCCCTTCCCTTGCCGAGGTGCAGATGCAGCCGTTGACTCCGGTGTCTTCGACCCTGGCTGTGTGCAACGACAAAACGACCACCGCAAGGCTGGAAGTTTCTTCCACGACTTCTCTCGCCCACCGTAATCTCCTTACCTCGAAACCGAGGACAACCATCCACTTTGTTATCTCCCGGCGGCATGGCTTCACCGGCCGCCTCTACCGAGAAGCTTACAAAGCTGCACACAGCACCGACCCCGAGAAGGTGGATATCGCGCCCAAGCGCTTCCTTGCATTCGTCGAAGGCCCCTATTGCAACGAGGCGCACTCATTCGACTCATTCTCATCTCTGCTCTTTGTAGCCGGCGGATCAGGCATCACGCACCCGCTAGGCTACATCCGCCACCTTCTAGTAGCCAGTTCGGAAGGGCTCGTGGCGGCGCGCCGGATAAAGCTCGCGTGGGTGGTGCGCAACAGCCGGAACATCTCGTGGGTCAGCGACTGGCTAGAGGAGCTGTGGCGGCTCGATGCCAGGAGGGGCATGCTCGAGGTCGAGATCTACGTTACTAGACCCTGCTCCCAGTACGATACCGACATGAGCGGCGGCCCCCGCGTCAAGTGGTTCGCTGGAAGACCGCAGATGGAGGTGATTCTCGCCGGGATGCTGGCGCCCACGAGAATGCGCGGCGGAAGGGGCGCGCTAGCTGTTAATGGTACGTTGCATCAATCTTTCCGAACAGGCCCTTAGCCCAAAAAATCCCAAAACCCAGTTATTAAGATGGTGGTGCTGACCTTATTTCGTATTCAGTCTGCGGACCAGGTAGTCTGGCCGATAACGTCCGGGCGGCGGTGCGTGAGAGGGTGGACGAGGCTAGGATTGAGTTTTCCGAGGAATCGTTCACATGGTCCTGAATTTGAGGGTATGTACATGCTATGCCTGACAACTCTATTTCTCATTAGAAGGATTCCCCTGCTGACATGTATCCTAGGTACCCGATTTTTTTTACATTTTGCTTTTTTTACCTTTGAGTTTGCTGTCGGGTTTTCTATTTGGTGCATCTGTAGCATCTGTAGCATCTTGATGGCTACAGGGGGTTTTCGAAAAAATTTCGAGTTTGGGGGCTGTACAAATATTTGTTTTTTTTCCGTCTGTTAGTTACTCTACAGGGCACGGGGCTCGCGGCGTTCTTTGATTTGGCTGGCTTTTTTTTTTTACTGTTTTCTACTTACTGCTGTTTTTGTTTTTGCGGTTTTCCTAAAATATTGCTTGCTGGGCATCATCGTCTCTGTTTTATTACCATTACTATTAGTTTTCAAGATCCAAGTTTGGATTTGCGCCTGACAGCTTCTGGGTGGTTTTCCCATGGCTTTTTTAACTACCTACTCCTGAATCCGGTTCCTACCCGAGTTCAGAGTCATCATGACCAGTCTCTATTGCGCCGAGTGCCCCAGCACAACCAGTATCAGTGGGTACTTAACTTTGTTACAAGTTACCTACCGGATTGTTTCCCACTCCTTCCGGGTCATGAGTCCAGGCCCCGTGATTGCCGGGCAGTTTTTCCGGGCGTATTTTCTTTTTTTCTGTTTTCTTTCCTTGCTGGTGGTGTTTGGGGTTTGGGGTTTATATCCATCCGCCGGCGGATGGGAAGACTTACAATCCGGGGTTTGGTTAATATCGACGAGACGAACGGTGAGCCAAGTACTTACCTACCTACCTAGCTGCTCACATGCTCCCGTCGGCCATCCATCAATCCATCCATCCATATATTCCCTACCTACTACCTAGCACGAATCCAGAACCAGAGCTGGAACTGGAACCAGAGCTGGAAGAGGAGCTGAAACCAGCTCCGACAGGCAGGCGGACGTGCGGGCACACAGAGGCAGGAAGGCAGGAAGGCAGGCAGGTAAGTAGGCGGGTAGGTAGGCAGAAGGGCGAGCGGACAGGGGCAGGCAGGGCAGAGGCAGGAAGCCATCCGAGAAACGACCGTATATATCCGTAAGTATCCACCAACTTCAGTGGCCAGTCTTCGATCGGAACGCTGTGATCGCCGGTAAACAGCCTACAGGCTAGGTACGGGCTACCGGCTACAGCACAGCCCAACCCAACCCAACCGCGGAGGGTCGAGTGTCGAGGGTTGAGGGTGAAGGGTCCGTCCACTCCTCCCTGCCTGCCTGCCGGCGCGCCTGCCTGCCTGCCGGTTTGAGTTCCAAGCGTTCCAGGTGTTCCAGGAGGTACGTATGTCCATATGATGCGTGTATGCACCTTCTCGAGTGAGCATCACAGGTAACGAAGCATCCACCATCCACCATCCACCGCATCCGCATCTGTCCTCATTCCAAGTTCCAAGTTCCGGCTGCCCGCCGTGACCCCCCCTCCCAGGCTCCCTCCCTCCCCCTACCCTTCCCAGCCGGGAGAAGGGGAGTGTGCAGCAACGCACGGGACAGATCGATATCGTCTTGCGCAGCCTGGCCTGCAGGCTGCAGGGAAGGTGTGTAGATTTTCTGGCTGGCTGCATACGGTACGATACGATACGGTACGGAACGCGTGCGCCGGTGAGCGAGCGGGACACCTCCGTACCCGTAGGTCCTATGCATATGTGATGTGCGTAGGTATGTAGGTAGCCTAGACCTGCCACTGGCCGTCTTCCGCGCCCTCCCAAGCCCCATGGATAGTTTTGTTCTGGCTGGGTGCACGCGATCTGGGAGATCTGGCGGAGGGTGGAGGCTTATTGCGTTGGTGCGAGTTGTACGAGATTTTGGATTCTGGAGTGGCGGGCCGGTGTTTGCGTCGGCCGGCCGGCTGGGTTTCGCTGGCTGGCTGGGCGGCTTGTCGATGATGATGATGGTGATTGATTACCTGCCTGCCTGCACGGGGGAATCATACGTGCGTACTGGCGTGTGTGGATGGCAGAGTCGACGAGTCACGCCGAGACTCGAGAGATCTGATCAGAGATCCCTCCCTCGTCGTCCTGAGTCCTGAGTCCCGAGTCCTCCGGACGTGAGTCGTGAGTCGTGACGGAGCGCATGCCATGCGAGAAAGGCTTGATTTCTCCGGCGTTTCCAGCAGTACCCATGTGTGCTTGGGTGCACTGTCACTGTCACTGTCGCTGTCGCTGCCTGTAACTAGTACAGTTACATGTGACGCTTGCGCTTGTCAGCCCGTTTCCCCCTTCAAATGTCAAATGTAACGGCCACCGGCGGGATTAATCATTAGGCTATCTGTATATCTTACGGATGAAGCCAGCCCTCCGACAGACAGCCTGTCCGACTCGATCAAGATCTTGCGCATGTTGGCGTTGGTGGTGTTGGGGTATCGGAGACTTTGGGTATAGTGGCTGGTGCTGGTGGTGACCCCTGGGGTGGGTAGGGGCGGTGTCAGAGGCCGCCGAGATGGATTAAGCATCGGACCAGATGTGGTATGATGTAGTTCGAGTTTTTTTTCTTTCTTTCTCGTTAGCATTTTTTAGGTAGGTTATGTATTAGGTTAGGAAGGTACTCTACCTTCCTGTCTGTATCTGAAGCTGCGGTAGGCACGGTTAATTCCACCGGTGCCGTAAGTATATTGTATGTAGGGAGATTAAGGCGGTGACATCAAGGTACATAACGTGCTTACCCACCTACCCACCTAGCTGGCTGGCTGGCTGGCGCGTGAGACGGTACTGTAGGTTTGTTGCTGGTATATTAATTGAAGGAGTGGGTGGGGTGGGGGGGAAGAGAGGTCCCAGCGGCCAGCGGATGTTGGGCAATGGGAGCGATCGGAGATCCCGATTCCGGAGACAACTGATCTTCCGCCGCGGGCAACACACGCGCGCAGACCCAAGGGAATACCCGGGCCGTCGGGTTGCGGGGCCGCTGGTGACGTCGGCACGGACAGCGAGGACCAGGTGGGTTGCGGGGCAGTCCGCGGGGGGAAGCGCAGAGTGGATTGGAAAGTGGTGAGCGAGATCTGGAATCTGAGCGAGTTGTCACAGGCCAGATCCATCTATCCAGAGAGGGCGGGGAACCTCCAAAAAGACCTGGCTAGGCTGGTAATCATGACGTTGGAGACTCCGGTGCCGACTGATCGAAGATGAAGAGTAAACCCGAAGGGGGGGACCGGGGGCGAGTGATTTCTGGGCGGTTTCCGAGAGAGCAACAAGTTCCCATCGCCCATCCGAATGTTCTCTCGTGCTGAACGGTGGCTGGCAGGCAGGCCAAAGCATTCACTCCACGATAATCATCCACTCCTCTCTTGGCGAGCTGTTTCTTCTCCTCCACATGGATTCCCTCGAGTGACGACGGGTGCAGGTGCGTGCCGTGCGGGATTTTGACCGGGCCATGTGGAAGACATATATCCTCCAAGCTCTAGATTCTAGACCTCACTGCGGTTTGTAACGTCTCGACGCGTACGCATGCTCGCGCTCTAGGCTTTGTCAAGCACTGGCCTGGAATCGGGCTCGATTGGGGGACAAACATGAAGGGTAAACAGGAAGGCCGGGGTGGATGTTTCGGCTAAACTCGAGTTCCCCAGGTCTTTCGCAGCACCCCCCCGGCTGGATGGATGGTTTGGACCATACGTATCGAATTTCTGCCTGGAATCGAGACATTCCCCAGATCAATGTGGATGGTGTGGTTTGGGAAGTGTGGGGAAATGGCGAGACTGGCCGGCGTTCTGGTCATTACAAACACAGAACGACCTTGTAGACGAGTGGCTGGGCCGGAGCAGTCTAGGGGTATGCACTCGTTCTCTCTCGTGAATAGCACGCCGGGGAATACTAGAATTTTGAACCAGTTTTTTCGGCCATTACGGTTGACGACGGGATTCTTCTTTGATCGCGGGCATCATGAGTGCTCGCTCGATGCACGATTCGTATCACAGCGCTTTTGCTGGCGCTTAAGGCAGATGCACGCGCTAAACCAACTTTTTTGGTTTAGTCGGCTTCAAGCGAGCGAGACCATACATACGCGAGACCCACATGGCACAAGCTTCGGGGGTGGCGGTGGACGGAACGCACGGCGCATTGATCTGGCCCCGTTCCCCGTCCTGCACTGCAGATCTTGCAATACACTACCTACGATGTGGCACCGCTACCCTTACGAAATCAGGACCGATGATGGTGATTTCGTAAAGTTGTGCTATATTCAAGTCTCACGTTCGCTACTCGCTCCGGCAGGTTGCTTCTTCTGAAACCGGATTCCCTCAATCTTCCTGCGCCCGTGTCGAGTTTGTCGAGTACACTCGCCGGTACCAGACTAGGTACGACTAATATTAAGGCTCGACGCTGGTGGAAGGTTTGCAAAACATTCTCAAATCATGCAACTTCCTGTGTCTTGATTCAAAGCGAGGACTATGTTCTCCACCAGGAACTTGCGAGTGAGTAGAAAAGTTCAGATGGATGGAAACCCTAACTGAATTCGCTCCACTTCAACCGTCACGCGAGTTTCCGCCTCCTCCGTCCGATATGCCAAATACAGAAAATCACCCCCACGGCCCTTATTGATATCTCCCGTCAGGCAATTAAATCTTCCAGCCGTGGTCGCAAGAATATAAGTATTATTCGTAGGGCTGCGCAGCAATCCGACATCCACGACCTTGTTTTGATTGCGGGAGTCCTTGGCCGGTTTTAGGTGACGGTACACACCACCGCAGCCGCTGGCGAGGTCGGGGAACTGTGAGACTGAATCTTTCTGTACTATCACGTCGAAACCAGCGCAGGCGTCAGATACGGATTTGGTGTACTCAGGGACGAGCCAAACGTAACTGTGACGGCTAGTCTTGAAAGGGAGAAGGAGAGTGATTTCATATGACGGTGGCAGGTACTCCTGCCTTGGGACTGTCCTACCAACATTGGTGCTTCTGAGGAAGCCAGATAGCTGGGTGTACATTTTTCATCCGCAAATGGCTCAGATATCTAGACCTTGGCTTCCGTTCTTCCAGCCCCAGCCCACAACACCAGCTGTTCTCTCACAACGACGAAGCAAGCGACACCCATTCGAGTGATGTCATCCTACAACTGTTCTCCAGCTGTTTTTGATATGATTTTCGGTTCCATCTTTGGATTCAGCCATATCGGTCATGGCAGCTAGTACACTCACTTCCTCCAAGCCTTCCTGGCTTTCTCGTTATTCCCTCAGAGCCACCAAACAACATCTCATCTGATCGACCTCCCTCATCCCTATACCGCCTTCGACACAAGAGATTGACTTCACTTCAAGCATCTACTACACTTAAATCTTTCCCGTCATCTCCGTTTTAAACAACAAATGCAGGAAATCCTTGCCGCGGCGACTAGTAAGACGCTCCGTCATGTCAGTAAAAGCGCCACCCGTCATCCCGGCAACATCACTCGGACGCTCGTGACAGCGCAGCAATCCAACATCCACGACTTTTTTCATATTGCATGGATCTTTGACTGCTTTCAGGTAGCGGTAAGGATAAGTGTCGTTGGGGGTGAGGTCAATGAACTGCGCGTCCGACGTGGTCTGCTGGAGTACTATCTCGAAACCAGTGCAGGCGTTTTCTTTGGATCGAGTATATTCTGGTACGAGCCAAATGAAGCTGAGGTGGTCAGCCGGGGCTCGGAGTTGGGCAAACGAATCATCTTCCGTGATGGAAACTAGCGGCACTTACCTTGGTCCGAACCCGTGATTGATATTTGCGCTGCCACCCAGAAGTTCCCCAATAGCGTCTACGGGCTTGTCTGATTCTAACCAGGTGCGTACAACCTTGTGACATCAGCTACTAATCAAGCTCTTTTCAAGAGGGGGAGAGACCTTGATGCCAGACACAAACTCTCGTACTGCCACGTCGACAAAGATCATCACCTGTTCATCCGGCTTATTCGTGGTGCTATGGGAGTCACACGCAAACGTAATCCCCGGCGCAACAAAGACGCGCTGATACAGCTCCATCTTCGAATTTGGTCCTATCTCAACTGTCACCCCTCATCAGCCACTAACTTACCACCATCGCCACCACCACCAGTAGGGGAAACAAACACTTAATTTCCCTGTCTGCGTGACTCTCCCTCTCAATGTATGCCTCCATCCCAACGGAGGATATAAAATTCGCCACCTCCGTCGCATCACCACTCGCCTCCTCGACATTGACAATGGCAGCGACAACGCCGAACACGCAGGGCGAGCGCGTGTGATGGGTTGGCCTACACCAGAGGAAGCTAGAGATGAAGACGCTTTGCCAAAACTTTTCGACGAGCTTGCATCGGTACCAGTGCGTGATTGTTCCGCTGTTTTCCGTGTTGTCCATGTCGAAGACAAGCTTCCAGTAGAAGCGGCCGTAAAGAGGGATACGCATTGTGTCTCGCACTGGAGTAGGACTCGGATACAGAAGTAGAATAGGGTCGATGAAGTATGGATAACGGTGACGATTGGATAACTGTGGTGATTGGATAACGGCGATGATTGCGAGGAGTGAAAGTAAGTAACCAAGTGGGTAGCGTCCGAAGTGTCACTTAGAGAGATAACCCGCCGATGTGGAACGTTAGATAATCCGATGCGTGACGTGCTGGTGGTACAAGGTCACTGATTGGATGCATTGTGCATCCCTCGTGAACGGGAGTTCCTCGTCTAATACGCGACCATCACCGATAGCCAACCAGACTGACCGTGAGCATATCACTCGCTCGCCGCCAGAGCGAACTCGAACATGTTGGCTACTCTCTCATAATCCTTTGCAGCCCCCCGAGACCCGATGCCTCGACCACGCGATGCTGAATGTTCTTGGGATTTCTTGTTGATTTCCGCCTCACAACTTCGCATCCCTCTGCCAAAACAGCGTCTACAGATTACAGTCCAGTTCTTGGAGGGTACGAACTATCCGTCGATCCAATCCCTAGGTATATCCGGAATTTCTCCGATACCACGTTTTCCCGACACCATATTTCTAGTTCCGCTTGGATAGCTCCGCCGTCGCTCCACGCCGTCGTAATGGTATGTACCACTGCTCTCGTGGACCAACGCCTGAGGTTGCTTGTCTGGATACTATTGGTTGCCGGAAAGTCTCAGCCCAATCACCAAGTATGCAAGTACCTACTGATCGTAGTGTGAAGTTTGGTATATATTTTTTTTGCATGTGTGCTACATGCGCTATCACTCCGCCAACGAGTGATATCCATGATTGACCTGTGAGCCTTATCGACTAATTTAGAAGGCAAAGAAAACCGATCGGAGATCAATGTACCCGCCGCCTATATCCACCAGTCTTCTTTTGGCGGTTTCCATCCCCTCTTCAACCAACCCTTTGTAGAGTATATATTTTCCAGCGATAGGTAGGTAGGCAGACCGCGGTAGCCATGCAACCATCGAGGCAGTGCTGGCGATCATACGGGCTATGACCGTCCCGGGACGGCACTGAATCGATTTGTAGATAGGGCTACCGGCATCGCGCCAACCTGTCGTCCCTGGACAATCTGCAGCCAGGTACAGCCTACAGGGACATGGCTGTTTAAGTGTAGATACTTAGCCATACATATGCTGGGGTCAATATGTCCCGCGATATGATGTCATTCCCCAAAAAGAACCCGAACTCACAGGTTACAATGCCGGAAATGCCCAGAATAACGATTCATAGGTTCATCCACAAAACTTCAACACTTATCAACTCCACAAACTCGATAACGTATCGTATTACCACTAGATATACCCTATAGTCCAATGAAATCGAAGCACACCGCCGCTCCACCATACAATGAGATATCCAGCAACATAATTATCTAATCGTATAATTCCCACACCATGAACATCAATCCCCAACACCGAGCACCAGCCTACACACAGCGCCTACAGATTACAGTAAAACATCGCAAAAGCAAAAGCAAATGAACCATAGTTACACCTGAAACATAAAACTGAAAAATGAAAGCCCTTTCCCTCCTAACGCCAAACCGAATTCGAACTCCACAAGCTAGCATTCTCGCTAGCACCAGACCACGTATTCGAGCGGGAAGCTGACGAGCCCCGTCTGCTTGCGGGATCGCCCCCGCTGAGATACGCCTGTTGCTGAGCCTCTGTCATCTGCGCTCTCGTCCGCGACCTTTGCATGGCGCTCAACTTCTTTCCTGCCTCGAAAGCCTTCCCGAATCGCTTCTTCTCGTTGTCATCCTTATGGTCGATCGTGACGTACTTGAAATCAATCCTCTCGCCGCCCATCCGAGCGCGTGCAAGGCTGGCCTGTAAAACATCGACTATCCACTCGGGCTCTCCCTTAGCGGGGGAGAACCTGAGCGCCTCGATCTTTCCTTTGGTGGATTCTAGCACGGTGCGCCGGCAACAGGTCTCGCTAGAGGAGAAGAGCCGGCGCATATTATTTCCGCAGCAGCGCTTGGGTCGTATCACGAGTTGCTCGTCCATCTGGATCTGGACGAAGATCCATCTGTCGCTGCCCTTAGCTTTGAAGTAGAGCATCAGCCGCGGGGATTTTGGAGAATGAAATTCAAGAACCTCCTGGTTCGAATTGGAGGACGATGAGCCGGAGGAAGAAACGCTTAGCGAAGAGAATGTAGGTGCTGCGCGGGGGCGGGGAGATGTTGGAGGCAGCGAGTCACGACGTAGTGATTCTGTGGGGGTGGAACCCAGAAATGGTGATGTCAGCCCAGGATTGGGTGATGCGCCGGGATTGGGTGATGCTGCCGCCGCCTCCCCAACCCTTCGGAGCGGCTTGTCCAGCCACATCTGAACTCGCACATCGCTACCTTCTAAATCGCTGCCGAGCTGTGTGAGTGACAGGGCACAAAGAAGGCTACGGGATCCAGGCCTGCGTGATAATCAGCAATGAAGCAATCGAAGGGAAGTAGAGATCGTACTGTTCGTAGAAAACCTGCGAGCCAACAATGGCACGTTGAAAGCCGTGAAGATCTAGCGTGAGTCAGTAATCGTATGCACGATAGCATCGGAGTGGAATGAGCCAACCGGTTATTGACTTGAAGGAATAATCCCGTTGTTGCAGCCGGTTGTTCATCATCACGTTCAAAACTGGAGGGACTTGAAACGGATTGTATGCTGTGATGTAGAGGGCCACTAGCTGAGTTTCAGAACACTTCACAATAAACTCTATCCACAGATTAGTGTCTGGGCTTCTACTATAGGGAGAGGGTCCCCGATTACCTTCAGAGCTTCGTGAACCGGTCTCAAAGTTTTCAGTCGTATCACAGAGTCTCAATGTCTCTCCATCTTTCCGGAATACCAAAAGCTCTCTCGTGAACCGGTCTGGATCCAAGGTCGTCTGCAGAGTCCTTAAAAATTGTTAGGATATCTTCTGAGCCGAAAGGATTCAAAGGAGAATTACAATTCCAGAATCTTCTCTTCTCCGGGTCGCTCATCACGAATGCTCAAGGGCACTTCTTTCTCGGCGTTGTTGAGCCACACATCGAAACATTCATCTGGCAGGCGCAAAAGACTATCTTCATCCGGAATCAATAAACCTCGAGTGCGGATGTTTGAGAGCTCTTTGGCGATAGACTATAGGCACCATTTAGTATTTGTCTGTGGTGGATGTGGGTATATGGAACGAGAGACCTCTGTTAACCTGCATACATACTGGGCCCAGAGAGAATCAGTCTCTAGTCGCCGATAGACCATGCTCTCTTCGCATTTGGCCAGCAGCCATGCAGCCTTCAACACGTTAAGATAACGCTCCGCTGGGACAGTGTTTAATCCGAAAATCTCTTGGTCTCTTGAGGTAATTCCCTGGAAGTCCCTACCCATTAGTTTACTGGTTCTGTTTCGGTAGAAGGAATTGAATACGAACGCTCTCAATCCACCATGCCGCAGCCTCACACCAGTCCTCGATGGGAATTTCGGGGAGAATGCTTCGAAACCGGGGGTGGTGACGCATCGTTTCCTCGAACTTTTCTCCAAGACGTCCAGTCGTCAAATTCTGCGATACTGGCGCGCTGGCCCGGCGCGGCTGTGCTTCCGGCGGAGTGACGGGGCTTATCTCAAGGTCCACCGGAGAAATAATATCGTCGGGGTTTCTGTGGCCGACTGTTTGGGCGTTTCGGATTAGGGCTTCGATCTGACGCAACCGTGCCATTAGGTCGTCTCGGACACTCTGGATGTGGTCACTTATATGCAACTGGAGCTTTCTAAAGCGATATGTTTTCAGCATAAAATTTACCTGAAAGGAGGGTCCTAGCTGGGAACACACAGTTTCAGAGGCTCCATCACGAACTGGATTTTCGTCATATGAAAGGCACAGTCCTGGGTGAGCTGGTGTACCTCTCGTTCGGCATCGATCGACCATTTCATCCGCAAAACGTATCCGCGTTTATCTGGCGCCGCGGGATCTTTCTTAAACACTGCATATTTATCCATCAGTTTGGTGGTTCTGTCTAAGGTTCCCTTGAAATCTCCGATGATTATCGCAAGGGCGTTGAGATCCACCGAATCCATCTTGAGCCGGCCTCGGTCCCGCTCCACGAGCCTGTTCTCATGATCCGACAGTATCTTCCACAAGTCGTGCAGACAGCCTCCGAGTCCCTGGAGTTGTTCCCCGTACCGCGCATAGGCCAGGTGGGCAGCGCTCATTTTCGAGAAGCAGGCCATCCATAGCTGCGTGGCAAGAGTCGCAGCAGCGAGCACATCACCGACGGAGAACCCTACGCCTGTCATGGTGAATGTTGCGGTCTGTTATCCGTTCTTCGTACGTGCGCGGTCGCCGGTCGGTGGGAATAGCGACGGGAAGATGCAAAAATACGGGAGGACCAGGAGTGGAGTGTGATGGCTAACTAGCGTACACCGCTTATCGGGATGGAGTTCCAGGACTAAATAGCGGTAATGGTTCGGTAGAAACAGAAAGGGGCGGGCTGAAAAGTGCCAGACACTGTGCACCCACTTGGATCCGACGGATATGGACAGGAAGTGAGTATGTATGATGGATGTATCGGTGAGACAGGCGGGCCCACGGCCGTCAGATAGCAGTAAGCTGTCAAGCTGGGGCCCAGCAGATTGGAGGACAAACGAGAGCGGCAAGTGGGAGGAATGGTGGAGTTGGAGCGATGAGTGCAAGACTGCAAGTGCAAGGGCAAGGTAGACAACCGTATGGATAGATATTCGATCAACGTGGGGTGTGACACTGTGGACCGGGGATAGAGAGACCCTGGGCCAACTAGTACGCAGTACCTAGCTTTGTGAAACCACCAGGCCAGTTAATCGCCTGTGGATATTTGACTCAGTGGAGTACATGGCTGATAACTAAGTCGTGCATCATCAGTCCCTCGTTTTGTTCCTTTTTCTTCTTGAAGAATCGACAGCCCTCCCTGATGCGCACAGCCTCACGAGCCAGAGGGCGGACGAGGTCGCGGTGACGAGGAGGTACATTATGGACCCACTTAAACGGCGACTACTGCGTCGGTCTGAAGGGGCGCTCGGCGGGTAGGCAGGCGATCGAGACTCGAGAGCCGAGCCCGTGTTTCGAAGCCAGCGGGAGATACCGGTATCCACCAGTTCCTGGTTATGCGCGGGATGCTCAGCTCGCGTGTGGTCCCGAGCTGACTCGGCTTGGTACGGGGCTGTTGCGCGTTGCGCGTTGCGCATTATCGCCAGCAGGCAGCAGGCAGCAGGTACTAACTGGTTATAGCTACTATCTAGTACTATGGTCACTAGTCCGTGTCCGTGGGACCAGTTGGCGACAGGCCATTTATCCGCACAGCCTCCTCCTCTTCGGTTCTACGCAGAGTCGATTTGCTCTATGTAGCACATAGTAGCACCCACAACCGACTAACGGCGACATCGGGATGTGCAGCAGCTTCCTTTTCGGTAGATAATGATTCCAAACCGTTTTTTTTTCTGGCATTTACGTACCTTTTTCGCCTGCAGAGAAAGCGTTCGCCTGGCCCAGCCTCCCCAAGAGTAACCGACTAAGATATCCTGGCCACCCCTCGTACTGCAGAGCTGCACACTGCAGTAACCAACCAGCATTGCATGTGGTTCAGTTCCACTTCTCCTGCACACCCTCAAACATGCGGGGCAGGCTTTCTGGATGTGATGGCGTCTGCCGTGTCTTCTTAAGATAACCAACCGCCCCTCCTCGTCTATCCAAGATGTTTGCTTTCGATTCCGCGTCCGGCTCAGTATCACAATGCTACCCTCCACTCAGAAATTACAGGATGCCGACGATATCGGTCTCGCTCTTGACACGGAAGACCTGGAGCTGCTCCGTGAGGCTGAGAAGAACCCCGATGCCCTCGTTACCGATACGCCGAACGACCAGAAGCTGAGGAGGTTCTCGGTCGTCTGCGTTATTGTGAACCGCATGATCGGTGAGCATCTTGTGTGTCTGCCGCGTTCTCGTCGGGTGGTACTAACGATCCAAAGGAAGCGGCATCTTCGTTACGCCTAGCACCATAGTACGCGGTACCGACAGCGTAGCTGTGGCGCTGATATTCTGGATCGTTGGCTGCCTGATGACCTTCATGGCGATATCGGTTTACCTAGAACTCGGCCTAAGCATCCCCAAATACAGGCTGCGTGGGAGCGATACTATGGTGTCGATCCCTCGCTCGGGGGGTGAATTGAATTACGTAGGTGTCACCGTCCTTGTCGGGATCCGAGAAACTTTTCTTCTGACACTGCGCAGTTGGAGTATATATTCAAGCGCCCCAAGTACCTGGCCACTTGCGTCTATGCGGTAATATTCATCTGCATCGGCAACACGGCGGGCAATGCCATCTCCTTCTCGGAGAATTTCCTGCACATGTGTGCCGTCGAAAATCCCTCGACGTGGCTCATCAAAGGGGTTGCAATCGCAATAATCACACTGGCATGTCTTCTCCACGGATCCTGGAGAGCTGGCGGGATCTATTTCAACAACATTCTCGCTTCCTTGAAAGTCGCCGTGCTCCTAGTCGTCATCGGCGCTGGTCTCGCGGCATTCGGCGGCGCGGTTGACACCGTGACGCAGAATGCCTTCGAGTCCGATCCAGAGCCCTTCGCTCCGAGCGATACCTATGGCTATGCTGGAGCTTTTTTGGCGGTCATGTTCAGCTACGGAGGATCGATGAATGCACACTACGTGAGTCGATCAAGAACAAGTCTGCGATTTTATGTCCCGCCCACTGACATTACTGTAGGTTCTGAGCGAGGTTCACCAGCCGCAAAAAACCCTCAAGAAAGCAGCCTACACCGCCGTAGGACTCGTATCATTCCTCTACATCCTGACCAACATCGCATACTTCGGTGCAGTCAGCAAGGCGGAACTCGGCGACGCTCGAGGTACCACATTCGTAGCCACCAAGTTCTTCCGCAAGATATTCGGCAGCAACGTAGCGGCTGACCGTGTCCTCCCTGGCCTCGTCGCACTCTCCTCGCTTGGAAATATCATAGTTGTCACTTTTGTAGCCTCGCGAGTCAAAGCAGAGATTGCAAAAGCCGGAGTCATTCCGTTTTCGAAGTTCTTCGCCGCGAGCACGCCCACCCTTCTCACACGGATTTTCCGACCCCAGTCCGACGCCGTAGCAGGCGATCACCACCACATGCGCCTGCAAGTAGAATCCACCCCGGCAGGCGCACTGCTCCTCCACTGGGTTTTCTCCATCATCATCATCATCGCGCCACCAATCGGTGACACCTACACATTCTTCGTGAACCTCTACTCCTACACCATCAACACGTGGATCGGCGCCTTCATCGCCGTGGGCCTCCTCTGGCTCCGCTGGAAACCACGCTCCACCTGGGTTGCCGAGAGCTCGTTCAAGCCCTGGGGCGGCCCAGCAATGGCGATAATCTACCTGATCTTCAACGTATTCCTGATTGTGGCGCCTTTCATCCCGCCGGCGCCCAATCGCTCGCGGCTGTCGATGGAGTCCATCGAGCCTTTCATCTTCCCTACAATCGGAACGGGGCTGTTCTTTGTTGGAGGCCTCTACTGGGTCGGCTTCCGCTTTGTCTGGCCAAAGATCTACAAGCGCAAGCTACAGCAGACGAGAATTCCCATCCTCCTGGATGGTGTGCAGGTGCATGAGATTGTGATTTGCTCATGGGTATGGCTTCCTCCCCTCTCCCTCCTCTATTCTTCCCCATTAAATAGCTAACTCGAAAAACAGGTCGTACCGGGAATGCCCTCGGAAGATCACGATATGTATGAGTATGATGTAGGAGTGCGCGGGCCTCCGCCGGGGGTGTAACTTGGGGCTTTTTGTTGTTGCTTTTACCTTTGTCTCTTTCAGCCATGTCACACATACATACTTAAATAATTGGTTTTGGAATATAATCACGATGCGCATGATAGTCACCAGTCGTCTTTGATGCCGCCTTGAACTGGAGACGTCGTAGAAACCTTGAGCCCTCGTGCGCGCTGCCTCGGCTCCTCCCGTCAAAATCGCGCTAACACGCGCATTCCAATTATTCGGCGGCACTGTTTCTTGGATGGATGTCCCGCACTCTGCCCCGCAGTGCGCCTTGTGAGCGAGTGCACTACAGACAACTCGCTTACTACTAGTGGTAGATAGTAGAAGTAACTACAGCCCTAAGTTCTACATAACCAACCAACCTCTGCAGCGCAGCATATGTAGCATAGCCACCTTCTGCAACACCCACAACCTTCGCGCTCATGGTTGTATATGTAGTTTCAATATAGAACCGTACCTAGATTGTGGCAAGGTGCATGCCTGTACCTACATACACACATGCCATACATGCCATACATATTCTTGCCTGCAGGCTGCAGCGAGCTACAAACGATCTTAAGTCTATTGGTAGGATGTAGTCATATGTGTGTGTGGGTGTGTAGGAATTGTAGGATCCTCAAAGCCCCGTGGGAAGTTTCCCGTATCCAGGGCACGCGGGAGTAGAGTAGAGTGCGAGGGTGAGTCATGAGATATCATTCGGACTCTGCCACATCTGCCAATCTGTCACTCTGGATTGCGCGGCACGGCTGCCTAGTGGCGTTTGACGATGCGTCGTTGGACCATATCTACCTACCCAAGTACCTACCCAAGTACCGCTGTACCTCTGTACCGGTAGTTTCTTGAAGTGAGGTTGGACAAGAAAGCGGGAGAGTTTCCGTCCGTCGCCGTGTCGCCGTCTCGCCATGATCTACCTACTATACATACTCTACGGTACTCTGGGGCGCTCAAATGCGACCAACGACGATGGATGGAAGCAAAGAATATAAAAAGAAAGTTGGGATGGGTTATGCTCGGTACATAGCTATCGTGTCCGAAACCGGCTGCATACCGTATGTGCTACCGTAGATTACCTGGTGCAGAGATGTTGAATCAAAAACAAAATATTTATATACGAGGGGGATTCTGGGGCCGGCAATGGGCACAGGTCTTGGTTTCAACTTTCAACTCTATTCCTCGATTCCTATATCCGCCCGGAAGCCACTGCAGTCTGCGCAGTGCGTGGAGATCAGAAGTGCTGCCCTGGCGCACCTTTCTCCACACTGCTCAGGGGGAGAGACGGAAGAGTGAGAATGAGTGGATGATTGGATGGATGGATTGGTGGAGTCTGGAGTCTGGAGGGGTGGAACCACGGCATTCTCTATGATCATCCCTATACCTGGAGTACCCGTAGTAGCACAAGTCCCAGTGGCATTCTGACTGCTCGTTACTGGAAGAAAAAAAGAAGGAAAAGGTAATATCTTGTCCTTCTCCGAACGGCATATGTACGGTGTACCAGTACATGTCCTTCACCACAGCACCTCTCCGCCGCGTCTCCAACTCCAGCCTCCCGGTGGTTGTCGCCCAGCTCTGCAACTCTGCGGTTTCCGTACATCTGTACGCTGCTGCAAGCTGCAGGCTGCAGTCTTGTGGTCGCCGTTCCAGATATCGAGCTACATAGGTGGTTGGTGGTCGGCCCGCTCAGAGTCTTAGACATGTCTGATCGTCAGCCGCACCTCGTAGTCTAGAGTACTATGAAACCCGCTAAAATAAGGTCGAAGATCATTTCGAGATCGGCGGTGTTTCAGTCGTTGGAACTTCGAACGTCCAGCAAGGAACCACTAGTTATCATACGCTTGGAATAAGTGAAGGCGTTTTTGGTTGTTTTTCGGCAGAGGGCGAACGAGAATTAGTGTAAATAAAGTACCAGGTCAAAAGTTTTCGTACACCTCACCAAAAGCGCCACCACACCACAGACATATATCTCTATAACACAACCACCACACTTAAGAGAGTGCTAATAATTGGCATATATCATGCATATATACTAATAAAGCTCCAATGAGATTTCCAGCTCGCCAGGATAATTTTTTTATGCGAAATAGGTGGCTTGGCGGATTTCCCTTTCACCGAGGCAGGTCTTTTCCCGCCATAGATACAGCAACCATAAGGTGGTATAAAAATATGTGGGCCATTAGAAGGTCTTCTAAATCAGGCAGAGAACCTCGATTGAAATCGGCACATAATTCTAACTAGTGGTGGTTGAGTAATGCCGTATGGGAGAGAAGTTGGTGTTGAAACTGGTTGTCATGCAATAATTTTGTATGGGGGCCCCATACAAAATCCGAAATCACTCTCCAACCCGTGCACAACACCGTACCATACGCCACCAATCCGAAGCAAAACTCATCAGACTTTTTATATGTGATGCATCTTGCGATTTAAAGCTTCTATGAAAGACCCGATTTTTTTCCGCCAGGTGAAGGGTGGGTTTTGGTTACTTAAAAATGGGCATTTTTGGTGTAAAACAGCCATCGTACGAAAACTTTTGACCTAGTACTTTACTTAGGGACAACCTACGCTCTTGGCGAAAGAAAAAAGGACAAGTACCCATTTACAGTTAGGTCTGGAGGAAAGGAATTGGTTCCAAGCGAATCTCTCATTGACGATTTTCTCCTCCGCATCCTCCTTCGGACCTCTCATAACCCCAGATACAACCTCATAGCCCCAGATACAACCCATTCCATCAAGTACCCCAATTCCTATCAAGTACCCCTTCCACTGAACATTAAATACCCATTCCATCAAACACCCCACTCCATAGTCCGCAGCGAAGAAATTCACCAAACCATCAGCCAAACCCACCATACCAACACCTCAAAAAGACCAAACTCCGAAAAGAAAAAGAAAAAAACCCCCATTAAACGAATTTAGAGGAAACCGCTGAAACTCCCCATGAATGAATGGTATGGCAAACACTACGCATCGTTTGATATACAAAACGACGAACGTAGGAGGGGAAAAGAGAAGATGTGATTACATGTACGTACGATGAGAATTAACAAACAGGTAAAGACAGCAAGTAAGAATACGCAAGATGGATATAGTGCAGAAAAGAAAGAAAACGCCGTCTCCACAGACAGTCAAGCACGCAATATGAACAGCAAAATCAATTCATCCGCTCCCCTCGCTCGCACGCTCCCGTTTTTCCATGATGGTATCGATGCTAGCAAACAAAAAAGTGAATCCCCATGACAAACCTAAGAAAGAAACGTAACACGTTCATTATAGCTATGACGTCATCGATGATAGTTACTCCCGCGTTGATAATGATGAATCGATTTAATAGCGCAATTTTCCGAGGATAGAGAAGCTGTAAGCAGCTTCCGCCTCTCCTTTCATCTGTAACAGAAACCTGTCAGTATCACATAACTCGATAGAACACTAGCACAAGGGAAACGTGCCTGCATCATGTAAACCGTGCTCTTGGCTCCGATTCCACCAACATGTCCAGGCTTGCCAGTGCCGTCCGCCTCGCCCTCTCCGACAAGAATACTAATGGCAATGCCGGTCCTGGCGACTCTCTCGAATGCAGACTCGCCAAGGACAACGTCTAGATGGACCTTGTCGCCCTTCTTGCTGGTGATGACCACACGCTTGTCGTCCTCTTTGATTCCTAGGCCCCTCTGTCCCTCTAACGGCTTGAACACATTGATTCTTGAGTTACCCAGATCGCGCCATTTTTGGGAGTTCTCGCGGCGATACAGACGAATCTTCATAGGAGACATCATGACGACGCTATTCTCGACTCCAGGGACTTTCGGCAGGCCAACGGGAGTTGCTCCGCGGGAGCTATCACCCATCGAAGATGAGCTCGAAGCAACTGAGCCAAGAGGAGAACTCTTGAACACCTTGCCAGGACGGAAGCGGGAGAACGCCGACGAGATGCTGGTCTCGGACGGTGACGAGACGAGACTGGGGTTCGAAGCGCCTCCAGCACGGTATGATTTGGACCTCGACCAGCCTCCGAATCCACGTTTGATGCTCCCCCCTACGATTGTTGTCGAGGCATCGCTAGTGGCACCCATGTCCGATGACAGTGCCAGGGAGCTGACCGTGCTAGTAAGAGGATGCTGATAATCGTGCGGCATGATACGATGGGCATTGATTGCGTTGAACAACATCTCGCATTCATTTGGTGAACGTGACCGAAGCATAGTATTGATACCTTTCTTGCCGGGTGTGCGAATCGAAATGTCGACAGCTGTACCACGTCGGACCGGAAGGGCTGCATTCAGGTCACATGCGAAAAAAGATGGCTCCTTTGACATGCCGCCAGAACCCATCGATGATCCATGGGATGACGATGAGGATCCCGCAAAATGAAATGCTTCGAGGTGGCCGGGCGTGATCACAATCTTGCATTCGTCGGGTGAGATCTTCTGCCACTGGTTGGTTGACCAAGTGAAGAGGAAAGCCCTGAACTTGCTACCGATCTGCGGGACTGGCGGAGGCGCATGCTGTGGACGCGGAGGAGTTGTCGCTTGCTGTCCAACTGGGGTAGAGCTTCCTGAAACATCTGCTTCTGTGTCGTCGGTGGTGGTAGGAGTGGATCGTTGGCGGGGAACCGAGACTTGTCCAGACGGCTGCCTCGAGAGGCGTCTTGGAATAGAGATCATCGGCGGGGGATATTCGCCATCTTCCTCCTCCGAGCACAAAGACACAGCATCGTCGGATTCGTCGGATTCGGATTCGGATGCCGAAGACGAAGTATATTCCTCGGTATCCTCCGAGTGGCGACGTTCCGCGTGCTCAGCTTCAGAGTTGGATGCAGAAGAAGGATCGTACTCGTGCTTTAGTGGACTCGAAGTACGGCGCCTTCCACCATAGCCTCCCTTACCGGAGCGTGGAGACGTGACTACCGGCGCGGGCTTGCTACGGCTAGCATTTGTTGGTGTACGATGCGGAGGCACGGGAGGTGGCGCATCCCCCTCGGATTCACTCGCACTAGGCGTCGCACTTTTGGGCGAGAGCTTGGGGATATTGTCCATGGGGTTGGCGGAGCTCCCCGCTGTTGGGGACAACGACCTCCCTTCCTCATCGAGATGATGCACCGATCGAGTCCTAGACAGATTGTGCTGCCTGGCTTCCTCCGCGGTTTCTTTCTCCTTCTTCCCGCTAATTAACTTATTTCTCGAATGCGGTCGGCTAGCCCTACGCGAGCGCTGGATGCTTGAGGTGGACTTGGTACTTGGCGTAAAAGAGTCAGATCGACCAACGTCCGACAAAGTGTGTAACGATGGCGAGCGAGCGACGTCTTTAGCAGTATTGTTCTGTGGCTCCACCCTAAACTCGATGTTGGGCACCAAAAATTCTCCTCCCATGAGTTGGTACGTACTGGGGCGGTGGAGAAGCGTCAGTGAGAAATCCGGGGGTAACCATTCTGGATACTCAATAACCGGAGGAGCTTCGCGCTCGGGCTCGGGTTCACTATTTTCATCAACTTCTGCCACGCTCTCCGCGCGCTCTTGAACAGCCTCTGACTCCGCGGAGGTTTCGGCTTCAGGTTCGAGGAAATCGAATACGTTAACCTTGGGCTGAGGCGGAGCGTATCGCGTCTGCCGCTTTCGAGGTTGCGCTGGCGGGTACAGACGAGACACAACGGACTCTTCGATCACCGTCTCCAGGAACGCTGGCTGTATGAGCTCCCTTGAGAATGGTCCTTCTGGAGGGATAGGCACGAGACCCATCATCTGCACCCACTCAAACCCTGCCGCCGTAGACGAAGCTAATGCCATGACCTCCCTCCATTCTTGCAAGTCAGAATCTGTGCCGCGCACCATGACGACGATCTCTCCCGCTGCGTCACCAGTCCTAGCCGAGATAGCTGACATGGGAACTGGAGGGAAAAGCAGCCACTTGGTCGCGTCCTCCCCAAACTCAACAAACAGGATCTCGCCTTCTGAGTACCTGCTTCTGGGTGAGGGATCACGCAAGATGAGCTCGATGGTTCGTTCGACTAGCTCTTCGGAGGAGTGGTAGAGGCGCATGGCGAAACTGTCACGGGCCTTGACACGACGACTCTGGTCGAGGCATACGTCGCGTCGTGGCTGCAAGGTGTGGATATCGCAGGCTCTCGAAGTGTCCAGCGAAGCAGCAGCCTCATCTTCAATGCGAGCTTTCTCTTCTGAGATCTTCCTCCGAGCCATCGTGACGAGAGAGTGGAAAGAAGTCGAGAGTGACGCGGCCAACGGAGATGAATTGATGTAGTCAATTCGCTTTTGAACAAGTGAAAACAGTCAGCTATGTGCTTCAAAGATGGCCCGTGATTAAAAGAATTAAAAGAAATAACGAGTGTATGTGGTAAAAGCAAAAGAATAAATGTATGTGGTCGGGCCAACAAGGAATGGAGGGGAGGATAGAGCTGGAAAGGGGAAGGAACTGGACGGAAGGGAGTTTGAAGAACAGTGTAAGGATGGCTGTTGCATTGTTCGCATAGGGACAAGTTGAGGCCTCGGCGATGATGTCGTCTTGACCGAGAATGGACTGACCGCCCAAACGGCTCGGCCGCAGTGTACGCCGAGAAAAACGAGTCCACGCCTCGGCACTCCAGCCTCGCCTGCTCCTCCAAGTCGACAAGAAGGAAGGATACCAGCACAAACATACCTTGAAAAGCTTCGCCAACAGCTTCAGACGCACCAGCGGACGCTTGAGCAGGAAGGCCACATCGACTCTTTCATCCTTAATCTCATCTTCCATAGACGGCGGAGGTGGCATAGCCCACGTTGTCGGATCTCCCTCAAAGCGCATATTTCCTTGTGCTCCCCTGCCGTTTTCGGGGCCTTTTCTGATTGCGTCTTTGGCATTTCGCTCGTACTCCTCCTCGTCGGGGCCGGGAGTCATGTTGACGACAACATCCTGGAACCCCATGCGCCACACAGAAAGATACTCCTCATACACTCTCCGCGCATCATCGGCCCATGCGAGAAGCTGGTCTGCGCTATGGCATGGAATCCTGTCGTGAAGTGTCCGTAACCTCTCGAGCGATATCCCCATGTCCACAATCGGCCTCGTGGGGTTGGACGAGAATCCAGTCCGAGAACTGCGGCTGCTAGCGGTGGCTGACGTACCAGTACTACTGATAGAGGATGACCGGCGGAGGTCGTTGTCTGCGCGGACTAATACCGTCTGGAATAATATAGGAACTACATCCTCGACCAGAGCACGGAGCTCGCGCATATACTTCACCTCTTCCTCCGCAAATTCCTGAAGAAGATCATCAAACGTCATGGTATCAACGTGCTTTCGACCCTTACTGCGCCGGCTTCGTTCCTCTGAGCGGACACTCTTGGTCTTGGGAGCCGAAAGGATTGAGATCAAATCTGCATGCTTGGTGTATTTTCGTTTCAAGCTAGTCCCTTTGGCAGAGACCTCCGGATTGAACCAATCTTCAGGCGCGCCTACCGGCTGTAGCTCGATTTTGGACGCCGAGTTTGCCGATTTGGGTACGTCAATCATCTGCGGTTTGCTCACCTTTGTGAACCGTAAAGGCTTGACTGTTGAAGCATCTGAAACATTCCGAACAGGGGAAGTACAGTCATCGCACTCCCCGCACTCTGAGCCCAATGGTGTAAGAGAGCCATCGCTAGTGATGATACTGTGAACGCTCTTGGGACGCGGCGGAGCGGGTTTAGCTCGCAAGCTCCGTTTCGGCAGCGGCAACGGGGGAGACGTTCGATGAATTGGAGACAGTGAATCCAGCCCCGAAGGCCACTGCAGGGGAGCCACATCGGGAATGCCAAGATTAATGTCGAGGGTGAGTTGAGGTGACACTTTTACCGGGTCTTGGACAGGTTCCGAAGGTCGAGGCTTCGGAACCAGGGGAGCTACTTCAATCGACGGTTCTGCTACCAGATCCAGTGCCACCTCCTCCGAGTCCTCCTTGGCCGGTTCCGCGGGCTTCGCAGCTGGCGCCAGCGTTGAACCCGCGGGGTCTTTCTCGGCAACTTCAAGCTCATTCATAGCAGCCTCAGGCTCGTTATCCATATGCTGAAGTTCTTTGGCGGGCTCTTTCGGAAGTTCTGGATCGAGCTCTCTCGGGACCTCTTTCAGCAGATCTCTCAGGGGCTCCGGAGGAGGTGCTTTAGCTGATTTGTCCGGCTTGCTCTCCAGTTGCTTGACAAGGTCTCTGACGGACCTCTTGGGTGGCTCTTCTACAGATCCCATGGCTCTTGGTGATTTTACTGTGGGAACAGCAGCTATGGCCTCTTTCTTTGGCGGTGGTGTTTGCACTCTCGATAGTGGTGATTTCACAGTGGGGACAGCCGCGGTCTCCTTCTTCGTCATTAGCGGCTTAACCACAGGCTCCTTTGGCGATTTCGAGGCTTCAACAGAAACGACTGGTTCCTTCGGAGGTGGCGTCTTCACTACCGGTACCGCAACGATAACCTCCTTCTCTAGTAGTGCTTTCTCCAAAGGCTCGTCCTTCAGTGTTGTTTTCTCCACTGCTTCGTCCTTCGGCAATGTCTCCAACGGGTTAATAGCAGCTTCGGGCTCCTTTGGAGGTGGAGTTTGGACCTTCGGCACAGAGACAGCAATCACGGGCTCCTCCTCTGGAAGTGATGGCATCTCCACCGTGGGAGTAGCGATGACGGGCACTGGCTCTTCCGGAAGCGGAGGCGAAGGTTTTGATTGTGCCTCCTCATATTCCTCTTCCGATGAAGAATCTGAGCTAGAATCGTCGTCGCTGTCTTTGTCCTCATCAGATTCCGATTCAGGCTCAACTGGCTTTGACTTGGGTACGGCTGCCTGTGGCTCGGGCACGGCAATAGCCACCGGTTCAGATGTGACAACTGACTCTGGCTTGGGTGTGACTGCCTTCGGCTCCGGTGAAACAGCTGCGGTAGGTTCCGGTGTGGTAGCCTTAGGTGGTTCCAGCATAGCAACTGCCAGTGGTTTCGGCGTAGCAACTACCAGTGGTTCCGGTGCAGCAACTGCGGTAGGTTTCGGTGTGGTAGCCTTAGGTGGTTCCGGCGTAGCAACTGCGGTAGGTTCTGGCGTAGCAACTACCAGTGGCTCCGGCTCGAGAAGTACTGGTGGTTCCGGCGCAGGTGTTATGGGTGGCTCGGGCTCGGCGACTACCAGCGGTTCTGGTGCAGGAGCAGCAACTACCAGCGGTTCTAGTACAGAAGCTGCGATTGATTCCGGTAGAACTGGCTCTGACGTCGCACCCGCCGCTGGCACCAATGCAGCAACTGGCTCGACAGTATCAGAGGCATCGGAATCGGTTTCTGAATCAGAGCTTGAAGATTCCGTCGACGATTCGTCTTCATCTTCGTCGTCTTCGTCATCTTCCGACTTCCGTTCCTGGATTCTCACCGTCTTCTTTACTTTCGCCTTGACAACCGGTTCCTGAATGGCATCCCCATGCTCTTCCGACTCCTCCTCCGAGTCAGAGGATGAGCTGTCAGTCGAGGATTCGGAGGAGGAGCTGGTGTATCCGCCATCCACCAGCACTGAACGCACAGATTTTCCAGTGAACTCTTCCTTTACCGCCTTGATAAAGTCCTTTGCTGAAGGCAGCTTCCGAATAATTGACTTATCTTTCTCCTTCTCCTTTTCCTTCTCCTTCTCCTTTTCCTTTTCCTTCTCCTTCTCTTTCTCTTTCTCCTTTTTCCGAGTAGAAGCACGGTGTGTATCCGGAGGGGGACTAGCCTTCCGGGCACGAACCAACGGAACAGAACGGGAATCGGGAGGAGTTGAACGGCTTCGTTGCCTGGCCAACGCCTTAACAGGAGGAGGGCTCGAGGTTTTGCTGTGAGGGTCTTTGTCTTTATCTTCTGGATGCGGCAAACTTTCTCTAGATGTCGGTGCTACCGAGCGCGAACGGAGGGCTCTCTCCCGTCGAGCGCGTAGACCATCGGAGGCTGAATAAGGCGATTCGTACATGGACCTCCTGCGTTCCCGGGGCTCACGAGGCGCCTCAGGAGCCTCTTTGAATTCCTCCTTTGCTGGCGACTTGAGAGATTCTCTGGACGCTGGCTTGTGAAACTCTTTAGAGCTCTCCTTTTTGAGAGGTTTAGGAGGCTCCCTCGGATGTTTAGGAAGTTCTCTCGGAGCTTCTTTGGAAACTTTAGATACCGGCTTCAGTGATGGGAATAGTAGTTCCCGCACGAGTGATTCCTTGACTGGTGCCCTCTCCCTGGCAGCTGTATGCTCTCTGGTGACTTCCTTTGCGGCTGGCTTGAGTGATTCTCTGGATAATTCCTTTGCAGGCGATTTCTCTTTGGTCGTCGACCTGGCTGTCGGAAACAACAGCTCCTTCACTAGTGACTCTCTAGGCGGAGGTTTCTTTTCCTTGACGGAATGTTTCCGCTTGATTGCTGACTCCTCTTTAGGCGGCGGGCTATGCTTGACGTGCGGCTGTTCGTGGACAATTGGTTCTGGCTTGACTATCGGCGGCGGCGACTCGCTGACTATCTCTTGGACCACCAACATTTCCCTCTCTGACCGCTCCCTACCTTGCCGTTCCCTGTCCAGTCGCTCCCTCTCTGGTCGTGGGGGCGCTGGAGACGCAGAACGAGCCCTAGTCGCCATCGTTTGGAACTTTGCACTGTCCTCCTTGAGTTTATCCCGCAATTTCCGACGTTCCGCGCGACGTTCCTCCCGGTCTCGTGACGGGCTGTACTTTGTCCTCTGCCGTCTCTGGGAAGGCTGTCTGGCTGGCACTCTGTCGTCGTCTGATAGCTCCGGCTTCTTTTTGGAAGGTTGTCTCTTGAGCTTTTTGCTGACTGAGCGTGATACCCGAACTGGCTGTTCATCTTGAGTTTGCAGTATTGCCGGCTCGTCAAGTATGACTAGGGGCGCAGGCTCGCGATGAGGACGTGCTCCGGTCGGGGTGGCGGGGGCAGATTCCGTAAGCATAGGTGGAGGCGTTAAGACCGGGGCAAGCGCCGTTCTCGAACCGCTGGAACCTTCGACGGCCGAATCGTCGTATCTTGACCTCTCGGAGCTCTTTTTATGCTTCATCTTCATGGGTCGCACCCTGATACCATCGTCCTCCACGGGAGTTGCAGTGCTTCGGCGGGACCTGACACTATCGTCCTCCACGGGAGTTATAGTGCTTCGGCGAGACCTGCCACCGCCGTCGATAGTGTGCCTTGCAGGCTCGATTGCTGCCCGTTCAAAGTCTCTGGTCGGTGCCTTGACGTTTTTGGAAATTGCCATGGAGTGATCATCCTCCTCATCTCCTCCTTCATTCCCGTCGTCTTGGTCCCTAACCATACGCGCGAACACCTTGTCTTCCGCAAGCGCCTTGCGTTGGTCGGCTTCAAACTGCTCCCTGCGGCTCCTAACGCTCTTTGCACTCTGTCGGACAGACTTCTTGCGGTCCGAAAACTTTACTGGTGTACTCGGCTTGCTTGCGTATATCCGGATACCGTCCTCTTGGTCCCAGGCTTTGACCTTGACACGGCTAGATTCTGACGGCTCCGGCTCCGGCTCTGGTCCAGGACTTAAGAATTCGACTTCAACATCGAAACCAACCGATTGTTCAGGCTTGATTTTGGACCTCTTCTTTCTGATGGGTACGACCCTGATTCCATCATCCTCCCAAGCGGCTTTGGGGAATTGTTCGGAAACCGGAGTTTTGACATCGGAAACTGTTCTTGCTGTGGGTTGCTCCGGCCGGGTGGATTGGTGCGCCTGGCTGTCCTCCCTTGCACTTCCCCGTAATCCAAGAGCCACTCCACCATCATCGGTCTCGTCCCGAAGCATCTCCCTGATGCTCTCCCGCTTCTTCCGCCGACTGCCAGACGTACGTCGCTTCGGCTTCATAGGAGCAATTCGAATCCCGTCTTCTTCGTAGTAAGCTGGGCTGTGCGTCTGCACCCTTGGTGGTCGCTCCCCCGCACTCTCCATCCCGCTCCCACCCGGAGTACCCGCATCGCTATCGCGCCTGCCCCGCCGCAACTTCCTCTCTCGGTCTTTGCTCCGCGTGCGCAACCGCTCCGCCTGCTTCTCGCTCTCGGACGCCGTCTCCCATTCATCCCTGAGCGCCGGCATTCTCGGCGGCGTAAGCGGCGTCGACATGTTCCCCTTCATCTGCGATGCGATGCCATTGACACTCATATCGATCGGCGGCCCCAGCGGCGGCCCCGGCATGCCCCTCCTACTCCCGGGGGTCGGCGTCGCCGGCGTAATCGGCGGAACCTCGATTAGATCCCCTGGTAGCACCACACCACCACCCGACTGTTGCCAGCGCCTGACCCGCTCCCTCACATTCGGCGTATCGAAAACTCCCTGCGCGGGCCCGATATCGAATTTTGCACTCTCGGAGCGTCCGCGCTTGTGCTCGGGGTCCTTGCGGAACCATTTCAACGGATGCGAGACGCGCGGGGCCTGCGAGGGCATCGTCGTGTAGAGGTTTATGCGTGGCGGCGGCTCGTCAGCGTTGTGGCGGGGGTTCGGGGGTGCCTGGGAGGCCGAGGAGCGCGGTGAGGGCGTTTTGCACGGCACTCCATCTTCGTCTTCTTCGGAGTAGGACATCGCTCACTCTTTCCTTTCCTAACAGAACCTAGAAATACAGGAAAGTCAGAACCAAACCCCCCATTGCGACGACAGATAGTATCCCGCCCCCCTCCACCTCCGTTCCCCGTCCTCCGCCCCCGCGAACCTAAAGGCAATGTTTTTTTTCTTTCCCACAGACCTTCTCACAGTGCAAAATAGTGATAATATTGCGCGTGTAGGTGAATGATTTCCGATTGTTATTGTGTTGAATTCGCGCGGTGTAAAAAGGTGTTGCTGAGTGCTTGGTGTAGCTATCGCGTGGAGGGGGTGATAATCGCGAACTGGTAAAGTACCCTAGAAGTATCTGAAGAGCTCGATCAACCGCGTGTTATCCTCTCGGGGGAAAGCCGATGGAGCTCTTTTTCGTGGTGGGTGGTGGTGGTGGTGGTGGTGGTGGAGGTGGTGGCTACTGTACCCAACGTGGATGATGGGGGGGGAGTGCTGAACTTTGAGGTGGCTGGCTGGCTAGCTGGCGGGAAGCACAAAAAACTAAAGAAGCCGCGGTGCGCCACGGGATGCCGAAGGCGATGGCGATGGCGATGAGGCTTCCAGTCCAGTCGGTCTTGGTGCCCGCGAATTCCGGTTTGCTGTGTGTAAGTACCTGGTGGTGGGCGGGCGGTGATGCTTGATGGTATGGGATGGCTGGCCTGCTTGCTTGCCTGCTGCTGGTGGGCTGTGGTTGGGGAGGGATGTCGTCCGTCTCGTCTCGTTGGCGCCTGCTCCACTCCCGCTACTCTAGTTACTCTGTGCTCTATCCCCCATCCCTGAGGGGTTTGTTTACTGTGCATCATCTGCACCAGCTACCGATACAGGGATGGTGTGTGGCCCCGTTGCGTGGGAAACCATAGGTTCATCACTGATTTTCCGCAGCGACGAATCATGGAGGTTTTGACGGTTTCAAAACGTAAACAAACCACGACGCGCGATGCAGAAGAGTTCGTGCCATTGGCGAGCGTATGATTGGGTGGCTGAAGTCGTCAAGGTCGACTCAAAGCATGATTCCGCGTAACTACCGTATGTCTGGGGGCGCGCCGGCGACATGGGAGATTACAGCTGCAGCGGGGCGATGTTTGATATGATAAGGAGTTATCGCACCGTCAATTCGGGAGTTGTTCCGGTATCGATATGGATAGAGACAGAGACGTGAATGCCCTGCTTCCTGGGTGATTTTTCGGAAGCATTACTCTTGCGGGAGAGAGAGTCTAGAGGACACTTTCTAGACTATGGCAGCCCGATCACTCTTGCAGAGAGGGAGAGAGAACATAAATTTATTATCGTGTGCAGCCTGATCACTCTTGCAGCCGCTAACTAGCTCCCGAGAGCAGCAGCGAACCGAGATTACCGAGTGACATTCAATGAATCGCTTGTTTTTTCGATCCCAGTGTTGAGGTGTTGCGTCATATGTAGGTAGTATATATATAAGGAAATGTTTCGTTGACGACCATGGGCAACCTTCTCTACCATCTCCGCAATTCAGCGCTTGATACCATACCACCGAATTCATATCTACCAGAGAAACGAACCGCAAAACATCCAGCAAAGATGGCGATGGCACTGCAGGTGCGTGTGCATTCTTACTCCTCGACTCTCACAGCCGCTAACTGCCACCAGCTCTCGACGTTCGTAACCCAATACCTCGCATCAGGCACGCACACCAACCCGACCAAATCCACGAACGCCCTCCGCATGGGCATCCTGTCGACGGCGATGATCAACCCCGCGGCACTGATCCACCCAGCGGAAACCCACGGTGGTGTAGTGATCCACGGCGTCGCCTCTCGCGACCTATCCAGCGCGGAGTCCTACGCAAAGAAGTACTCCATCCCGCACGCGTACGGCAGCTACTCTGCGCTGCTGTCCGATCCAGCGATCGAGGCGGTTTACATCTCGCTGCCGAACGGGATGCACTGCGAGTGGGCGGTGAGAGCGCTCGAGGCCGGGAAGCACGTACTGCTCGAGAAGCCGGTGGCCGCGAATGCAGACGAGGCGAGGGTGGTCTTTGAGACGGCACGCAGGTGTGAAAGGGTCTGTGTAGAGGCGTTTCATTGGAGGTTTCATCCGGCTGCGCATGTCGTCGATGCAATTGTTGCGAGTGGAAGGTACGGTGAGGTCAGGAAGACGAGCGCAAGGATGACTACGCCATCCGGAAGCCTGCCTATGAGTGATATCAGGTGGAATTATGAGCTTGCTGGGTATGTGCGATCTTCTAGCATGGAATGCCGTGAAACTGATGGGTAGTACGCAGAGGTGCACTGATGGACATGACGTACGTCCTCTCGTCGACGCGGTACTTCCTGCACCAGCCGCAGCTCGACGAAGTGCTCGAAGCGACTTCCGTGCCCTCTCCCGAAGACAGCCGGGTAGACCAATCGACGACTGCGACGCTGCGGTTCAGCAGCAGCCTCTCCAGCACCCCCATCACATCCACGATCTACGCCGACATGGCCCGCAGCAACAGCTTCTGGGTGATCCCGCGGCTCTGGGAGCTCCCCTCGATCTCCATCGAGTGCGAGGAAGCTACCATCTACTTCTACAACTTCATGATGCCGCATCTGTACCACTACATCGCCATCACGGATAAGGCGGGAAATACTAGCTACCAGAAACACTACTGCTTTGGTCCCAAGTGGGGTGTCAGGGGAGAGAGCTGGTGGAGCACCTATCGATACCAGCTCGAGGCTTTTGTCGATAAGGTGCAGGGAAGGGAGCCGGTTTGTTGGGTCGACCCAGAGGATAGTGTGCAGCAAATGGAGGCGATCGATAAGGTATACGAGGCAACCGGGTTGGGGAAGAGGAAAGGGACCCAGGAGCTTGTGGGTAGTGGGGAGGAATAGGTCACTATGCAGTGTCTATCTTGTTGGATATTGAAATGATTTGAATTTGTTGGATGGCATCGACACTTGCTTGGACTGTCACTACATTTGTCTTCAGTCTGTTTGTACTGTATTATTTCTTTCTAATGTCTTGTTTTAGTAATGGAAATCCTACAGATATAGTAGTGAAACCTTTGTGAGCTTTCTTATGAACAAGTATATAAAATGGAATGAAAGTGCCTGGCGTGGCAGAAAGGAGCAGCTCGGTGCCCAAACACTTCCAAGTCCCGCCTAAATACTGCCCTGTCGAGTCACAACCGATGAACCACCGTTAATTAAGTTACCCTCCGCCCCAGCGTCTCCGAAGCTTGGCGAACTTTTTAGCCCACCATCCACCCTCCCACCATCCGCCCTCCCCTAGGCGCACCCTCCACCCCCACCTCCCCACCACGAACTACATCCGACAACAATGCTGCGCCTGCTCCCCCACCGCACGGTGCGGACCTTCAGCACCTCGCGTGCCGTTCTCAGCGACGACCCTGTCAGCAAACCCAGCCCAGTCTCGAACATCACTTCCCCGTCCTCCGCATCCTCCCCATCCTCCTCCCCGCAAATCCGCAAGCCTCTCAACATCACCCGCTTCAACGTCGGCGGGAGCGGAGATGGCGATGGCCCGTCGCGGCAGCCGTACCAGCAACAGCAACAACAACAGCAGCCTTGGATCCAGGGAGACCGGCCTGCGATACAGCGACCAGGCGAGCGGCCTCCAATGGGCGACCGACCTCAGATGCAGCGCCCACCGATGGGAGACCGGCCCCCGATGCAGCGGCCTCCAATGGGCGACCGTCCCCCAATGCAGCGGCCACCACCCGGCTCTCGCCCGCCCACGACCAATAGCTTCGGCGGACCCGGCCGCACAGCCGGCGCGAACGGCATGCGGCGGCGGACGCCGGAGGCACCCACGCGGGCGCGGTACGCAGCCAGCGGCGGCGCTGGCGGTGGCGGTGGTGGCGGCGGTAAACCCGGTGGAGGGCGGCCCCGTGGCGGTGATCGCGGTGGTGGTGGTGGAGGCAGCGGCAGAAGGGACGATCGCAAAACCGACAAGGAGAATCCGCTGCCGGCGAAAGAGGTGGCGTATACGCCTGCGCCTGTCACGCTGGAAAGCCTCCTCCCCATGGTCCCGGCTACCCCGCTCACTGTCGCGGGACTGTCGAGTGTGCTGATCCGCGAGACGGAGAGGGTGCGTAGAAGAGGTACCGAGAAGTGGGGGCTCGAGGGCTGGAGGCGTTATGATCGCACCCGTGAGGTGTACATGAGGGGCGCGGTGGAGGGGGGGTATAAGTACGCTGTTGGCGCGGGTGGCGATGGGAGCTTGGTCGCCGAGAAGGAGGTGGGCACCGTGGTGGGCGAGGTCAGGAGGATGGCGGCTAGGAATAGCTCTGTGGGTACGAAGGCGATGAGATTGATTGTGGGACAGGTGCAGGCGAAGGTGGGCACGACGTTGTTGCTGCCGAAGCCGCAGGTCAGGCAGGCAATCGCGGCTGCTGCATAGACAGACAGACGCACCGCAACTTCAAACTGTACATAATAGGTAGACAAGACAGCCTCGTAAAACACAGGCAAAAAGACCACAACGCAAAACAAAACAAAAGCAGATCGTATCACACCCCAACGCCCCATCCACCCCCATCCACCCATCCATCCCCATCCCCCACAGTCCTACACCTTCACCCCCTCCACGCCCTTAACCACCTCCTCCACGCCCTCCACAATCCTCGCGGCCTGAACCCTCTCAACAACCGTGCGCACGACATTCCTGATCCCCTCCATCTCCTCGTCAACATTCCCGCCCCTGCCGGCGGCACTAAAGCTGACCGAGCAGCCGACGTATACCGGGAGCATCGTGCGCTTCGCCAGAATCTTTGCGAGCCGCGTCGCCACGTCGATAGTGTCCTCGCGGAAATAGAGGGTCGTCGAGAGTGGGGTTGGTTGCGTGGTCTTTTGCCGTTGTCACTGTTAGAGAGGGAGGGGAGGAGGAGGGGAGGGATGGGGGGAGGGATGGAGGAGAAGGGGAGTACAGATGGTAACGCGTAGACGAAGCTCCCGAGGGGTGCTGGGCTCCCCGGCGTTTCGGGCGTGCGAGTCGTGATGAATAACAGCAGGTGGTGCGTGTGGATCGTTAAGTGCATGTGGATCCGCGCTGCTAGAGCTTTTGGAAGCGGGATTGATAGTTGGTGCTGGATGCCCGCTGGCGATATGGTTGTTGCGTCTGACATGCTGGCGATGTGGGTTGGTGGAAGCTGAGAGCTGCTCGGTGAATACTGAGATCTGCTCGGTGGGATCGTAGAGGGGCGTGGTTAGTGGGTTGGTGAGGCTCAGCTCAAGCTTCAGATCGACCCTGCATCGAGATGTCTCACAGGGCGAATCTCAACTGTGGACGGCAAATGGTCATTCAGCTCAGACAAGTTGAGCATTTACTATTACTTATCATTGGTTACAGTAATGTGCAGCACCCAACACCAGAACGATGGCTCAATCAAATCGTTTTCCGATCAAGAAACAAGTGCGGAGTAAACTATTATTCAATTTCCCTCATAAACCGTTTAAAAAGACATCGCCGAATCCAAAAGACATAAAACTTAGTAATCATACAATCCGAACGAAACTACATACTAATGCGCTCCGAAAATTTAAGACGACGGCCACATCTCACCACCAATCCACCGGTTGAGCATAGCCAACGAGGCGTCGGGCTGATTGTAAGGCATCATGTGACCAGCCTCGAAGACGGTCAAGAAAGTGAGGTTGCCGCTGCTCTTGTACTGTCCAACCTTCTTGTCGTCCAGCTTGAAGGGACCGAGCTCGACCTTGTTGAAGTCGTTCTTGCCGCTCCACTCGAGCTTCTCAGTCCAGGCATGGTTTCCAAGCCAGTTGCAAATGAAATCGGCATCACCAGCGTAGATGAGGACGGGGATCTGAGCGAGAAGATCGACAACGAACTTGTGGAACGGAAGCATCCAGTCACCGTGAAGCAAGAAGTTCCTGTTGATGTCGAAGTTGCAAGACTCGTAGGTGGAAACCTCAGCACCGAGGGCCTCGATGACTTCAGGCTTGTTCAGGTAGTCGGAGATCCAGCCAAGCTCGGAGTAGCACAGGTTGTTGGAATCTTTGCAAGGGCCACGGATATCGTAGACGTTGACACCGGAGCGCTGGTAAGGACCGATCATGGCGTTGTTACAGTAGATGGAGGCAGGGACACACGACCACACAGACTCGCTCTTGTAGCAGTTCTCGATGAGACTGGCGCACCGGGGGTAGGCATCGTCCATAGCCTTGCACTCGGACGCGCCTAGGACCGAAGGGTATCCACCCTCACCACAAGCCATGGGGCGGTAGTACTCGTACTGAGTGAGGCCGTCGGTCAGACCGTTTCCGATGGCGACGGACTTCAAGTTGATGTTGCGGTTCTCGTGAGAAAGGATCTCAGAGGCGAACTGGGGAATGTAGTGACTGCAATCGGTTAGAAACGGTTTATTCCTACAGAAGAATTTGAATTCGACTTACCCAGCATACGATTCACCGGTGATGTGGAAGTCCTGAGCAGCATACTCGGGGAACTTGTCGAAGAACATGGTCAAGAACGCGTAGACGTCTTTACCGGCAGCCTGAGTGCTGGACACCGGGTTGCTGGAGTATGAGTAACCGACGTTCACGGGCTGGTCAAGGAAAATGACGGAAGCATTCGAGTTCCACGACGCTGGGTTGTGGACGATCTTGATGTTCTTGTCGATGGACGCGGGGCCCAACTCCATGAAGAGACCGGTAAGCGACGAGCAACCGGGTCCTCCGTTCAACCACAGCACGACGGGGTCGTTCTTGGGGTCGTTCCTCGACTCAAAGAACCCTATTGAAACCATCAATTAAACGGTCTTCCCTCGCCTTCCTCGCGCAAAAATCGGGAGGGAGGTAACTTACAGAAGAAAAAGTGCTTGTCATCTTCCACATCCAGGTAACCGGAGTACTGCTTGACATCCTCGTCGATGCCGAGACCATTGGGCTTCTTGATCCTGAGCTTAGCGCCCTTCAGTTTCTCGTGCCCGTCGATCTTTCCCGCCATAGCGGTCATCATCTCGTCTCCGTGGACGATGTGGTCCCAGTGGCTGTCTGGTCGTCGCTTACGGTTCGCCTTAGGCATAGACTTGCTAGACATCGCCTGGAGGGCCGAAACGGTATCTTCGGGGTAGAGCTTCGCGATCTCGGTCCAGGCGGCGGCAGCCTCAGTGGGGAGATTGAGGTTACCGAAGGTCGCCTTGACCTGATCCGTGGCCTCGGAGAGGAACGCGGGCAGCTTGGAAGACGCCACATTCACACCAAGCGGCTTCTGGGCCGGATTGGGGAAGTACGCGGCCGCGCCGAGGGCGAGCGATAGTGTGGAAGCTACGCTGAGCTTCATGATTGCGACGATAGGGAGAGATAAGAAGGTCGGCGCGACTCTGGTGTATGGGGGGCGTGTGTATGTAGGGAGAGTGTAGTGGGTGGGTGGGAGGGAGGAAGATGGAGGAGATGGAGAGGAAGGGAAGAAGGAAGGAGGAGAAGGGTTGGGAGTGGGGAGAGTTATGTAGAGCAGAAGAGTCACGCTTGGCTTTGGCTTTGGTTCTGGCTTTGGCCTTTGAATGATAAGCAGCGGGATGAGCCGTGTGGGGAGGGGGCGGGCTGGCTTGTTGGCGTGGAGCAGGTGGCTGGGTAGCCTCCGAGCGTGTGTAGCCGGAGATCTCGTTTTGGGGCGGACCGTTCTCAATGCAACGCGGTGACGCACGACTCAGAACACTCTATGTGGTTAGAGGACGCCAAATGCATGACGCAGGTCCGGCTGAGCTCTCCGCCGAAAGCTGACAAGGTACTTGATCAGCACATCTCGTGATGATGGCCGTATCAATGGGGCTACTGGGCGTGAAGCCGTACGGGGGAGGACCGTGTGTATCTACCAGGTGCTTGTCTCATAGCTCTCGCAGAGCTCTGACAGCTCAACACGCAGGAGCTCCTTGGGCAGGAACGGATCGGAGCTGTTGTAGCCGAGCTGACTAACTAGTTGCCTAGATAGAGCATCGTGATAGGCTTGTACCTGCTTCAAGATAGGGTGCGCGGCTCGGGTTTCTTGCATGGTGAGCGCCCCGAACCTGCATGGGTTAGCTGTCGAAGGAAGGGCTCTTTGGACGCGTGAATCGTGATTGGACGCGGTGTGGGGATAGTTGGCTGCGAGTGGCTTCTGGAAGCGCAGCTTCCTCGCGGGGAGACCGACGGAGTGGATAGCTCCACGGATCGGAGTCGGATTCTTTCTTTGCTCTGCATGGAAAGCACTTTGGAAGCTTCACGTTGCAGGCGGCAAGTGGAGCCGTGATTTCTTCGCGTGAAGCTCGTGATGAGGCGGACAAACAGTTCAGGAATCGCACTCCAAAGCTCGCATCGTATGGCATAGCCTTCTTGATGGACGTCGCTTCCCCCCCCCTGGCGGCGCTCTCACGACTCGGTAGTTTCCTACAAGGTGCTCGAAGGACGCGAAACGGCAGAACCACGAAGGAGGTCGTTGAAGGCTGCGTGAAGAGTCAAGAGGGCCGGACAATCTGCAGCGATGGCAGCTAGTTGTGATGCACTCAGCGTTTCGAGGAGCCGGCAATACATACTCGATCTGAGGGGTTAACGCAACCTGACGCTTGCGGCATCTTACCTATGGCTGTGTTCATCGCAAGCATGCCCACCGCGGTAGTTGTGCTTACAACTTGCGGGGAGCGGGTCTGCTCCGGCTGATGCGTCGGTAAGTTAACGGCAAGGCGTATGTAGGCGGCGAGCGTCGCCTGGAGCTCCGGACGTCGAAACTGTCCCCGCCATTGGACAACGACACGACCCATCCATCATCATCAACTCTCGACCGGAGCTCAACTGTACTTCACATGTCTGAGACTCTGAGTTGACCGAGTGCTGACGTACGCCAAGTCTAGCACGACGCGTCTCCCCAAACACGTCCCTGAGTTTAACACCGAACCTTGCGCCACCGCCACCGCCTCTCTCTCGAGAGCGAGACGAGGCGCCGCTGGAAGGGAGTGGATTGGTGCGGACAAGAACAGATAACGATCGCTAGTTACCGTGAATGGGAGTGGAACAGTAGATGCATCCTATCATACCATCAGCGATAGCGGGCTCGTCGGTGCTGAATCTGTGGGTAAACAGCGAATCTTCCAACAATGCGCATCATACCGCTGGTTTCTGCAGGTCATCCATCAGGCACGACTAGTTACCGGTAGCAGAACGTCGACACCCGACAGGAGGTCCCTTTGGCCAGCATCACCTATCCCTCAACCCTTCATCATCAAGTAACATGAGATTCTCGAGCACGACGTGCTCGTTGTGTCGATTGTTAATTCAAGGTGTGCTAGCTAGACGAGTTCTTAACGCAGAGTTCACCCACTCCCCCCACTGGCTCGGAGAAGAATGTTGAAAGACTTCGCTCGAGAAGTCAGAGGATATCGCCCATCATGCCCTTGGAGGAGTTTGTCCCCTAGAGACTACATAACCACGAGATGCTCTCACGGTCAATATCGATGATTCTATCCTTAGCGGTTCGCTCCCTTCTGAGTTGTGCATTGGCGTTTGGAAATCATCACATCAATGATCAGCCTGTGGTTAGCGATTCTGTGGCGCTCACCGAGTGTCATTGCCGAAGCCTGCAAGTAGGTGGCTGGAGGGGTAGTTGGGGGTTGGGACAGACGTACCATGCGGTGCTCTAGAAACAAAATCTCGGCCACGGCTACCCCCAAACCGATCCGTCACCCGTAATCACACATCCAGGCCTCAATAGCGGTCCAGAGTACCTAGAGTAACAAGACCTCCACATGCCAGACGTGAGGAAAAACAATTGAGGTCCATGAGCAAATGAGCATTCGGGGCCTGTGCATATATGATATTTGCGGAGTGCCCGGGTGCGATTCTGTGAACGGCTGCAGTCGATCCTCTGCCTACCCCCGCCTTGACATTGTCGCTCCCACCTCACTTCCGGCCAAGCTCGACCGTAGCCTTCCTTCCGTGTAACCTCTTAGCCAACCCTCGAGATCAACCGTCAACGCGAAGCCCCTCGGCTCGGCCCCTCTTTCCACGTTCGTCCATCCATACGTCCGTACGTTCGTACGTTCGTAGGATCGTAGATAAGCGCAAAACAAATATCTCCCTCGAGATCTTCAGACTTCACCTCGAGCTCCAGAGATGTATGTACCAGGTATGCATATCCACGACCGACTGACGGGGTTTCTTATGCGCGGACAGTAGCCTGTAGGTAGATGCCTACGCGGCGGCATCGTCGCAATAACGATCTCGGCGACCCCCGCCATAGGTAAGAGATATCGCCTCGGTACTCGGCGGGCAGATAGAGAATCTGGGGTGCATGTTTCTTGATTGATTTTAGATTAATTCTTGTTTCAACCGTTGGAGGTTGGTAAGTACACTGACGTATGTAAGACTGGAGATGTAGAGGTATGGGGAATTCACGGAATCTTAGTGGGAATGCAATGGCAATGGCAATGGAAAGTCTCTTTGGGCAAATCGTTGATGCAGACCTGCGGTTATCTCAGTTCATGGAATCCCCCGAAGAATTAGTCACTCAGAGGGATCGAATCTCTGCGAGAAGGCCTTCCATACTCCATAGGTGAGAGCTGTTTGCCATATCGTAACTCCCAGTTTCTGAAACGTGGACCACACAGCCAAGTACTCTAAGCTGCTCGTCAAGATCTTTCATATGCACAGTTGTCAACCCGAGGGCGGAATTCTTGGTTGCATATCACTGTTTCAGGTCAGTGCCGTAGGCATAGATAGATAGATGATAGATCACCAGAGCTATCGATCTCACTTGTAAGTTATGCAATGGCTTTGAACCACCGGCAAGGCATCAATGGGTGCGCACTGCGGGTATATAACCCCTCCGACTCTGCCCTAAGTGCATCACCACCACCATCACAAACATCGATATCAATACCCGCCAACAAACCATCAGACTCCAGAGCAATCTTCTTGAACACAAACCCACCATGCAGAACATCCTCCTCTTTGCCGCCGCCGCTTTTCTGACCAGTACTATCTCCGTCTCCGCGCAGGAGGCCCAGAGTCCGCCAAACATTCCCGAATGGTGTGTATCTCTCCGACATAACCATCCGATCCGCCCCTCCCCCTGGTATCCATCATTACCCCACTGACCCGCAACAGCGCCTTCTCGTGCATCCTCAACGGCGTCAACGACTCCGCCTGCAGCCTTGGTATGTCCCCACCTCCTCCCCTCCCTTTTTCCCTCACATAGTCTACAGACAGACTCCTGAATGAATGAATGAATGATCCCCTAGAAGTGAAATGCCTCTGCGAGAGCACCAGCTTCGTCGAGTCCGTGACCAAGTGCGTGCCCGACAGCTGCACGCCCGACGACATCCCGCCGGTTGTGGCGTTCGCGAATCAGCAGTGTGAGGGGAGTGCGGAGTTTCCGATCATGCTGGAGAGTAAGAGGCGAAGGAAGAGGTGTTTTTGAGCCGATGTAGCTAGTGGATCATGTCGTAGTATTCGCTTTGTTGCAGGGCGGGCGGGGAGAGCTAGGACATGATAGACAATCCTTTAAGCTGCTTTGTAGTATGCTGATTCGCGAATATCGCGTGCCGTGCATATTATTGCCAGTTGAGCAGTACTAATGCACCGTTTGCTCACGAGTGATACCTTATACTGGGCCCTCTCCACCAGTGACCACCTCAGAGCACCCCGTACTACCCGGTAACCCACGATTCACCACAAAAACGTCCCCCTTCACCAAAAAAAGAACCAACCCGAACCACGTATTGAGCCGCAGAAAAAGAGCGTCCTCCCCAAGGTTGCTAGCCTTGTACAGCCGATGGACCTCCTCACCACCTGGGAAATTCACTACCACTGAGCCATGATCATTGCCTGGTGTTTTCGCCCCGAGCTAAATCTTGAACCCGCGAACCCACCAAAATCATAACAAACGAGAGACCCTACCAACAGAAACAGAGATATAAAGAAAGCGCTTACCTACTACTTAAAAACTTGCGTCCCACCCTTCCCGCTTCTCCAATTGTTGAATGTTCCTCCAAGAATTCTAGATCCTCGTCCCTCCCTCCCTCCCACCACTCGTCTGTGTCTGCTCGCTGCGTGCTCAACCCTTCTCCTCAATTTCCGCTATGGGAGAATACTTGGTTACATACGCTTGCCCAAGCCAAAGCCAAACCCAAACCCAAACACAGCCCATCACAGCTCTCACTCGACCGTCACACATGACTCGGCCTGGGCAGTGTTTTTCTGTCGAGTGAGGGAGGTCCACCGGCTCACCGGCGATGTCCTGAATGGCCGATGGCGCGGGCGGTTAAGGTCTTGGTCTTGTCGCTGGCGCTGTCTGGACAGCCTCGGCGCGTGGGTACTGTACAGATGTGCCTGCTGATGCTATTGCCGCGGCTGACGTACTACGTCCGTCATAGGCGTTCCACCAGCACTTTCGTCCATAGCAAAGAATGGTCTGGCTTCTTCACATATGGTTTTTGTTTTTCCTGTTGTCTGTTTTTCGTCATCGATGCGTTTGCTGTTGGCTTGTCGAAATAAACATGATACGGTAGGTATGGCAATTCGGTGATTTCTGGAATCGGCCTGAACTTTCTTCGCCTGCAACTTGCAAGGAGTACCGCTTCTTTCTTCTTCCAGACCAATGAGCCAATGAAATCTTGCTCGTAGATACTTGAAATAGACACTCGGTGTTCGTCTGGTATTCTTCTAGTGTTTCGCTGTTTCTAGATTCAATCAGTAGCAGCCATGACCGTCGTGTCAGCCCACGACAGTACAGTAAAGTACCACCATCGTATCGCCTCGACGGCTGGTGAGTCCGACGATGCTGTTCGTCTGTGCTACCTATCATACTCGGTCGCCAAAATTTGCGCCGAGTGACATAACATGGAGTCGTGATCGACCGCATGGCGTACGCCACCAGTACCAAACCGCCGGCGAGAAATGCCGCCGACGCGTTGCACTGCCACCCACTGGCAACGTCATACATATGCATACCTACCTCCCAGTATGTATCAAGCTTTCTCGAACACTCGAACACAGCTTCCCGCCTCCACGAGCGATCCGCAGGCCTGGCCTGGCAGCACAGACGAGTGATGTAGAGTGAAGTAGCGTGCGATTATAGGCTGCAGCCCCACTATTCGGCGATCTTGCTGCATTTTCCCCTGTGTGGCTCCGTCTAGTTAGTTAGACATTGCGTGAACACGATTGGCATCAAACCCGTTACTCGATCGACCGTCAACGACCGGAGGTTGAGGCAGAAAAGGTGTTCCGCAGATGAGAGGCACAGGTACCGAACGAGAGAAGATCAACCAAAGTCAGGGATCTGGACTATTTCCGCATGGATGAATCGAGTCCGGTTATCGTGCACAGGACCGCCCTGCTCCCGATCGTCCCGATCGTCCTGGGCCGGTCGGCTCTCAGGGCTGTTTGGTTGCAGCTTTTCCTCGCACCACCGAGCACGCACGAGCATGAGCAGCGATCCAAGCCAATGTCGAGAAGCAAATGTAGAGTTCCTAAGTAACTTAGGCAGGTATTCCATGAAGCATCGCATCAAGCAAAACATCAAGATTCAAGCCAACCTTGAAGCCAAACAGATAAGTATACAGCAGCGGATACGAGCGATCAACACACCCAAAAGCGCAGACACATACAGAAAAAAAACAAAATAGACTCCCAACGACAAGCAACCAAACAACCAAACAACCAAACAAGACTCTTGATCCCTACTTATGCAACTCTCGCCTGTCCAACATCAATCCCTTCAAGCTCTATCATCGGACGGCTGACGTCGATATCCTGACTGCACGTCGTCAGTACATGACTATTGAGGTATGCGTGGCGGGACGAGGATTTACATCATCCATTCCTTCATACTGCTTGCGGGCTCGGGGTGCCGGCACCCGCCCCGTCCGCAGCGACCATTGCGAGGCTCGAGGTCCTTGATGTCGGTGTACTTCATACAAGCGCTAAAGTCGTCGTCGTGGTAGCCGCAACGCTCGGTCTGCTCGCTCACGGTACAGCCGCATTGCGTGTAGTGGGTATTGGAGTAGTTGCACATTGTGATATTGTATTCGTGGATTATGTTTCGAGCTGTGTTCTGAGCTGGGTTGCGTGCGGTGGTCTGAGTGTGGACAGTGGAGGAGGATGCGAATGAGGACGGAGAGTGATGGTGAGAAGGAGGCAACAGGAGAGAACGGACGATACTTTAATATCAGCGGTGGAGTAACACACGGACCGGAGTGCTGTAGACAGCCCTAGAGGCGGGTGGAGTAAAGCGTCAAGTAGCTCGGGCCCTCTCTGGGCTGCTCGCAGGCCAAACAAGCACATAGCATACTCTAGACATGAACGCAGACGTAGACGCAGACACACAGCAAGACAACCAGCCAGCCGATCACCCAAATGTCCCCTCCCACCCTCCCACTCTCCTGCCCTGCTGTCTATCACTACACTACACATCCACACACACACATACTCGGCACCCTGCGCCCGCGTCCGGCCAACCCATGGCCACCGCGGATCCCTCCCGTCGCGTGGATCCCCGCCCTCCACCATCGTGGACCGATGATCATTGATCGTTCAGCGAGCTGTGGGGGGAAAACCAGCGATGACCAGGAACCGCCGCTGTCTCGATCGCGGCAACAGTGGGGCATCTGGCGTTTCTGGGGCCCTGCAGAAGGAGGGCATGGCATCGGCGTTTGAAAGCTGGTTTTCACCCCACGTCAGGCTTTTGCCTGATTATTCTGGCATTGGGATTGGGGTTCTCGCGGCGGCGGTGGTGGGCACTGCGCAGCAGGATTGTGGCAGGCGGATCGCATTCTTGAACGAGAGCGTCGAAGGCGAAACGATGGCGTGTTTTTTTCGGGAACTTCACGTTCGGCTCGGGGCCAGGCAGCGGGAGCAGTTCGAGTTTGTTGGCGTCGATGGGATGGAGAATCCAGAGATCCCCACTCCGCCGATCCGGACCAAGTGCACTTGACTCCGCTCGTTCGCACGTATGTGTGGATCAACACTGCACGACATGTAGAGTACTCTACACTACACCGGTAGGTAGGTGCTCGCGAAGCGGTGAGGGATCAATCACTTCGGTCATCTGATCGACATTCACTCCGGATCCGCGCTCACCCTGCACCAGCGACCGAACCCCACATCCCAATATCCCCGGATTCATCGCCAGCTACCAGTACGGTCTTCAACCCAGCTTAATGCCCAGCATCATCGGCGGTATATTAAAAACTAACAGTACATGGACAGATACACGACGCGCCGTGTCGGATTTATCGGCAATCAGATCCCATTGCGTTTGTCTCTCCGCCTCCCGGGTTCCACCGCTTCCCCGCCATATCGCGCGACACCGATGGACGATCCTGCAGAGTAGATTTCCTTCAACCGAATGTTAGCAATTGCAACCAGCCATGCTTTCGTTCGATGGAGGGGATAATGGGGGGTGCAATCGAAAGAATCAGAAGGTCTCCAAGAAAGGTATCCACATTGTGTATTCAGAACAGGTCTGTGATATGCATTCTTTCTCTCATCATATAGATTGCAGGGTTGGGCAATAGGGCCGGGCGAGAGGGATGAGGGGTAACTAACCATTATTGATGTGAAGCGCGCGATAAATCTGTGTTTGCTGTCCTCCAGGTTAGAATGGCGTCGGCCGCTACCTCATGACATTTCAGACATCATCAACATCGTCTCTGCGGGTGCGGCGCGATGTGGTCGTGATATGATGGGTGGTCGTGAAGAAAAGTGAAGAAGGAACTTCGTGGCTCTGTTGTAGTCGAGAAAACTCAATGCGGTCGGCCAAACTACTCTAGCGCCTTCCCCCGGTTCGTTTCCTAGGGTACAGGGCTTCCTTCAACACGAGCTCTAGGTAGAGTAGCTATCACAGAAGCGAGCCGAGGTATCTCATCTGCTGTGCACTTCACCTCTCCGTTACCAAGGCTATCGATCAAACCCGTACCGTAAAGATGATAAAGCACGACTTCATGAGCGCGGATTCCCACATCCACCTCCCCCCATAACAGCCTTCTCGTATACACGAAATGTCGCAAATCAACGATTATCCAAATCTCTTCTCACTCGCCGGCAAGACCGCCGTAGTCACTGGTGGCTCTCGAGGTCTCGGCTTGCACGCTGCGACCGGGTATGTACATCCCCTCCCCGGAGTTCTGAAAGTACCGCTGACCGCCTTGCAGCCTCCTCCATGCCGGTGTAATCACGCTGATCATCACGTCCCGCAAAGCTGACGCGTGTGCCTCCGCCGTGTCCTCGCTGCAGGCCCTCTTCCCCAGCGCCAATGTCTCGGCAATCCCCGCGGACCTCTCCAACCCCGCCGAAGTAACGCGCTTCGTCACCGCGGTGACAGCCCAAGTGCCATGCGTCCACATCCTGATGGCCAACGCCGGCGCGACCTGGGGCGCCCCCCTCGACTCGCACCCGGACACCGCCTTCGCAAAGGTGATGGACCTCAACGTGCGCAGCGTCTTCAACCTGATCAGGGAGATGCTCCCGCTGCTGGAGAAGGCTGCTGTGTCGGGGGACCCCGCGCGGGTCATCACCGTCGGATCGGTGGCGGGCCTGCATATTGGTAACGTCGGCGACCACGGAACCTATGGCTACGCGGCGAGCAAGGCCGCTGTCCACCATATGACGAAGCACCTCGCTGTCGCGATGGGGCCGAGGGGAATTCTGGTTAATGCTATCGCCCCCGGGTGGTTTGCCACCAAGATGGCGAGTGGGCTGTTGGGGCTGAGTGGTGGTGAGGAACTGCAGGCAAAGGTCAGTCCCAATCGCAGGTTGGGTCGTCCAGAGGATATTGTTGGTGTGGTGGTCTGGTTGAGCTCGAAGGCGGCAGGCCATATCAATGGTGCTGTCATTCCGGTTGACGGGGGGATGCACTTGGTTCCGGCGAGTAAGATGTAGACGGTGGCGATGGAGATGATACCCAGGATAAAATGCAATACATACTTGACCTCAACAGCCGGCGGGTAGCGGATATCGAGTGACAGTCTCAATGCGGCGTTCGACGCACCCCCCAAACAGGCCTTGCACGTTACATAGAACTCTCAGACGTCTCACATATGCAGGTTACCAGACGCCACCTATGGTCGTACAATTTCAAGTCCATTTCCAAATCCGATTCCAACCTTTTCCTCCCGTTTAGATAGATTACACAATAAGAATGCTCAAACACAGATACATGACATGACTCGAACAGAAGGAAATAATGGTCGCTAAAGTGGCAGGTTACATGGGGTGCGCAGCTGCGACCGGGGGAGCAGTTGCGACAGGAGCCTCATGAGCAGCTGCGGGAGCTTCTTCGGCGGCGGGCGGGGCCTCGGCGGCTGGGGGCTCGTGAGCAGCTGGGGGAGCTTCGGCAGCTACCTCTTCGGCGGCATTATCTGCAGCGGCATTATCGGCGGCAGCCTTATCGGCAGCGGCCTGCTCAGCAGCGGCAGCTTCTTTGGCAGCCTTGTCAGCAGCGGCAGTATGGTCATTAGCAGCCTCCTTGGCGGCCTTCTCCTGCGCCTTCGCAGCCTTCTTTGCGGCCTTTGCCGCCTCCTTCGCAGCCTTCTTAGCCGCAGCTGGATCCTCTGCCGCTGGGGGATCGGCGGCCGCGGCTTCCTCAGCGGCGAGTTCTGCCTGTGCAGCCTCCTTTGCCGCCTTCGCATCCTCCTCGGCCAGCTTTGCAGCAGCCGCCGCCTCTTCGTCGCCAGCTGCGAGCGCCTCCTCCAACAGCTTCGCCGCCGCCGCTTCCTTAGCAGCCTCGTCCTCAATTGTCTGCGCAAGCTCTCCGGCGGCTGGTGCTGCCGCGGCATCCTCGGCGAGCTTCTTCTCCCCAGCGGCGAGTTCCGCCTGTGCCGCCTCCTTCGCCGCCTTCGCCTCCTCTTCCGCCACCTTCGCCGCGGCCGCCGCCTCTTTATCCCCAGCAGCAAGCGCCTCCTCCGCCTGCATCGCGGCAGTCTTCTCCTTCGCCACCTCGTCCGCAACTTTCTGTTCCAGCTCCGCCAGCGCCGGGTCCTGCGCACTCGCAGCCGCCTTCTCCTCTTCGAGCTTCAGCGCCTCCTCCGCCGCAAGCTTTGCCGCCTTCGCCGCGTCCTCAGCCTCCTTGGCGGCCGCCGCCTCTTTCGCATCTCCAGCGGCCACCGCATCCGCTAACTCCGCAGCCGCTGCCTCTTCCGCTGCTGCTGCATCGGCTACTTTCTTCTCTGCCTCCAGCACGGCCTCCGCTGTCGCTGTGGCCTCGGTCGCGGTACCGCTACCGGTACCCACAAGCGTCTCGGTGATGTACTCAATTTGGCCGTTCGTCACTACTGGGGATTAGCCCAGTGTTAAGAAAGTGAGGAAGGGAGAGGGGAAATTACCATATTTCGTAGCCGTTGCCCCAGCGCCCTCTTCTCCCATCGTCTGTGTCTTGGTCACCATCTGCTCCGGCCCCCGCCCCCGCTGCTGCGCCTGGCCGTCGACGATTATTATCACCGTGCGTTGGACGGTCACTAGAACAATGTTCTGCGCCTTTGTTAGTGACTTGGGTACTTGTGGAAAGATGAAGATGAACTCACGACTGCGTTGTTGTTATTGTTGTTATTGTTGTTATTGTTGTTATCATCGTTGTCATCGTTGTCATCGTTGTCATCGTTGTCATCGTTGTCATCGTTATTATTGTTGTTGTTCCGACCGTTCCCCCGGACCTGACCTTGGCCACGGTCGTCGCCTTGACCACGTCCCTGGCCGCGTCCCTGTCGGCGCTGGAGAGCCTGCACGCCGAAAGGCGAGCCAAACGGCAACGGGGCTACATATATCAATCAGCCACCCATCTCTCCCTACAGGGGGAATGAAAGATGGAGTGGGGAGGGACATACCGGCTTGCACAGCAAGCGCACACGCAAGGGAGAGGACGGCGGTTGCGGAGATGAAACGCATTGTGATATATAGAATTGAAGTATTACCAGATACTTGGAGGCTTAGGGGGTATTAGACAATAGATGTGAAAGCAAAAAACCGCGCCGGGCGTGAAGGGGGGTGAAGAAGAGAGAAGAGGGAAGGGAATGGAAGAGAAGGGAAAGTAAGTGGATGTGGAGCTTGGTGATGGAAATTGGGAGGGTGTAAATGGGAATGGGAACCGGATGGGCTTTATACCTACTATGTGCATACATGGACGGCCGGCCGGCGTGAGATCCAGCTGTGCCAAATGGTAAACCTCGCAAAGCCAGAGATCCCTAACAGCTGAATTCCAACATACCAACATAGGTAACATCACATCACCATCTCAGACAGAAATCCCAAGTAGTAGCGGTAGGCAGGGCAGGAACATCCCCAGACTCCGACTCCGACATAGCCATCCCTGTAGACTTTTCCCTCGACTTGCCTGGTAGGTGACAAGTTACAACCCAAATTCTCCCTGCACGATCCAATCCCTGAAGGCTAAAGCGACAATTACAAAACCGAAGCGAGAGAGCGAGAGAGCGAGAGAGAGAGAGAGAGAGAGAGGTGGACGTATGTATGCAGGCGTAGATCTCGTTCGAGAACGTCTGTTCCGCGGTTGGGGGTTCCAGCTCCTACTACTCCTCCTTCTCCAAACGCCAAGTCATACGCTGTTTGGTGTCGGTTTTGACCCTTGTAGAAAGAAAAGAATTGTCATATCATGACATCGCGTGCAGTTAAGGTTATTTTCAGGCAGGCACGCCTTGCATTGTCTCTCTTGTAAATTGTACTCCATATCACATCGGCATGGGCGAATAGGGATCGTAAGACGGGGTGGTTGAGTGGTTCCTGGTACCCGGAGGCTGGAAGCTGAAGGCTGGAGACTAGATCTGCATGTTGTGTTTGAATCCTGCAGGACGGCGGGAGTGAAACGTCTGAGGCGTCTGTATGGGAGCGTGTCAGTTACTTAGTCATGACTCATGAATCACGATCAGTGGGTGAGAGACTGTTTGGCTTGCTTGTAGGAATGGCGGCAGGCGGCAGTTGTGATGTTGGTTACCGTACTTGACGCTCGTGTCACTCACTCACTTGAACTCACTGGTGAGCTGTTTACGCTGCCGCTGTTTCTCATACAATACAAGAGACAAGATTTGTAATTCGTACAGCTGGAACCATAAGGTTATGGCCGGAAAAGAGACAAGAGACAAGAGACAAGAGACAAGAGATGAAAAAGAAAGAGAAGAAAAGAAAAGAAAGGACGACCCCAAGAATGAAAAAGACGCAATCGTTATCCACACTCGTAACAATCATTCGTACAGGAAAAACCCACTGCCAAGTTGAGCACATACAATGAAACATCAGACAGAACATTCGGTAGGAGGTATCAACGCCAGGTGCATACCAATAAGCCACGATGGACCGTCCGGATCCCGTCCAGCATCCCTATGGCAAGGTTTGGTAAGCACACTATCTTTCCTCCTACCACTTCGCTTTTTTTTTGGTCCTTTTCACCATCTTGGGCCCCTTGTCGAGCGACGCCAGAATCTCTGCTAATCCGATTCCCTATTCTCGGACAGACATAGGAATACCAGCGAAGTCTTCATCTTCAGTGAGAGCACTATCTTTCAAGAAGTGGTATTTCTCCTTCAACATTTTCACACCCTCGGCCAATAGCACCTGCTTCCATTGTTTGACCACCTTCAACGCGGGCTCGTCCAGCAGGAAGTGGCCCTGTGGGTGATAGCGGGTCTCGGGAAAGACGGAAGTGTAGATTCGTCTAATCGGACTGGGACGCAGCCACATGGTACCGGTAGGTGCCTCTTCTTCTAGCTGTCTCTTCTTCGACTTCGTGCCACCTTGCTTGGTTATGGGGGGCAGCAGCGGTGGTGGCTGCATTGGTGCAGTTTCTCCGGGATCCTTCTCGAGAAGATCTTCAAAGCAACCGACGCAGAAGACCTCTCCTCCATCGTATTTGGCAACATTGACTGGGAGAAGTAGCTGCTCGTAGTTCGGAAGAGAGATAGGCAGGTTCGAGTTTCTTGGATCAAAATTCTCGTCCAGGAACGCCTCGCCTGTCGTGCTTGGAATGTGAGTGTTGTCGAACGGCTGTGTCCACGCATGGGGTTCGAATGAGACTCGATACATGCCCGGTAGAATTGGCTTTCCGCAACCCGGATGTCCGCAAGCTGCGCTGGTTATCCCCGCCTCTCCCGTAGGAATATTGATCTTCTTTCCTTTTTTTCCCCGCTTGGAAATTGGCAGAGTGGGGCTAGGGTCGTGAAAGAGCTGGATATACGCACGGAACTTGTGTCTCAACCCGTCCTTGATCCATTCCCTCATCTCCAAGGTCAATTTTTCTGTGGAGCCTTCCGGGAGTCCGACCTGGAGTTTGAGGGTGGTGAGCTGCGCTTGCAACTCCTTCCGAGCCCAGTCCGTGAAGATTGCTTTAACCTTCCTGCATATCGCGCGACTGTGTTCATGCTTCTTCGTTCTAGGGCTTTTTACGGCCTCTTCCTCGTCGAAGGACTCCTTGGAGAGCGTTTGAGATGGTGCTTGCAAAGGACGTTCGAACTCCCGGTCGACTTGATCCATGTACTGATTCTCGAGGAAGCGGGGGTCGACCTTCCTGTTTGTTCCTGCCAAACTACCAAAGTCTGGTACATCGTTATGCTGTAGATAGTCAGTTATCCTCCCTTCGTAGAAGTAGAGAGTGTTGCTCACCTCTCTCTGGCCTCTGACATTTTCTGCCGGCTCAGAGCTGTTCCGGTCGTCTGCTGGTGTCATTACCCCATTTCTAACAGTACCTTCGGTTGTGGAGCAATCGGGTACAGCTGCTGGAGAGGTTTCCGAGTGCGAGGGTATGAAGGGTTCCATCTCCCGGACTACCGGGGGGCTGTTGATGGTGGGGGCTGGGGGAGTGGGGAGCATCGTGATTGCAGACTCTAATGTCAGCGGTCTGTAGGGAGCTGGGGAGAGAATTTAGTCGGTTTGATATACTTAGAGTGTCGGTGAACCCAAGGGCTTTGAGTGCTAGTGTGTTCCGAGAGGGGCATCGCAGCATGACGATGTTTGGAGCTTGCTACATCAGTCCGCACTCGGCTAAACAAACATGCTATCAATGAGCCACAAGTTGCCTCAGTACCTACTCGATTAAACATGAACAAAAAGTTCCCTTAGCATTCAACTTGTAGACTATGAGTAAGAGCAAGTAATTCTGATGTAAGTACACATGAGAGCCTCTTCTACGAGAGTTTCCTAAGAAAGCCTCCCTCTCATTCGGATATCTTTATCACGTGCGTCTCAGCCCACATAGCCACTCGTAGGCTCGACTTCTACTTAGCACCAACTCGGCTGTCTTGGCGCTCTGCTTGGCAAACAGCTGGCTGCTAGTACGCGACAACTTGCTTTGTGCTTCCTTGCCGAGTTCGCGTGTCCTTCCCTCCCCACAACTTTTTGTTCATCAACAACAATCTCCACCTCCTCGACATCCGCCACCACCAACATAATAGGAGCAACAACCACAACGACTGTCTCTAGAACATCGCGCTTACACTCCTTCGTATCCGCTACGCGACCTCAATAACTCTCCCCACTCTCATTCAACTAATCGACCTCTGTCGGAGCGCAAGACAGCCATCCCGTTGTCCCTGACAACCAACGACTGAACAAAAACATCCTTGGCGAACCCGATACATCATCACCAGCAACACCGCCACCCACCATGCCTCCCATCCGCTCAACCCCGGTACGGGAACGACTTGCTGAGCCCCGTACACCTGTAGTACACGTGCCCGAGGAGGACGATGGCTTCAACCCCGCTTGGGCAATGAACCCGGAGAATCCCTTCCGCAGTTACCAACCTATTGCACCCATAGAACAGGAGCCGGAAGTGAGCCGATTACCTGCGCCGCAGGTGTCTGTAACCCGTGTTCAACCTCAAGTGTGAGTGCTACGACCTGTTATCTGGCTGCATGAACACAGCTAACGGAGAGCGACACAGTGCTACCTACGATCATGATGCTCTCGACAGTCTTACGTGGGGAGTCTTGATTCCTCTGGCGGTCGTCTACAACACGGTCAAAGGTGTCTGCGATTTAGCAACCGGAGCGGTGTATGCCACATGTCGGGGTGCGAAGGCCGTTGCGCGCGTCGGCGGTGGTGTCAGTCGCAAGGTCTTTCCCAACCGCTACGATCCAATTGGCAGGTCGAGGCGAGTCAGTAGAACCCCACAGAAGCAGATACCGGCCGACAGCATGCTGGCTTTGCCGCCGCATATGGTAGGCGCGACGCCGTGAGTACATCCGTCAATTCTTTGTCACCTCGGGTCACTGACGGTGATTCGCAGTAACGTAGTGCGACGAGCCAGAGGAGAGCGTCTGAGAGGAGACCCGAACAACCGCACTCCGACTGTCGACGAAGCGAAGAAGTGGAACCTATTCCATGAAACGCCCCTTCGGAAGAAGCCCGTTGTTGCCGAGACACCTCTACCCAATGGCCCTGGTAGTACCCCGTGGAAAACACCAAAGTTTGAGTTCAATATGAGCCAAAAGAAGAGCAAGACCGGCAAATCTAAAGAATTTGCAATGAATGTTCACAAGGGTGAATTCAAAGAGTGGCTCAAGATGCTCAAGAGACACGGATTAGGCACATCGACTTTGCGCCGAGAGCTCACCGAAAACCTCACATTTCCTACGAACCTGATTCTGGAGCTCTACGATAACAAGAGCGAGGACCTTAACCGCCTCGTCAAGTGCCTTGTCCACGAAGGATTCACCGCTTTCTACAGGCTCAACGTTCCGGTCATCAAGCCAACTGCTCCAATTAAGTTTCGGAAGGGCGAGGTACGAAACATCGACCTTGACGCTGTGCATCAGCAAGAGGATGGCTGCTGCAAGTTCTGTCGTGGCTTCGCTTGGGCTGGTCAGGTGGAGGAACGTGAAATGGATAAGGATGGCGAGGTGCCATGCCGCAGTCAACACAAGACTGTCGTGCCCTACACCGAGGAGGAAAAGGCCGTTTTTGCTCAGAACAAGTACGACATGCTCTTCAGACGTTGGTGCCAGGAATCACGCTACGATTGGATATTCGAGGCCCCAAGGTTGAAGAATTGGGAAATTCCCCAGGACGATCCCAGATTGCGCCACATCTCGATGCTCAGGCAGCAGCACAAAGCTACTTACGGAGCGCCCAAGATGTATGATGCCGACCTTTTGGCGGGCCGCAACAACCTCCGCGAGGACATTACGAGGCAAGATGTGGCGGCAAAGATCATGATCGATGCCATCAGGAAGGAGAACCCCGCGTTGGCCGATGCATACGCCAAGTTGGACCTTGAGCGGAAACGCAGACAGGTCCGCGCCGACTGGCTCTGCATCAGGCAAGTCAAGGCTGTTCGCAAGGAACCGCCGAAAAAGGAGAAGGCTCCCGTCAAACCCGTCGTTGCCGATCCACCACCTGCACCGGTAACCGCCCTCGTCAAAGTACAAAAGGCGGTAACCAAGAGGAATGCGCAAAGCGAAGAATACGACCAAAAACCTAGCAAGAGAGTCAAGATCACGGAGGAGACACGCGAGCGCAACGGCAAGAGAATTAAGTTCGACGAAGAGCACTACCAGGAGAAGTCTGCCAGAAAACCCGAGAAGCCCGCCAGAAAATCCGTCAAATTCGCTCCCGAACCCCAGGGGCCGCATGTCAGCAACGGCAACACGGCCATCAAGGGAATTCTCAAGGAGTCCGGGACTTTCGAGAAAGCATCCCAGGCACTGGTAGCATTCAAGAAGCTTCCACCAAAGAAAAAGGCTCCTACCAAGTCGATCTCCTTCAACACTCAACCTCAACCTATCCCTCCGACGGGAACCGAGCCAGTCGCCTCGGGACTGCCCGAGAAGGTTCCGCTTTCTCAGATCTCGTACTCACCAACTACCCGCCTCCTCTCCCGGCCCATTCCAAAGATCAACTTCGCGGCGGTTCCCTCTCTTCGGCCTGAGGGTTCTGGTTCAGAACCAACCTTCTTCTTCGGAGCCTCCTCCAAGACTGTGTCCTTCAGTGCTCGCCTCCCACCTTCTTTCGACCCAGTCCTCATTCGACAGCAATACAAGTTGGGCTGCGCCAACGCCGGAAGCTACTGGGATGACCTTGACCCTCACGGGTGGCAACCAGACCCAGCCCTGACCGTAGAAGAGAACAACGCGCTCCGTATCAACTACAACATCCAGAAAGCCGCGGACGCCGCGAAACGCGAGCAAGAGCTGAGGGAGTTGGAGCGAGAGGAGGAAGCAGCCAGAAATCTCTCGAAAGAATCCGGTAAGTCCAGATGAGGAGCAGGAGCAGAAGACGGTGATCGCTAACGGTGTCTAGAAACTCACGCCAGAGGATTGAACGAGATGAACAACAATGCAGCAAGACGGACAAATGAACAAGGCTTCAAGGCTTTCAGTGGATAGTAGGGAGGCGACGTTACACAGCGGAGGCGCTTTTTTGCCTTGATCTGGAATACGGAGGGATATTCTCTCACCTTGACCTGGCAGGCTGGCTTCCGTTGATTCATTCATTCCTACGATTGATTTTAATTTGGCGAGGCGTTATTTCATCTTACGAGGGGCGTACTTTTGATACTACTACGGGAAAGGCGTTAATACATTTTGATTGTACTGTACTGTATGCGTGTGTTACTGTTTGAGTAAATTGTGTTTGAATGAATGGCGAGTGCTGTAGTGTGATTTTGTCCTTGTGACCACTAAATTGCTAGGTGAGGTTGTATGATATATGGCCTCCATTGATCGAGCGGGCTATCCATCATCGAATCGGAGCTTCTCAATACATTCTGGTAGAAATAATGCCAGCGTAAGAAGCCAGCGAAGCTCCCATCAATCAACCCGAGTGCTCCGCAATGACCCATCCCCTCCATATCCCTCCCTCCCTCCCAAACCGAGCACCGATGAGAGGAGAGGGGAAGAGCCCCATTCTTCCACGCGGCACTTACGAGAATAACACGTGCACGCCCACGGAAGCAGAACGATCCGCGAATGGAGCGATTTATTGTGTTTGTCGCTGCCAAGTATATGTCGGGAGGAATATAGGTGAGTGGCGTGATCCGAGCCGATTGTTTCATGTTTTCCGAGCCTCCGGGGTCGGGGGTGGAGTCGGCATGTCGGTATGTACCTAATGTATGTAGAGTAATCTAGGTATGTCCCGAGGGAGAGAGGGAGCGGGCGTCAAATCCGTTGCAGCTTTTCTAGGGATGGAGGGATTAGGTATTTTGGCGTGGACATGTTTACCTCTCATATGTACACCCCTAGTTCTATCCGCAGCTACGGATGCAGCTATGTTAACCTGCCGTTCCGCAGAGCAGAGTGTGTGCCGGTGCCGTGGGGAAGTCTTCACGAAGGTAGGAAGGTTCGTCACCCCACTTCAGTACTTTAACCATCTCGTCTCATCCCGTCTCGTCTCATCCACTCCCATCCCGTCCTTACGGTATCACTCGCCACTCGCATCCGGGCGAGGGAGGGGGGGTGGGGCTATGTAAGGTCCCCCACTTTTCCCACCTCCCATCTCGATAGTACCCGTCGCGATCCCCCTAGCCAAAGCACATCAAAGCACATCGGCCAGAATCGGGACTATCTCCCGCAATATTGCCCGGCAGCGAGATCTAGACCGCGCCGCCGCCGGTGGTGGTGGTGGCTAGTGGGTGGACGGGTGTCACATGCCCTCCGAGGTCTGGACCTCGAGCCCCGAGGTTCCAGGCTCGGGGCGCAGGTGTGTCGTACTGTTTTGGTTGAATCGGGAGGAGGAGCGGGAGGAGCAGGAGCAGGAGGATAGGTACATCAAGGGGTTCACGAAACATGACTCGCCGCAGTCCTGCGGCTGGAGCCTATGTAGAGCTTAGAGCCTGGAGGTTGGGTCTCAGGTTGGGGCTGAAGGCTGAACTTTGAAGCCACAGGGCAAGTCCTCATGTACTCAGTACATACCAACATACAAACCGGTTAGGACATTGCCGCTTCGGGAGCACCCATAAGATTTCGGAGCATGGTGGTGCGCACTGTGGTCGGCCCACCTACAGGCTACGTAGGTTTACGAACTGAGGGTGGGGCTGAGGAGCATGGGCAGTGGGCAGTGGGAGCATGGGCAGTGGGAGCATGGACAAATCCAATATCGATGACAATTCCCACTTCTGCCGCCGATCAATCTCGATATCGATGCCCTGCACCGACCAGTCACCACCACTCTCGCTGCATCACACTCGCTCGCTGCATTAAGATACACCTTTACATACTCAAGTACGGTGCTTACTTACCGACTTACCGGCTTACATAATCTCACTCGAGTCTCGCACACACTCATACTCATACTCATACATACGGTCATGCCTTCATTTTCCTCCCACCAGAGCCACCAGAGCCACCAGCGACACCAGAGATTCGAATTTCCCCCCGCTCCGCCCCCAAACGGCCTGCAGGCTGCTCGAGATCACCGCACGGGTGGTATGTACTCTACATATTGAAGTGCTGCCCCCCACCAGCCCACCAGCCCACCAACCCAGCCCAACCCCCCCAAAGCCACGCGCAGGGCCTAGAACGCCATTGTGGGGTAGGGAAGTAACTACGTTACGTCGCGCCGGCGCAATCGGTTTATAACCAGTCGTTGACTCGTCGACTCGTTGGGAGGCAGGAGTATGCACTCAGTAACCAGTTGGTGGTGATTGCAGGTATTTGCGGCTCGTGAGGTAAGAGCGGAGAGGAGAGGAGAGGAGAAGAGGGGAGGAGTGGACTGTATGTAGGCATGTAGATCCTGATCCATCATCATCATCCATCATCACGATTCACCATGCGGAGTGATGACATGATGGACTTTCCGGATTCCCCAGGTAAGAGTGACGGAGAGCACCAGCTGTTGGTTAACCTGCGCAGCGGTTTGGTTTGGTTTGGTTGGGACCGTGGGTTGCTTTTTATCCTCGATTAGCTAGCCAGCCATGGTTAACTAGCGGCCCGGGCACGTGAGGTGCATGACATCGATCGTTCTTCAACAGTTTAACTTGTCGACCGATGCATGTGGGGATCCGGTGGGGATCTGGAGGATGTGGCAGGCAGGACACGATGGGACGCGTTTCCTACGGCCGCCATCGGAGGGAATCGCAGGCGGAGGGTGCCATATATCCTGCGTCTAGAATGGTATGCCCGAAAGATCGATGACAGTGTGACCAGATGTTTGGAGGGGGAGTTTTTGCGCAGGTAGAGACTGCTGCAGTCTGCAGCCTGCGGCGCTGGTGATCGGGAGTGGCGGGATTTGAATGTTCACGAGCGAAGGGGGGAGGGAGGAGGAGGAGGAGGAGGAGGAGGAAGAGGAGGAGGAGGAGGAGGAAGAGGAGGAGGAGGAGGAGGAGGCTGAAGAGGAAGAAGAGGAGGAGGAGAAGGAGGAGGGGGTACCGACCTGTGGCACCACTAACCACCACCAAGTTCTAACCACTACCGTATGTGTCTCGACTCTCGCCGACGTCTCGTCCCCGCCTATTCCCGCTCGTTCCCGCTCGCACTCCCAAGTTCCGATTCAGTTCCGATCCGTATGGAGGGCTCAGGGTGTACCGTGTTTCAACAATCCACTCAGAAGAGCGAGTGACCCCCAACAATCGGCGGGAGGTGGTGGTGGTAGTGGTAGTGGTGATGGTGGAACATGCATCGCATCACAAGTGTGTGTCGAACGAACGAACTGACAGACGGGAGAGTACCTTTGATATACCATGAAATACAGGGGCAACCTTTTGTATACCATGAATACCATGACAGGGACATAGTTTGACCAACAGACCTCTCTATGGCCGCGACAGGCGGCGACAGGGTCAGAGTCTGGTGAGAAAATAATTTGAGCAAAGGTATGCCCGCTGCACCGCCACCCTAATTCTGCGCACAAAATCAAGTTTTTTGCAGCAGTCGACTGGGCCAAGAGAGTTCGACAGAGAGAAAAAGAATGCTTTTCTCTTTTATTTTATTGAAGCACTGAAGCTCGCTATGGTGCTGCTTTCCCAACCTTTATAACGATTTCTTCGTGGGTTATGTGTTCCATCGGTTGAGAAGTAAAATCTTGGTTAGTATTTCAGTGACGAGTCAATTTATTTTAGTGACGAGTCAATCTAACTTAATGACAAGTCACTAGGTGTGCGCATAGCGAGTCAGTAACTTTTATGACTCAAGCGCAAATTCCCCTCATCTGGTCTGCGCTGTTCACAACACGCGATCGGAGACAAATTGGCCATTAGACAGTTATTAAATGCAATCAAATCCTTATGAAAAATGATTTCACTACGATACCTCGGGGTTCTCTCTTTTTCTACCCCATTTTCTGTCTTGTTGCATTGTCTTCGTTGCATCGACGCGTAAGATGCAGGATTTTTGCTGTGGCTGGTGAGGGTATCGCGTACCTTTTAAGCCCCACCGCGGGCATATGTACCTTCGCTCAAATTATTTTCGCACCAGACTCTGACCACCTGTCGCCGCCTGTCGCCGCCTGTCGCCGCCATAATAGAGGTCTGTGGGCCAAACTATGTCCCTGTCATGGTATTCATGGTATATAAAAGGTTGCCCCCTGTATTTCATGGTATATAAAAGGTACTCTCGACAGACGGACGAACGAACCCCCCCCCCCCCTCTCATGGTGTAACGTTCGATGGCTATGATATTAGGTTACTCCGCGATGCGGTGTATTCCGTCGACTTTACTTTCTGTCCAAGCCCCATGGTGGCCTAGGCAGTGGGGCAGTGGGCAGTGGGGCAGCGTCGGAGCGGTCAAATCTCGAAGGATAGAGAGAGAAAGAGAGCGCACGCCAACCCCCGCCTACCGCCCGCCGGTCACTCTTCCACCGTGCACATTGCACGTCGCAAACCGCGCAATCCGCGAGCTCGACCCGCGAGCTAATAAACGCGTGCACCGGCCCAGAGCACTCAGCACTGTGCGCGGGTGGGTGGGATAATGATTGGGATCATCGCGACATTGGAAAGTATGTATGCGTGAACGACGACGACAAAAGCCCGCTAGTTACTCTACATGCTCTACACACATACATACGAGCGATCGGTCGGTAGAATCGACTGACTGACTGACTGACTTACGTATGCCCAGATATATCATATAGGTGTAGATATAACTATAATACCGTATACATACCGTAGTTAGTGGTGCAGTGTGTGTATGGTGTATGATATGTAGGTAGAGTGCCGGTATGCATGCTTCCATACGGAGCGCACAAAATATAGTACAGTTGATCGAGCTCATCCATGGTGCCTGTCCATCTGGGCGTCGTCCAGCCAACATGGGGTGTGGGGGGAGGAAGGGGTGGGGGGTGGTGGTGAACAATGGACATATCAATCATCATGTCGAGGGAATGATCGGAATGTGCGACACGATGAATCATGGTGTTCGGTGCAGTTGTGCAGTTGTGCAGTTGTGTGGTTGTGTGGTTGTGTGGTAACTTACTGGATAGATAGATGCGAGTGGGATGGATGCGAGTGTGATGCTCTCAGAGTAACTACTCTACCCACTCTACCCACTCTACCCACTCTACCCACTCTACCCACTCTACTCTATGTTGTGCGCGCGGGGCGGGGTTTCCTTTGCGGTCTGGAACATTTGCTTTTTGGGTTGATGGGTGGTGGGTGTTGTTGGGGGAGTGGGACTGTGGGAGTGGGAGGGGGTGGACGGAAATAACGGCAAGTACATGCAGGGAGGATGCTCGAGGATGTTTGGGCTGTGTTCTAGGCCCCGCCATCATTGCCTTATTTGTTCCTGGTCTGCAGAAGAATTAACCCTGGACGACATCATTTCGGCGAGACCATGAGGAGGCAGCCAGCCTCTGAGGGAAAGAAAGAAAGAAAGAAAGAAAAAAAACAAGAGAGAGAGAGAGAGGTGCGCGCGTGAAACAACTGCGAGCGAGTGCCTCGGACACGGAGGAGAGGTTGGTGGAGGAGATGGTTGGAGGAAGAGTTAGAGTAGGAGGAATCTCTGCGGAATCTCTGCGGACATCTGCGGAATACGGTATGTACGGACGAGATCCAGCACGTGTTTGTGCCAGGCCCGGCCATGATGAGGGGATACGCGTAGTCTATGCTCGGACAGAGTTTGAGGATTGAATTGCAGGGAGTAGACCACCGGAAGAGGCGCCTGAAGAGGCATCGAAGAGGCACCTTTTGGGGGCGGGTTTGATCATCATTGCACTCGACCTTGTCGATTCATGGCTGTCAGGCACTGGAGGATCAAAGAGCCACCTTTTCTCGGTTCAATCATCATTGCAGTCACACACCGGAGGATCAAACAGCCACCAAAGAGCCACCGGTAGAGGGCGCTATACGTCCAACGAGTGATGGGAACCGCTTTCGACTCGTGAGTCCGTCATGGGACGATATGTAAGCGTCGAACCTTGGGAGTGGTTCCGGCGGCCCAGCAAGCGCCTCGAGCGCCCTCCTTGCTTGAGAGCACGGTGAGGCTTCGTCTCAAAGCGAGCCGGCTGATGCCGGCAGCACATATATCTCCATATCGATGAATACGAGCCCGGCAAAAAGCACAGTGTGCCTTTGCGCCCCTTCCCTCTCGGTTGTGGGCTTGGCCCCGGGCAGACCGTAGACTCTAGAGTACGGTACTACATACCCCCACATGCAGGAGCGAGGATAATTGTTGGCAGTGCAGGTGCAGTAGAGTAATAGCCAGCCGTTGAGTTCGTGATACGTTGCGTGCGCCACAGCTCTCGATGCCCTGTCCTGGCCTGTTGCTGTTCGAACAGGCTTCCACACCGAAAACGGTGGCTTGCGTGGAATTCTTCGCCTCCGTTTTGACGGGCTGGTTTGTGTGGATGTACCAGTACATGTCCTGGCTGGTTTTGTATGTGTGCACCAGTACATGTCCTGGCTGGTTTTGTGTGTGTGTACCGGTACATGTCCTGGCGGAGGATGTTCGCCTCAGACACCATCCGTGACCCGACCCGGCCCTCTTCGAGGGAACGCGAATGTTGGATGGCTTTTCCTCGCGTTCCAGGATCGGCTGTTTGTTCCACTGTTCCAGGCGTCTAGTGACTCCAGTCTCCAGTCTCAGTCTCCGTTTTTGGGGCGTCTCTCGGTGATATTCCGTGGACCTGCGGAACCGAGCATTCTTCGATCCTGAGCCGTGCTCTATGAAGTCAAGTGCGGCAATCCGCACCCTCCGCCCGTCCCCAGGTCTGGTCAACGGTATAGGTACCTGCTTAGGTAGTAATAGTGCCAGTTCCGACTTGAGATCGTGGTGATAAGTGTACCGGTATCTGCCATCTGGGGTTGAAACCGGGCCCCCTTACATCTGTCCAAGCGATGGATGGCTGGCTGAACTGGGCTGGCTGGGCTGGCTGGCTGGCTGATACCGCAGTCGAGGATATTGGGTCGGGAAACCAAGGCTAGAAGCATTGTGAGATGATGCAAGGAGTGTACGGGCCGCCTTCATGCGAACCAAGGATCGGGGCCCTTGGGGGGTAGGAGGGAGAGGGTTTCCCCAGAAACCTGTTTGGGCTGGGAGGGGAGGGGAGAGGGGGAACGGAACGGTGTTGCAGCCATGATCCATCGGGGGCACCGGAAGGGCAGAGACGGACCCGAACACTCGGCGCCGAGGACGAGGGGCGGGCGGGGTGGGGGGAGCCTCAGCCAGTAGCAGCAGCAGCTGGCGCTTGTCGGCAAGCCGCGGGGTAGGAAAGTGTAGTTTTTTGGCCCTGACCTGTCGATGATTGCGACTTATGGGGACAAAAGCCAGGGCGTGCTTTTTGAATATTATCGTCGTGGCAGGCCGCGACAACCCCCCTCCCCCCTGGCCCATTCTTCTCCGATGCCCCCCTCCCTTCCCTGTCAATAGCCCGTTTTTGACTTGTCTGGGCCCTCTGGATCCAGCGCCGGTGGTGTTCGATTTCTTTTTCCGATATCTAACTCGTGTATCTGCTCTACTTCTAGGTACGGGCGCACGCACATGGACAAGTAAGCAAGCGGCGGGTGGTGGTGGCTACTGCGGAGTTGCTCGCTGTCATTGCTGTCTGTGTGTGTCTTTTAACCTCCTAGGCCTCCACTACTACCACTCGCATCCCAATACTCCCCCCCTCCCATAGTCAGCTACCTATACCACGGCTGTACCACCACGGTAAAAAGACTTCTTTCGCAGAGCACCTTTGTGATAGTTATTCTTTTTTTCTTCCGTCTTGCCCGTCTTCTTCCGGCCTCTGTGCTCCAGTTCGCTACTAGTACTTTCGCTTTTTACGTTCGCCCCTCTGGCCGCGCCGGCTTCCAGAATCACCAGAACCCGCCCACTTCACATCCGTCATTGCGGCATCCAGGCTCCAGATTGCCCGTCTAGACCACTACCTAGAACCGTCGATCGCCAGCCAGCCCAGACTTGCTTGCCGCTCGACTTCGGCATCTCGGAAAGGAGGAGAAAAGAAGAAGAAGAAGAAGAAGAAGAAGCGGATTGGCAGGAGAACAAGAGCATCAACAACGGGAAAAGCAAGAGACACGGCAAAAAAGTTCATGTTAATACATGCCTACAGCGATACCAGCCATTCTCCCATCTGCACTCGGATTCCCGAATTCAGCTGAACTCTGAGGTTCCCGATCTTCCATCTCCGATCTTCGTGTGGCCAGGTGTGTATTCAGCCAGCCCTTGTTGCCCACCCCCCTCCCCCCAGAATTTGCGGTCATTAGTGTGGGGACTGGTTGTCGTTGCCCCGTGCCGTTGTTTGTTCCCTACCGACGTTTGGGGCGGCAAAATGCTTGTACTAGTACTTGGTACTGTACCTGCAGGGTCGAGCGAGAGTGTCGGGCGAGTTTTCGCGGAGGAGGAAGGGCGGGAAACATGGGGACGGTGGTCGGCGGACGGCGGGGCGTCAGGCCAGTCCTGGATGTCATTCGGGAGCACTTATGGCTGAACTCGATCAACTCCACCCTCCCTTCTCCGAAATGCTACTATACCTGCAGCCAGAATCAATCCCGTGCTCCTCATTTGCAGCATCCACTTTCTCTACTTCTTCTGCTTCCTCTCACTCTTCTTCTCCGGTGTACTAGGTAGAAGGTACTTTACTTACTTTTTGTTCCTCTGTCAAGTTCCTCTGTGCTCCATCTCAACACTGCCACTCGCCACCACCCACCCACAACAACCACCACGCCACAAAGTTCTATTGCTACCACCCTCCCTCTCGCCCGCCCCGTCCGAGAAGACCAAGAGAACGAGGATAGCACTTAGCACTCTGGACAACACACCTTCTGTCTTTCACCGCTCTACTTCACTCCGCGTCCCGTCTCGCGCGTCGCCTTCCCCCTAGGCTTCGTCGATCGTAACCGCGCCGCAATACTTTCCGCACGGCAACCACAACCACAACAACAACAACAACAACAACAACAGGTTCCGACTACTTGCCATAGACGGCTAACTCACCAGAGATCCGCCAACTGTTACACCCAGCCATCAGGAGACTCCTTTCGGGCCACTGATCGCTGGGGGGGAATCAACACGATGTCGACTACCGAACTTGAGTCGAATATACCAGTGGGCTGCGACCCGTTTTTCCGGGAGTCGCTGTGTATTGCATCCAAATCAGAGGTCCTGCGGCCTACGGATCCAGGGTTTAGAGATGAAGTGTCACACGCGCTGGGATCGGCGGACAGCTGGATGCTGGAAAAGACGGTGCAGCTTAAGCATCGGCTACGCGGCGTCACCACATTTGATTTTTGGCAGCTGTTGATGGAAGGGATAACCGAGATCACCGGTTCGCAGTATGGTTTCGTTGCGAAACGTGTCCTCTACGACGATGAAGATGCGGCGGTGGAGATGCCCGCGATCGGCGAGCCTGGTTCTTGTCTGATGGGGCTCGCTTTCTATTTCAACGACCACAAGGGCAACAGTGGTCTCTATCGGGATTACAAGTATCAGGTGTACGGATGCCCGTGTCAGTGGATGCGGCACGATCGGGTACTCCTCATTCCCGACGGATTGACGGCTCTCACGCCGGACAACCCCAATGCACAAGGCTTTCCAATACCGGCCGAAGGATACCTAGCAGTACCTCTGTTTCACGAGGGTAAATGTTATGCGCATTTCGGCTGTCTCTGGACCGCCGATGGCCTAAAGGAGAGGCCGAAGCTGAGCTGGGCCATGTTGGAGATGTTCTTGCATGCGCTGGAGGATGAGGTCGGCGCACGTGTGCTGGAGGGATTAGGCCTTGGGGGCAAGGAGACCAAGAGTAGTGTGATTCCGCAAAATATGGTCAGCGGAGGGGTTGCAGTGAAGCATTCTTTGCGCCCTTACGCCAGACGACTATCTCACGAATTGCGGACACCAATGCAAGGTGTTGTCGGCATGCTGGATGTGATGTATGCTTCGGTTGTCGAAGCTACACATCCCGACCGATGGCGATGGCCGGATCTAGCTCACTTGAAGGAGGTTATTGAGGGCCTGCGAGCGAGTATTGAGGTCGCCCAAGGTATCTACTCGGTCGATATTCTTCAAATAGACAGCGGCAGCATGCTGATTCAAACGTGCAGATAGTTCCAAACGTGCGGTAGACGCGGCGGACAACATGGTGCACGCATACGATTTCAACATGGAGGTTCCATCGACGCCATCACAGGCAGGGGCCGAACTGCTGGGCTTGGAGGAGCAACAATCCGGGCCATTCTGGTTCCCTCACAACAACCTAGACCAAGATGACGAATCGTATCGGCGGGGGAAGCGACGAAGGAGTTCGGCAAATTCTGGACGAGACACGCCGGATAAGGTCCCTCGTGTCGAGCGGCAGGATAACCTAGGCTCCATGGCCATGGAAACCGGTTCTCAGGGATTCGCCAGCACTTCCACAGCCGGCTTGTTGACACCGCAGTACGGGAGCCGCTCAACCGATGCCGCTCAGGACTATTTCTCGCCGCAGATAACGTCCAATCAGCATCAGGGCTTCCCGTCAACGCCTGGACTATCACATGATGCCGTAGGCAAGGTGGTGTTGAACTCTCGCTTGTTGAAATTGAGGGAACTATTACATGAAGCTGTGCATGACTCTCTTAGAACGGGTGGTCGGCCGGACTTTACGAATGTCCATGGGACCCCCCATGGCGAACGTGTCACCGTCGAAGTTCCGGAAGCCCACAGTGGCGAGGAGGAACGGAAACACGTGGAGATTGAAGTCATTGTGGATGACAATGTGCCGGAAAGCATGATTAGTAAGTCGGTCGTACTCTTGATGGCCGTGTGTCCAATTTCTTATGCGTGTGATAGTCGATGGCTCCTACCTCACGAAAATGATATCTTCGGTGTTCAATAATGCGTTCAAGTTCACCCCGTCGGGTCGGATCACTCTTAACGCTGCCGTCGACTCTTTTCATCAAATCATCTTTACTATCGTGGATACTGGCGATGGCATCCCAAGTGACTTCATTCCGGACTTGTTCAAACCGTTTTCAACCGAAGATGAGTCTCTCACTCGTCATCGTGACGGACTCGGCCTTGGCCTCTACGTTGCCCGTGGAATCGCCCGGAAGATGGGAGGAGATTTGTGGCTGGAACGAACCGCAACGGAAGGAGACCACCGAGGCTCCGAGTTTAGGTTACGACTCCCAATAACCCCCGCGGACGCATCAGGGAGCACACCGGGCACGCCTATTCCCATCCCCACTCCCGGAATCGACGCCGCCAGTCTATCTCTTCGCGCCGACTCCGCCGTCCCCACTCCACGCTTTCGTCCTCCCTCGCCACTTGTGCGATCCGTCGTTGCTCCGCCATCCGTAGGACGAAAACTCTCTTTCGATCCCGATCTGGCAAAAAAGCTTCCGCTCCGCATTCTGGTCGTCGAAGACAACCGGATCAACCGTGCACTGCTCTGCAGCATGCTGAAGCGTCTCGGCTACAGCGACATCTCGGAAGCCCGCGATGGCATCGAAGCCGTCGAAATCTTCTCCAGTGCAGCAGCCGCAGGCCGCCCGTTCGATCTGATCCTAATGGACCTCTGGATGCCACGGATGGACGGATACGAGGCTGCTGAGCGAATTCAAAAACTCTACGACGAGCAACGCAGCAATGGCGGAGAACTCACCGTGCTTGCCGTCTCGGCCGACGCAACCGAGGAGGCTCGCGCCAAGGCCGCGTTGAAAGGGATTCACGGGTTCGTGGGGAAACCGTTTGGCATCGCGGATCTAGGGAAGGCCATGCTTGATTTCCGTGGGGAACGGCGGGTGGCGATGGCCACTACCGCCATGGTCGCGAATTAGGATGTCATGCTTTGATTTTGCGTTTGGGAAAGGGTTGGAGTTTTTTTTTTTTTTCCTTGATTTTTTTTCTTTTGTCTGGAATGACAGGATGGGATGGGATCGGTATGGAGTTTTTGTTCGTGAGCGCTCTCTTCTTCGTTCTCGTGACCTTTGTCTTGTCTTTTTTTCTCTCTAGTAAGGTAGTAAGGCGAAGATGCTGCTGTGCATAATCCTGGGGGGTGCTGGGGGGTGGGGGTGAGGCGGGGGAAGAAAAGTAGTGGATTTTGAGTAGTTGGAACTTGGAACTTGGTCGGGGGTGTTTATACAGGTGCTGGTGGCGTCTGCTTGCAATGATTGATTGATGATGTGGGTGTTTTTATATTTTCCTTTCCTTCCTTTATGTTTTTTTCAGTTTCTTTTCGTTTGACCGACTTTTGACCCCGATGATTTCATGAATGGCGGCTGGCTGGCTGGTGGGGGCTGGCTGGTGGGGGCTGGCTGGTGGCTGGTGGCTGGCTGGGCTGCGGAATTGGAACTTGGAACTTGGAACTCCACTTGGAAGTCTTCTGGTTCCTCTGGTTCTTCTGGTGATATAATTCGCCATTAATGAGGATTGGATGGAGCTATTGGGGTATGAATTTACTCGATGGTGATGAGGCGAGTAAGTTCCAGAGGCATTGCGTAAGTTGAAGTGCCTATGCTACCTATGCTGCCTACGGGAACGTGGAAGGCTGCGAACCATCCATCCCGTCTGTTTCTCCAATTACTCACCTCCCGATCTACTTTCCAAGTGCAGCAGCGAGCTGTAGACTTTGGTGATGAACGATAACAAGGTCCAAGGAAAGGACATAAAAGCTAGGAGCCTCACACGGTCACGGGTTTTCAGGGGGAGCAATATCCGAGTGACCGCGCGTGATAGTTACATGCTGACATGCGGAGCCGGATGATCTACACTGCCGGCAGGCTGCTGCACGAGTTCTCATACGTTATTCATTATCTATATCTGGTTTCTGATCGTTGATTCGGACGGAGGACGAGGACGAAGGTTTATGCCTGCGATGTGAATAGGTGCATATCGGTTGCAGAATGTAGATGCCGAAATTCGAACAGTATTGGCGTTGGCGTTGGCTACCGGTGCCGATCATTAAAGTTACTTGGAATGTATGGATACTCGGGGGAAGGGCGGGAGAGGGCTTGGGAACTCGAAAGTGCCCTCCCAGGCCTCCCTCCTCCTTGCTGCTTGGAAGTTTATTGCTCACTCGTCTCTACCGTACATGTTGATCGATAGGAGAGTGATAAGTGATTGTCGCTGCCGTCAAGCAGACGGGATCGCTCAGCTTCTCTCAGCTGGAAGTTCCAAGAACCGGGTTGCATACACACATCGAGCCACGGCACATCCCATTCAGACACAGCGTACCGTACTGTATCGGGTGCATCAAGCACTTGGAAGTTGGAGTCTTGGAATGTGCCTGTCCGTATCCGAATCCGGACCGCCGAGGCTCAATGGCTGCTCAATGGCCCATTCATGCATCTCACTCGCCATACGACGACGACTTCCATCCTCCATCTTCCATTTCCCTCGACCCCACCAAACCACCAAACCGTAGAGCACCACTCCCCACCCCCCAGAACAAAACCACCATCACCGCTGCCGCAACCATGCCGCCCCGCCCTCCCGCCCGTCCCCGCAAGCCCCCCGCCACCACCCGCCGCTCGACCACGCCCGCAGACGACAGCGATGGCGACGACGAAGCCGCACAAGCGGAGCTGAACGAGCTGCTGGACAAGATGCGGCGCACTGTGCGCATTCCCTTCCTTTTCGCACTACTTAGTACTCGAGTACTTACTGACATGCGACTATGTACCGAAGACGATGGACAAGCGCCGCAAGAAGCGCGGCGACATCGAGGCGGGCTTCGAGAAGGATCTGCAAAAGCTTGACGCCGAGGTTCGCGGTAGGATGGAGGAGGCGGAGAGAGCCGCGTTGGTTACCTCCCTCTCTCTGTACACGTACGCGGGAACGCGGGATGGCTGATGGGTGCTTCGGAGTAGGAACATGCAGAGGATGGACATCCTCTCGCGCCTCCAGGATGCGCTACAGCGCCGGAGGGAGGTGGAGGTCAAGATTGAGGCGGAGCTGCAGAAGGTTCAGGATGCGATGAAGCAGATGTTGCGTGTTGTCAGTGATGCGGTGGATGAGGTTGAGAGGGTTGCGGTTGCGGTGGAGCGGCAGGATGTGGAGATGGACTTGTAGGTTGCGCACACGGATTTGGGGTTGGGTCTGGGTTGATATCTCTCTTGGGGAATCGGCTACGCTACATGATATAATACAAAGTGATGGGAGGTTCGCCAGTTTACACTCCATGGTGGACTCGTCGGCGAAGGGACGGAACTTGGAAGCACACTTGCGACGCATTCACATTAACAAACGCCACACACCTAACAACAGCGCCGCGGTACCCTATCAGACCCATTAGCCAGCGTCCGCATCATCACCGCCACCGCCCAAGGGAAACCCACCGTGCAAACACCGATCAACCACTGCAGCGTCGAGAACTTGACACTCTCGAGCATACCCCTGAGATCTCCAACCTCCTTCTCGATCCTCGTATCGGTCTCCTTAATCTTCAGCTCATGCACACTACTCTCCTCCCTAATCCTGCCCTTCTCCAGATTAAGATCGAGCTTAACACTCGACTGTGCTCTCTGCACCTCCTCGCGCAGCCTAGCACTCAACCTACTTATCTCGCTATTCAGCCGCTCCTGATCATTTTTGATCGGGTTCAATTCACTCCCGTGAAGCGCGGTGAGCTCGCTGCGCAGCTTGGCAAAATCTACCTTTTGCGCGTAGTTGATCTTCTCCTGGTCCTCGCGCGGAACCATCGTCCGCGTCAGGTTCTGGATGCTCTCTTCTACTACGTCGCTGAGTACTCGGAGAAGAGCTTCGCTCTGGTCCCGTGAAAACCCCTCCGCTTCCAGCCGCTGCACGAACTTGAGCGTGTCGAAGTGGTGGTCCCGTGGAAGGGTGGGCGTGCTGTGGAAGAAGGCGGCGTGTCGTGGGAGGAGGGAGAGGGGGCGCAGAACTATCGACCGGGCCGTGAGCGTGGGCGGGGCATTGCGTGGTCGGCAGAAGGGCGCCGGCGCCGCCGTCGGCACGTGGTATAGCCGGCTGAGCGAGAAGGGCTGGAGATGTAGGTGCGGAGGTCGGAGGAGTATTCGCTGCGGCGGCATGGTGAGGCGGAACGTGAAGGCCGAGTGCTGTAAGGTTGAGCTTTGAGGTGTGGTTTAATTTTGGCTTGGTCGGGTTTGGTCAGACTCACAGTGGGGGGAAGCTGCCGAGGTATGTACACGACGAAGGCGCGGAAGACGTCATCGTGGCCGACCGAATGCGGAGGACGGCCCGGGTAACCTACAGTACAACTCGGACACCCACGGCATGTGGCACGTGCGAGCCGACCAACGGAAGTGTTCATTTGTCGGCAGCGGACAGCAAAAGTAACTACGGGTTCCCGTCGGCGCTGCGTGTGGCCATGGTTCAACGAGGCGTAACATGGCTGATATGAAACAGCTACGCCACAGATAGTGTGCGACGAGGTATGTAGGTTCAGTATCCGTGTATATTGACAGTGGCGAAAATGTTGCACGGCTCCGGCGCGGGCGCTTGGAGGTATCGCCACGGGCACGTTCCCAACGGTTTCAGAATAGAAGTCAAGATATCACATGGCGGGGCGAAGCGGTTCCGCAGTCTGATTCCGAAGGAACGAAGGAAACAGCAAGAAGAAGAAAAAAAGAAGGGTCTCGATTAAGGACCTGGAGTGTCAAGCCCCAGCTCTGCAACAACATGTGCCACAATATCCGCCACCTCCATCATGCCGCCTATGCCCATATCGCCACAAGCCAGCAGCTTCTGTACGGGCGGCAGCACATTGATCCAGCCCCACGAGCGCAGCTTGGCCAGCTGCTCCTCCGTCAACGGGTGCAGATACATCTGCGTATTCATCGCGGGCGCGACAAGAATCATTTTCCGGCGGCGCGCCACACCCTTCTGCTCCTGCTCCTGCTCCTCCTCCCGCGCAGCCACGGTGGCGGTAACATCCCAGGCCCGGACAACACTCAGTCCCAGCCCGTCGCACAGACCGCCCGCCATGCGCGCGAGTGAGTTCGCCGATAGCGGCGCGATCAAAAGCAGGTCCGCCCATTTCCGAAGCTCGATGTGAAGCACTGGGTCGCCGCGCTGCCACGGCTGCGCCCATTCGTCTTCGTTGCGGTAGACCGGGACGGCGGAGGAGAGCGCGGTGAGGTCACCCGCGCTCAGGAATCGCTCGGCGGAGGGGGAGATGATCACGCGCAGGCTGAGGCGGTGCGCCAGCAGCGACGTGACGAGCTGTGGCAGCTTGATCGTCGCGACGGAGCCCGTGGCGAAGAGGAGGACGTTGGGTGCGCTGGACATGATGATGGTTTGCGTTGCTGAGGAATTATAGTAGAAGCTTTCGGAACTCACCATACGCGTACTGCAGAATACGGTATCTACCGGTAGTAGTGGGGCACCGCACTTGGATCATCCATCTATCTACCGTTACACACGTGCAATCGTTCCATACCGTTCCCTCAGTGCTCACCGCCAACTATGGCCGTCAAACATCAAGTTTCGATATCGATCCTGCAGCGCTGACTTCTGACATTCCGGCTGCAGGCCTTAGGCAGCCCTCCATCCCCAGGGGATCCATCTTCGCGCCAACCAACCTATGCACACCTGCCAGACCCACCAACCCAACTCACTTGGATTTTCTCCGAGCAGCAGCACGCACGCCCTCGTCTCAGAAGTTATCCGTCTGCGGCCCAGCCTCCAGAGATTAAGGGACCGCAGACGTCTGCCTCTACACAGAGTATGTGCAAGTAACGGGGCGCTAAAATATCGATGTGCAAATCCAATTGCCGCGACCTACCGCCCCACTTACCTATGTGTGGCCCACATGATACATACATCCCCTCCAGCCTGGTAGCGGGGTAGGTACTCTACGTTTCCTCCATCGTGGCCGATCTCCCAGCTACTGTAGAGTACTATTGGCCATGCATGTTGACAGGACAGCACTGACAGCGATCGGGTCCAGAACGTCTGGCAAACCCTCATGCCCTATGATGTAGCACCTATTGTATGTACGTATGCCTCACAAACACACAGTTACTTTACATTCCGAGCACCACGGTCAGCCCTAGGACGTGTTAGTGTGTCACGCGCGAATAGAGCTAATACCCAGCAGGAGGCCCGATGTGATAGCACGGATCGTCACTCGCATCGCATTGCATCTGCGCGTTGGTCGGAAGGCCCGGAACGGTGCCTACATCATAGAGTACAGTCTGGGTGTCTGGCAGCAGGAACTGCGAGTCTGCGACTGTGCGGCGTGCGTTGCTGCAGCAGGATGATGCCAAGATCTGGAGAAAGTGAGTAGACCAACAGCCCTAGGGTACAAGGAATGAGTGAATCACTCATTGACTGCACCCGAAATGTCGCAGAATGAGGTGCTCCTCATTTGGTGACAGATACGCACTGTGCTAAATGCATTATTGCTAGTAAATGCAGCAAACTCACTCGTGTTGATTGCAGTGATGTTAGTAAATGCGAATCTCATAGTTAATACGTCGATGGTGGTGGTGATGAATGCGCCATTGTCATAGAATGCGTTGTGGTATGTATAAGAGTGGTCGGCGAGTGGAAACGGATGTAGTTAGTGCGGATGGTTAGAGCAGCTGGCAGCGGGCAGGCAGCGGGCAGGCAGCGGGGAGGCAGCAAACTTGAAGGCTATCCGATAGGCCTCATCTCTCTCTCTCTCATCATCTTCATCATCGTCTACAGAATACACGCCTCCCCCCGTCTCTCTCTCTCTCTCATCATCATCTGCAGAATACACGATCAACCTCCACCTCCTCCCTCTCTCTAGTCATCACCATCATCCACAGGATGGATGATCTTCAACCTCTACTCTCGTCTGCCACCACACAACGGACTTGCAGACGGCCAGGCCTGGGAATAGTCCGGCCGGCCCGAAGACTATTAGGGTCCGGCGAGAGAGCTGTCGGAGGAAGGAGACAGCAGCAGGAGGACGTATCTACGAGAGGAAGCGAATGGGGTAGCGCTAGCGGGGTCGTTTGCTCTCACAGCCGTCTGCTTCTCCTTCTCCTTCTCCTTCTCCTTCTCCTTCTCCTTCTCCTTCTCCTTCTTCTTCCTTTTTCATCATCATCACAACTCCTCCTCCCGCCGCCACTCCTCCTCCCGCCGCAACTGCTATTCCCACTCCCGCTGCTACTGCTATTACTACTCCCGCCGCAATTGCTATTCCTGCTGCTACTGCTACTCCTGCTGATAGCTCTTCCTTCGTATAGCTCCTACTCCCGCTGCAACTGCTATTCTCCCTCGTGCCTCAACTATTACTCCCGCCGCAACTACTACTCCCGCTGATTCTCCTCTCTCATATAGCTCCTACTCCCGCCGCAACTCCTCCTGGGACCGCACCTCCTTCTCTCGCAGACAGTTCCTCTTCATTTCGCAGACAGCTCCTCCTTCTCGCTGATAGCTCCTCCTCTTGCAGATAACTCCTTCTCGCTGGTACGTCCGCCTCGCTGGTAAGTCCTCCTCACTGACAAGCCCTCCTCCCTGGCACTCCTCGTCGCTCACCACTACTCCTCGCTGGTAAGTCCTTCTCACTGACTACTCCTCCTCACTGACCACTCCTCCTTCTCGCTAGTAGCTCTTTTTCTCGCCGACAGCTCCTCCTCTCACAAATCGCTCCTCCACCACTCCTCCACAACAGTGTGCAATACGCGGCGAGAAGGACTGGTGCGGTATCCGCGGCGGTGTGAGTGGGGAAGGCCAAGGACCAACGGTTAAGAGCAGGACAGCAAGAATAGCGGCAAGGATGGCAAGGACAGCGGCAAGAAGAGTGTGCTATCCGCGGTCAGGACAGGGCGGTACGCTGCGGGGCAATTGTAGGAAGGTATAGGAGGATAAGCCGCATATCTAGTAGTACCACATATTAATGTAACGCATTTGATAACACTGCAAATTACTCAAAATATCGCATTTTGCAACAATACCATCTCAAAACCCAGCGCATTCTACGTCTTGTCGCATTCATCATTATGCTGCATTGAGTGACATCTCCGTTAATGCAACATCTTGGACCTCATTCCATTCACTAATTGAGTGAACTCATTTTAGGATGGTGTTTCTTGCGACCTCATTGACCATAAAATGCTGGTTTGCCTCATTACTTGTACTCTAGGGCAGATGCAGACTGCAGTGCGAGCTGTAGATATGGAAAGTATCCAGTTATGCAAAGGTATCAAAAGGATCGAAAGTAAGTCGGTAGGTAACCATGCGTCGGAGGTGAAGCATCGCGGAAAATCGAATCTTCCGCATCGATGTCGGGTGTTTAGGACGCCGATGTGCTTCATGGCTTCTCTCACTGACTAGTCTGTAAGGACAAAGTTATGCGCGTGACCGTGCGTTCGTACATTCAAACTCTAGATACCGAGTCGAAGACAATCAGATAACCCAAGGGAGCACGTGATGTGCTGATAAGCTCCAGCGACGACCTCGCTTAGTTATGGTATGCCAGCCTCTCTGCCTGCTGCCCTTCGGTAACCATCTTGCTAGAGCAAAACCAATGCCATTCCGGCGTCCGCCCGGCAGCAGTTATGTACGCCGCTAGCCAGCAGCCATCTCGGATTCTCGCCTCAGACAGAAGCAGGCGAAGCACCGAGCGAATAAGATCGACCGATGTAATAGTACACACCTAGGTGATCCACTGTGAATCCGCCGGTCTCAACGAAACATGTGGACTGGACCGCTGGTTGTTTCATGGCGATCCCTTGCAAGTTGCTCGGAGCTCCTGGAGAAAAGAAGTGGGTATGATATGCCTCCGCCGAAGCTCCTCCGTATGCAGAGACCAGACCCGGGGCTGGTTGGCTACCACAGGCACACGTATGTATCTATATACATAGCCAGCGAAAACGCACCGTTCGATTCGTTCTGGAATCATCAGGGTTCTGGAAGCGGAGAGCTCTCGCCCTCCGGCTCCGAATCTCTCATTCCGTCGCGCGTTCATCCATTCTACATACCTACATACCGCACTGGGTAGGGTACCTTCGTACCCAAGTAGGTACGGTACTTGCCTTTGTATCTACACACTCTACTACTCGGAGCGCGCGCATAGAAAATTGAAATGCCTCCACACTGCGGAACAGCACTTCACTGGACTGACTACGGTACTGCCCGCATAAAATATCTACACTTCCCATGCATGCGTGCACGCATGCATAACCATCGAGTGTTGTATGCCGTGCTAACTCTCCGAAGAAGAACCAAAATCCAAAAGTTTTGAGTGGGAGGGGGGGTTGGTTGGAACTTGGCCTACATGCCTTGTGGTGTGATGTTCATCAACAGATTCTGGCATCCTGCTGCCATAAATAACGCCGGCAACGGAAAAAATGATACGGTGCGCAAATCTACCAGATCCGGCAGTATTAGTCCCCAATATTGGCGGCGAAATCACTGCTTGCGGTGTGATTGGCGCGCACAAGGCTGCATGTGCTAGGTACTCTACATACATAAACCACTCTAAGTGCGTCCTATTCTCGGATAGCACGACGGATCCACACCCACCGTCACGCACCTCAGTGGGATCCCTTCCCCGCATTATCGAGTGGACTCGAGGCTTTGTATGGTACTCGACATACATACGGAATATCGTCAATTCACGGTGGTACCTTTACGTGAGTACTTGCTCTCTGTTCCTTCGACGAGACTGACCGAATACCTGCAGACAACGGAGCATATGAGGCGACATCCAATACTGTACTGCACCCATCGTCATCGTGTGGGAACCCCCGGGCGTTGTCCGAGCCTATGCACGCGATGTTTGCGGGTGCGAAGAGACTTCCCTTGCCTTACCGAGGAGGAGGAGGTGTGCCCAGAGTTTGGGCGGTTCGATTGGCGCCCACGCTTGGACAGAGTGCCGGCTCGTGCTGCTGATTGGCCGTGTCCCATCGCACTAACAAGGAACAAGCATTCGCAACAACTAACCTCATCGCTCGCTTCGTTCCCTTGATAGCGGAACCTCAGCGCTTCCGCATGCACCTTTCCTGTTCGAGGGTCCTCTGTACTAATCCACCCCCCCTCCGTCTTGCTGCCCGTCGCTGCAATGCGTGATTCGTCCGGCCTCATCCCGAGTCGATTCGTGAAAGGCCTGCAACCTCCACCATGGGTCCCACGCCCCGAGAAGGTTGGGACGGCCTTCAAAGCTTCCTCGTCCGCCTCAAGTATTTCTCTGGCCCTCCCCCCCCACCACCCCCCGCCAGCTAAGTACTCGAAATCATCAAATCTTCCACCTCAGGGACCGTCATCTCTACACGATTGGCCAGCCCTCGACGTCTGATCTGCACCTCTGGTATGTCCATCCTGGCCCTCTTCCCTCAGATAGGTTCTCTGCCGTACCGTGAAGCCGCCCAGTTGGCCTCCGTGCCGCCGGTTGGCTGGATCCCCATATACGCTGGTTATTGGGCGCCTCATGGTCATTTCCCATAGTGACTCTTCCCAGTACTACATACTTACTCCCCGTCCCTCGTCCTTCTTCTTCTTCGTCTTCTTCCTCCTTCTCTTCTCCTTCTATGATGTCCATTCTTTACATCGTTACTCTCGTTCATATTTAACTCGCCGTTCGGAAGACCGAGCTGTGCTCGTCGTGTCCATATTTTTTCTGACCTTCCCGCTTAGAAGATTCCCCCGCAGCTCAGCCCATCCATCCACGTAATCCCGGTCGGTTGCCACTCATAATCAACACAAATCCAGAGCGAAATGTCCCCAAACCCTCCAGGCGCCAACACAAATCGAAGCGCACCCACCTGGGTTCATCAGTCGCCGCCGGAACACTTCTACCGTCGCTCCCCCTCTCCAGCCATTTCCGACCACAACAACCAAGCAGTATCCCCAGCCGACTCACAAGCACCCATCATGGAGTCGACCTGGAAGACAACACCTCGGAACGACTTTGCTCGGCCGTCAACAGCAGAGAATAACAAGCCTGTCGATGAGCCATACTATCCTCCGGTACCGGTGCCGGCGGCATACGGAACGGGAATGAGTGTGGTGAACGGTGAAGTCGGTGGTACCGTTGTCACTCAGGAGGTTCAGACACCAACGGACACGCAATGGGCCCGGTACCCTATCGCTCCTCTATCGGCTGGACTGAAAACTTCCAACACGACGTTTTCCACCCACGAGGAACAGAGGGTGGCAGAGTTGGAGGAGAAGGCACGGGCTGAGGATCAGCGCGATTTGGTATTTAATTCCCCTCGCTATCCGTTCACAGGGGTTCTTTTTTTCTGACTGTGCGATACAGGCCGTGAAACTGAAGGTTCGGTTGGCGAAGGTTGTGCTGCGAAGTATCAACTGTGCTTGCAGGTTCGTAAAAAATACTATTCCCCTCTTTCGTTGCTCTCACGCTGACATGGTGTGTGCAGTTTGGTCGTTCTTGCTCTCGTAGCATCTACATTCGCCATCTTCAACGCAACACGGAACCTCAAGCCTCGAAATGGCCTGCCACCATGGGCCATGAAGACACCAACCTGGCCGCAAATTACCATCATCGTCATCGCATCCATCTCGCTCGCTCTCTCGCTGTTCATCATGTACAGTTACTGGAAGGGTGGACACAACAAGGCTGAAAGGATCGCATTGCACGCAACCATCTTCGCAGGTGCTGTGTTCATATTCACTATCGCCATGTGGTCTGCCGGTATCGGTATCATGCAGGCCAGCCGAGCGGGCAACGACAATAAGGATCTGTGGGGTTGGTCTTGCAAGGACAACACGCGACGGAAGCTGTTTGAGGACAGCATCGACTACACACTCGTTTGCCGCCAGCAGGTATGGTTATCATTCTCACGATGGGATTTTATCGAATACGTATGCTAATTCCGACCGAACAGGACTGGGTTGTCGTTTGCGCCATCATCGAAATCTCCGTCGAGTTCCTCGCCATCTGCGTGTACCTGTTCGCCTTCTACCGTCTGTTCTACACCAAGCGCCGACTCCGCAAGTCCATGAACGTCCGCGACGAGGCGCGTTCCAGCCTCTGGCTCGCCAAGCTGAAGGAGCAGAAGGTGGCCGAGGACGACGAGCCCGATCACGAGACCTCGATGAACACCACCCAGAATAAGCTGAACTCCAACTCGGCGTTCAACAACGCCAGCATCGCCGAGGAGGGCCGCGTCGTCGAGGAGACCCGCACCGTCCCCATCCTCCAGCCTGCGCCGCTCGCCAAGCGCGCCGGCCAGACTGTCCCCGGCGCTCTGAAGAAGTCGTCGCAGTTCACAACAATCAGCAGGGAAGCTGATGCTGCAAACCTGCCAACAGGCAGATCGGTCAGCTTCATGCCAGGCCCGCCGCCAGGCTCGTCGGGATCTCGCTAAACCAGCAGTCTGAAGTGCGTGCGTGCGCGTGTATGGTTTCTTTCGATTATAATCAAGTTGTGAAAAACTTCTTTCGTTGTGTTTAATTTGGGGTTCTTTTTTGCTTGTCTTATCTGGTTTTTACAGCGATTTCTGGTTATCGGTTGTTTGGTTTCTTTTCTGTTCTTTTTTTTCTTTTCGTATTCCCTTTGCTGGCATTTGGTTGTCCGTTTTTTTTGTATACATCCTCTCTTTCTCCCGTACGGGAACTCATTTATTTCACAATATTTTCCCTTTGTTTACCTCTAGTTTGGGAGCGCGGTGGGATGGGATGGGACTGGATGGGTCGGGATGGAATGGGGAAGGTACTTTACTCTACTCGGCACGAAAGAGGATCATGGCCGGATGGGAAGGGAAGGGCTTAAGTGGCAGGCGTTTGATTTTATCTTGTGTGTGCACTGTGTGGAGGCGGGTGGGGGTGAAATCGAATGAAAGTTTGGATTCTTCATACCATACAGGATGATTATTGATATCTATCCCCCTTTCCTAGGCAATCTACTTTACTCTGTCTTTCTTTCTCAATTGATTTGTGGAGGAGGGGGAGCTTGTTGATCTGGATTGGGGGGTTTTGTTGTGTACTCGTACCCTGTGGATTGATGAATGATACACTCGTTTTTATTGATGCAAATGAGAAACAAAAGATGAACAAAAGTGATCGATTATCGCGACCGCAAGGTATCGACGAGAGAGGGAGGAGGGGGAGGACATGGATGACGCGTTCCAACTTCTGGCAGGTGGTGGTTGTGAATTTCGCCTGAGTTGGGGTGGTGAACACTGAAGTGGAGTGGTCACTGGTGGAGCGGTGTGGTGGAATGTTACTCCGGTGAGCACAGGCTGCGCAGCTTAGGCTCTATTGTTTTTCCATCCCTTTTTTCATTGGATGAACAGTGAACTCGAAGTACGACGTGTGGATGTATCGGCGAGAGCGTGTTCCGTACGAGAGCTGTAAGGACAGGTCTGCAGCTCGGCCGGTTGGGACGGAGGTAATTTAGGTAGATAGGTAGATAGATGATAGGCATGTAGGCAGGTAGATGATAGGTAGATGGGTAGATGGATGATAGATGGCTAGATAGATGGCTACTAGATATGCTAGATGTACAGTTACGCGGAAAAACCTACCTACCTACCACCTACCTGCGCCTACAGCCTGCGCCTACAGTCTGCAACCTGCAACCTGCAACCTGCAGATGATACCACGGTCCATCACTCGTCTATGTCTCTGCGCGAGTAGTTGATCAGTGCAGTGCAGTGCAGTATACATACACACATACATACGATCCCGAACTCAGTCCCGAAATCAAGAGAGATTGAGAACCAGCCGCCCGGCCACATGCATCGCGTCTCGTCACTATAGTACCGGTATATATGATACCTACATGTGCGTGCGTAGGCATCGCCGCATCGATGCATCGTACCATACCATAGGTATTACAATTTACCCTGCGAAAGCGGGTGGGTACCGGTACCGGTATCGGTCGGTGCCTGCCATCTCCCATGTTAACTGGTTTATGTACCGTGGAGTACATACCGTGGAGTACATACTGGAGTACTCGGGTGTGAGGGAGAGTGATGCACCACCACAACCGTGAAATGGTGCCTAAGGAGGTGCACCACTTACCCTTACACCCATGTACATACGGTACCTACATACGGTGCCTACATACGGTACGTGCTATGTACGTGCTATGTACTCTATCTGCGTGCGGCGGGCGGGCATGCGTGAGTGGCGTGCGTCCTTCCTCGTGTGGCAGCGCAGCGCGGCTAGATCTATATAGCACGCTGGGATGCGGCCCCTGATCGGCAAATACATATAGGTGCCGGTACTCTAGATATATAATCGGCTTGACACAGGTTGCTCGAGGAGCCGAGGAGTCGATGACACAGATTACTTGAGATACAGATTATACATAGGAGTGATCTGTGATTCTGTGTCAAGCCGATTGCCAGAATTTAGAAAAGGGAATTTCGCCGTTGGGGTTAGAATTGAGGCCTGCTTGCTTGGCACTGGAATTATTGCTGGCTAAGTACGTACTCCAACTATGCGCATAGGGTATCTACAAGTACTGCGGCAAAGCCCAATGAAGGTGAATGTGTTGCCCCCGAGTACATCAATGTGGTAAAATGCAGTGTTCTCCATCGTCCAGTCCGTCCGTCCTGGGCCTCCGACGAAGACGGACGGCGTGCCTCCCGTCCGTCAGAGCCTAGGGGGTGACGGTTAAAGCTCTTTTAGCGGACGGCCGTCGACGGCCGTTCGCCAAGCCTTGGGTACATAAAAACCCGATTTCGGGCGTGGACCTTGTGTGGCCGAGTGAGATATGGTGCATATAGCGCTGTGATAGGGGCCGGGCGCCGCACCTAAGGCGTCAGAATCAGAATACTGCTATGTTTTACAGCTAACTAGTGGAGTGATGAGGTATGAACTCACGAGGTGGTGCGTAAAATGTCGGTGCTAAGAAATCGGCAATCAGCCGAGTCATATTCACGTAACTTGGACGGTCGTCCGACGGAGGAGGACGGGGATTGACCCGTCCGTCCGAGGCGAGGACCTGACGGGATTTTTTTGCAATCGTCTGTCCCAGGCTCGGACCGGACGATGGAGAATACTGGTTGATTGTCTACCATGTAGACGATAGTGATGACGAGGGGGGGAGAGAGAAGAGATAGAGGTTGATCATCTATTCTGCAAATGATGAGAGAGAGTCTTAGAAAGAGGAGGCCTCTTGGACAGCCTTCAAGTTTCAACCTCTTACCGAGTCCGACAGACGCATTCACTTCACCAACTGCACCGAAATCTGAGACCGCTGCCACTGCGAGTAAAGCTTTGAGCATAATTCACGCATTAACCTTTACTAGCAACAACGCAACTACCACGGTGCGTATGATGTATCTGTCATTACTGATGTGCAACGCATTCTGCAAAATTCCGGGTGCAATACCTAAAAGCGTGATCAACGCATTGCTTGTATCATACCCTAGGGTAGTGGAGTGGATTGTGGAGTGGATCGACATGTGCCGTGACTTGCGAGGTCGGGAGGTACCGTAGCTGCTCTCTAGGCAGGGGGTCAGGTGCGTGCACGTGTTATGCACGTAGAGTAGGAGATGGAGATTGAGGGATGTTCCCCGGGCGGGAGGCGGGAGGCGTGCACTTGGCGGCTAGTTACTCTGGAATGTAACTACGGCGAGTCGACTGAGTCCCGACTCGCATGGCAACTTTGGGAATCGGGCAGATTTGCCCATTGTTCGGATCCGTTACCCGTGATGTCATCGCGTCCTTCACGTTCACCTTCGACACCTATCTAGGCTATCCAGGCTATCCAGGCTACCCCGGGTGCCCGAGACTTCGAGACTTCGAGAGTTCATCATCACCAACGATGATTCGCTCAGTCTGCCTTCGAACCCACCGACTACCTACCCGAACCGACTACCTATTCGACCAAAATTCCCGGCGGCGGCAGCAAGATTAGGCTATGCACCTACCCAACCTCAGGGAATGTGTATGTGTTGATGTCGATGGGATGTACCCGTACCGTCAGTTGCAACCGATTCCATGGTTCTCCGCGTTTTGAAGTTTTAATCCGCCGTATGCCCGACAACGGGCCCGGAGCACCCTATCTACGGTACCCACCGGTGACCGGTTACATTTCCGCCACGGAAGATACATCATACATACTGGCAGCTATGGTCATGGAACCATGAACATTGAACATTGAACACACATCTTCCCGTCCGGTTACTACAGCCCTAGTTAAGGCTTAAACTTTAAGCGTGGTATCGACAGGTTAGTACTGCAGTGAGAGTTGGAACCATACGGGACTCACTGGTATGTACATACCATAGTTTCTTTGTCTTCTTTTGCTCCACGGTGGGTGGGCCAGCATTTCTGTTTTGTGCCTGGATGCGGGGGGAGGGTTGCTGCAATAGGTTGTTGCTATTCGGTGTCCTCGGAATCTCGGGCGATATCGTTCGAGCGGCGGCGGAGCTTTTGCCTCAGCCGTTCAGGTCGAGTTCACTTCCCTCCCCTAGCACTCGGACACAAACCCAGACTCGCGATGTTTCGGGCTCAAGGCTCAAGGTTCAGGCTGTATCATATAGCTGGCGCCACATCGTGCTGGCTGGTAACGGGATCCTAACCCCCGGCCGGCCAGAGTGGGCAGGAAAGGAGTGTGACGGTTCGCCATAGTCTAGATAGGCTGCATGCGAAATAAAGCAGGAAGATCTCTCTCTCTTTCTCTCTGTATCATATGGCTGCCGAGTATGAGTACCCCCCCCCCCCCCCCACCGAGGCACCGACCGCCGACTGAGTCACTGACCGCCGTCCGGCCCGAGACCGTTTCGTTTTCGGCGACTGTTCTCCTACGTCTGCCCCCTGGTCCCATATATCATATCACGATTCACGATTCACGATTCACGATTCACGGATAACGAACAACGACCACGAACAACGGCCACAGTCTCATGGCCCACGAGTCATGATAGGTATCCAGCAGAATCCAGAATCTTTCCACCGACCACTTCATCTTTATATCCTTTATATCCTTCCACTATCTTTCCACTATCCTTCCAATATCTTTCCACTATCCGTCCACTATCCAGTCCACAAAAAAAACCATACATCAAACGAGTGTCCCCCCGCCCTCTTCCCATATTCCGCTCCCCATATTCCGCTTCACTTCTCCCAAGTTCCACCGTCCACGGCCATTAATGGTATAAAATACGTCATTGATTACCTCCCTCTCCCCTTCCCTCCCGTCCCTCCCGTCCCTCCCCCTCCCCTTCTCACCCATCGATGATCCATCCACAACACAGAAAACAAAATAAAAATAAACGCTATGCAAAGTTCAAAGTTCAAACTGTTCCAAAGATCCAGAATCCAAAGATGCCAACAGGTATGTAAGTAGAATGCAATGCAAACAAAACAAAAACAAAAACAAAACTAGAAACAAAAAAGCAGATGCATTCAATGAACCAGATGAAGCAAAGAAAAGAAAAAAGAAAACGAAAGAACCAAAAAAAGGTATAAGAAGTATGTACTTTCAATATGCTTTCTGAACGGTGTGTACACCACAACAAAATCCCCCCGTTCCCTTCCCCCCTCCCCACCCAAATTCCACCCCCACATCCCCCACCAGCTCACCCAACCAAGACGACTAAAGAAAAGCGATGTAGAGAATGCGAGAAGACTAATGCTGCAAGAAAGATAATACACAAAGACCAAGAGAAGACGAAAACGAAAAAGAGAAGAAAAGAAAAGAAGAAAAAAAAGGAAATATAAACAAGTCTCGTAGCAACTTAGGCCCCGAATATGTACTCGGCGAGTGAGATGGAGAGGGAGGCAGGAGAGGAGAAGAAAAATAACACCCAAATTAAACCAACTTCGTCCTCATCAACTCGCTCCCTCCCCTCTCCTCTGAAAGTACTTCGGTGCTCGTTCCCCACATTACCCCCGCTACGCAGTCCGTACAGTTACAGAAGTGTCCGATCAAGATCAAGAGCCTACACACGAGCATTGATTTGCCATGCTGGTCAATAATTAAAATGCCCCTCACCAAAAGAGGATTCGCCGAAGGATAACGCTCGCGAGGAAAGAAAAAGAGAAGATAGGAGAAGTGAACAGAGACTCAGATACATCAGATGCAAGAGAAAGGGAGAAAAAACAAAACAAGAACCCCCCAGCGAGAGAACCAAAGACGAATTAAGCCACACAATTCTCCCTTCTTTACGCCCGACGAATGCGATGTCGATGATGTTGTGCAAAGGCTTCCACTTCCCCCCCCTTCCTGCCCTATCGAGTAACAACCGCCAAATTTTAGAAAGCGCCTCTAAAAAAAAGAAAGAAACACCGGGTCAAAAAAAATTGAAGAAAAAAAAAATCCAAAACCCCCAAAAAACACAAAACGCGAGAACCGGTAACATCAAGGGTGCCAAGCAGCCGTGGATCCGTCCGGGGGCGGTGACGGGGCGAGGGTATCATTAGTGGTGCTTAGGAGGAGTTGTTGGATGATGACCCAAAATTCAGTATGCCCTTCAGGCCACCGGTCTCTCTCCGCTTCTTCCAGCCGTCAGCCTTCTCCTGTCGCTTCTTGTTCAGCTCTTCCCATCCGCCATCTTCATCCTCGTCGGATTCAGTAGTTGATTTCTTGAGGTTTGAAGGACCAGGTGTCTTTCGGTTCCAATCCTGGGTTCCACTGCCGGAGGAAATGGGTGCGGAGACCACAGTGGCTGGTCCCTGGTGATAAGTAACGGGTCGATAGCGGGATGGCTGTCCGAGGGTGCTACGTTCGGATGGCGCAATGGATGGTGTATATCCTGGTTGGACACCGTAAAATCCACCGCCGGGAGCCGGAGGCATACCGAGTTGGCTTTGGGCAATTGAGGGTGCGTATGCCGAACGTGTGCCCTGCTGCATCTGAGGGAAATGAGGGTCCATGATGCTCATGGCACGCTGGTTACCCATCTGGGGAACGCCAAGACCACCCATGCCGCCCATCGGAGTGTGCATGCTCATCATGGATACCGGCCGCTGTTGCTGTCCCATCATCGGAGGAGGAGCAAGTGGCTGCTGCTGGCCACCCTGCATCTGCATTTGCATGAACTGCATCTGCATCTGCATCTGCATTTGCATGTATTGCTGTTGCATGGCTGCCATCTGAGCTTGCGCGGGGTCCTGCTGCATGCCCCTACCCATATTGCCGCCGGCCATCATTCCTCCCATCATGCCCGGGCTACCCATACCTCCCATACCTCCCATTCCTCCCATCATGCCGGGACCCATTCCACCTTGATGTTGTTGCATGTTTCCTAACAATCCACCTCCGCCCCTAGAAGCTGGCCGGTCAAACGGATTCACCTTGAAAGGATCGGCCGGTTCATGCTGCTGCGTTTGTTGTTGCGAGTACTGGTGGCCTCCGCCCAGGCCCCTTCTGAATGCCTTCTGTTCCTCTGCTCGCACAATTTCGCCCACCAAACCCCCTGGACCGCGACCCGGAGCCTGCGATGGAGGCATACCACCATACATGGATCCACCAGCGTTCGACATGTTGTCGTTGCCAGCGTGAAAGGACAGTGGTACCCGGTTCATCGGATTGACCAAGCTGGCGCCGACATTGTAAGGGTCTTGTGGAAGATGTCTAGCGAATACTGGCAGTTGCTGTTGACTCTGAGCTGTGCCCCTTAGATTGGGCTGGGAACTGGCGTTCGACAATCTCGTAGGCGGCCGGTTCTTGGAGGGGAAGCCGTGGGCCAGAAGGATGGCCAATGGCACCTCATCGTCCTCTTCCTCATCAGAGTTCTTCCCGCTCGAGCCGGGGTCCATTCCGCCGTGCAGCGGCAACGCCGAAGTGCTCATGGATCCCCTATTCATGAAAGGTATATCCGACGGATCCGATCCCGAGATCTTCATCATTTGTTGCCGGTACACCGATAGATGAGCCTCTTGCCGCGCCCGTTGCCGTGCAATCTCCTTGTTCTTCTCCATGTCCGTCTCCTCTTCATAATCAGACACGTCGCTGTCTTCATCATCCGCCTTACCGGATAACCTTCGCTGGTCGTCCTGTTGTTGCTGGAACTCATACTGCGCACGCGTCATGACCCTGTTTGTGTTTGTCTTTTCCGTGCTCTCGTTCTCGTACTTGGCGGCCAATGCAGCTGCTGCCGAGAACGACATGTCGGTTTCCTCGGGTTCGTCCGTCAGTTGCACACCTACTGGACCCGATTTGCCGGCCCTGGGCGTGGTATTGTTCGAGGCAAAATCGGCATTTCCGTAGGATGGAGAGGTGTTACCCCTCGACATCATCGGGGTGGTGAGTGTTGTGTCCTTTGAGCTTCCCGACGATCGTAAACTGTGATCCGAGGAGGATGCGGAAGGAACAGCCTCTTCCCAGCCACTATCCTTCGATTTGTCGGACAGCCTCCTGACCGTTACGGGTGCCGTCTGCGAATGACTCGGTTGCGGCCGAGGATCGAATGCACCAACCCCCCTAGCAACCGAACCGGCGACGATCGAAGCATCAACGTCGACCCTGTAAACGGGTGACTTCTTTCCCATGTCGCTACCGGTGCTACGCTTCTGGGGAGGCCTTAACGGGGGTGTCCCCAACGAGTCCGTATGCATGTGTGCCGGAGGCGCTATCTTCTGGCCCGGAGTGAGGTTTCTCGAATTCCGTGGCGAATTCGAAGCTTGCGGGCTCAAGAGCTCCTCCGGCGGTTTCGCGTCCCAGTGGTACGGTGAAGATTCATTGTTGGAAGGTCGATCGGCGTCCATGTGTGAGTTGGTGAATACGTTTGCATACGAGGTTGTCGAGCTTGTAGGAAACCGCGACGTAGCCGGAGCCGCTTCGTAGGCCTTTGGCGGAGGGACCGGAGCCGTGCCATAATGGCTACCACTCTGCGTACCCGTAAGCATCCGGTCAAGAAAAAATGAGGAGGTATGAGCTCGGGTGGAGCGAGTGATTGCGTACCGAATTGGTTATGGAGTCCGAAGCTATTTTTGGGGCCGTAGGTGTAATCGATCCAAGTCCGCCTCTCGAACTCTCACCTTTCTTGTCCTTCTTTGAGCCAACGAAATCGAACATGTCGTCTCCGAATAGAGACGAGGTATCCAATGTAGTCTCGAGTTTGGGAATGCTCATAGTACTCCCGCTTGAGGGGGGCTTCAGATTGTGACCGGGCGAAGCCTTTGCGCCGGGACTCTGCTGCTGCTGCTGGTCTGCCTTGACACCAGCTTGGTGACGGGGATCAACTTGGGCCTGGTGCTGCTGCTGCGATCGGTAATCGTCCGGAGTTTGTGGAGTATCAGTCGAAGGTAGCGTTGAATTCGAACTCAATCGATTCGAGGAACCACCATAATACGAGAACGTCGAATTGCCGGTGGTTTGACCGCTACCTCTACGCAGACACCCGGGAACTCAGCAAAGAGCAAACACAACAACCCACACGTACCAAACCTAGACACATGCGGAGCCGGAGAGGGGGGACATCGCGTTCTTTCCGCACTCACCTGTTGCGTTGGAGGAGACGGAAATTAGAGCCAGAATCGGGTTCGTCTTGGGCGTTTCCTTGGTTGGCAGGCTGGTATGCAACTTCGAGAGAGGTCCCAACGGATTTCCGACGCGAGAACTTGGGGAATTTGATAGGCATGTAAACCTCAGGAGAAGTGTTAAGGGAGAGACAAGAAAGGGTCGAGGAAAACGGGCCGTCTATGGCAGCCGTGCAACAAACCAAAGTCGGCAAGGGGTAGACAGTAGTTTTTTTTTGAGGGGGGGGGAGGATGTTGTGTGTAGGTAAGATCCAGGTGCTTAGTGATGACGGGGGCGTCAGGCCTAGGAGGATGAGGACCGATTCGGCGACGGGCGAGCCGGCTTTCGGATGCGGTTAAACGTGTTGGACGAGGGGGGGAGTGGTGAGAAGAAATGACAGAGTAGGCAAGCTTCTCTAAGGAGAGGGGGTGTGGGTGGGAAGTACTAATTTCCGGGAGGCGTACACGAAGGCGGGGGGTGTGTGATGGTGGTGGTGGTGGTGGTGGTGGTGAAAGTGCTGGATGATTATTGGATGGATGACTTTAGGAAAGGGCCTTGGATGAGCGGCGGACCAGAGCGGGCAGAAGGATACTGTATCGTAGTATTATTGTGCTTAGATAGACAGCATGGAGGGGGGTGAGGATGCAAGGTATTCGGATGTAAGTATTCTGAGGAGAAGGGATGATATTGATGTTACGGAGGGAGAGGAGGAGGAGGAGGTAGTGGTGGCAGGTGAAGGTAGTTGGTTGGAGGTGAGTCGAGTTGGAAGTCAATGCCGTTGTTGTTGTTTTGGGCGAGGCTTGAGCTCGGGGACTTGAACCTGTGGCTCAGATGTTCTGTGGCTTCCGTGGCTTCTTTCCGCCGAGAGATGGATTGTTACACTGCGGCGGGGTGGGGGAGGGGGGAGGGAGGGAGCTGTGAGCGGATGTTGGTTGCTGCGGCGATGGCGAGTGCGATGGGTATTGATTTCGGCGATGTGCGGGTGAGATGGGGACCGTTTTCAGCGATGTGCGGTCGGGACGGACCAGCAGCCGTGTGGAGCGAGCGAGCGGCGAGCGGCGGGCAAGAGCGAACGTGGGAGCGAGGCGAATGAACGAGCGGCAGGGGGGAGAAGGACACAAACGCGAAATAGGAACAAGCACTGACGATGAGCACTCACCACTCAGCAGAGTAAGAGACACGAATAAATAAAAATAGGCAAGTAAGAGAGGCCAGAAGAAGAAAGGCAAAGAAAAGAAAGGAAAACAAGGAGTCCGATCCGGGAACGATGGGATTACGGGTAGGGTAGGGTATGTAGATTTCTGGCGGAGGGACAGGCTAAGGCACCGAACCAGTCAAGTACCGGTACAGGATGTGGGCGGGAGGTGTGTATGGGAGTATGTAGCGTGCGGCGGCGGCGGAGAGCGGCGGGAGCTGGGTGGAGTTGGAGATGGTGTTGGAGTTGGTGGTGTTGGTGGAGTTGGACACTGCTGAATACTGGTGGTGGTGGTGGTGGTGGCCGTGGTAGTTAGTCGTGCGGAATGATGCGCAATGATAGGGCAAGGTGCGCTGGGGGTCGGGGCGGTGAATGGGAGTGGTGGTGTTGATGCAGATGGCCGGTGGGGTCGCAAGCAAAGTGGACAGTGGAATGATGGGACGAGGACTCCTACATACATGCGCGACGGAGAGAAGAGGATGGGGGGAAGAAGAGAGGGACCGACTACAGTCGTCAGTTTGTTACCTACCCCATCCATTCTATGTCCACACCACCATTTGTGCGGCGGGCCAAACACACGCAGCGCAGCAGACCTCTGTGCGGATTCAACACTCCCCCAGTAACGACGCCCAACATCGACAGCGACAGCGACTGAAGCCAAGTACTCTGCGTACATACATCACATATACACGCGTGTCCAATCACGGCGGTATTCGTGCAGATTGGCTCTTCCTCTTTGCCCTTTCAGCTTCATTTCCTCATCTTGCGGCCGTCTTAAAAAGAAGGAAGAAAAATGGAAGGAAAAAATGGCTGCGAACCACTTGGCTATTCGCACAAGCCAAAGGCATCTAAATATCTAGACTATTTGCTCTAATGCTTCCCGTTCGTGAACTCTTGCTAATTCTCTTTATTAGGACACACCCCCCCGCCCCCCCTCGAGCTCTCCCCGCTAAGAGAAAAGTCCAGTTCATACGGTAGTCTCAGACAGCTGCAGAAAGCCCCCCCAACCACCAACTGCCAACTGAAGCCCAGGACGGCATCAACGACGAAAGACGACGACAAAGGCGACGACAACGCTGGACTTCCGAGCTCGCTCGCTCTTCATATGTCTAACACCGTGCCGACGAAGCGTGTCTGGCCTATGACACGAGCAATCCCGCAATCCCCCCCAGGCAAGCAAGCTCCTGGAGCACGTCTTTCGAGAACCCCGGAAAAAATACCCATCTGGGCCAGGATCACCCGTACTCTGCCATACCGATCATGGCCACGCAGCTGTCTCCCACCGCCCACCCTCGTCGCTTTATCGCTCCAAACTACCCTAGACCTGCAGAGTCCTCAGGGTTCGGCTCGGAGTTAGGGCCGGCGGAAAATCGCACGGCCCCTAAAAATCTCACGACTGCCATGGCCAGCCTGCAAACGCTCCACAGCTGTTTGAAACGCGTTCCGACGAGTTCCTATGTACCGCTACCGACTGATGTCAGCTGCTCTGAGTCCCTGATCACCTACGACTACCCGCTCATAGCCCCCGCCCCGGTGCTTCGTTCTTCGGCCGCTACTCTACACATTTCTCCCTTTCTTTTCGAAAACCTGTTGTTTTTTTTGGATCTCCCTCAGCACACCGCGCGCGCCAGAGTGGAAAAAGACAGCCCTGAGCCAACGAGATGCCCCCAAGGTGCTGGGCCAATAGGCAGCCGTCATCTGCGACACGAACGAACGCCACCGATGTCTTCATCCTCGCTTGGTGTCGCTTGGTAATAGAAGAAGTATAGTAACTTGACTCAGGAACGGAGAGAGCACAACGCTAAGTTCAGGGGGAAGGAAGGAAGGAACCATCATCCTCCAAGATCCGCATCCCGCTCGCTGCAGAAAGAAAGAAAGAAAGCAAGAAAGAAAGCAAGAAAGAAAAAACTTCTCGCAACTCTCGCTCGCTCTCTCGTCTCCATGGAAGAATCATAAATTACAAAGCCCTCTATGATAACGCTCGAAGGAGCAGCCGCGGGGGGGAAGGGTGGAAAGCGTGGGCTGTTCCCTTTCCCTTAAGTTCCGCTAGACTCTACTCTACTCTAGAGTAGAGTAAAGTAAAAATCGATGACGCTGATTTCCCGAATGAGGATTCCAAAAGGGATATTTTTAGTCGCCCTGCGCGGCGCGGCGCTCTGATTGATGTCCCTCACTCCCTGTTTCGTGCAGCCGCATTTTTTTTTCTGCTCGATCTGGGGCATGCAGGACCCGACCAGACCAGCCAGCCAGCCAGCCAGCCAGCGTCTTAGCTCCCCCCCATATCCCTGCCACATCGATTTCCTGTCCGGGCCTACCTTAGCTACCACGGCTTCCTGCGAGCCGAGTCGAGTTTGTTGTCACTCGGAGGAGCTGGCTTCTCTAGAGACTTTTCCTACCGCTTTTCTCGTCCGTCCGTCCCTCCGCATGCACGCACGCAGACAAGCTGGAGATCAGTCCGATTGTCTGTAGAGTAGTCGCCGATGCGCCGATGTGCTGGAACCGCTGCGATCTGCCTGCTATGCGGAGATCCTCGCGGAGATGAACCAGTCTCCAGAGGACCAGGAAGGCTGAAGCTCTGTTATGCATACTCTGTATCATGTATGTAAAGCTGGCAAGCAAGCTGAAGAGACGTATCCAGAGTACTCTACCTACCGTACCTATCACAGGTACTCTACATACCTCATACATACTACACATGCATACCTCCTTCCTTCCTCCGAGAAAGTTCCTGTGGCTTTCACTTTCAGCCATGTGTGCGGTGTATCGTGATAACCCCGCGGCGAATCGCACTTTTTTGCCATTTTGTGGACGGCTGCCGGTGACGCAAGAAAGCTCTGACGGCAGAGAAAAAAAAGCGAGTCTCCTGCTACGTCAATGTAGGATACGTAGTTGGCTTGCGAAGTTGGAAGTTGCGAAGTTGGGAGTCGGGATCGTTTGCTGAGTATTCTGGTCTGTATGTAACCCGTTCCGTTCGGTTTCATTGTTTCACCGTTGCACGTGATTCCGGGCGGGTGGGAGTGGGAGCTCATGGCTCGGGAGTCGGAAGTTGGGAGCTCTCTGCTGAAGCATGCGGTAACCTACTTGGGTATACCCACTACTACTAGTATGATGTATCTACCACGTGCCTAGGTTTCCCCTTCCACCAGTTTATAGTATAGTAGGCACAGCATCTCACTCGCCGCGTGCGGCGTTGATGACTTTCCTCTGCTGGCCCGAATGGCTTCGCCTTTAGGCTTTGAGTTTGAATTCCCCGGATACCGCGTTGGACAGGCAGGCAACCCTTGGGACATCTGACATCGTCGGGTTGACGAGACAGCCTAAAGGATGGCCGGATTTGGGTTTCGCCTGATGCCGGATCCAGGGCTCGGCTGGTCGGTCAATCTTTCGAAACACCAAGCTCGAGGTGCTGCAAGTCACCTACTTAGAAATTATAGTAGCGAGGTGATTTCCAGAAGGGAAGGGCCCGAACGGGCACAAATCGGGCGTTGGAACTTGGAGGGAGTGGAACCAAGTTACCAACCGCCTTTCGAATTGCATCACATCTCATCACAAACGGAAGAACAAGTTTTGAAGTTCGCATACATTGGTGATGGTGAGTGATTGCTATTACCAATTACCAATGCCATGGAATAGTCCAACCCCCTCCTTCCCCGCATGAAACGAAATATCCTCGGGAAGGGAAACGAAACCCCACCCCGCCCCGCCGCGCAGTCGAGCTCTCGCACGCGAATGACAAAGCCATACGCGAACCCTTCAGTGTTCACGTCAGCAAAAAGCTGCGTCACCCACCCACCCAGCAGCTACCCCACGTCTTACATATGTACTCTTACATGTGTTTAAATTTTCAGCCCTGAAATCCCAAGAACTTCGCAATATATATTACATACCGCCCCGCAGCACGATGCAGCTCTTACTGATTGTTGATCGAGCTTTCTTTTTTCCTACATACTGACTGACTTCGTTGTTCGCGCCGAGGACCGGCAGCCGGTTTTGGTCGAGTCTGGGCAGTGGGTATTCGACTATTTTGAAGTTTGCTGTACTCGATCGAATATCGACGAGAGATCTCGGCCACTGCCCCACTAGCCCACTGACGAGATATTTGGGACTGACAGTCTCGTCCCTTTTCGTTTGCGAACCTCAGTCAGTTCGGTCGGTTTGCCGCGATGACCCAGCTACCTGCCTGTGTTTATACATAGAGCCGTCAGCAGGCCGCAGGCGTGAGCATCGCGAGGTGCGGTATTGAACTCGGACATCACACCATGTTGGAAGTTGGTTGTGTCCAGAGTCCGACGTCCGTCCGTCCCGCTTACTCTACGGAACCCTCGCACAGCGCCGAGACGAGACGACTCTTGCGCGCCGCACCACGGACCTTTGCGCGGCAGGCAGGCGGAAGGAAGGAAGGAAGGACTCGATCATACCACCGCACCAATGTTCCAGACACAAGCACGCAAATACGCAGACTTCCAGCCCGTGTCTGGACTCTGGACTCTGTATGTACGTACCCGTCTGGTTGGCAGTGGCCTCGCGGCACCAGGACTACCTAGTCCGGGTACACGCGGAAGATCGGTCGGCTGGGCGGTGGGATGGGCTGTGAGATGGGTAGCTTAAGACTTAAGTACCGTCTTATTCTGCCTACCTGGTTATAACTTACCACCTGCGGGCCTGCGGCCAACGTATGATACGAGTGCTGACTGCCCCGAGAGCTCCAGATCGAGCTGAAACGCTCCTGTGATCGACAGCGTGGTGCAGCGTTCGCTTCTATCTATCTGAGGACTGCGAGGTTGGGTGATACATCTGCTGGTTGATCGAACCGCGTTCCTCGGATGGAGGAGGGAAGTCGAAGCGTTGTCATGTGCGGCCACTCGTGTCTGTGGTGTACTGGTAGGATATTTATGCGACGACGATGTGCATGGAAAAGTCTTTAATTGATCGGTTATCATCATAGTATGTAGCGGAATTGGAGATGGACCACTGCAGCCGGAAAGAAAGAAACGAATAGATACTGGCACACCACTTCCATTTCAAACGGTCTTTCTGTTCTCTTGGCCGTGAAGCGAGAATCCCACCGAACAGTTGTTCGACTAAATTCTCTTCGACTACGAAGCGATAATCCCACCGATGAGCTACCGATATTCGACCGAATGTTCTCCGACCGAAACGACCGATTCCGGAATATAATACGGGTTATCCGAATGCGACCGATTGTTGCACTAACATTGGCTGGTCGTTCAGCGTAACCAGGTGCTCATCACCCACCTGAAGGCAGGGACCCGATCCATATGTAGCAAGTGCTCCGTTACCATACTCCAGTCCGGACTGTGCCAGTCTAGTCTCGTCTAAGTCGCCAAGTTTTTCGGACCGGACTACCTAGATGACTGCGGTTGACTGTTGACAGGATATCTTTGGTGGTAAGCTGTATGATATATGGTCCAATCGAGTCTGCAGTTTTCTCTGGACTGCGAAGTCCCGTCCAAACCTCTGGACGGACTATGCGATGTATGTAGTCCAGTACCGTACTTGCCTAGAGTCGGACGGACTGGGCTATAAGAAGGAGCACTGTACGCAGCGTACCTATGTGTCGGAAACGGCACAAAGCGTTTGATCATTCGAACCCGACCAGGCCGAGGAATCGTCGTTGGGGACCAAAATTTCATACCGAGGGTAAGAAAATAGCCCTGGCAGTAATTGATCAAGTGCCAATTGGTTTCACAACATTTACAGTCGTCGTAGCTATACTCCTTGTACCAAGTCGATAAAACGATACGCTTGATATCAGGATAGCGTGTACTGGAGTACTACTTGGTATATAACGTTTCGGGAAATCAGGCGTCACCTGAAAGTTCGGACTTCAGTTGCGATCAAGCTAAACAGCCACCGTAGCCGTAGAGGATTTCCAGCGTCAGATGAATGGTAGCTCGTCTAGAATATCTCGAGCGGCGGCATCAATTTGTTGCTCTCCTACACTATTGAGAAGGCGATTGCATCGGGCTAACGAAGTTGCCGAGCTGGAGTTTAGGTATCTAAAGATCTGGATGACGAGTTCGAACTTCGACAGGTAATTTCGTGAAGCCTGGGATAGCTGGTAGACGGTTGAGTGATCGTGCTGATTGAAGGTGAGGTGTTGGTGCTGGTGTCGAGTGCTTGATTCCGTTCCGATGTCGTACGTATACACCCCGCTGCCGCGCTGCGTGTGTAACCGTAGCACTTCCTGAATGCTTCATCACGTAGCACTCAGTTTTTTACTTCTGCGGCAACTTGGGCCACGATTCTTGAAGCCTCGGAACCGAGTGTTAAAATTATCCTTGACAACTTGAGGGTGTATGGCTAAGTACCTCTTATCTGCATTTTTAGATCCTGTACTCTGCTCTAGGTAAGTGCGTGGCAGCGTGAATGATCGGTATGCCGAGACGGTTAGGATTTAGCTCGATACATTCGGTTCATATCGGACGTGAACTGCATCTTCGATTGTGGCCGGGACTCGGTGAAGGGTAGGTTGACCTAATCTGGTCCCCTACCCTGAGTCGTTCGGGAGCGGACCCAAAAACCAGTTGGTGGGGACAGGACGAGTCTGCACAGCTGTACAGGACGGGACGGAACTCAGCTCGGTCCAATCGAGCTAACCGGTGCACTTCCATCAGTCCCGAGGATCTTGGGAGCCCATCCTAAGGAGGAAAGATATGATATTTCCAACTGTCAATACGACAATTTCACCCCACAGCGCCCGGAATCCCTAGACTCTAGTGACTGGACTGAAGTCTGACAGCAGGAAGGTTTGGATCTAAGCGCCTTCTTATCTTGCCGCATCTATCAAAGACATTACCGCGCATCCTAATAGGTGACTACAGAAACTCATATAATGCCTTATCCTCAGAGTCGAGATCTGTGAACCGATAATCTGAAAACGCTGCCTGAACCCGTGTGCGCATTCCAACCCCCATGGGGCTGATGTTTAGACGGACTTTTGCCACCTTGCTCGGAGTGACAGGCCGAACACACCCACCTAGTCATTGCGGACTCACACTCGAACCCGACCAGCCGATGCTGTACGGTTCCGCATGATGCTGGGTGCCCTACTGGGGTGGGATGGACTACGGTATTGTATTGCCTCATAGACTAAATTAAATCCGGTATTCGAAGAGTTGGCCAACCCAGTGATTGCAGAGATCGTATTGGCCTTACTAACGGCCATTCCAATGGATTCAAGAACATCAGATCTGTGATTAAAGTGAAGTGGACGGGTGACAATTGATGTCTAGTCGCTGTGAGCACCGACTTTATGAGGAATTCCATTGCGCTTGGCCAAAAGTAGTTTCTCACATTCATAACACTGTTTGCGGCAAATTTTGGTGGGTGGGTTGATTCCTTTCTCTCCGGCCATGTCAGTCAGACCAGCCCATGCGCATGCGTGCGTGCCATGACCATGGTTGCCAGCGTATCGATATCAGGCGGGACTCGGGAAGATCCTGACAATAGTGCCGATACGACTGCAAGGTATTTTCCAGAACGGCAGCACATGAAGACTACGTAGGTGGCGACCGTTGTCAGTCTTGTGGTCAAGATCAGTAAGGAGCAACGCGCTTCTTCCAGCCATGGTGGCCTCTGAGGTAGGGATTGTGTAAATGGTGTGGCGGTACATAGTGGATTGTGGCTGAACCCGAGGCGCGACACAATCGCTTTGTCCTTCCACATCCTCTGCATCCATTCCACAACCTACCTGCATTGAGGCTAACCAAGTAGCACTACTTAACGAGACAGCGAGAGAGCTTCGAAGAATTTCCCTCCGAAACAAGGTCCACCCCAAGAAGAGCTGTCCTCCCTACTACTACACGCACCATCCCCTCGTCCGTCTTCCCGTGTCTCCTACGATTCGCAAAAATCTCTATCCTTCGAGCGAACGGAACAAGCTTCTGCCTTCCTACTGGCCTAATCCATCGCTTCATCACGTTTCTCGACCGCGGCATTTCGACACGGAACGCACACATCGCACGCACACATCGCACACGTCCGCCCCCCCTTGCGTTGAACCAAACCGACTATTCCAACCGAGAGTCTGGATCTGTCGGGGTTTTTCAAGACGTGCACCCCTTGGGGCCTGCGGAACCGGCTTCGTTCGAACTCGGCGGTAACCGCGACAGAGCCCGCAACACCTGAACGCGGACGACGACGGAGTAGTGTTGCTGCTGGGAAGGCTGCTGAGGACGTCGACGTCGTTCGGGACTGGGACAATAGCGGAGGCGGTAGCTGGGAAACTGGGGCTAGGGATCGGGCTCCGTCGTGGGATAAGGGGGTCGGCGTCGTCGAGCGAAACGGTGGGGATATGCCGCCGCAGAGTAAGGCGGATCTACAGAAGCAGAGGGCGAAGGTAAAATATAATCTTTATGATTCTTTTTTTTTGCTACGTGTGTGCGTACGTGTGTGATGCGTGTGTGCGCGCGTGCGGGGAAGTGGTTTCAGTGCTGACGCAAAGTATGGTGTGTTTAGTTGGTGAATTCCTATCAGGAACTCTTAACGTACGATTTCCGAACCCTCACTCAGAATCTTTCAACGCTTCCATTGCCCCTTGTTTCCTACGTCGTGTTCTCCCGCCTGGACCTATGGCTAGATCATCAGAGAAAAGGGACTACAGTTCCTCGGGAGAACCGACGCAGACCAAGCACACACACAGCGGGAGACACGGAAACTTGTTTTTGTTAGACGAATTGCTGAGATTCGTGTGTCGCTTCCAGAGAGTTTTCATCCAAGGAGCTCCAGACTGTAGGCAACTACCACGTCGGCCGCTTGATCGGGAAGGGCAGCTTCGGCAAGGTTTACCTCGCGACCCACAAGCTTACCAATGGATCCAAGGTGCGCCCCCCGGTCCTGGCAAAGTGATGCGACGACGATGCTTCGGGTAGGACGGAATGCTGATGACGATGGCGGGGGTGAACAGGTAGTGTTGAAATCCGCCCAGAAGGACGATGCGAACCTCGCCCGGGAAATTCACCACCACCGGCAATTGCTACATCCACATATAACGCGGTTATACGAAGTCATTGTGACCGAGACACTCGTCTGGCTGGTCTTGGAATATTGCCCGGGTACGTGGTTTCCGATACGAAGCAAGCGAATGACTCGGATGCAAGGAAAAAATTCTGATATAGTGGTGTGTTACAGGGGACGAGCTCTTTAACTATCTTATCAAGAATGGTCGTTTATCTACCCAAAAGACGAAGCGAATATTCACCCAACTAGTTGGTGCAGTGAGCTATGTACATCTGAATAACTGCGTTCACCGCGACCTCAAGCTGGAAAACATCATGCTGGACAAGGCCGAAAACGTATGTGTTTTCCAAGCCTATCGAGTGATGAATCATGACGGCTTATTTTGGCGGGACCTTACAGGTTAAACTGTGCGATTTTGGCTTCACCCGGGAATATGAACGAAACAAGCTGTTACAGACCTTCTGCGGCACCGTATGCTACTCGGCACCCGAAATGCTGAAAGGAGAAAGGTACATGGCGTATGGTACGGGATGGTTCTGCTTTTCTTTATTTTATCTACCTCTTCTTTTGCGTCTGGCGGTGTGCGTTATCAATTATTTCATCCTTGATGCGCATTTACTGAATCGCGAACAGCCGTGGACGTCTGGTCATTAGGTGTCATCCTGTACGCTCTGCTCTGCGGTGAATTGCCTTTCGATGAGGATGTTGAGAGCGAGACGAAATTGAAGATCTTGAACGATGAGCCAAAGTACCCGGACGACATCCCAGATGGTAAGTTTAGATTCTTTCTCCTGTCAAGTACGGACTTGCTGATATCTGGTTGCTCAGACGCGGTGTCACTTCTGAAGGCCATGTTGCAGAAAAAGCCCAGTCTACGACCCACTCTCTCGGAGCTTTTGGCCCACCCTTTCCTCGCCGAACATGCGCCACAGCAAAGAGCGATTCTAGCCGTCCAAGCCCTACCACCGTTCACCACTAAGCTTGAAAAGGACTGCCTGCATAGGATGAAGGCAGCAGGAGTGGATATCGACCAGGTCATAGAAAACGTGTTAGCAAAGAAGTGCGACGCGTTAGCTGGCTGGTGGGCATTGCTGATAGAGAAGGAGGAGAGAAAGGAGAGGCGGCGGCAAAAGAAGAAGATTGAGAGCAGACGGATGAGCGCAGCTTCACAATTGGATTCCATGCCACCACCAGTGGAGGAAGTTGACGAAGATGCATCTCCAAAGCGAAGCAACGGGAAGAGCACGGAAAAAAATCGTATGCGTTCCCTTCATTTTCTATTTTGTTTGGAATAGAAACTCACCTGAGCCACAGCTATAATAATCTTACCAGAGCGTCCATTCGCAAAGTACGGTCGACCAAGAACTCCAACCTCTCCGAGGGGAGGAGTTCCGCCTCCGGTTGAAAAGGACCGGGATTATGGACCCTACCTCAAACCACCACAGTCGGAGCGCCAAGTGCGGTCTTCTCCGGATCTCAGGAGAGATGCTCAGGAACACAAGAACCGGACTACCCGGAAGCAGGCACTCATGATGCAATTGGCCAGTATCAAGCACTGGTTCTTGGACTCGGCGAAGCGGGCGACCTCACCGAATGCCAAAAGCGTCCACCATCATCAGAACCTAATGAAGCACCACTCAAACGGCAGCAAGTCACACATCTACCATCAATATGCAAACGCCGGGAGTTCAGGCTCACGTTCGTCACATTCCGGAGTACGGCGCAACTCGAGAGGGAATGCTCCATACATCACCACGCACCGAAACACGCCGCCTCCCAAACGAAACTCGCTATCGCCGCAACCGCACACACCGCGTTCGTCGTATCGACGTGCTTCGGCGGGCAGGGGTCTAAATGGACGGAATTCAACATCGTCATCGGTGTCCTCGATCCGGTCGTTCCATAACAAGACTCACTCGAAAGCGTCGTCAACTTCCTCGGCATCCATATCGTCTATAAACCTCAAGTCACCACGGTCACCACGAGGTTCGTCCGTCAAGGTGTTGCCTGCAACACCGTCGTCTTCGAATCCGTTCCCGTCAAAGGGAGGAGTTGGTAGAGGTGGTGGGTACAATGAGTCGGCAGTCCTAGCAGGACCCATTGCGTTCGCAAAGAGGAAGAAGAGCGTGTTCAAAGGACCGATGCTTAATGGAAGCAGCAGTAGCAGCAAACGGGATAGTATGGGGAGCATGAGTAAGGCGAGGGGAGGTGGAAATGGTGGAATCATCGAAGAGGAGGAGGAAGAAGAGGAAGAGGTGGTGGATTTTGGACTGGACGACGACGAGATTATCATCGTGGATGAGTCGGAAAAGTCTGATGAAGATCTTCCGGTGAGGAGGGCCGTGAGCCATTGATCGTCAGGAGATGATGAGCTGGAGGTCGGACACAACATTGCTACTACCGTTTCTCGTTTTATTCTTGAAGTTGTTATTTTTTGCTTCTTGCCGGCGCCCTATTACGACTTTTTCGGCCTTTTGGCGGACTTGAGAGTTTTCTCGTACATACCATCTGGCTATCTCCATCTTTTTGGTGCTTTTTTTTTTTTTTGCTGGGAACCTCGTACAGTGTTTTCTACTTGTTTTTTCCCCGCTTATTCTGTCTGCTCTGACGCTCTTCCGTTTCCTATGTCTCCTTATTACCACTTCGTTTATGATGATTTCCGTTTAAAGGCGGGCAACCCTATTTCCATTTTGTTTTCTTTTTTTCTTTTTTCTTTTTTTCTTTTTTCCTTCATGACCGGAAAAAAATATTCTTTCTTTTCCCTCTCCCCCGCATCTTCTTCTCCCCTTGGTTTTGTTTTTGGCAGATAGCTTAGCTTAATTAGACACAATACTGGGAAGTATCCAGCGGTACTCATCCGAATCTCTTTTGCATCGTGGACGGTGATGTGCGTGAGTGGAATGGGAAGACCAGAGGGCAATGCGTGCTGGATTTCACGTATGTGGCGGCTGGCTGGCGGTCTGACGTCCTGGTGATTTCAAGCTCGTGAGATCCATCACTCGCCCGTGTGGGGTGTGTGGGTTTTGCTGCCGATCGGGACGAAAACCCGCTCCCGGCTACCCGTAAAGCCAGAGTCTAGACAAACAGGCTGTCTTGACCGCGAGCTCTCACTCGCCTCACTCGTCCCGCTCCTTGATAGACTCTGGCTCTGGCTCTGGCTCGGTAGCTCCAGGTTCCCCCACATGATACATCCGCACGTGGAGCTGGATTAAAACTTAAAACTTAAAACCTTAAAACCTAAAACCTAAACCGTCGGCTCCCCAGCCGCCGGGTTCAAGGTTTGGTTTGGTCGGATCGGTTGGGCCTCGTGGCAGTACATAGAGTGACGCGAACGCTTCAAAGTTCAACCTCCAGCCTCCTTCGGCTGGCTGGCTGGCTGGCGGGGATGATGCTATTGCCGACGCGTGATTCCGCGGGCCGAGAAACTCAATCCTCCCACCCCGCCCCCCGCCTTTTCCTTCGGTAGCATAACTGGGCGTATTTCGCTTAAGCTTAATGCTTGGCGCTCAACAGTCGACTCTCGATCTCGATCTCGTTTATGTACTTTGTTTTAAGTTTTAAGTTTTAACCTTGAGGTTCGCGGAGCTAGAGCCGGAGGATCGGAGCTGATGGTGGATCGGACCTGGTGGTGGATGGTGGGTCGGTAGCCGAGGGACTTAATACCTATTGATTATAAGCATGATTTGGAAGGAAGCGCATTCGATCGCGGGAAGCTTTGAGGCGGTATGTACACACATACCTCTCTGCTACTTTGTAGCCCATGTTTCAACCCGGCTGCCAATGTTCGCTTCTTTTCCCCTCGGTTCGTCAAAACTTGCCGCGGATCCGAGGGCCTCTGCTGTCAAGTAAAGTGGTATTTTGAAGTACTATAGTGTACAGTGTATCAGACGCAGCCGGAGAAAAGGCATATGTAAAGTAGAGGGAGGTGGGGGTGCCCCGGATAGAGGCCTCTCGCCACCTCCCGTGAGAACGGATACCGGAAATCTCGCGACATAGAGAGTGATGTCGTGTGACGCGGTACACGGATGTTCGTAATTTTATGACATGTGTGGATTGGCCACGTCGAGTCATAGTGTATGTAGGAGTCCTCGGTGACCGGATTCGTGGGAATTGATACTCGCTGGGATGGGGGATACAAGTATTCTCGAGGCAGCATGACCAAGGAGCGAGTGACGGAACTATTGTATCTTCCGCCGAGCGCGAGCCCGATCTGAACGTTTAGTCTAGGTATGTCATTCCGTCATCGATCGAGATTCGGACATCTGTCCGGACTCCGGGGGAGGTCTCGTGATCAGAGTGCTGGCTGGTGTTTGAAACCACACGATGGATGTTGGACGAGGAGGGAGTCCGAGGCGTAGAGTACCTCGCAGTGCCGGGACCCAGGGTGCCGCTGGTAAGGCCAAGAGGTGGATTGCTTATATTCCGCGTGTGGAGGGGAATAGTGAGTTTAATGCGAAGCATGGCCCCCACCGGGCGGCGCCGCGGCGGCGTCGGCGGTGGCGGCCCTGCGGGTCCACCGTCAGCCCTGTGTGTGCAATGTGCATCTCGGATGGTACAGGCCGTGTGGTGGTGGTGGTGGTGGTGGTGGTGGTGGTAGTAGCAGCAGCACTGGCCGCCGCCGTTCTGGAAGTCCATCAACCATGGGACCGGCGCGGCGTACTAGGTACTCGGAGGCCCCCACGGTACGAGACCGGACATGCGGTACGCGATGGGGAGGATACATATCAAACGCCAGGTCGGCGATGTGTACTATATTGTGGTGCTGCTGCTGCTGCAACCGAGGCACCCCGCCCCCCGCCCCCCCGCCGGTACGCAGGCAGGCAGGATGTATGAAATAGGAGAGGAAGCGATCAGGAACGGGACCGATGTGATGTGCAAGAGAATCGGGATAGCGAACTGGGGGTCGCGGCTTACGGAGATGAATCATGAGCTTGTGGATAGATATGCGATCAGGACGGAAAAATAAGAACATATATGTAGGTGGTCCAAACCGGGTCTTACTGCGGTGTCTGGGGGAGATATGACGGGGATGAAAGGAAAGGGATGGGGATGGATGAATGCCCGGTTGTAACTTGTGCAACCGGATGGGCCGGCTGGAGGGAAAACAATGCCGAAGCGTGTGTAGCTCCGCATGTTGCTGTATCATGTAGTGCGAAATCGATGGGCGCGTTTGTTGACGCTTGTAAGTTAACCGAAAAGCGAGGCACCAGGTACGCATGTATGGACCCATCCAGTAGGTAAGAGTATAGTATCCTGATTGATGATCGTTCTGACCCTGACGATACCGATTCGAGTAAGGTTGGCGACCAGGCCGCATGTTTCGACTTCTTATGGCGCCCATGTGTATGGACTATGTAGCCTCTCCCGAACACCAAGAACGCCACATCTCCCCTTCCCCACCCAGCAGAACCAACCAACCAGTACGCCTCTGGGGCTGGAAAGCAGGTACGCATGGGAAGGAGGCGCCGCCACTCCAGTGGACTGTCTCAGACGAATGGACGGGCTATCCGGGCAGAAGAGCGCATGCACTTGCCATAGGCCAGGAGATCCCCACCTAGGCAGCGGGTGGAATTTCGCTTTACGGTAATGGAGGAGTAGCTGAGCTGGGCCAGATGGTTTTCCGAAATTGAGGAGTGGGACGGGGGCAGGCTCAGCATCGATTGCCTAGATGCACAGTGGGTCACTCGGGAATCTTACACCAACTGGGGGAGGGAGGGGGGGGGGGGGGCGGGGGACAAGTGCCACGTCAACTGCAAACCGTGCAGATAAACTGTGAGGAGGATCAGATATCAGGTTATTTTTTTTCGAGACGTCCTCCTGCTTCGGCTCCCAGTCGAAGAGATGCAGGTGGATGAGATGCAGAACACCTCACAGCGCGACAGATGTATGACAGCTGCGACGGGGAGGAGGGGAGGGCGGAGGAGGGGGGGCGGTTTCCAGGGAACTACCAATGATTTACCGTATTAACCGCCATGCCCAGGCGAGCGAGGATATGTTTGAAGGGTAGTGCGGGCCATTCACTCTAGTTTAGTTGAGTTGTGGCTGTTGCGGGATACGGTCTCGCTTCTAAGTATCATAGGGCCACCGGCAGTCAGTGGTGTTTCCGACTTTCCCGCTCTTGGTGTCCAAGACACATCTAGGTGGGTGGGGTTTGAGCCAGTTATGCCCCGCAAGAGGATGTTGCCACTATCGTGGCTGTATTCGTCTACTAGTGAGTAGGCACTTGGCTATTCACTTGTGAAAAAATTCTGGTGGGGATTATTGCTATGTATAATATGATCCAACGTGCGGGCATGTGCGCGTGCGGATTTGAGTCTAGATTTCCCCCGGAACTTTCCGCCTACGAGGAGGGGGGATCGTCTTGTGGCAGAGATAGCGCGCTGGTCACGGGGAGAATATAGACCGTCACTCGATAATCTTCTCACCGCTGCCCGCCTTGGGCATTCCGAAAGAAAACGGAAAAAAGGGCTGGCCACGTAATTGTGGAAAGATTTACATAGACTACATACAACGCATCCATGATACATGTACATACCAACTTACCAAGTGGTTCATGGCAGACCCGCATGAAGGAAGAAGCAAGTATGTAATGCCGGAGGCCAGAAGAACTTATTCCTCTACCGGCAGGCATCGCATTGCTGCACTTGGTCTAGTAGTTAGAGGAAGAGTGGACTGACTGACAGGTTGTACATCCCGTATGTATGATACTCCCTGAGTATCATGGCATGCAGCCTGCAGAGATTTTGACGGTGCAGAAGAGGAAGAAGAAGAAGAAGAAGAAGAAGAAGAAGAAGAAGAAGAAGAAGAAGAAGAAGAAGCGCTGGATACCTCCTTGTGGTCTCCCTCGGCTTTGCTGGCTCAATAAGACAGGCTATCTGTAGAAAGCTGCGGTCAGTTTTTTCGCGGGAAATACTATGTAGGTGCGCGGAACGGCAGAGCGAGCCATGGAAGAAATCTCCGCAGGAGGAATCATGCGGTCCATTACGGTGGACACGAGCCATCTCGATCGATTAGGCGAGACGGTCATCTTTTTCTTCCAAGGGTAGTGCATACGACAAGACTGCTGACCAGTGATGACTGGGCCATCGGGAAAGCAGGCCGTATACACCCCGCACCGATCCTGCTAGCATCGACGGCGAGCCAATACGAGGTGCAGGCCTTATTCTCCCGAAGTAAACTGCCTTGTTTAGGGATGTTACATCTCCGCAGCCACCTGTATCTCGAACCTGCTGGTTACTGGAGCTCATCCAGTAGGAATCATGGATGTGACTATCATTCGATACGTAGCAGGGGGGGGGGGGTCTGTGTGCTGCCGCTGCTGCTGGCCACTGGCTACTGGTGGGATCACCAGGGCACTTGAAGGCTTGCTCCGGATTTCTGGACAGACCCATCCAGTCAGTCGGTCAGCTTCCCTCACGGCTTTGCCGGTCATCTCAGCCCCGGGAGGGAAGTAGGTAGACGAAGAAACCTTAAATGTGGATCCCTTCTCTCTCCGCGATTGCGAGCACATACAGTCGTGTGGTCATATCATTACACAACCCGATACCGGAATCGGAAGATTTCCAGCGTCAAGCTGCACACGCCCAGCTGTACTGGTCAAGGTTGTCAAAGATTAGAACCTGGAGGCTTCCGAAGCGGTTGTAATGGCAAACCACACCAGTCAGCGAAGCAAGCGGTTATGTCTAGTGGGGAGGGGGAGTACGTAGTGGAAGCAAACGACACTGTGACCCCCTTCAGTTGGAAGCAGTCCGGCATAAGATTCGGCATTTATGGCGGCATTGGCCAGCGGGAGTCGATAGTATGAGTGACTTTCGAAGGGACCCTTCCTCATGCTGTACCACAAGCACGTCTGCAACTTGAAGTGAATGCGTATGGCCGCAAACCTCCGGACTGGACTGGTAGGGGATATCCGAAGGTGACGAGCGGCTTTGTGATTCTGTAGTTGACGTATACGCTTGATCTATTCGTGAGGATGAAGTGGCCTGGTTGCTTACTCTATAATCACACCGATCGTACTGCCGTGGAAGGAAGGCGCTTCCGGTCTCCAGGTCTGTGGAAGTAGGTATAGTACGATGGACATATTGATAGTACGATGGTCTTATGGATTGGCGCGCACGCTTAAGCGTTGGGAGCGAGCGAGTGGCCATGTGAGGCGGGGGTGAGGGGAGGGACGTAGGCGAAATGCTTGTTTGGGACCGACCAGAGAGCCGTGTTGGTGAGCGAGCCACCGAGGTGGGGGAAAACGATGTTATACCGATATATCTACTGACTTACCTACATCAATACTCTATCTGCGCCCACTCCGGAAGCGATGCACATAACTTACATGTTGCTTACCTACCTCTGATGTTCGCTTGGATCGATCTGACTGGCTGTTTCACCTGGGCGCTTGTTACACTACTCGCAGCTGCGTGCACAATCGCGCGCAACGCTACGGTCCACCTGCCAACTAGTGCGCTCGGATGCAGGCCACTGTCGGGTTCGGCAGAACCGCTGAAAAGCCGGAAGATTAGGTATGTACCCCATCCCATGTAGGTCGAAGGCCTAGAAGTCGATACTCCAGTTACTACTGGACGACCGGAGCTTCATTCTCTGCGGCATGACCGGAACTCAACTCATGCTATGCATCCACAGGCCCCGCGGCCGTCGATGTCTTTCCCAAGCTCGCATAACGGAAGGCACTTGCACCGAACCGGTTCTCTCGATGTGCTCTACTCTACTCTGCTCCAGGTGGGTGCTCTGGCTCTGTATAGCCTCGATGCTGAAGCCTTCGACCTAACCATGAGGAGATGCGCCGCTCAACCCGCCCGCCCTTCCCTCCGGCATTTTCGGTACTGCTATGGACCACATGGTTGCCATTGGATGTTTGAGGCTTTCTGTTTTCACCTCGACAGAGGCGGCATGCCGGTACATGCTAGGTACTATAGTCTACCTAGGGCACACGATCGCCATCGGAGCAGGGCGACAAAAGATCGGACGAAACGGCACTGATTAGCAACAGTGCTGCAATGCTGGTGAGAAGCTGGAGAATTGAAGCGAAGGAAACAGGTATGTACGTGGAGCGCCACCGTCCTCCCTACGCTCGCGTGTTTGAAAGCCACTTGCATACCGTCGTTAACTTTCAGTGCCGTCTCCGGCTGAGGGGGATAGTTATCGGTACCTACCCAGGTAGGTAGTCGAGAGTCGAGACTCGGGTTATGCATATGCCAGTTTCCCGCCGATATTAAATCCGCTCGACACAGCCACCTCGTGGCATTGCCTGCAGGATCCATCGAGCCCCATCACTGAGCGGCCCGCGCTGTCATGGAATGACGTGCCAATCGGTGCGATCATTGCAGCCCCAAGGGGAGCTATTCGCCACAATGGTCATCACCTGCCCCCACTTCATTGCAGTGGGGACCTGCGACTCTGCGACTCTGCGCCCTTTCTAACAATTCTGCTACTTACAGCAGACTTGGCGCTCCGGGGAAAAGATCTAGTTGTCTCGCTTCCGTTGCTGCGCACCCAAAAGAAAGTGAAGACTGGTCGGGGTCTTGGGGGCCGATTGGGTTATCGATCCGACCGGGATTGTGCGGGTCTGCCGCGTGGCTGTGCATGGCCTGCCTCATTCCTCAGATTCCTCACTTTCGTCTCACGTTCGAGCTTCCCCAACCTACATTTGGTGCATACTTCACGGTACCTAACGGTCTGGCGTCTGCAGCAGACGTCTTTGAGCCCTGGATCATCGCGACATCTGCGCGCCGTCTCGGTACTCTATTCACGGTGCGTCGTCGAACAACACCACCACCACCATCACCACGGAGCTCAGAATCCGAGAATCGGAAGACCAGACAACTACCTACCTACCTATGCTAGCGCTTCAGCGCAGTGGCCGCGCACGCCGGTAGCATGTACGTTCAGATGCGAGCCCTTGGTCAAAATGTTAAGCCGTCATGGACTTTTGAGCGATCCCAACCGATCGGCAGTGCTGCGCCGCGCTGCGTCGTCGAGGGTAGCTAAGTACTAGCTCTTTGCCACACCGGGTGGCAAAATGTGATTCGTACAACCATGCATAACCGCTCGATCCTCTCGTGTGCTGCGGTCTGCCATTCGTCCCGATTAGCCGCGCAGTAGCCGCACCCGGCCAGCATGTAACCGGGGCGCCCCCGGTACGGAACCTCAAACCCACGACCTGGAGAATCGTTATTCCGTCCGAATCCCCCTACAGGCTACAGTAGGTAGGTCCACGGCGCGTTGAGAGTCGGACATTCTTTTGGAAATTGCTGGGCCGCTTCTGGATGAGGACGCCACCTCACTTGCTGGTGGCGGTGATCACTGTCCAGCAACCATGCAGGTGATGTGCATTGCAGAGACCCTTGCTGATCGTCGGGTGTTGCTCCCGAGCAAATCGAATCTCCTCGCGGAAACGGATTAAGTATCGAAAACTGGGAATCTGGTTACGGATGATTGTTTTCTTCTCAGGAAAAACAAACAGCTCTCAGCAAGCTGAAACGAACAGAATTCGGATTGCCGCGGTGACCTACCTACCGTGCCTACTCTACCGGTACATACCGGAGGTGCCTTGATGCGGCCGCTAGCCCGCCACAAAGATCCCCATCTCATCCGGGTGAGATGACCAGGTGGCTTGCGTGCGCCATCGCAACCGTAGGTATGGATGCGGCAGGTACCGGGCAGCCAATTGGCTTCGACCGCCACGAATTGGCCAGCTCGACTGTACTCTACATACCTACTCCACCTTCGAGCCGTGCGATCGGAAGCTGAAATTTTTGCCATGGTGAGGTTTCGACACCTTCGACTTTTGACGCGTTTGCGACCGTGGTGTGCTGCGGAATGGCGGCCTTATATCCGGCGTGCTGTTGTGCGCCTCCGACCGATAACTATGTTCTAGAACTCGCAGCAAGCATTCGCAAGTGCTATCCATGGTTCGGGGACTGGCAATGGAGTACATACCCATCTTGGCCCCGCCATTCCTGCTGACTTTTCGGTCGTGTTGGACTCGAGAATTGAGACGCTCCCAGCATGTACATATGGTACTCTAGAGTACTACCTACAAAGTCGTCAAGTCGGGGCCGGTGGGTGGGAAGTGTCTCCGCGGGATTGGGGCGTTGTAGGTCCCTTTCGCAGGCTTGCGAAAGTGTTGATTTCACTCGATCCTGTTCACCGCACTGGAAGTCGAATCGCCGGCCCGGGAGCTCGGATCCGTTTTGTCTGTTTGTCGGAGATCGGTCAAGATGGACAGACCAGGAGTACCTACTTACCCAGGTACTCTGCGGCCTTGTGTGGTCTGCTTCTCACGTTTATTTCCATACCGGGCCTTGTCAAGCCTCAAGCCTCAAGACCCAAGCATTCCCCAAAATTGCGACTGCAGTGGTGACCCCGGCACCAAAGGGTGGAAATCACAGCGGGCAAGGGTTAGCACAAAGCTTGTAGAGTACCAAGTGGGTAAGTATCATACGCATGTCGAATTTTTCCGCGATGCCTAATGGTGATCGAGTTGTGGCACCCGCCACTCCGCTAGGCTAGAGGCAGGCTAGACTGGCTGGAGAACGCATCGGTTCAGTAACGACAACAGCAATATGGCACTTACTTACTTACTTGTGTAGAATACGGTATGGGCTCCGCATACGGGCCTGCTGCTTGGTGCTACTGGTGCCCACTGCCCACTGCCCACTGCCCACTGCCCACTGCCCACTGCCCACTGCTCACTGCTCACTGCCCACTGCCCGCTGCTCACTGCTCACTGCTCACTGCTCACTGCTCACTGCTCACTGCTCACTACGCACTGCTCTGCTCTGCTGGGCCCTGGCAACTCGAAATCTAAAAGCAGAAAATACGCAAGACCGCCATTATCTCCTGTCCCGCCTAAACGGTGCTACGGCTTTCGCGTCCCTCGCCACAGTCGCCGGAAAATCACCCCTTCCTTTCTTATTCCCTCTGACGGTTACGCAGCGGAGCACCTGCTTGCGTTCAAAGATCCCGCCTGCACTCGTTTGCCCGTGGCCAGGGACACGCCTCTCTCAGCCGCTCAACCGGTACGCACAGCTTCCCCGAGACGCACACGATCGTTCTGTGCGCTGTAACCAACCACCCCCATCAATCCTCCTCTACCTCACATGTTAACTTATAATCACTTCCACTCTTCAGCTCAATCTCTTGGGCCACCCCCAGCAAGACTCCTCATCCCCGCACTGCGATCCCATATAACCTTACTCCCAGTTAAGCAGGTACGCGGAAACTCCGTGGGCTGTCAAATCTTTGACCTGGACGTCTGGCGCCTGTTACCACCTCACACCCGGGACCCCACACACCCCCCAGTGACGTGGGCTGTTGTTGCACTTCCTGATAGGCCAGAGCTTCGGCCCTTCTAGTGTGGAGCGTTGCGGTCCCTACAATTTGCTTTTCCTTTCGAGATCTTCCGTGTGCTACGGTGCTGCTGCCCTCGCCCACACCGAGCTAAACATAGAGGGCTGCATACTTACTTACCTACTACGAACTGCTCGCCGTCAACCAGTGGGAACTCCTTGTTTTCGAGCCTACTACTGCATACACTTGCCGGCTGGTGATTCGCCTCCTCCAACCTTCCGAACCCAGGGATTCTGGGCCGTACTCGACTCAAAGGAGTCTCTTGGCCTGAGACATAACACCTGCATCTCTAACCGTTCCGCTTGCTTGGTCCGGCGGCTTGGACAGGAGCCAGAAGCATCCCTCCACTAGTGCGTATCTTTGCTCATTGGAAGTTTTTGAGAGCGGCACTTGGTTTCTTCTGTGAGTACATTCCATGATCCATCGGTAGCCCCCTTGAGTACCTTCTCTCCGCCCTATTCGCATCACCGACTCCCCCGACATGTTGTGAACATGCTCTTCCCTTATATTCCGTGTGGTGGCCGGCTGCATCGCATAGATGAAAAGTTGACTGAGTTCAGCGTTGTCTAAGATTTCGTCATGGACACCATCGTTGAGCCCCTTCAAAATGTTATCGTTACCTCCTCGCTACCGCCCTCGAATGCTGGTGGGATTTTCTGTAGCCACTTCCCCCCTGAATCGGCAATAAAATCTGACCATCATCCTCCAGCGTCGATCCGGCCCTATCCTTCACCTCCTCCGCAGCTAACCGACGATATGTCCGCTCCCTTCGTTCCGCAGGAATTTCAATTCCCCGCACATCAGCCACCGCCACAGCCGTTCGTTCCCGCACACCATCATCAGCCCATCCAGAGACCACACAGTGTTGGAAATGCACCCTCCACATCGTCGACGCCATCACCCTTCAACATGGATGCTATGCAACGAAATTTGCCGGTACCAGGCCCTGGCTATTCCCCGCAAGCCTTGCCCGTGGCAGGCCAACTTCCGCTACAGCCCTCGCGACACCCCCATCACATGCAACAGGGTCCTCATCCGTCAACGCATGCTCCCGCGTACAGCAAACCAAGGTTCCAAACCGGTCCCTCTCCAGCTGCTGTTGCGTACCAAATATCACAACAAATACAGCAATATCAGGGTGGCCTCGGTGGAGGACCACCGGCGGACATGTACAACCATAGCTACCAGCAGTCACCAACCTATTACACTTATGGCCAGCAGTCATACACCACATTCCACCCAGACCCTCAAGGCGAGGTGCTTTTCCAGGTGCCGTTCTCGGCGAATTATCCGCCGCCTTCCTATCCAGTTGCCCCGGGTCCGGGCAATGTACCAAATCATGTCGGACAAACATGGTATCCACCACCTCAGCAGCAGAATCAGCAGCACCAGCAGCAACAACCACCGACACAATACTACTACGCCCCACCCATGAACTACGTTCAACAGCCTTTACAGATGCCCCAGGGCCCAGTGGGTCATTTACAACCATACCCCGTCGCACCCGAGCAACCCCGAAGACATAGTGTACCTCGCCGAAAAAGAGGACCCGAACCCGACGGCGCCGGACATCCAGGCGGATACCATCTATCTCCGGCAGTCCGGGGCGCTGCTGCCAGTGAGTTGCTTCTCTGAAATGTGTGCACAGCTTTCTCCCAGACACATTCTAATTCCAAAGGTGGGTTTAAAGGCAGCTCTAAAAGCACTCCGAACATTGGCAGCGCAACGCCTACCCACCCATCCTCGCCGTCAGTTCCACGAGGTCCTCCGAGGAAGCCGAAACAAACTGGCTACGCGCTATGGGTGGGTAATCTGCCGTTGTCGGCCGACGTAGCGGCCTTGAAGGATCACTTCTCTCTCTGCTTCGGACACGAACTCGAAAGTGTCCGGCTCATTCCCAAGAGCAATTGTGGATTTGTCAACTATCGCACCGAAGCGGCCCGTGACCAGGCCATGTTGCGGTTCAACAATGCTAAGTTCAAGGGAACCCGTCTCGTGTGCAGGCTCCGGCCTCGGGGTCCCGCTGCGCCAGCTGCCAATGCGGCGGATTCATTGACGCCTTCACCGCCCGATGCTTCGGGCCAGGCAAGTGGTGATGAAGGCTGCGCTGCGATCGACGCAGCGGCTGAGACCCAGGATCAAACCGCATCGGCACTGGAAGTTGGCCGGGCACCACCCACCGGACCGTCGGGAGCGAGGGTCCCCCGGACCAACGCTAAGTTCAGATACTTTATCCTTAAGAGTCTGACTGTAGAGGATTTGGAGTTGAGCCAGAAGAATGGAGTCTGGGCAACCCAGAGCCACAACGAAGCTGCGCTAAACCAGGCATTCGAGGTGAGTTGAATCACCCACCTTGGTATCAACGACCATCTGCTGATATGAAGTTTTGTTTACTCCAGGCCGCCGAAAGTGTGTTTCTAATTTTCTCTGCAAACAAGTCGGGGGAATACTATGGATACGCCCGTATGACGTCCAAGATCACAAACGATCTGTCGAACAAAATCTCTACCACCGAGCTACCGAGCCAAACCCCGGTACAGAAATCCCACAGCGAACAAGTGGAGTCCGATGCCGAGCTCCCAAAGGCCATCTACACCGCCGCCACGGAAACCGCACGAAAAGGCCGCATCATCGACGACTCTGCACGGGATTGTATCTTCTGGGAGGCGCTGAGTGACGGCGACGAGGAGTCGGACGAGGACGGCTCCGAGATTGGGAAGGTGGTGTCGAAAGTATGGGGCAGACCGTTCAGAGTGGAGTGGCTCTGCACATCTCGATTGCCGTTCCATCGCACGCGGGGCATACGCAACAGCCTGAACGGTGGCCGGGATGTCAAGATTGCCCGAGACGGAACGGAGCTGGAGGAACACGCGGGTCGACGTCTCCTCCAGATGTTTCACCAATGGGGCATGCCATAGGCGACGATGCTCTGTCAGACCATCCGCGTGGTATGAGATCCAATGGACGGGTTTGGAGAACTTCGCTGACGTTCATCCCAAGCGGTCGTTGGGTTCTGCCTCCCGTGTGGGTTAAATTGTGTGGACACTTCTGATAGCCACTGCCGGGCCTTTCTTCCTCTTTCTCTTTCCATCCGGAATTGATAATGATGTATTTGACCGCCATTTTCACTTTTTGGGTTCGGTTCCGTAGTGTAAAAGTTGTGCGATTCTTTTCTCTCACACACACTCTCTCATTTCTTCTTGCCTTCGTAGTTTCTCCTGAGTAGTATTTTAGTCACTAGTTTAACCGGAATTTCATGGACGGTATTTGATGTGAACTTTCGGTCCGAGTGATATACCGGTGATCGACGATCTACCACGTGCCATTCTTGCTTCTTTAACCTTAACTAGCGTAACATGCTTCCTTGCGAAAACGTCTCAACTCCGTTCGTGAGCTTGAATAGGAAGCTCCAGAGCATGTAGTAGCTCAAGGACAAAACTTCTGACGTCCCCCTTTGATTTTACGAATCCTGTGGGTACATTGTAGCCCTCACGATTCACGAAATGAAGTTTTTGCCAAGCATACAGACAGACAGGCCGGCACAAATACTTCGTCTAGGTAACTTCGTCTATTGCTTCAAGTCTGTATGTACTGTAACGAGGACGCCGTTGCCGAGGCGTATTTAACTATGCCGGTCCCAGCTTCCGGGAACATGTAGCTAGAGTAGCGAGGCCCGACTCCCGAGTGAGAGCTCGATCCCGGGGGATGGACCGGGGCTAACTAGAGTAGAGTAATAGCTGAGTTCAGCTCAGCTCCCCCCCCATGGCCAGGAAGCTAGCTTTACCATATACGTCACTGCCACGGTCCAGTGTCGTCTCGAAGACTCAAAGACTCGAAGACTCGAAGACTCGAAGACTCGAAGACTCGAACTCGTTGGGTTTCAGCTTTACGAAGGAGCTGGACTCTGGGAGAAAGATCCCGAGATCCCGAGATCCGATCCGATCTTTTGTGCGGCGCGCGCGGGTAAGTATTAGGTACATACTTGTTAGTTAGTTGAGCCGGACAGACCGGGAAAAAAAATGCGATGCTTCTGTTTCTGTTTTATACTGATTATGGGGTTGGGGGTTACTACATACCGGGGGGGTTTTCTTAGTCCGGGGGTGAGCTTTTTAGCCCCGGGGAGGGGGAGGTGTGATCGAACCAATCGGAGAATTCTCCTGGCTGCAGGAACAAACCGCAAGAGTCTCACCTCACCGCACCTCACCTCACCTCACCTCCCACTATGACGCGGATATATGATTATATATAGTGTACTATTAGGATCCCGTCGTCGTCCCCCGCGAAAATCTATAGCGCCTAGGTATGTAAGGCGATGGACTGCCACTGACTAGGGGGCGGGCGGGGGAGGGGTGGGGTGAAAAGGGAGGGGGGGACGACTTCGATGTATCAACTCACGTTTCGCATGCATAGCGACATCACAGGTGGCTACGCACGCTTCACCGTGGCTCGGTTAGTCTGCCGTCCAGTGTCCACACACGCTTTGGATTTTCTCCTTGGACGGGACTGGACGGCAGATCAAGATCAGGACGGGGCTACCTCCTTTGTACCGTTATTTAGAACACCACCCTTTCCCCGCACGCCCGCGTGCTTCTGTCCTGCTTCTGGTCGTCGAATCGCGCGCTTCTTGCTACAGCACAGCACACACAACCACCTTGCAGGCACATATCGGGTGCAGTGAAGCCCGATAGGTACACTCTCCTTTTTTTGAACAAACAAATAAACACAACGGATGCCACTTGACGGACACGACTGACACGACAACGGTCTTCCATGAATATCATCGCCGCCAATGTCGAAACCTCGATTTTTGACACCGTGGGTGACGGCCGCGGACGGCCAGCAGCAGCAGCAGCAGCAGCAGCAGCAGCAGTATCGGACTATCTCCACTGACGAACTCGAAAGCGCCGCCGGCAGCGGGGGGAGCGGCTGGAGTAATAACAACAACAATAACAACGACAACAAGTATCTGCGCCCAGCGGACTACAATAGCAACACCACCCGGATCGAATCCACGGTGTCCATCGGCACGAGCAAGCAGATCCAACAACACCTCGACTCCGGGAATGCGATCTACTTTGGCGTGGACCCGCGGGACTGCAGTCGTATCCGGCGGGATACCACGCAGTGCTCCGAGTTCCTGGCAAAGCGGCTGCAGAGGTTCCAGCGTACCGGTGGCAGCGGCGCGGATGAGCGCCGCTCGGTCTTGATGAAGATAGTCTGTGGACTCTCGTTGGACTGCGTGGCTAAGATCACGCTGGTCGCGGGACTGTATCTCGGCGCTCATCTGTGCCTCACGGGAACGGAGACGTTTATCGGTATTATACTTTCCCATTCCACAGTTATATTTTATATGTATGGATATTGACTATTCAATAGCAAAGAAGGCGGACCGCGAAGGCTTCTCATTCCTAATCGCCATCCTCCAGATAGTCTGGGGCGCCTACTTCTCCAGCGTGTGCATCTTCGGCATGTCGCTGATGTGGGGCAAGTTCCGCGTACGTATCCCCCCCCTCATCTTGCCCTCCCACGGCACACTGACTTCTCCAGCGCTCGCCGACCGCCGCGCTGCTCTTCAGCATAATCTGGACCTTCACGACCTTCGTGATCCTCGTTACGGCGGGCCTCTTCTTCTACTTCTTCCACAGCGGGCGATCGGCGCTGATCTCCAACTGCCGAGCACGGACCGTGCGGGCCGGACCCCGACGCTGGGACGTGGGGCAGGACGCGCCGCGGCGCAGCGCGCCAAAAGACCGCATCGAGGCGTGCATCGAGAGCATACAGATGCGTGGCATGGCGCTGCTGGTGTACGCCATCGCACACCTGTTCATGGCGCTATTCGCGCTCGTTGTGGTCGCCTGGGCAAGGGACTACCGCGGAAGGCTACGCACCATAGAACAGTTCAGACTGCTGCAGGAAAGGTACAAGTGCGAGGATGAGAAGGTCGAGTTGGTCATTGGGACAGTGCCCATCGGGATGCGCGGAAGGGCGCAGCAGGCTGAAAGGACGGCCGCGGCTTGTCCGCTCAGTGCAGGTACGCCCCGAAGTACTAGGCCCAGGACCTCGCTCATGGACATGTTCGGCGTGCTGCCGATCTCCGGCAGGCGCTCGGAACTGTATGCCACTGGGGGGCCGCCACCGTTGCCGGCACCGCCTCCACTCGCCGTGGTAAGAGAAGAGGGATCGGTGGTTTCCACCGCGAAGGTCTTGTAGTACTAGAGTATAGTCGGCTGCTGTCTCATTTCCTGTTGGTCGGGTTCCCCGAATTTTTTCCATGTCTATCTGTCTGCTTGCTGTATTTCTTTCTTTCGTGGGATGGAGAGTACATCAAATGTATGTACCACATGTCGCGCGTCGTTTGGCTCTGCCGTATATTGTGGCTGATCAATTTCTTTTGTTTCTTCAGTAATCGAGTGCTGCCTGTCCAGACTATGGCGGTGTCATACAATACATTGTATTGTGCACTCTCCCCACTGTTCCTGTCTGCACTCTAATTAGTCCCGGTAATAGACTCGGTGCAGCAACCTCGCTTGAGCTTCCCCCGCCCTTCGCTTGAGTGCGTATATAAAGTATTTTTTCTGCTATTGTTTCGGTAGGGCAATATATCCCAATCTAGGTGTACTCTAGTTAGTAGTAGTAGTATGTAGTGCTCATATGTAAGAGACTCCCGAACCCCAAATCACAGGCGAGACCATCGAGTGATAATCATGATGCTGGAGCAGGCAGGTACCAGCACGAACGGGGTGAGGTTGCTGATGAACGAGGTTTCCTCAGTGTCGTCACATCCCTTTGATTGTTTCCACAGAGTAGAGCTACGGCACGGGGGGGTGGAGAGACAGATGGGTGGAGGCAACTACTGTATAGTGAAGGGGGGGTAAAAAATACGCTTTTTTCCGTATCAGTGCGGTCAAAAATCGTATTTTTTACCCCCCCCTTCGCTATACAGTAGGTACAGTAGCAAAAAGTAGAGTGCGATTGATACGGGGTGAATACCGCGGTCATTTGAATACCGAAGAACTACTAGGTTTTTACTTAACCAAAACTACGGGTGAAGTAAAAACCTGGTAGTTCTTCGGTATTCAAATAACCGCGGTATTTTTCAGGTAGTAATCGCACCCCACTTTTTGCTACTGTAGTGTGTAGGTTATGATGTCGGGCTGATGTCAAGTGGTATGGAGAGGTGACTGTGCGGCCGACTAAGAGATCCCTCGCCGCCGCCGCACCACCTATGCCCGCACCACAAGCCAGCCTTCTTCAGCCGGTTGATGAGCGGTTACTTGCTAGTAACCAAACTCGGACTACCCCCTGTGTCCCCCACTTGCCCCCCGTTGCGGTGAAATATTTTTAACGATCTAAGGGATAGGGTAACTGCTCATCCTCAATCACAGATCCGATTTCAGATGATAACCTGCAGCTGGTGGAGGTGGAGGGGGGTACCTAAATTTCCGGCCTCGTGAGTAGATAGGTAGGTCGCATGCAATTACTGATTAGACAAAAAAAAAGTAGGTACCAGCACAATGTGCTTCCTATCACGAACCCGACTTAAGAGCGCGGGTAGCTCTAGTAGAAAAAAGTAGGTACCAGCACGAAGGTGCCCCACTTCACGAACAACCCGACTCAAGAGTGCGGCGAACTCTGGTAGATTGATCGCATCAACAGAAATGCAGGTGCGGCGGTCGATTCATCTAAACAGCACAGAAAAAGAAAAAAAAAGAAAGAAAAAGAAAAAAAAACAGGGGAAAAAACATAGAACGCAAGAAAAGAAAAAGAACAGGAAAATGAAAACAAAACATCAAGTTTTCACGGGAGTTGAATCCCCGACGGAGAGTGTTGAAAAACAGGGGGAAAAACACAACACGCAAGAAAAATTAAATTTTTTAACATACACCACTTATATGTCATAGATGAAAAGCCGGCGTCCCAGCTTTTCGGCCATATATTCCATCCAATCCACCGTTGGACCGCCGACTTGCTGGCGATCGTAGACTTCAAGCAACGTCTGGTTGACGACCTCGACGTTCCGGCCGACGCTGGTCTTCTCGAACTCCGCGAAGGTGTCGGCAACCCACTGCTTTATATGCATCTCGCGAGACTCTATCCCGGCGAGGAAGAGAGGGAAAAGCATGTATCTGTGGTTCACGGTGAGAATGTGCGAGGGGTCTTCGCCTGACGCTAGTGTTGCGGCTTGATTGACGATGGCGGTTATTGACGAGAGTATCTCCTCAACCTTCTCGTTCGTGAGGGCGGTGCGCTGGTTGGGGAAGACCGAGGTGAAGCCGAAGATCACGACCGTGTTGTATAGCGCACACGCCTACCTGGCGTCAATGAACGGAAGCATGGAAACGTCGGGAGCGGGAAACATACATGTTGATATGTCTCCTGTATCACCAGCACGACACGTGAACCACCAGCAGAAGCAGCAGCATACGCACCCGTCAAGACGGCAGAATTAATCATTCCATGCACCTTAGGTTGCTCAGCCTGCCACATGTCTTTCAGCTGGTAGACCATCCGACAGCATTCACCCTCACCATAGACCTTGGTCGGGTCCGGTGTCGGATCCCGCATCTTGTTGGAGAGTTGCCCCAGCTTTACCGCCTGCACCACCACCTTCTGCGCGAGTTCCAGCACCTCCTGGAAGAGATCGACTATATCGGGGGATTCTGTGAGGACCAACGACTCGACTATGTGCTTCGGATCCGGCATGAATCCCTGCTCGCTCAGCCAGTTGATGAGTTTACCGGTTCCTCCAGCGGAGAGCACAGCGTAGGTATCGATAATGACGAGGCACCACACAAAGTAAGGAAACGACTCCTTGCCGAACGCATCCGACCGAGCGCTCATAATGTGGCGAAGTTGGGTGAGATGTTCTTCCCACATGCACTCATACCATTGTTCGGCAGCCAAGATCTGATAGAGTAAGAGTAAGAAATGGGTGAACATTGTGCCGTCGGCACAGAGATCGATGGTGTTCTTGAGGCCTATTTGGAGGGTCGGAAGCGCTTGTTTGTAGTGCTGGAGGGCGTCAAGAGTAAAATATCCTTTTCTATGGCACGAACTCATGACAGACACTGCAAGAATAGCATGAAAAAGCTGTACACTAACAGATTAGTTCATCTGCCACTAAATAGGGACGAATGGGACGACGTCCCGCGAACTAACAGGAGGGAATTTAACGCTTTCGCTTTCGAAGGGATCCAAATCGAGGCCTCCCGGGAAAGTCGTGGTGCTCTTTGGATGGAGTCTCGCGTCGTGCATTCGTAGGAGCTTTGGGGCAATAAAACGGCGATGATACTCTAGGTTTCCGGCTACAAGGTCACTGTCATCGATACAATGCATCCAATCGATGACTCGCAGCGGACACTTCTCCACTGGATTAGCTGAACATCCGTTCGGCTGGCTGAACTCACTCGGTTCGCCGGTTTTCGGCGTATTGACGGGCATGCTGTTTCGCCGGACTTGTGTCGGCTCTTCGAATTTTCGCAGTATTACGATTTCTGGGTCATCGGGGTTGGGAGGGGATAGCAGGTTGAGTACCGAATCCCACGCCATGTCGGAGTGGATATCCAACTCTTCGGCTTTGAGGATGGGTGGATCGACCTCGGCCATGGGGGTAGCGGAGATGACATAGTTCCCGCCGCCCCCGTCGCCGCCACTGCCTCCTGGGTCGTCCTCCTCGTCCTGAAAGCTGTCCGGGTTGCATATAAGATGGTAGGTGCCGGGCTTCCTCGTGATGGCCTTCATCTCTCGGTCGATGTCGTTAGTCAGGTCTGCGAACCGGGGAAGAGCATGGCTGTCTGGTGGCGGTGGGTAAACGAAATCTCGTGCTCTCTCGTAGGATGTTTGAGCTTCGAGGTTAGTTGGTAAAGTAAATCATGAGGAGGCCCCATGTACTTACGATCCCACACAATGCTTCCCTGCGTAGAAACATCAGGCATCCGTCCCATAATTCTCCTTGTGTCGTCCCTGAAGGAAATCCGAGGACTGTAGTCGCACCTATGCTGAAGCCTAGCACATTGCTAGTCCAGGAATCAAGGATGAGCAAGCCGACTTGCCATCTGCTGGGGTCGCACCTACACCGCACTTGGGGCGCTTCTCGTCGCATTTGACCTTCCGAGTCTAAACCGGTGTTGCATATCAGCATTTGCACCTGCACCAAATGGAACGCTACCTATACAAAAACGACGAGTAAGCGGAGGAAAGGGTACCCGACAAGTCCTGTGATTTCGTTATCTTATTTGCATACTCCGGGATATTGCTGCTGTTAAGAGGATAGGGTGATGGCTTACCAACAGCCGCTCCGTGATCTCGGGGGCAGCCGGCCCTTCGAGGGCGAGGAGACGGCGATGTTGCCAGAGAGCTGTTCGAGGTGATTAGCCGGCAGTATCCTGTAAGCTGCTTGCTCTTGTACGTTCTTTGGGGCGATTGGCATCAGCTTTGGGATCCGGGCCTTTGACGGATTGACTTCTTTCTGATCGGATTTGTTTGTGTGCAGAAATGGACTGGCCATGCCACTGAAGCTCCTCTGTCGCCCCCTAAGTGATACTCAGTATTAGCAGTAAAGCAGCATCTTCCGGACAACAGTATATATACCTCCGCTTCCCACGACGTACTGTTTCGTACCGCCTACAAGTATTTCTCTTCACCGGTACAAGCGTATCGGGTAGAAATAATAGTAGAATAATAATATGAAGTGGTTCCGAGGATCTATTTCCATGCGTTCGATTGATTCTGGGGCCCTTTTTCGGGCCTATGGTGGGCATCGAAAGGCCAAGCCCGTGGAATCGAAAGTTGAAGCCCGTGGAACCGAAGATGCAGGGGTAATTCGCAGGTGAACGAGGTGCATGAAGAGTAAAACATGAGGAGTTAGTTATTTTATAGATGTTGGAGAAAAGTTAGGCAGATACAATTGAGTTTCAAAAGCGAAGGAGTGAGTTGGAAGGGACTAGCAAGGAGTGGAAGGGCGGGTTTTGATTTAGAGCTTCTCGCTGCGAGATTCCCACAATTCTAGTCATGTAATTACATTATATAAAGTAAAGGAATCCACCTCACAACGTGTCGAACCAAAATACCATTCCCAGGCTGGGGACGCGCGGCAGCTTATGACGCAAAGTTAAAAGGCCTGACTCCAGCTTTTAAAGAATTCTAGAGTTACTGCCCAACTACACGGAACCCATATGCTATGCACCAAGAAGAAGAACCGCAGTAGGATTCAGAACCCGCAAAACCACCGGTGACTTCTCGTTGTCAAGGGTCTTTTTTACATCTGCATGAACCTTCCCCACAAACTCGCGGCAATCTGGCGTGTCCATCGCCCGCTTGTGCCGCTTGAGAACAGTCGTGAAGTACTCCAGAGACGAGGCAGCCTTGACACGCCCAGCTTCAAATCCAAGATCGTTTCCATGCTCGAAGATCCGGTTCCAGACTCTCCCAAGGATTGGTGTCCATGTGTTGTCTTTCAGTTTCATTTGGGACTGTGCGAGGCGTTGAATGACCAATGTCACGGAGTCGATACCACATGTTTTTAGCTCGATGTTGGTCCCGGTGATATGTTTCTCGAGCATCCCCACGACACGTGAGACTTGTTCCAGCACTCGTCGTTCTATAAGAAAGAGATCAGTATTAAGATGTCCTCGGAAGATAGACGACGTAACATACCATCTTGTATTATGCCTGGCCGGAAAGCTTGGGATACTGCCTTCACCCCGTTCACGGCTAAACCGTGGGCCCTGAAAGCGTGTTAGTATTGCACTAGTAAATGATTTCCATCTCAAAAGTGCTCACAATTCCTTGGCCGACTTTCCATCCGCGCCGTCAACATCCATCTCATCCTCATCGGAAGGCGCGATGGCAGAATCGACAATGTCATACGTCTTGTCGAATAGATCAAGTGTTTCGAAACCGTCGGCAAATATCCCGAGACATTTGATTGCCGGTCCACGGTAAGCATGGTTATTCCGCTTGGCCTCTCGTATGACAACCTTAAAAAAATCGTCAGCAATGATCGCGAAGACTATCTCCTAGGGGAGGTGCATTAACTCACCTGCTCAAGCTCCTTAAGCTTTTTATCGTCACCACCCAGACTTTGTTTCGCATCCACGGCAAAGGAAACGAAGGCCTCGAGAACCTTCTCCTTACCTTCCCAGCTCTTGCCAGCAACAGCGACCACAAGTGCAGGCCATAGCACTTGGAGCTGTGAAAGGGTAACATCGCGCGCTATAAAGTATCACCGTCAGAAATTTCCCTATCAGACGTAATCCCCAAAGTGAGTGGTCCCGAGCTCCATGAGAATTTGGCATTGGCGGACCAAAAGCGTAGATTCCCTCCGCCCTCCTCTCCCCACCAAAACGTACTAGAGATAGATGGGTAAACTCACAAATGGATTTAGCCGCTTCCGCAAGCGCAAAGGCGCACGTCTGTCTTGTTGACCACCGAGCCGACGTGATGTTTGTTGTGCTGAGCTGTACAATCTCTGCCAAGTAGAGCTTTACAGCGCCGGAGCCGCCGGTATTCTCCGTCCATGTTTTGCCGAACTCCTCGCTGACCGATTCATCGGTGTCGTTCTTGGCGCAGAAAATGAACGGCAGAATTTCCACCGCCAGTTCGTTTGCCCGGTCAGTGGCACTTATCGCGAAGGGAAGGGAAAGTCAGCATGCATACCACTTGTAGACAGGAAATTTGGAACGTACTGTTTATACACTGCCGCAAGAACCGCGCCAGAAGCTCTTCTCTCCCGTTCCTCTCCTTCCCAGTAGTTCTTTTTCGCCCACTCAACGATTTTCAAAATCCCTTTGTCAGCGGCAATCCGGCATGCATATCCAATTGCAACGGCGTATCCCCTCGAGACTACTTCACTGCGGTCTTTGACTGCCGCAAGCAAAACCTTCGCCACTTCGTCTGCATATGGTTTGAATAGGACCGGGTGTCTCATGACAAGATTCACTACCACTCTGCTACACCCCACTTTCGAAGGCAAGCTCAAGGATGTACGGATCGCTTTCGTCAGCTGTGGGATAAGCTTCGCCGTGCTTGGGCCATCCAGTTTGTCCAAGAGGTCTTCGATTGCCGACATGATTGGAGATGCCCTAATCGAGTTTAATCGGATTCGGTCAATCTTCGCGATAGTCAGTTGTAAATTCCGTGAAGTTACGGGGTAAAATTCTCAGCAAAATACCTCTTCTCCAGTGGTGTTATATTTATCTGCGTTCATGATCAGATAGTTGACTGCCTCTGGCTCCAGATCGGCCAGCAGAACAAGCATCTTTTCGACGATGTCAGGGATCCATGGCCTAAGCTGTTCGCCGGCGCTCTTGATGACCTGCAACAACGTACCTAGAAACCCAGAACTCAGCCTTTATGTCCACATGTCATGAGGAAGATATATCAGGCCAGGCGACTTACTCATAGCGAACAACTGCACGTCCTTCGCCTCCGCCTCAAAACCTTGTCGTCCCATTAAGAACTCCATCAGGATCGCCAGAATCTCAGCGTTTTCCTTCGGACGAACACCCCCCTCCATGGCTCTAACCATTCCAGTAGTGAGCACTTTGCAGAGCTTCATGGCAGCCAAGCGTACGCTCTCCTTGACATCGTCCAAAACCTTGAAGGCGATTTTCCAGATTTCCTGAAGGTAACCTTTATATTGGGAGACCTTCCTGCCGCTGAGAAGATCCGCAAGAGCAGCGATACTGGCTTCTCGCACTCTCCATTCACTCCCCCGAACAGCACCGCTGAGACACTCACGTAAGATGTTTTCCCACCATCGCTCGACAGTTTCCGGTCCGCCACCGAGTGCTTGCCAAATCGCGTTCATGCTCTGGCGCACTCCCGATGATGGATCGAAGCGGTACCTGTAAAGGACCGGCCATAGCTTTTCGTTGTCTTTGACTTCTGTTGAACTGGAAAGGATTTTGCCCAGGCCGAATCGTCCGAATGCTGCTCGTGATGCCCACACGGAATTATGGCGGGCCAGTGTCATGAACTTATAGACGAGGCTAGGATCACCAAGCTCTGCTGCGAGTGACTGAATAAAGATTGGGTGTGTCAGCTTTTAACTCAAGGTAATATGGTTCGGGTGACTAGACTCGAAACGAAAAGCAGTCATAGTGAAAGTTCGAAAGAGGTGCCTTACCATGATATCTCCATACGATCCCACGCTTGAGCCATCCCCGGTAGGTAGCTGGCCAGGCTCGAAGAGCTGCGTGTCACGGGAAACCTGTATTTTCTGCTTCGTCTCTCCGGTGAAAGATGATACGAGTGACCGCACAAGATCCTGCTGCGTCTCCTCATCCGAGAGACTGTAGACGGCCGTGAGACCCCGGGCGGCGGTTTCCTGAATGAAATCTACCACAAATGATTAGAAACGGTCCGATCTCAAGACTGGGAAATGAACGTACCGTCTCTATCCGTCAGGAAAGTTCTGAAGGCCTGTTGTGCATCACCCAGCCTCTCCTTAACGGCCTCATCTTCGCTACAAAACTCGAAGGCGCTGAGCAAGCCAACGACCGTAGTCCTGCGCTTACCACCACCACCGGCCTCTTGCGCCCTCTTCAGGAATTGATCGAGTAGCTTGCGCACACCGCCCCGTCTCCCCTCGGTCCACTCTATTCCGGCAATCTTCCTGCCGCGTCGTACAGCACTGCTGCCCCAGCCGGCAGATGCATTTGCCAACGCCTCACCGGCGACGAATGCCATCTCAACGCCTCCGTTCTCTCCGAGTTTGATCAACTCGGCAGTGATCTCGTCGGCCTTCGGGGAGTCCTCGGGGTACAAGAACGCTATGTAACCCAGCGTTTGGACGGCCTTCTCGTGTCCACGCTTCGCCTTCTCCAGCAGGGACTTCTGAACTTTTTCAACTTCAGGCATGTCTTCATTGACATTAGTCATGACCGCCAACTCGCCCATGGCCTCGATAGCGGTCTCGACCAATGATGCATCCCGTGAGTCCACGAGCGTCGCCGCGATGCCGCGGACACCCTTTTGGATGAGATCGCTGCTCACGCAGTCCAATCGTCCCCGCATCTTCATCCTAGACAGGAGTATCGCAAATGCGCCAATCGCGCCGCTCTTCTTGTCCTCGATCCCTGCCACTAGATCCTCGACCAGTTTCGCGAGAGTCGCCTCAGGCACTGCAGGATGGCTTCCGAGCAGTCCAACGGCCATCGCAGCGACACGCCGAGTCTCCGCCTTCGGGACGGTGAGTAATTTCCATGCCGCCGGGAGATTGCTAGTGTAGCGTCCCAAGATCGAGGGGGGAACCAGAACAGCGAGGTCAGTCCAGATGTTCTTGATAATATCCACGCCCTCGCCGTCGTAGAGTATTCCTTCCCACGCCACATCGAGGAAAGTTGTGACGACGCCCGCATCCTGCTGTCGTAAGAAATCCTCCACCTGGGTACGAGCCGATTCGTCGGTGTCGATGATGGTGTCCACGTTACGATCCCAGTCCTCGTCGATTTTGATGTCCAGCTGCTGCTGACCGAGTGCTTCCCAGATGGTGATCCGTTTCGTGAATGCCAAAACAGCAGCGAAGGGCTTCGGTGGGAGCTTTCCAGCGATCAGATTTCCACCTCCCCCAAACGACGCCGGCAGTGTATGATGGGCTGTAAAGAAGTACGTGACCAAATCTGCGAATCGAGGAAAGTCGAACTTATTTTCACCAGCAGGCACATCGACATCCATTTCCTCCGACTCGACGGCATTCTTGATCGCTTGAATGGAGGCTTCGGGGTTCACCAGGCGATAATGGTAAGGGTGAAGGGCTACGCAAGTGTCAACTTCACGCACAATTCATTCATTCATAACGATCGTCATCATGACAAGTGGCAGCGTTGTGGGAGCGGAAAAAATGCTTTGATTTTACTGAGATTGCACCCACCCTTTCCGCCCTCCTCGGCGATGGTTCCACCCATTCCAAGGCTTAGAGCACCCACCCATCTGCCCACGACACTCCCGAAACTTAGCAACCTGCCTGCCCACTTGACCGCTTGTCCTGTCCCTCGCCTTTCCTCGATTATGATGTCCAGGAGCATATCCTCCATGGAGGTTTTCACCGGTCCCTCGAGATTCTTTTTCGCAATTCCCGTAAGTATCACACCAAGAGCACCCTCGATGGTTATAGCGACACCTCCACGGTCGTCTCTCAGTTGCCGGAACATGAAGCGAACGATGTCCAACTCCGGTTCCAGCACAAGGTGGATACATTGCGAAGCAAGCGATGCGAGTGTCTCATAGGCATATCCCCTGAGCTCATCCGAGGCCGCAGTGTCCTCCAATAACCAGTTTCGGAGTTTTTCTATCACACCAGGTGCCAATGAATCCGTCAAGTCGCTGTCTCCCATGCGGGAAACCCAAGCCATGAAACTGAACACTGCTTGCCGCAGTCGTGGATACGTCGTCTGCAATCCAATGTCCAATATCCTCTCAATCTCGGGTTTTCTGGATTCTTCTGCGGCCTTTTGAGACTTGCAGAGCAACCCAAGGATCTTGGTTTGCAAGGTTAGTTTTACAGGCGGTACTCCCGGGCGACCGAGAAGCAACCCATAAAGCTCTGCGATGACTCCTCCGTCCTCGAGTGATATAGACGCCATGGCACGTTTGTAAACATCGTCAGCAGGGTCCCCCACTGCCGAATTCGTATCAGTTGAAGCGGTGAGAGCAACAAGGTAGCGTTCCTTGTCCAGGAATGCTCCAGAAGCGATGAACTTGAGCACAGCGACCTTGATCTCAGCCAACACCGATATCGGAGTAAATGTCTCTTTCTTCTTGTCCATGGTCAAGAAATCCACATCCGCATTGGATAGGCCGGGACATGATTTGTCGGCCTGATTGAATATGTTCAGACTTAGCAGCATCAATTTAGCGAACCAGGTAGCAAGCCACTCGGAATCCTGCGTCTCGTTATCCGGAAACATCTGCTCTCGCAATGCCGTATCCACAGAGGAACCTCGCGGCGGTGGCTCAAAGTGTTGCAGGAGGCGGAGTAGGACGTTGAATAGGGTGCGTTGATGATGGCCACTGCCGTGCTTGGATATCCCTCGCACCAGAGTAGGGAGCAGGGCTATCCGCTCGGCAACAGGCATGCGCTCAACACCTGTTGTGATGTACATCAAATCGAAGTTTCGTATCAGCGGATAGCTGCCGCCAATAGCGGGGTCTTTGAACTGTTCGAGGAGGGCGTGCACAGGAAGGAGGAAATTGGACGGCTTGATACGGGTGTTGACGTGAGCGCACACGGCAACGACCTAGCGACAAGAGAGGGAATACGTCAGCAACCGTTTCGACAAGCTCGAGTGTTTCGTTTCAGAGAGCTACACGAGGCGGATGCTAACCTTGTTCCGGACGGACTCGTGTGGTGAGCTTAGTTTCATCAGAAGCGGTGGTAGATACAGGTTCAATAGCTTCTGAAGCTTCGCATCCGAGTCGGCAAGGGCAATTTTGAGCTCGACATTGTCGACGAGACGAAGCTCCTTGGCCTCATCCGGGGCGGCTGCCATGTTGTAGCGTCCTGTACGTCCGATAACTTTCTGTAGACGTGGGTTGATGAATAGAGATGGAAGGAGCAGTGTGAATGGTGTTGTTCGAGATGGCGGAGGATGGATTAAGGTCGGCGTGGATTACTAGTGGTGGGCTGGATGTCTGTGCGTGCATGCGGCTCCTCTGACCCATGTGCTACATATCCCCCGCCGGCTTGCAGTTACCCTGCCTTGATCATCCATTCTCACCCATAAATAGGCAAGGTCAATGGGAGGCGGAAAACCGATTCGGTGCATTTCGGCCTGAATGGAAAAGTCGGAAAAAGACATTATGGGCAGAAATCCAGAAGTAGACAAGGAGGGGGCAAAGACCGCTTGAAAATACGGACCGCTTCGCAGATGAGCGGTGCAGTAAGGCCATCCTAGAGTTCCTCTCTTCCACTGATGTGGGCAGACGGATTCCAGAGGCCACGGAGGAAGATTCAGCGAGTGAGGTATCCAGGTGGAAGCTCAGGGAGCGGGAGGAAAAGGAGCCAGACCTGAGGCGAGAGGAGGAGGAGGAAGAGGAGGGTGCTGAGGTTGATGAATCGGGATCACTCCCGCTGTTCCCCCCACACCTTCCTTCATGGAATATCCCGATGAAGAGGCAGGAGGCAGTGACGAGGGCTAGTTACATGCGGTGAGGCAGGGACGAGTCGAGGGAGTGGAAGTTGGTTTAGACAGTGGGGAGGAAACGGAGAGGTGAACGGGTAGATATTACCATGATCTAGATAGATCGCATACAATTAATGAATGAACAATAAAATAAAAAAAAGACTTGGGGCCCGTACCTGGATGGCCTCAGTTTTAGCGAAAACTGTCAGTTTTTCGAGAAACCGAGCGAACAAAACTGTAACCCTGTTTGGATGGCACAAAAACTGAGTGTACCGCATTTTAACTTCAACTATGGACTCCTCGTTGTGGAGCTTTACATCAGTTTGTCAGCGGCTTCTAGGCTAATGGTGGGGGGACGAGGAGCGTAGCGGTGGGACTCTCTTGTGGACCTTCTACCTGTACAGAGACCATCACCAATCAATCGTTTGCCCGCCTAAACATCACCAACTCATCCCCCCATCGTCCCGTTCTACGTACCGGCTGCATACCGTCCGACAAGCGGGGCTACAATGTGTCCACTATTAAAGACCTGGTGAAGCCAAGTATTCGGACTTATGGCCGAGTATACTGGACTGCCAAACCCTCTGTTCACCTCCAGTGCCTCCGATAGTCCAGTCGAGTCCATTTTCGACAAAAGTCGGACTGGGCTGAGAGGTTTAGTCCGGCAGGAGGCGTGGACTGGCCTGGACAGTCTGCGCAACAGGTAGGGCTGGACGAACTGCAGTCGACTGGAAGGACTGGTACTTTGAATAGAAAATGTTTGAAATACGTGATGAACATTTTGTAAACGTCTGTAGTACATCTATTGTAGATCCTCCCCGCACTGTGCATTGAGCATAGTCTCCATCCCCTTGATATCGCTCTTTTTAGCAGCTAAAAGACCATCTCATTGCTACCTTTTGGGATATTCTAGGGCCTTCAGTGCGTCGTCACCCATGCTATAGCGACAATGAGAGAGAGAGAGATCTTCCGGTTTTATTTCGCATGCAGCCTATCTAGACTATGGCGAACCCACGACCTCCGTTTCCTGTCCGCCCTGGCCAGGCGAGGTGAAAGACCCGGTACCGACCAGTCCGATGCGGCGCCCCACTTCCCCTGCCCATCCGCCTCGGGCCGACACAAGCAAAAAGTATATTTATTGACAGTAAAGACTGGTATGGGCCCACATGACCGCTCCTCCTGCTGCCCCTCGCCTCTCTCCCCGTCTTCCGCCTTATCCGCTCCAAGAAGATATCACCGCATATCCTCATCTCCTACTTCCTCGCACCGGCCGCAGACACAGTACCCTGCTGGGCACTCTTTCTCTGCCCCGATGCGATGCTTGCCTCCTCCTCATTTTCGTCCAGGTCTGCTAGTGCTTTCCTCCCCACATCCGTCGTTCCCAGAAACTCTAGGATTGCCTCACTACACCGCTCGTCTGCGAACAGCTCCGCTATCGACCATCTCTCTTTCTTTCTCTCCGTTTCCTTCCCGACCTTTGCCCACAAGGCTTTCTGTTGACTTCTCCACCGTGAGCAGTTTTCGAATAGGTGCTCGCGGGACTGTTTGGTAGGCCTGTTGCACCACCAGCAATGGTCATCATCCCGCTTCTTAATCCACTTCCGGTAGGTTGCCGTGATGGCGTGCCCTATCTTCAGCTGGTAGAAGCGGGTGGGCGGCCAGCTTCTTTGGCGCATTTGCTGGGAGCGGATCCGGGGTCTTTTTGGGAGGTTGCTTGGTGTCGTACCGCCGATTTTTTGATCCGGGTCAGTGACCATTGATGCGCCTCTCTCCACTTTTCATCGCTAATCCGCGACAATGAGAGAGCGTGCTTCTATGTAGCCCCACTAAAAACTCGTTCCGGATCTGCTCTCATGACGGGATGCTCAAATATTCGAGCGCCTTTCTGGCGAGATCTGGGCGAATACATCACATGAACCTCGCTGGAAAGATGCCCGTCAGCCACATAGGTAGTTCGACCCAAAAATTTCAGAAAGTGGCAGTCTGTCAGTCGACTGCTGTCGACTGCAGTCCAAGGCGGCAAATCTTTGGGACAGACTGAATTCAAACCGTCCTCCAATTTTATGGATTATTGATGCAGTCCGTCCAGTCCGGACTGGACTATCGGGAGGACTGTTCACCTCACGGTTTTCCGGAAACTGAATTTGTCTCCAAAACTGGAACTGAAAACCGAGGCCATCCAAACGGGCCCTTGTTGGTAAGCAGATACTCTTGAAATATTCGGGTAGACAGATGATGATATCCTATTCGACACTGAAGAAGAACCTATCGTCTACGGCGAAGACCTCTATTTAAAGACTGAGAGGCTACCTAAGGTGGGCCGCCTAACAAAGTTGGCCGCTCATCAGAGTTCGCAGGTGTGGAGCGTTACATCTGTTAGTAAGCGGTTTGTGGGCTAGTGATGGGAGACGAGGAGCGGGACGGAGGACTCTCTTGTTTGCCTTTCATCTGTACCGAGACCAAGATCATCATCATCATCAATCAATCGTTCGCCCACCAAAACCAACTATCCATCTCTCTCTCCCCCCCCCCCCCCCCCCCATCGTCCCCATCTACAAACGGGCTGCTCACCGGGCCCGCTCATCAGAGTTCGCCTGGCCGTCGAGACTCTTCCACGGCCAAACCTTAGTTCGTGCGGAGATCTCCGGGCGACCAAAGTTTGACAGAGACATTTCCAGCACACATGAAAATGATGATGGTCAATCTCGTGTAGAAGGTCGCAGACTCGCAATAGGATAGTAAGTATGTTTCTGATGGCATAAAACGAGTGATATTATGTACCGTGTTCAAAATCTAGAATATACCTAGACTTTCCGATTTCAGCACTTTACCCGTGGCGTGAATGGGGACTGCCAAAGAACCTCCAAGGCGCCGTTGAAAGTTTACTTACAACGTGCCCAAGCGAGTCCATTCACTCAGCCCCAACTCCAACTCCCGCTTCCGTCATCCCACGACTCCCGTCACCCCACGAGGTCCCATTCACACCAGTGACCAACACCAACACCAACACCTGCTCATCCATTCATTCATTCCCCAACCGTCATGTAGAAGGTCGCAATAGGATAGTGAGTAGGTTTCTGTTGGCATAAAACGAGTGATATTATGTACTGTCTGCAAAATCCCGATTTCAGCACATTACCCGTAGAGTGAATGGGGACCGCCAAAGAACTCGAAGACGCCGTTGAAAGTTTATGCCTTAGCTACAACGTGCTCGAACGAGTCCCATTCACTCAGCAGCGCCAACTCGCCTCCCGCCCTCGTCACCCCACGACTCGCGAGGTCCTATTCCACCAACATCAATACCTGCTCGTTCGTTCATTCGTTCCTCAGTCTCACCAATCGGTCTCGTATGTACTCTACATAGGGTAGTCAAAGTACTCCTCTCACCGCATCGAAAGTTGCATTGTATTGTATTGTACATCACGAGAGAAACAAAACTCCCCACGTACATAGTCACCGACCCCTGCGCGTGCGTGCAGGCATGCTCCAAGCGATGCATGCATGCACTCTATATATGCAGAGCACTCTACCATAAGCAGACCGCAGGCACAGGTGCTGCGGTGCAGCAGGCAGGCAGGCAGGCAGCGGCCGCTGCCGACGACAAGGCACTTTACTTTTATGTATGCAGAGTACTCTATCTGCTCGAGAGTGGGGCGTGCGCAGCGGCGCAACATGCCTACTTGGGTTGGGGGACTGAGGATTTGTGCCTTGGGTGTTGCATTCTTTGAATTTTGGTTCCGTGGCGATTCGCAATGATTCACAATGATGGAGAATGGATTTGGAGAATACCCAAGTATGATAACTACCGACCGTGGAGCGGCGTCGCATCGTCCGGAACTGCATTCTGGGCCTCATCACCGTGCGACCGGGCCGAAAGATTCCTCATCACCTATGTTCGAATATCCTCCTGACGGGGAGGAAGAGGAATCCACTCGAAACGAACGACATGAATGGGATTCCCCCAGAATCCCACGGTCGACGGTTTCTGCCTCTGCCTCCATGCGTTATCTACTGCCGGTGATAGGTAGCTCGAGCTGCCCTCTCCTTCCATCCAGGCTTCCACCGTTCCAACTTCCACGCCACAATTTGCCCAACCAACCGACTTCAACTCCAATAAAGCATGTGAACGGGCTTGAATTGGAGACATCCCACTGTATTGCATTGATTTCAGCAGCAACACTCAAAGGTTAAGCCCTCGAGGTTACCAACCTCTCAAAACACCAAACCTCTCAAAACACCAAACCTCTCAAACCACCAACCTCTCAAACCACCAAACCACCAACCCCAAAATCCCCGAATCAAGCAGTGTGCTAAGCTGGGTCGCGACATGGTTGCGACAAAACCCCCCCAACCCAACCCCACCCACCCCAACCTCACTAAAGTAGCTAGTGCTATCATATGCACTAGCTCCCGCTCGCGCGTACGGCGGTGCGGCGCTCCCCGATCGCCATGACATCGGCACTCAGCGGGATTGCTTGCTTACTTGCTTTGCATTGCTTGCTTGCTTTGGGGGCGGTGCCCAATATTTTCCCCATCTTATCAAGGCTCGGGTTCGCCATCCACCCCCAGAAAAATAAGAAAGAAAGAAAGAAGGAAAGCAGGAGGAGGAGGAGGATTCCTGTCCTGTGTGGTCGCAAAAGCAATAAGGCAGCTGGCGTCATGGCTGATCTCGTGCATCCATCGGCCCATCGGAAGGGCGGATGGCGGAAAAACCTCCGGCTGTGCGATGCGCGATCTTGTCTTTCTGTCGGTCGGCGATATGATACCGGTATGGAAGCCATACCATCCCACCTTGACTCCTGGAGCACCGGTATCATGATAGAGTGGTAGAGTACGGTAGAGTACGGTAGAGTAGAGTACCCGCGCCGCCGCCACCACACAACTAAATACCTGCGCACCTCGATCAAGCTTCAGCAGCAAAGCAACGCGAAGCACAAGATGTGGATGTATGACGTAGCCGCCCCGTAGCGATCTCGTAGCCATCTTGTAACCATATTGCAGTCACCTCGCCCGCGTGAACCCACAACCTCTCCCCCCATCCTCCCCCACAACCCCTTCACCCCCTCCACAACCACCACCAACCCCCCAAAGAACCAAGAACAAACAAATGGCAACCAACTCCGCCTCCTCCAACCCAATCGGCGTGCGCACGGGGGCAGTGACCGATTCCGCGCCGGCCGTGAGCGCGTCCATACGCTCCGAGATCAAGAGTGCCGCCGCCGCCGAGATCGTAGCGTCACATCGGCTGCCATCCGGCAGCGGCGCAGGCGGGGGGAAAGAAGATGGTGGGGCGCAGAAAGGTATGTTCGGCTCCGTGTGTAGAGAGTGGATGGCTGCTGACTGTGATTGGTTAAAGCGGGGAGCGGTGTTGGTGATGAGGTTGATGAGAGGACGAAGTAGGTTGTGGAGGATGCTTCCTACATAGCAGTCCGTGGGCGTAGTTGAGTGGATAGAATTCATGTGAACACTGGGCACTGGGCACGGCCACAAATCTTAAAGATCGAAAATCCAATGGATGGATGGTATTCCGGATCTCAGTCGCTAAAATATACAAATCCCCCGCCCCCTCCCATCATAACTATAAACCGGAAGCCAATCATGGACCCACCAGTCTTTCCTTTCTTTCCTTTCCTGTACTGGAGCCCCTAAAGCCCCGCCCCAAGATGGAACGACATGACTAACAAAAAAAACCTGAAACCCGAAGAAACATCCGCCCGTACTCTTACATATCAGGCGGACGTGAACGTAAACATCACGAAAAACAAACTCGTAGAATTAGAAATGTAAAACACCGTGAGAAGAAAAGTACGCTGCTTCTAACAGAACCATTTGTAACTGCAAATATAAATGTCAGTATCAACTCTTAAAATGGTGCGATGGTGATGGAAACTTACATTTTCTTCCACCTGGGCCAAGTAGCCTGCTCCGCACGCTCCTCAGCCAACAGCGCATCGAGGTTCAATTCCCGTCGGCCGGTGTGGAGATCCATGTCCTTGGAGCGGACGAATGGCGTCTTGTAGTAGATCTTGTACGAGAGGTAGAAAACGATGACGACGGGCACGGCCAGGTAAGCCATGAAGAAGCTCTCGGCATTGGGCTTTCCGCCGATGGGCCACATGGCGGTCCAGAACTGAGCGATGAGGACGAGCACGTTGAAGATGAAGCCGATCCAGGAGCCGACAACACCGGGCTGAGAACGGAAAGCAAGCTCGTCGAGCGTGTGGCCCTGCAGGGCCCAGCCGCGTCGGAAACGGACGTGGGCGAAGCAGATGGAGCCCCAGGTGAAGATACTCGACAGACCCGAGAGGGCCAACATCCAATCGAAGGCGGGACCCTGGACGTCGGGGTTGACCGAGAAGTAACCCAACAGACCGAGAACCGAAGAGAGGGCGATACCGGCCATCGGGCGACCGCTGCGATCGATGTAGGCGAAAATCCTGGGTGCCTGGCCCTGTTCCGCGAGCGCGGCCAAAGTACGCGAAGAGCCGTAGATCGAAGAGTTACCGACCGAGAGCACGGCGATCATGATGACGGCGTTCATGACGGATGGGAGCACGTCGATTCCAGCGTTCTGGATGGCGATGACGAAAGGAGAGGCGGCGGCATTGCTGGAGCCCTCCTGGAGAAGTCTCTCTTCGGTGTAGGGGACGAGAAGACCGACGAGGGTCAAGGAGACGATATAGAAGAGGGTGATCCTCCAGAAAACCTGCTTGATGGCGGTCGGGAGAGACTTGCGGGGATTGGCGGTTTCGGCAGCGGCCAGACCGACCAACTCGGTACCGGCGAAAGAAAAGGCCGCCGTGACGAAGACACCGCATAGCCCTTTGAAGCCATTATTGAACGCGCCGGGGGTGTGCCAATACCGTCCACCGATGTAGCCACCTTCAGGTCCGCCTCCGACGTTCAGGATAATTCCGAGGATGCTATTCACATCGTCGGGTCAGCAAGTGTAGCTTGTGGTTGGTAGAGGTGACCGTAGATATCCCGCCGATTACTCACATGAAGCCAATAACAGCAATGACCTTGACCAGCGAAAACACGAATTCCGCTTCACCGTAGCCCTTGACACCAAACAAGTTGATGATGACGATCAAAAGCCAGAAGATGGTGACCCAGACAGCAGGACTGATGGAGTGGTCCTTGTCCCAATATTGTACGGTGATTGCGGCGGCGACGATCTCCAGTGGAAAGACGACGAGCCATTGCATTGCGTAGCTGTGACGGGTTTCATTGGTTAGCTCGGCATTCCACGTGCAGTCTGACTTTCCGATGCGCATTTGCAAAACAGACAAGGGTCGTGTGTGTGTGTGGGGGGGGGGGGGGGGGGGGGGGGCAACAACTTACTTCCAACCCATAGCAAAGCCCCAAGCAGGATCGATGAACCGAGTGGAATAGGCGGCGAAACTACCGGCGACGGGGAAGATAACAGCGAGCTCGCCCAAGGCGTGAACGGTCGAGTACAACATGAGACCGATCAAGGTGAAGCAGATGAGCAACGACGCGGGACCTCCGCTACTCAGGGCCTTTCCGGAGCCGATGAAGAGACCGGTTCCGATGGAACCACCGATGGCAATCATCTGCAGATGGCGGCCCTTCAGTTTCCTGCTGAGGGGCGAGTCGGCAACGTTGTGCGCCGCCAGTTCGAGGTCGACATGGCCGCCAGCTGCGGCGGCCTTCTGTTCTCGTTGCGTGCGTGCCTGGTGGGGATGTTGTCTAAACGAATCCACGAAGCCGCCGAAGCCGCCTCGCTCGACCGCTGGAGGATCTTCCGAGTACGGGGAAGCCTTTTCTGTCGACATGGCTGATATGTGGTCGCGGGGCCTCCGAGGGGAGTTGTCACGGGCAGGGTTTGCGGACTGCTACACTTCTTGGAGAAGCCCGGGGAACGGAAGCAGTATTCGAAGGGTGGAGGAGTCTTTGTCTGAGGGAACGGTGGACTTGATCGACAAGCAGCTACGGGGCAAGGGGCGGGATGTGTATTTATCTGTTCCAGGAGCCAGAGGAGGCGGGGGACAGGAAGGAAGGAGGGAGGGCCGGAATATCGGAACCAATTACACAGAGATCATAGATAAGTGGGAGGGTGTGAGAGGGTGTGAGGGGCGGGTGTGAGAGGCAGTACCGTGTGCGTAGTACAGTGCAGCAAGGCCCGGGGGGAAGATGGTGGATGGGGGGGGGGGGGGGGGGGGGGGACATGTACGGGAGTGTGTTTGATAGGGATCCTCGAAGCTGCCTCTTTCCGTAGCATCCATCTGGCCTGGGGTTACCTGACGAGGCGTGTGGCAGTCCGACTGTCCCAGCTGCCATTTACCGGCGGTAGCTAGAGTAGGCACATACGCACGCCGTAGAATAGTACGGGCCATGTCCGCGTCCACCATCTCGGCGGTGTTTTTTTCCTTCTTTTCTTCCGGTGTTCGAGAGAACAGAAGGCGCGCAAATGAGCAAGGCGCATTCATCCATTCATTCAGGTATGCGGGATGCGACATGGACATGCGACATGCGAGCAGTTGGAGGAGGCTTGTCGCCGTTGTACTAGTAGCTATATCGAGCAGAGCACTGAATAGAGTAGGGTTTGTATGTAAGTTTGTAGGCATCAGGTGTGTGAATAGGTGGAGGATGCAGAGCATGACGGAAGTCCCTAGGGCAGTTTTTGCGGATGCGACTAGAGTGCAAGGGGGCTAGCAGCAACTGATAGCATGAGCCGCGGTGGACCATCGCTGTGAGCGACTAGCCACAAATCGCAGCAAAACCGTCCGATCGGCCAGGGATCGGGCCTGCAGGCGGCAAGGAAGCATAGAATGCCGCTTCGGAGGCAGCAGGGGATCGCGAGAGCAGGGAGTCGGACTGACCGGTCGCCGGACTGACTGGCTGTGCGAGATGGTGGCGGGTTGGAGTCGATGCTGGTGGCCATGGCCGCGGAGTGGGCGAAGGAAGGCACTGCGGCAGTTGGCGGTTGGCAGTTGGCAGGACCAGGACCCGGGAGAGGGGGGGAGCAGCAGCAGCGCGCGTGGCAGATGGAGACGAGACGAGACGAGACGAGAGGCGGAGAGAGGCGATGAGAGCAGAGGAGAGCCATTTGGATCCATCGTGCATCGGCGTGAAGCGCGCAGGACGGTGACGACTGGTGCGAATCGGACGCCGCAGGGACCGTGCAGCTGAATGGCAGGGAGGCTCTTGAGTCTTGACTCTCGAGTTTCCCCGCAATCCGGCGTTGACGTTCCGCTTCTAGCCTCCGAAGAGAACGATGCCACCAGCGACCAGCCCACGGTCCACCAACCACCGAGAGTCGGAGACAGCCCCTCGAGCGTACAACCGTCACGCCCGGTGTGTGCCGGGCCAACCACAGGCAGCATTCCAGAGGCCGCATTCCAGAGACTGTCACAGACAAAACAATAACAACAAGCGTCTTTGCCGCAAGCGGTAGATGGATACTGTTCGTGAATCATGACTCCGGGCTCATCACCCAAACACACTCCCTCCTTCCATCCGAGGCTCACCAGTAAGGCACTGCACTATCCGACAGGCATCCTTGGAATCATGTGTGTGTGTGGATGTGTGTGTGTCTGGTGCCCGTCCGGAAGGCGCCGCCCATCCCGACTCGCACTCTGCTGGATCGGTGGAATAGAAGATACTCTGGATGCTCTACATACCGTATGTTCGCACACGAGTCTCGTGCGCACGACGCTAGATATCGACAATCGATGTCCCAGGTTGTATGATACCCCCTCTAGATACAGCACCTACCCAGTTGCTCTTCACGCATCGGCGACGGCCACGGCCCCCACCCGCTTCCTTTCGTTCATGCGTCGCCGCTGACATTGGATGGTGGTGTGTAGGTAGATGCCGCCACCACTACCACCACCACCACCATCACCAATCTGTAGGTCGAGAGGGTACTCTCATTCCATCCGGACGGTGGCACAGAGTCGCACCCACGTCGAGTTATCTGGGGATTCCTCTGCGTGATTGCTGGCCCTCGACTTGGGTTAATTTGCCTCACGGATTGCCCGCGCTCTGTGGCTCCCGTTTCGGGCAGTTGGAAGGAGGCCAAGATGTTGCTAGTTTTCGAGGGGTTCCAGATCCCCTCTCCTGCCCCCTCCCCCTTCCTCTCCCCCTTCCCCTCCCACGATGATCACCATCATCATCACCTCTCCTTATTTCTTCCTTCCCTTCCCTCCTCCAGGCTCCTCCCAAATACACGGTTCCGATAAGAAAGCCGCTAGTCAGCCAACTAGTCTAGTTGCCACACCCTGACGATGCAACTAGTGGAGTGGAGCAGCGCGACCGTTGGAACTTGCAATTGCTTGGTCTTCCAGGCTGGGCAAGTGCTTGTGTGCAATCGCTCGAACGCTAGTAACCGATGAGATTAGCTGGATGACATCCATACCCACCGTGCTCTAACTACATATGATAGGTACGTCCTCTGATGAATATCTAGGGTATCGATCGTGAGGGCGAGGACTCTTCCACCAGGTGCTTACCAAAGTACCCAGGCGTGTATGTATCAAGACCACGCGCGCAAGTTGTCCCCGCCTCCTCCTCCTCGTGGCGTGGCGGTTTTCTCTATGCATAGAAGCTGTGTTGATGGCTGGGGATCCAAGAGAAACATCCTTCAGGCACATGCATGCAGGTTCTGCTGCATCATGACGCTCCGTGAAGCAATCGATCGTCCCACCAGTGTCCACCACCGGAAACAAAAACAACAAAAACAAAAACATCACGCTGCACTCCGGAGTCCGAAAAAGTTCGAACACCCCACAATCCCATGTGGAGTGGAGTAGGTAATACACACTGCGTGATATAGGTATTAGGTACTCCACAACTCCACATACATACTCCACAGCTCCACTCCACAACTACACAACTCCACATACATACTCCACAACTCCACTCCACAACTACACAACTCAGGCCCCGACTAACACATACCGTACGAACCTCGAACCGTGGACTAGATGCCTTACGTACAGCATCATACATGCATCCATCCATCCAACATACAGCCTGAGCATGAGCCAATCGACTCCTTCGTCCAGCCCTGTCCTGTCGGGCATGCGTGCTTCAGGCTTCAGGCTTCCCCATTGCCCCGCAAATTTCCTTTCCTTCGGGCGCATGTTACCTAAGATCTTCCACTTCCCCACCACTGAATCTTGTTCCTGCCTAATATGGTCGCGTGTCTGTAAGTGAGCATGTGTGTATGTGTGTTTCCCCGCCTCCTCCGTCGCCGCCGCCGCTGGAATCGCTGGAGTCGCCGCTGGAAATCGTAAGTTGTGGGAACACATACAGAGTTAGGAGTGGATGAGTCCGAACATACTCGGGCGCGCCGAAACAGACTGATGCTGATGCCACGAGATTACGGTTGTGCGCCCTCCCGACTGACCGACCGAAAGCCGGCACCCGCCCGCGCAGAGGTTGAGACTTGAGTGATGTCCCGTGTCCTCGTGTAGAGGGGAGTTTCCGCATATCTGCCGAGGTTCATGGAAGCCACCGTGCTCGTGGGTTGGAGAGGGGGGATGCATATATGTACTGTAGGTAGTCAAGTACCTACACCTGCATAGGCCGTACGCTTCTCCCAGCTCCCCGGTGCGCCGCCGGAGCCTGGTCAGTGGTGATCTCATTCAAGATTCGACCCTGAATATCAAATCCCCAAAAGCAGGAGCATTGTGAGAGTCGCAGAGTGGACTCACGGGTATCTACTACATCGTGTCACCCCACACCGTGACATCCACAGTCCACAGTCTCACGGTCTCACGGTTACAGTCTCCCAAACGAACGGTTACAGACAAACGGTTACAGACGGAAGCCATGGACCATGGTGACGAACGGCATTTGCATTTGCATGTGCATATGCATCTGTATCCTGCGCATGTCCACTGCCTTTGCCACTGCCCAGACGGCTGAGCCCGGGACTCGCAAGGGAAGAAGCAGTGAAGGAAGCAGTGGAACAAAGGCTGGAAGCAGCGAAACACTTGGGAAGTTGGCACCGTGGAGTGAAACCCCACAGAAACAAATTGCCCGAACCAGAAATAAACATGAACCCAAACCCGCACCTGAGCCTGAACCAGAACCAGAACTGAACCTGAACCTGAACCTGAACCTGAACCTGAACCTGAATCTGAACCTAACCCCGAACCTGAACCAAACCTGAACCAAACCAGGTCCCCAACCAACCAAAACCAGAACGTGCCAGTTCCAGTGCAACACAACATCTGATGCTATCTGACGATACCGTGGTTCGACTCCTGTTCGACTCCTTGCGTGTGCCCTCTGAGCGGGCGGCAAACTTTTGTTTTTGTTTTCTCTTTTTTGTTTTTTTTCGGGATGTCCGATCGGAACGGGCGACTCCTGCTCCTGCTCCTGGAATCATCATCCTGCCACCTGGAAATGGAATCATCCTGCTTCGTCGTTGTTGCTTTTTCTGTTTTATTTTTATCTAAAGTAACTATCGGAAGTATTTATCGTACATATCGTACGTAGAGTAGAGTCCGTGCGTCGTGGGTCGTGCGTAGAGTACGACTTGATCGCCGAGAAGAACGCTCCGAGAGTGGGCAGGCCCGTCAGGCTTATCGGGGTTGGCCGGGGGGAGGGGGCGATGGGGGCGATGGGGGCTTGCCGACTCCGACCCCACAGTGCGCCATGGTGGCAAACACTGGCGATTGAGCTGATCGGTCGGGGACCGCGAAAGGGTTTTTTTTTTCTCTTTTGGAAAACGGTCGAGCGGTTTGGATCAGATACCGTAGCTTCTAGGTACTCTACATACCTGGGGCCATCCTGGGCTATCCGGGCAACTCATATGTAGATGATAGATTCACGGATTCACCACCCCCGGCCCCGGGCCCGTCCGTCCGTTCGTCCTGAACGGATGTTTAAAATTCGAACGGAAGCTTGAACAGGAGGCTCGGCGACGTCGCGGGTCGGAGCGATAGGTAACTTGCCTGCCTGTCTGTGGACATACAGTGCTTACGGTGCTTACTGTGTGTACGGTGCTTACTCTACTTACGGCGGCCGGTGGCCAATCGGAGCGTCGCAAGAAATCTGGCACCGACTGGACAGTGGAGGCACCGAAGAGAGGGGAGGGGCTCCGATTATTGCCTTGTATTGGAAAAGTGCGCCTTGGTACCGCTAAACCACAGTAGATCAAGTAGATGGAGTGAGTGCGGGAATGTCATGTGCCCAGTGCCCATCGCCCAGCGACAATCTAAGCGTCAAAATATCTCGATCTGTCAAGTTTCAATGGCCGATCTTTCCAGTACATACGCTGTCCGCGGCCGCCGCCAACAGCCGCCGGTCGCTGGAAAACACAGCACGGCACTCGTGCCCGCCTCGTGCCCACTCCGAGCGTTCCGGCTACCTAGATCCTAGGGTGCCTATCATTACCAGAAGTGGCACGCCGAATTCCGAAGTCCCGAAGTTTCATGCCTACTTAAATTTACAAGTGACTTATGCTTTGCTCCACTCCCGGCACCGCCGGCGGCTTCGTAAAGTCAATTCACGCCCCCCACAGTCCACAGTCCACAGTCCACCACCGTAGGCAGTAGAGTAGTTACTAGAGCATGATTACCTTATGTACCTGCTCTGTTCGAACTTCACAGGCACCAAACAACGGGCCCTGAAAGTTGAGTGAGGAGGGTTAACGCGTGCAGCCGGCCGGCGAGATGTCCGGCAGCAGTCTGGTACTGCACTAGTATCATGCTCTAGCAGTCCCCGCTCCTAAAAAAATGTAGCGTTGAAACCGTTGACTACCGTTAGCACCTACTGCGCACGCTAGGTACACGCCGGTATCGTCAAAACCTCCAAGCCTTCAAGGCCCCAGCGATCCCTCCCAGGGCCCAGGCTTGATCTTTAACCACGGATGGCAGGAACCACGGAACGCCGTGGGTACATACTCTAGTCAGGGTTGCCGACATGTGACATGTCAAAGTTGCTTTCGGTCGGTCGGTCTTATCTGCCGCCGCCGCCGGCCGGCCAGTCAGGCCAGTCGGGTCAATCAGGTCAATCAGGTCAGCGGTGGGCTTCTGTCTGGGTTCTGGAATTCCCTGCCTACTCTGGAGTCTGGCATTGCAGAGGTATGCAGATATCGTGCCGATGCCGCGAACCTACAGGTACCCGGGAGGGAGTCGGGAGGGAGCCGGATTCCTGATACACTCCGGGAGTTTGGGGTCCCAGGAAACCACGTGCCTATATACTGACATCTGTAGTTACGGCTCATCCGAAGTTCGAACGACAAACATCGCACAGTGCACGCCCACTAGATACATACGGCATATACCCACCATACGGTACCCCTCAGGAGGATGTATGTATGCAGGCAGCAGAGCACGTCTCACATCAGCATATGTATTCCACGGATCCACGATGGCCGGATGTGGCTGTCTGTCTGGCTGGCTGGCTGGCTGGGCAGGATAACCACTACTCAAGCTCTATGTAACTATCATACCGGCCGGCGCCGTGCGCGCATAAACGAGAGCGAGCGAGCGAGCGCCGAGCAGGCAAGCGCTCGGGAATAAATGCTTGGAGAAACAGCAGGGGGTGTTTACATACTACTGGTATAGGCACTGCAATCCGTCACGCCAGCAGCCAGCGGCCAGCGGCCAGTGGCCAGCCTCCAGCAGCCAGCCTCCAGCCTCCCTGGTGGCAGGTCGGATCCGATCGAGCACCGTCGGGTCGAGTCGAGTCGAGCGTGCTTGTGTGCGTACTGTCTGTATCTAGATATGCAGATATGCAGATATGTATTTCGCCGATTCAGCGCGGCGAGGTGGAAAAGAACGCAGCCACCCTGACCCTCGCGCTCACGCGTTTCGCCCCCCGATCCCGGACTATTGTCCGCTCATATGTAAGTCATGTCCGAGCCCGTTCCAGACATCAGACATCAGACATCTCCACTCTGCCCTGCCCTGCCCTGCCCTGCCGTGAGTGCGAGTATGTACCGTATGTACCGTATGTGGGCCGCCGCCACAAGACTCTCGAGCCGACGGTGATCTACCTTCCTACCTGCTTGCCTGCTTACTTGCCTGTGTAGGTACTCTACTCTGTCGGCACATGGATACTGCCCAGGGTACGTATGGACGTGCGTATGTGCGTTCCTATGTGTCTGTGTGTGTGTGTGTGTCGCAGAGTGGGGGATCGTCCAACGGTCCAACGGCCGTGAGCGTGAGCACAGTCGGTCGTCGTCGGAATAGACAAGCGCTACTAATCAAGTACTCCATACTAGTTAGTTAGTTAGGACCTACTATCGACAAATTAAACACCGATGCCCGGGGGTGGGGCGGGGGGGAGGGGGGGGACGGGGGAGGGGGGGGGGGGGGAGGGGGGGGGGAGGGGGGTCTCCACCGTCGATAGTTATCTGCTACACTTACCGCGCCGGATTTAGGCTGTGTGAACTCTGAACTGGGAACTTGGAAATTCAAATCGCACGGCCAGGTTAGGTTCTACATACGCCGCGAAACTTCGGGGCACGCGAGCACCACGAAACAAATCAAAGTTGACTAGTCAGGCCTCGCGTGCTTTTCGGTAACTGTATGTATGGCAGGTACTACATAGGCGGAGTGGTTAACTTTTGTATGCGCTCAGTCATGATTTCTCACGCGATAAGCTCGGCCGCCGAGGTCGCGAATTATGATCTGTCCCCACTCCCCAGGCCCTTCGGCCCAGCGGGAACCTGGAAGCTGGAACTTAGAATAAAATATGTGCTCACTTGATATACGCATGGCTACTATAGGTTCTATCCAGCGCATAGCCAATTACATAGGTTACGTGGGTACCTAAAGTAGCTGAAAATCGTTGCTTTTTCCCCATCAAACCGGCGGGGTGGACAAAGATGCCGATTACGGTCCCAATCCTTCTGGAAGGAGGCCGGAAGGGTGGTAGATGCCATCCCAAAAAAAACAAAAAAAAGCAGTTGATATGCATTTCACATGTGCCCTTGCGCGGAATTCCCGCCGGTATCGGCCCACACCCAACACCCCACATCCCACGCGGCTTGAGACACGGCCATAATACACACATACATCTCATACATACATAAATACATGCCACAGGCCAGTGAGGGTGGGGCCACTGGGACAGTGGGGCGGCGATGATCGATCTACTCTACCCTACGGGTTCTGCAGGGCGGAATCCGGACACAGCTCCTACATACTCCACCCTAAGCCCACGCAGCTATGTACGCTCTTCTCGAATCCTACGGGATGTGGCGATATATCTGAGCCACATACACCACCACCACCACCACCACCACCACCACCACGCAGGCGAACATGTGGAATAGTGGAACATGTGGAACAGTGGAACATGTGGAGGCTATACGTTACCTACTGTATAGTATCGGTTCCCCGGTACTAGTACTTTGGAGGGCAGTAGTAAACTACCTACACTACCTAACTACCTACATGTCCACGCAACCATGGACTGAGAGGGGAGGGATTCGCCCATGGGTTCCGGATCCCCCCCCACCCCCCAACCGCGGACATCTAGGTATACATCCTGGACGGATGTGGGGTGACGGATCAATCATCGGAGGCCTTGTGCTGCGTTTCGTTCGTACAGATACTTACGTATGTACGTATGATACTTGGAGCCGATATCCGCTACTGGGCTGGGAGATAGATAGCTCGTCACGAAACGTCACTCTGCTTGGCTCTGTCCAACCCACCCACCCACCGGCCGGAGCAACACGGGAGAAGGGGAGGGATTGTCTACTAGTAGCCGGTACGCCACGAGAGCACTGCAGTACTGCACCTGCATACCCATCTGTATGCTGGTTAGTGGCGGGAAATCGAATCCACTCTGTGGCCCTGGAATCGGATAGGTACCGGACATCTTCCACGTTGTGGATCAGCCTTCGGGCTTCCAGGCCCCCAGGGCGCTGCTCACGCCGGCCGTATGTACAAGTGCTACTATGCTAGACGGGCCGTTACTCGTGCCTACGATAGACATATACGGTATACACAGGACACCACATCCCTCAAGCCACATCGAGATTCGAGACCTCGCCATCGCTGCGACTCTGCGAGCGTCCTTTCTTCTGGTTCTTCCAAGTTCATCTGGTGATATATCCATACCAATAATCCAATCAAGTTTTCGCGTGCCTCGGAGCGCCGACAACTAGAACAGGAGATCGGGTTAGCGATAGTAAAGAGGTTACTTTTCGAGCTCCGTCGAGACTCGAGACTAAGAATAAATACATACGACTTCGCTCCGCAATTCAATTATAATTTCAAGCCTTGCCTTGTTCCATGGTACATACAGCCCTCCCCTACATAGGGTCCCGACGGGCACTTATATCCCAGCCCAGCCCTACCCTACCACGCCCCTCGTAGCCCCCGTAGCCCCCGTAGCCCCCGTAGCCCCCGTAGCCGCCCGAACCATGTCTAGCCCCCGGCGGGCCGTCTTTCCTCACTGACTGCTCGATAGTTAATCCGGCGCTTCGGGTGAGCCAATCGGCCATACAGTTGGGTAATCGGCCTAATCGGCGGATTGGCTTTACATAACCTGGCCGATTTACTTACATCTTGCCCGCCGTCCTCGGTTGGTTATCAGCTGTGGTCCTGTGGAGACGGCTTACATACCGGACGGAACTTCCGCCCGTGGCGGCTAACGGAATCAGAATCAGACGCGGAATCGGACGCGGATGACGACGTGACGTCCCTGGTTCGAAGTTTGGAGTTTCCGATCAGTCGGAAATTCGGAATTCGCTATCTGTTATCAATGTTCAAAGTTCAAACTCGGCCCACTGCTACATACCGTGTTTGGTGTTTGGTGTTGGTTATCCCATCAACCGGAAAGTAGCGCGCTGGAGAAGCCTGGAGTTCCGAAATCACCTCAAGAGTCAAAAGTGCTAGCCTATCCACTGCCAATGCCGAGACACCCATGGTCCACCCAAATTCAACAAGGAAGATTTTGGCCCGCTTGAGGCTGATACTTTCTTTGGATATAGATAATAGATATAACATTTGATCCATTGACTGATGCTGGTTTAAGGTACACTTTCCACCCCAAGGTGCAAATTCACGTGATTTTCAGTGTTCACAGATTTCCACGACGATACTGGCCCACCACCACCACATCATACATGAAATATTGCCCTCAACCCATAGAGTTCATACGATACGATGCAGCCGCTCTTGAAAGTTGAAATTGCTGTGACGTAGCGGCATCCCCCAGACCCTGCGCGATCATTGGGGTTGGGCGCAAATATCGATATTTTCACGTTTCTCAAGATGGGGCTGATTTTTGTCCGGCGGTCTAGGTATGCCATCGAGACTACGGTAGCAAAGAGAGGTTTTATGATATGTAGGCTACCTTCCGGAGTAACATTGAAGGTTTTATGGAACTATCAGCGGTAACTATGGAACAATGAAAATGCGGACATCTAAAAGCATTGAATTTTGCGAAGAATACGAGTGCTGTATAATGAAGGGGGTAAAAAAAAAATGTGGTAGCACTACTACTATAGCACTACAATATCCCGGATTACTGCGTGTCTGGCCGAGATATGGTACCGCTATGCAGGCGCTATGACAGAGATAATCCGATACGTAGGTTTTGACTATGTATTGCAGGTGTACTATACATCAGGGAGAAATGGTATCAGAGAAAGTGCAACGTATTATTGAAGGATATACGATGTAATACACATGGCGATTAAGCACAACCATACACCTACGTGTATCGAAGAAAACAATATTGGGTACCATATCGATAAATACGTGTATCCGGGATACAGTCACTCCTTTTCCCACAACGTATAAAAATGTGGTAGTCAGTATGTAGCCAAGCATAACGATACGTACTGTATAGTCAAAGGGGGGTTGAAAAATACGTTGTTTCCCGCAGGACGCATATTGCTATCGTATCGAGGCATAAAAACACGTATTTTGACCGTACTGATACGGAAAAAGCGTATTTTCTACCCCCTGTTCACTATAGTACCTAGAATGGTTCTACTGCCTCCTGCAGGAATGACGCCAGCGATGTGGTGCCTTAATCGCAATTTTGCAATGTCGCGGGCCAAATGGGTGAATTCCGGATGGTTGGGACTTATTTAGGACGACGGAGGTGTGATTTGTGTGAATGTCGGGTTGCTAGCGAGTGAGATCCCATGTCACTGCGTTTTGTCCATCCGTGCTTTGTCGTTTGAGGAGCTGGTGATGCTGGATGGCTTCTACTAGGTATACCATATCTATCTTTGCTCTCCGGAGTTTCCATGATGTAGGAAACGGTTCTGCTGAACCAACCAGGGTTTTGTCTGCAATTCTGGCTCGCCGGATCGCGAGAGTCCCTCTCACATATCTCGTCTCGTTTACAAACCCAACATAAGGGTAGAGACTTCCAGGTCTCACCATATTGTAGCCAGGAGGTAGAAGAGCAAGTTTCAATCTCCGCAAGTTCTCTGGACTTATGGCCTACTTTTCGAGATATACCTACCGGGTTGAGTAGGTTTGCTTAGTCATTTTGGAACTCGAAGTTTAAACTTACGGTCTATGGGATAGAACAAACGAACCGACTATTCCAGGTTGTGTACGGGATTTCTAATCCGAAAGAACGCGGTCACCCAGTGACTACGGCATAGGTACAACTATGTGCCGAATTGCTGCGAGTTGGAGCCTGGGCGCAATACTAAGTATGGGAAAGCCGAATATCGCGGAGATGCGCTACCGGCGGCGACAACTCGGGAGTCAGGAGCGATGGAACTATCTGTGCACTTTCGGATCCGCAACCCGGGAGTATAAACACTGCGTGACATCCGGTGACCTGAACCTCCACTGCCCTTAACAAGTGCTCCACATCGTGGAACTATCAGCAATTCCAATTTCCGGCGGTACACAACTACCATATACTAAGCGGCAAGTACTCTCTGTCTCTCTCCCAGAAGCAGTAATATACTAAATGGAATCATATCTTCCGAGTAGATCATACCCCGGAAGAAATATCGCACTGCCGGATATACTGCACTACCGTACCTTACTACCGGTATTATTCCGATCAGTGAAACTATAAATCCGTCTCCACGCCAGATTTTGTGCTCGTCCGACCGATCAACACGGTTGCGAATGAGTTGTAACTACTTCTTATGTTCTCTCTTTCAGTCCGCGGTTAGTTTCCTCTCGTAATCGTTAGCAGCAACGGTGTGACAGCGTCCATTCACGCGGTGGTCAAACAAGTGAGAAGCTCTAAACCAGCTCGGGCACGGGCACACAGCCGGCCATCCTCCCCTCCGCCGACCGACCCACCGACGCACTATGCCGGCCCCCGGCCCACGGAGTAGAGCAGTTAGCCAAGCATGCCCCCCCCCCCAGCCATCCCGTAACTACCGGTAGTCGGCATGAACGGAGCACCGGGCCGATATCACGTGACACACGCGTAGAGCAGCACCCTCGACCCGCGGGCTGCAGCTCGCATCCCCGCCACCGCTCACGCCCCACGTCCACAATCCACGATCCAGTCCACGTCCACTGCCCCACGTTCACCACCACCACCACCGCCGCCACGACCACGACCACCTCCACCTCCACCACTACCACCCCCGCCGCCGCCGCCGCCACTATGTCCACCTCCACATCCACACCCACACCCACATCCACATCCACATCCACGCCCACCCCACCGCCGCCGCCTCCGCACCCCACCCCCTCGCAGCCGGGCGCCGACCCCGCCAGCTCCAGTGCTCCCACAGAATACGCGCGAGGGCGCGAGCGCTTCCAAAGGTCCCTTCAATCCCCCAGTCCCCCGTCCCCGGTCCCCTCCCCCCTCCCCCCCCGTCATCCCCCCGCCCCTCTTACTCCAGCTACCGTCGCCCCCCGCTGACACAACCCAGCAAGCAGCGAAGCGAGTACTTCGACCCGTGCCAGGCGGCGGCGGAGCGGAGCCTGAAGTGCTTACACCGCAACAAGGGGGACAAGGAGTTTTGCTCGGACTATTTCCAGTGAGTTGTGCTTGCTTACTTGCTTGGCGGGTGGGTGGGGTGGGGGGTGGGTTGTGTGTTGGGTAGGAGTGGCTGATAGGGATGGAACGCGGTAGGGCTTATAGGGATTGTAAGAAACGGTGGACTGAGGAGAGGAAGGAGGAGAAGCGGAAGGCTTCTGCTTGGTGGTAGTCGTGGTAGGCCGGGAGGCCGGGGGTTTGCTCCTCAGCGGTAGACCCGGAGGCTGGAGGTTTACTCCCTGGATTGTATTCGAATGAGGTCTGCCTACCTGAAGGCTGATACTTATATCACCGGTACGGTATCATGGACACGGGCCTGAATAAAATAATCACCTAAGAAGTAACCACCCAATTTCAATTTACATTCCAATTCCATCCTAGTAGTGATAGCAAAGCGTTCTGTCGTAGCTAAGTAAGTAGCGTATGGGCATTTCTCATCATTCCCCCCAAGTCGAGTATACCGAAAGCAAAGCAAAAAAACCAGACCGCTAAATGCAACCAACCCAAGTCCCCGAACATCAAAAAAAAATAGAAATGATCATCTCATACTGCCATTGTCAATCCGCATGGCCCCCCAAAAATAGCCCTCGTTTACTTAGAATGTGTGGTCATCATCCCGTCCCACGACCAACATTGGACCTCCTCCCCTCTGATCCGCCGGCCCGCCCCCGATCAATGCGCCCAGCCTGCCTCCTCGTCGGTGGTTGTCGGACATGTCCGCCCCAGCATTGCTCGGTGACGAGCCATTGCTTCCGTTTCCACCACCATTGGTTCCCTCTCCAGAACTTGGCCGCAGCGGTCCGCCTCCATTAATCATCCTGAGCTGCTGTTGCCTGATCAGCTCGCCTCGTGCCCTGATGTCTTCCGGTGTCACGCCCCGATTCGGGCCATCTGGCCCTGGTCTGGGTGGAATCTGCGGAGGAGCCGATAGAGGTTGGCGTTGGCGTTGCTGCTGCTGCTGGTGGAGTTGCTGGTGACGTTGCTGTGGTGATTGATGCGGCGATTGCTGCGACTGCTGCGACTGCTGCGACTGCTGCGACTGCGACTGCTGGATCTGATGCTGGATCTGCTGGTCGATCTGCTGTTGACGCTGACGTTGTAGTATCTGCTGCTGTTGCATTTGTTGCAGTTGCTGCCGTTGCTGCACCGTTGGCTGGTTGTGCTGTGGCTGCTGTGTCGGCGGCGGAGGCGGAACTCTGCCTTGTAAGCCTGCTATCGATGTACCACCGGCGAACGACGACGATTGCGCATGTGGGGAGGTGGGTGTATTGGAGTTATTGCGCATCCCCATACGTGAGCCTGATCCGGATCGAAGTTCCCTATTCGACGTCCTGGAACGGACTCTGACAGCAGGACTGCTGATTCGCCGAGGCTGGAGTTGCGAGAAGATGCTGTGACCATAACTGACGCCTCCCTGTCGCGGAGAAAGTGATAGGCCGCGCTGCCACGGATTGTTGTTTCCGGGGGTGATTTGGGCTGGGCTGGATGTGCCGGGAATGGACGAGGGTGCCTGTCGCTGAGGTGTGGAATTTGGCGAGGCTTGCATAGAAGAGGAGATCATTGTCGCATCGTGCATTGCCCGAAGCGGCGACAAGGGCGTTCCTCCTCTGTTTGCAGCACTGCTACGGCGACCCGATCCTGGGCGTTGAACGGGCGTCATAGACCTTGCCGGGGAAACCGAAGATGAATTGCGACCGAGAGCGTTAAACTGGGTCTCCCGGAGCTGTTGGCCGTGTTGGGAGAAGAGGCCAAAAATACTGGGATCCACTTCCATGTTCGGCCGGTTATTCCTGTTCCGAGAACCTCCATTTCCATTTCCGTTTCTCTGGTGATTGGAGAAGTAATTGTTGCGTGCCGCTTGTGATGCCTGCTGGGTGGGCGTTCTTCTACGGCGACGACTAGCAGCCACCTCGGACTCACTGGCCGAATCCACCTCGACGGGCTGACTCCAAGTCTGACCGGAATTGCTCCGCCTAGCTTGCTGTCTAGCCGCAGTCCCAGTGTTTCTGTTCTGTTGGCTTCCGGTCATCACGACATCGCCATCTTGATCCTCACTTTCGTCCGCATCACCGAATTCATCCTCCTCGGGAACACTAAACACGCTGCCAGGACCGCTGCCTCTTCCAACGCCATTCCGTCTTCCCACCATCGACCGGATGGGCGGGCTCGAGAATCCATCGTCTTCGTCCTCAGTAGCAGTGTGATCAGTCTGGTTGCCCAAAAGAGCCTGATATCCATTCGATTCCAGCAAGCTCTGCTCGTCGTCATCATAGTCACTTGAGAGCGAGATATGGCGTGTGTTCTGGTAGCGGTTGTTCCGCCTGGTACCGACCGCTGGTCTTGAAGACGCTTCGGAAAACGAAGATTGCGCGTCATCGTCATCGTCATCAACGATGATTGGCCGCGCATTTTGTCTCCGGGCTGCGGTAATTGATGCCCGAGCCGGTGACGATGCCTGAGCAGGGGACGAAGTTAAGGCCCAAGGACCACCTCGCCCAGGAACCCTACGCGACACCTGCGGGCTTTCATCATCGATGAAATCCGCTAAACTTCCCACAGTACCGTCGGAATCTTCATCTTCATCCTCATCAGTGTCTTCCGCTTCTTGGCTGTTGCCGATTCGCCGCTGATTCTGTCCGAAGAAACGAGTCTCCGGTCCTCCATATGGCGCGAATCGCCGCCGATCCGACACGTCATCAATATCATCAAAACCGTCATCGTCATCGTCCTCTCCAGCATCCTCCCAGTCATCCTCTTCGCCAACGATGCTTTCGGGCCACCTATCGGGAGCTCCAATACCGCCATCTGTTTCCGGCTCACTGCCTTCCTCAGTGTCGCTTCCCGATTCGCTGTCCTCGAGCTCGTGACCATCTCTGCGCTGGTGAACCCTCGCCCCGCAATCCGGATTTGCGCATCGACTGCCATGCACCTCCCACATACAGCGAGGGCACCGGATAACATCGTCTTCTGGATCCCGGATGCCATATAGGATTGCATTTGTGAATATTCCTCTGAAAAGTCCCGGGCCGCCGGGAGCCCTGTCGCTTCTTATTTGGTGCTGCATTTCTTTCTGTTGCTTCCGTAACTCCAGTCCGGATGACGGTGAGAATAACTCCTCTCGATGAACGAACGTTTCAATCATGTCTCGAACCTGAAATGCAATCAGTTGCCGGTGCTCATCCGATGAGGCCCAAGAAGAAGAAAGAAAAAACGAACCATATACGCTGGCGCCGGCTCCGTTGCAACCGCCATTCTACACTGCGGACAGAATCTCTGCTTCTTAGATTTTGCCTGGGCAACCCATGATACGATACACTGGGCCATGTTAGCATATGTCCCGGCCAGCTTATGCGAACACACAAAACCTACCCCGTAGCAATAAACATGGCCACACTGGAAGAAATAGGGTTCGAACAGCAGGTCCTGACAAATGACACAAGTGCAGATTTTCCGCAACTTTTCCAGATCCGTCTTCAAGTCGGCGATCAGGGCGTCCCTGGGGTCCCTTTCCGGCTTGGGCATTATCCGCATTCCGTCCGCATTAACCTGGCTCTTTGAATTCCGTTTGATAATGGAGCGTTTCCTGTTGGCATCATTGTTGTCATCCACCCAACCCTCAACACCCACACCGCCTCCTCCGGCATCGGCATCATCCCGTCGAATCGACGACGATGATCTCTTTTTGGTCGCCACCGATGATGTAGACTGTGACTGTTTCGGGGAAGCCGAGGCACGACCATACGGGTTGTTCATTTTGTCCATCCAAGTCTCGGAAAGACCGTTCTAAAAGCACTATCAAGTGGTAAACAGAGCTCGGCCGAGGAAGGTGAAGTTCGTATCGAGCTGTGGGCGAGCTTCGTACGTTGTATGGGGTATTCGTCAAGTTTGCAGCGATGAATTACGGAAGTGGGGCGATTCTTAAAGTCGTAGCGAGGAAGCAAAGGGTAAGGCGTGTTTCGTTGGAAGGTTGGGAGAGTCGAAGCTGGAAGTATGTCTCGGTTAGTTTCAGCTCTGGCGGCAACGAAACAAAAAAGAAACCCCGGCAACTGAATTCCGGTATGTTCTTAGGCAGTGTGATTGTGCGTGTCGTATGGGTGAGTGCATGCGTGCATGAAGCACTCGCTCAACAAATGATTGCATCAAAGATGGAGAGAGGAAGGGTGGAGTGAATGCAAGCCCGCCCTGCGTCCCTCACTCTCGCCCTCGTGGGGAGGGAACAGCCGAACGGCCGGCCAGCCACAGCTGAAGTCTCTCCCGCTCTCATGCTCTCATCTCTCACGAGTACGCGTGTCGTGCGCAAGGAAGGAACAGATATCGGTTACAGACCTTTGTTCTAGTTGTTACTGTCTGATTTTCCGTTCTATTTCCGAGCAACAGCTCTACCAAAAGCGTGTACCGACGATTCTCTCGAAGAGCGTAAGTGATGGTCGTCGATCCTCTGGATGCTGCGGTAGGCTACGACGAAGACCGAAGTTCGTGGGCTCGCGAGGACAGCAAAGCACTGACGAGTCGGTGCTGTCGTTGTCGTTGCTATCGATGTCGGTCGGGGGATGAGGAGGAAAGTAGTGGAAGTGATGGTGGTTGTGGTTAGCAGTACGTAGTGGGGGGGTGGGCGGCGGTGGTAGTTTGTAGTAGTACTCCCTGGGCGTTCTGGGCTCGCAGGTGAGGGAGGCACACTAAAAAGGAGCTAGCACGCAGGAGGTTGCCAGGGGAGGTGCCCTCAAAAGCGAAACACGTGAGGAAAAATAGTGTTCTCCGACTTGTCGCATCACTCTGGTTTACTCCACGATCATTCTCTGCAAGACGAGAGCTTTGATATTGAATTGACCCTATTCTATTGTTCTGTCACTTCGTCGGCTTCCTCACCACGCCGGACACTTCGGTGGCTCGGTAGCAATGAACGACCACAGACTTCCGTCCATATGCATCACGGGAACGTTAAGGTTCGAAGTCCACATCACCAGTAGGGGTTTTGGGTTCTCGGATTCCGCGCCAAATGCATCAGAAATCCGGTTCGACCTCCCCACCATGGATTGGGGCATCCAGCAGTCGGAACGATAATTCTAGGAACATCTTGAGGAGTTTAAAGTTCAGGCTCGGATCCAATCGTCGCCAGAGCCTCCGACAGAGACCATCAGCTATCCGAGTCCCGCGCGGCTTCATTCAACTATTCGGCGCCAGTCGGCCGAAGAATACACGCTCGTGGACTACTCATGTAGGTGATCTCGAACACTTCTACTCGTAGAGTGCATTCTACTTACACTGAAATTGAAGCACCGGACCTCTGGCCCCAATCTCGCCTCTTATTGGTACTTTACCACATGATTCATCTCAGCACAATATCAACATTCTATTCCTCTCCGTTTCCATCCATTCCCTTCCCTCATCTCCAGACCTCTCCTCTCCTCTCCTCTCTTCTCTTCTCTTCTCTTCTCCTCTGCCCTCCTCTGCCCTCCTCTGCCCTCCTCTGCCCTCCTCTGCCCTCCTCTCCTCGCATATCCATTCCATGGCGGCTCTTCAAGCTCAAGCTCGCCAGTCTTCAACGCCGGCCGCCAAATTGCCAGTGCAGGATGCATGCGTCTACCCACCCACCCACACCATCCACACTTATGCTGGATGACGATTTAGGTACGAAGTATAGTAGTATATAGAGCAAAGCTTCCCCCGCACTCCGCACGCGCAGCAGGGATGCGGATATGTACCACAGCTATGTGTGGCTTTATGTACATCGCCAATTCGATACCACAAAAAAAGGGCGAGGCCTATTCCGCCGTCTGCCGTCCTGCCTGCCTGCGTCCTCCCTTCTCTCCATGCCATGGGATAAAAACAAAACATCACGGGCGGGCACTGAAGGCATATGCCATCGAAACCCACACAACAACAAAAAAAACGAGGAAACATAATACCATATGTACATTTGCTTTTTTCTCTTCGCCAACCCTCCTCTTCGCCAACCCTCCTCTCGTCAACCCTCCTCTCGCAACTCCACTAGGTAGTATATACTCTAGCTTCAATCCCCGAGCCATCTGTCATGTCAGCCTCTGACAACACGTCCCTACATAACCTACCTACTCTACACGTGTCCGTCCCACCAACACCAACACCAACGCCAGCCAAACAACGCAAGAAACAGAACAACGAACTCGAACAACGAGCTCGAACAGCAAATTCGCATCCACGCGCATCCACGTTGACATTGGGGGAAAAAAACCATCGCATCCTGCCATCCATCCATCCATCCATTCCATCCATCCACATCCATTCCATCCATCCCTTCCCATCCAGCGAGCGAGAGAGCGCAAACTTATGCCAGCGAAGCAAGCAAGAGCAAGAGCAAGGAGCAAGGGAGGGAGGGAGGGAGGTAGGGACGTAAGCGAGATCAGATAATAAGCGCTGCGTATCCATTGGCTGGGGTCGAGTGATCCCCCATGCATGTATGTATGACTACCTACGACTCTCCAGCGGTGGGGGCGGGGGAAGGACTCGCTTCATTGAAGCTGTCTGTGGATTGGGATAGAGAGAAACAACGGACGGCCAGTGAGACATTGGTGCGCTTAGGTATACCGACCCTCCACCCCTCCACCCATCTGCATCCCCGCCCTCCCGCCCTCACCAATCCGCCAATTCCCCAATGCCAATCCCCCGCCCTCCACCCAGCGGCCACTCCACCCGGCCCTCCCTCCCCACGCCGCAGCCGGCAGCAGGCAGCAGGAAAGTGTAACTCGAACTTCGCGGCTGGTCACATGGAGCTGTACCGTACTGTACTGTACTGTAGGTATGTAGATCCTCGCAGTGCCCACCCCCACAGATCTCCTGCCTCCACCTCCGCCCTGTTTCCCTCCCCCCCGCCACTCACCTCATTCGCCCATCCCTGCTTTATATGGTTACCTGCGGCACTCAAATCGACAAATCGACAAACCGACATAACCCCTCTGCAAATTGCAAGAATCTGTCGATTTCCACGAGGATCTGGAGTAGCTAATGCATCCAATATGTGGGGGCGGGATTAGTCACTGCAGCTCGTCGCCGCCGCTGGAATACCTACTAGCTGATACTGCCATACTGGTGAAATGGATTATGTACGATGTGCGAGGGCCGCCGCCGGGATGCGTATTTAAGGCGGGGTGCGGGGAGGGAAGTGCACCTATGTAGCGGTACCTGTGGGCACTGGGCTGGGTGGGGGGGGGGGGGGGGGGGGGGGCAAACGGCTCATCCAATTGTGGATGGTGGCCGGTGCGGAGTGCTGTGGTGTAATGGTGGCTCATTTATGCTCACTCGGTGCTCGGTACCGTATCCCGGGGAGCAAATGGCAATGGCAATGGGAGTGGCGGTGACGAGAGCCGCCCCAACGCTCGGTGCGGACAGGTGTCGGTCGCTACAAAACAGACGCGGACACAGACGTGGGGAGCACCTCTTCAAGTACCCCGAAGGCCGAGTGGAAGAGCTAGTAGAAGAAGATCCTGTGGGTACATATAACAGTAGGAGGAAGGAGGCGGCTAGGGGCGGCAAAGATCGCTTCAAGATCCGACGCCTCTTCTTCGCAGGAGAGCGGTGCAGCCAGCCAGGAAGCCCTGGACTTTCTCGTTGCCACAATTTATGTAGGAAGGTGGATTCGGGAGGCCGCTGGAGAAGAGGCCGCTAGTGAGGCGTCAACGGGAAGATAGGTATGTAGCCGGAGAGGAGGCAAGAGGAGCGGGAGGAGGAGGAGGGCGCTGATGTTGGGGAACCGGTGTCACTTCTAGGTACCGTGCCTCCCCGCACCCTCCTCCATGGCATCTTCTGATGAAGAGGCGGGGGACGAGGCGGAATGAGGAGCGGACTTTCATTTCCCTGGCTTTATTTCATTGGTGCGCTCTACATGCATCTTCGGGAAAACGCCAGGGTGGAGGGTAGCGATTGGACATTGGACATGGAAACGACAAAGTGTGTGTATTGCCATGATCTACTCTGGATAGGTCGCAAGCAATGAACGATTGAACCAAAAAGAAAGAAAAGATATTGGTATGTGCAATGGTATTCCATAAATCATTCAACAGGCCTGACGGCATGATGGACCTCGACAGCATAAGAAGGAACAGCAACGCTAATCCAAACAACGCTCCAAACAGCTCAATTCACTACGCCAGTCTGGCCCTCTTCTTCATCCTCGTGCTCTCCTTCCCCTGCTCCCTCTCCTCATCACCATCTTCCACTTTATACTCAGCCGGATCGACAATCTCATCGGCAGTCTTCTGGAGGAACTTGATAAGCTCCGCCAACTGACCCTTAACACCTGTGACATCGAAGTCCCGTCCCACATGCTTCCGTTCCCTGAGCGTCTTTACCAGGCGGCGGCAGCGTTCCTCAACGAGTTCGACGCGGTAGTCGGTCCACTGGTTGTACATCTCGTTGAGGTCAGACACGGGCCGCACAGTGAGCAGCTGCGAGTCATCGGCCACCACCGGATCCCGGGGCCGGAACGAGGTCACCATCGTGATGCGTTCGCGCGTGTTGGTGGATGGCAGCGCGATGTGGTCGATGTATCTACCCTGGAGGACTACGGCGGAGCCCTTTCGCACCATTAGCCCAACCGCCCACAGTCATAGACAGCAATACACTCGGAATGGCGCGCATACCATCTGCGGACCGCGGACTTTCATGATCTCGCCCGCACCAATGCGGAGCGCAGTCTCGCCGCCCTTCATTTCCGTAGCATCGGAGAGCATGAGCACGCACACGAACGGATACGAGTCCTTGTGCCAGCCCACCACGGGAGCGGCCTGCGTCTTCCCGTCCGCGTCGTCTTTGTCTTTGACGCTGATGTTGATGTGGCCGATCTCGTAGTCCATTACTGGCACCAGATCCACGCCCGCAATGCTGCTGACGATCCGCAACGTCTCGGGATTCGTCCAGGCGTCGTAGACGAACTTGGCATATCTAGACACCGCAGCCGTCAACATCTGATCTGGCCAGGAGATGTATTATAGGAGGGAACCCACTTCGGCGCCATCCCGCGCAACTGACAAGCGGCAATACTGCTCGCAAACCTACAATTATCCCACACCTCATCGGCGAGGACCTCGTTGCGCATCAACCGGACCGCCTCAGGCGTAAACAGCTCGAACGGCTCGGACACGCCGATGGGCGATATCCCCCTCTTCTCGTGGCCGAGCTCGCTCATCGTGTGGCAGGCTGGCATCGTGTGGTACGCTAGGTGCCGCGACGGGTTGAACGGAGACTTGAAGTACGTTGCGGGCGTCTGTGGCCGCTGCAGCGGCAGCGTGAATGAAGGCTTGCTCATGGCCGAGGTCCGTACCCCCCGGATCGGCGCGTGGGCTTTCGTTTGCGTTTGCGTTTGCGTTTGCGTTTGCGTTGTTACGGCTGTGGCCATCGTGGAGAGGAAGGGGGCGGAGTAGGCGGAGGAGGGGATATATCTAATATCTTTGGCTTTCTGGATGCTGAGCTCTGCTGATAGCCGTGGATGATTCCACGGCCAATTTATACCGTTTCCCTTCTCCCCACCTCCTCTTGTCCGTGCCTCTTGTCTGCGCAGTGGATCCGGGACCTCGTCGGCCGGCAATCGTGATGGAATAGGCCCGTATCGATAGCTGAAGCTGCATTGCAGTGTTAGCCCTGCCTAGTATGTAGTAGTTCTCCACACCCACGACGGATGACATATTGCCTGCCTGCGCGCACCGATTTCGAGTCCGGATCCGCTATCTCTTGCACAGTTGCACTCGCTCGCTAGCTAGCTCTCCACACCTTTTCAGATTTCTCGCACTTCCTTCGGTTTCCCTCTCCGGTGTACTCTACATACATATCTCACGATGCTCAGAGGAGGGAAGTTTATCTCCTCCAGGACATGGACGGATGCACTGCATGCGGCCTAGGACTAACTACTATACTCGACCATTGGCGGAAAAAGCGAGCCGACGTTGCATATCTAACCCTCCCACCTGGCATCCCACCTGGCATCCGGGGTAAACCGTAAACGAAGGAGGGGAAAAAGCAATTCCCGATCGTGAGCAGCTCCTCCGTTTGTATCATACTTTGCGTATGTAGATACCGGCAGCACGACGAAGACAAGAGACGGAAGCTTTTTTTTCTCGTTCTTTCTTGCTTGCAGACTGTGTAGCTAGCGGCGGCTGGTGGCTGCAGTGGCGGTGGTGGGTGGGTGGATGGATGGGTGGATGGTAGTTTAACCATACCCCCGGGCCCGACTGCGACTTTGTTGATAGCAGCAGCATGATGGCATGGACAAAGAGTTGAAATTTTGAAATCCTCCGTCGTCGTCAATGCGATCGTCCACCGATCTGATGATTCTGATCCATCCGAAAAAAGGAATGGAGTCCCGCCGCGAGTGCTGCGAATCTGCGATCTCTGGCGAGGCCCGTACCGTAGATGGAGTGTGAGGTAGAGGAACAAGCCGTGGTGGATCATAAGTAGAGATTCCGATACCCGAATGTCGTCCTGCGCCGCGCAGCTACCTACCGTATCTACCGTAGATATGTAATCGATAACCACCAGCACCCCTCATCATAGTTCCCCTCAGTACAAAAAAGCTTAACTGCCGGCACCCCCATCCCCCCCATCCCTCCCAGCCCTAGCTCCAGCGGTTATGCCACACAAGTACATACATATTCCTTCCCCATCCCGCCCAGCAGATACATAGACACTTCGAGCACCGTAGCGGCGTGGCGGCGTAGCGACGTAGCGGATAATCCGGGATTTCTTTGCCGCTTTTGGAAATGTGTAGACGTGCACTTCTGCGGCGGAGGGTTTCGAGCTTTCGGCCCCGGGACTCGGAGGAGACACTCGGGACTTGCACTTGGACATCACTACATTTTGTAAAAGTGCAGATTAACTAAACGTAGCCGAGTGTTTTGGTTGCTGTTGATCGCGATGCGGAGGGAAGGTCAAGAAGGTGGCGGCTTCGGGAGTGGTACACCGAAGATTACATGATATGGGGAGATATCTCCGCTGCTGTGCGGTGGGAAGCTTGGTTTGAGAAGGATAGACTCGTAGTTAGGGCTATGCATAGAGTGGAAATTATGCATATCGAGTATTGAGTAATGGAGTGAGGGGTGGAGAATCGTGCCCCGCCGGCTCCATGTGGTTAGCTAAGTACGGTATGCTCTTTCTGCAACCTCCTCTTCAAGCCGGGCACCGTTTGTATAGATAGTATTACGTCTCCGAGCAAGGCGCCACTACGGTACATCTACATATCCCTCGCCATAAAGCAGGCACCTCCTCCGTCTTCGTCACCAAAGTCCTGAGTCTCGCTCATCGCTGTGTCCTCTATAAAAGTACCTCTTCCTCCCCCCTCTCTCCTGCCTCCGGCTGCGATGCTGATCGTGGTGATGAAGGACGCCCATAGCTATCGAGTAAGGTGATTATAGGAACGGTGACATCGTGATTGCTTGTGATCGGTTGCTGGTGGAAGTACAGTGACGTTGAAGAAGCAAAGACACGGGTAACTAACAGACGGGGTGACTTGGCATAGTTACCAACTGCAGCAGCGAGCAAGCAAGCAGCACCCCACCATCCGCAGCCCCTCCACTGCGCACGCAGCGTCCCCGCGATCATCACAACAACGCGCCGCCGTATTTTCTCCCGTCCCATCTCCGTCCCGTCGTCCAAACAAAAATACAAGATGGACAACCGCCCGTGGCACAAACGACCACCGATCGCCGCTGACAGCGCTCCCTAGCTCTCCCGCGAAGACAGAGCCGCAGCCGACACGCAAGTGCCACGAGCGGACCACTGAAGCAGCCGTTTCTCCACCCTTCACCGGGAGCAAGGCATTCTTCGCGACGAGCTATAAGCCAAACACGTGTGCCCACCGTCCCGCGCTCCGCCCACTTCCCCCCACCCCCCACAACCCGTTTCCCTAGCAAGAGAACGAGTGGAGTACCTAAGACGTGACCTCCGAGTGCGAGCTCGCGAACGGAGACAAGCTGGTACCCGACAAGATCGGATGTCTGTTTCTGCATCTGCCGCTCGAAGAGGTGCAGCAATTGCTGGAATAGAGTGCGGAGCGCATTGAGCAGGAGATTAGTGAGATTGATTAGAGGATCGAGAAGCACCGGGAGACGGCGGAGGAGCTTAAGGTCGCTATACGCAAAGTCTGGGAAGGCAATAAACCTGCATGTGTAGGGGTGGATAATAGGAATGAGTGAAGATGATACCATCATATGGAGCTGAATCGAGTGATGGGGAATGAATGTTTGTGCAAGTTTCCACGATTGGCATCAAACGGAACATGTGGCAAAATGTATCTACCCTATCACAGTAAAGCGAACGGCCACGGCCCGTCTTGCATGACGGCCCCCAAGGTGCCTGCTAACTGTAGATAGCACTGATTCACCGGAAAACCTCTTACCTAAGCACCTATCCTCCGATCCCAATTGCACGATTGGGTGCTCCCATCCCATCATCGCAGGGATCCTTCCCGTCGCTCACACGAATTAACACCCCACTTGCGCGAGAATCCCATCGAATCTCCCAGCCGTTTCTGCCACCAGAAACGCAGAGAAGTGCATTTCCGCATGGACCGAGGTTTTGTAATAAGGCCGCTTACAAATCATTCACTTCGTTTACCTTTCTCCTCTCCCCATCCTTCTTTTTCCTTGTTTAATCATCGTTGCATTCGAGCTTACTGGATTACCTCTCTCCAGTCGGCGGTGATATCCCCATGCGGTCGTTACTCTATTCCTCTAGGAGTCAAGGGTGCGATTTAAGATTTCCATATGCAGCCGCATTCTATCCGCGTCTAACCTGCAGTGCAAAAGTGGGGAAGCGGTGTCGTCAGAGCTGGCCCGAATCAACACGCAGACGTTACATCCACATATGTGGAATATAATGGATTGAGCTGTGAGGGTGTGACGGGCGGTCAATTCAATTGTCACATAAAAGGGCTTCCCCTCACTCCCTCCTCTACCACTACCACCCGCAACGACACGACACGACACCTGCTCTGAAAGCAACCATCCCTCGAATCCACACCACACACTACACACTTATAACCAAAACAGCAAGCAATGACTCCCAAACTCTTCGTGTAAGCTGCTCCTTCTCTCTCTCCGAATTGGATCTCAACGGACGGATCAATACTGATTCCCACCAGCACCGGCATCACAGGCTACATTGGCGGCTCGGCCGTCGATGTCATCATCAAAGCCCACCCGGAATACGAGGTCGCTGCTTTGGTGCGGAGCGATGACAAGGCCGAGCTCGTAAAATCCAAATACTCGTCCGTACGAATCGTCAAGGGCGACCTCGATTCCGTCGATACTATCAAGGCCGAGTGTGCTAAGGCTGATATCGTTTTGCGTACGCCCAACCTTTTCCTATGAGACGAGATGGGATAAAATGCTGATACTGATGGCTGGACCCCCACAGACTTCGCTGACTGTGACCACGTTGCCTCGGCGAAAGCCATCACCGAGGGCCTCGCCGCCTCGGACAAGCCCAAGTACCTGATCCACACCTCGGGCTCGGCGTTGCTCGCCGACATCAGCAAGCCGGAGCGCTTCGGAGCCACAATCCTCTCGGAGGAGAAATACGCGGACGTATCCACGCTGTCCACCGTCACCTCGTTCCCGGAGGAGGGCCACGTGCACCGCGACGTCGACACCATCGTCCTCGCGTCTCCCAGCAACGTGCACACGGCGATCGTGTGCCCACCCACGATCTACGGCCCCGGCTTGGGCGTCGCAAACACCCGCTCCATCCAGACGCCCGGCCTCACCAAGGCGATCCTGAAGCGCGGAAAGGGCTTTACTGTCCGCGGCGGAAAGAATGTATGGAACTCGGTGCACATCCGCGATCTCTGTGCGCTGTACCTCCTCCTCACCGAGGCGGCAGTGAAGGGTGGCCAGGGTGCGGACTGGGATACCGAGGGTTACTACTTTGCTGAGGATGGCGATTTTTCGTGGGGTGAGCTCGCGAGGGAGATTACCAAGCGTGCCGCTGCGAAGGGGTATCTCAAGAGTGCTGAGGTTGAGGAGCTGGATGTGGAGGAGGTCAAGAAGTTGCATCCGTTTGGGCATGTGCTGTGGGGAACTAACAGCATAGGCAAGGCCGAGAGGGCGAGGAAGCTTGGCTGGGCCCCAACTGAAAAATCACTGCTGGAGACGCTGGATGAGCTCATTGAGCAGGAGGCAAAGCTTCAGGGTTTGTAGATGTTTTTGCATCCGTCTAATTCTGGTCTGTTAGGACAATCATGAATGAAATGATTCTTCGTCCACACATGTCTGTCACTCCTATGAATCATATACCTGAGATCCATCATACATTATCACACCCCCAACTCAATCACAACCCATCACCATTGCCACTCCAACACATCCCCGCGGTCCCGCGACCAGTAATCACAATCAGTAATCCACCCCCGAAACTCCGGAAACTCCGCCCTGAGCCCTACACCCTACCTACCACTCCCATGACGACCCTTTGTTTCCCTGCCCCTCCATCCTTCCTTCCTTACAATCCGCCATCGCCATCGCCAGTCGCGTGACCCCAGGCCCACGGGTGCCTCGGAACGGACGGCTGCACCTGCAAAAAACCACGTCACATACATCCATCGGAGCCTTGAAATTCCGAGCTCCGGCGGTGTTTCTGCCCTCTCTCTCCCCACTGGGATAGTTTAGGTATGTGTCTGAGTTTTTTTTTTTGCGCGCGCGCGCTGCTCGGCGAGGATAGCATCCGGGGCGACGGGGCTGAACGTGAATGTGAATGTGAACGTGATGTGAGACGATGCGAGACGAGACGAGACGAGGTGCGGCGATAGGATGGATAGGATGTACGGCGATAGGATGTACGGCGATAGGATGTATGGGATGTGATGTGATGTTGTGATGTGCTACAAGGGCTCGCCGCACCTACGGGTTGGGCACCGTACCGTACAGTACCCACCAACCGTACCTACCAGCCGTACCAACCAGCCGTACCTAGGTTCCTTACCAACTCTGCGTACATACATGATACGCTGGATGCACAGTGTTTACGAAGCAGAGTATCGAGTGGACTGTAGATGCTTACATCCTACCTTACCTATCGGCCCGCAGATCTACTACCACTCTACTCGGTGTTTGGTTGGGTTGGAGGGGCGGGATTACGGTACTGAACTCAACTCAACTGGCGACACTGTACACATGCCCCCCATACTCTACACGATAGGTCAGGTCGGTCGGTCGGTCAATGGAAGGCCAGGATGCACAGTGCACACTAACTACCGGTACCGGGCATATCATACTCTCAACATGTAACTAGATTGTAAACAGTGATTGCCATCACGTTCGTATATACGGTACTCTTCTCTCCCAGGCCCTCTCTCCCCCCTCCACGGTCCATGGTCCACCCCCTCCATCCACCCCGTGCCAAGCAAGTCTCGGATTAGACATTACAATCAATCTCCCTCCCACAGTTCCACGTTCCACTCCCCTTGATGAAAATGCGGATACATACATGTATATATGTAGATTAACAAATTGTGGGGTAGGTAAGTAGGGAGGGAGGGCAAGGTCTATGTAGCAACTGAAGTACAATAAAATAAAAGAGAAACAGAAACAGAAAAGGGAAGGTGCCGTGTTTCCAGCGGCCGCTAGAGATAGAGATAGATCAAAATGTATTTACAACGGAGGATGTAGGTATGGATGGATGGATGGATGGGGAGGAGCAGGGAGTCTATGTATGTGTATACAGAACGCATATGCAGATATCCACCACCACAGCCAGCCAACAGATATGTAGAATGCACACACAACAAGCAAGCTTTGAGCTGAACTGAAGGAAAAAGAAAACGAACAAATGGAAAGAAAAAATCCGAGAGTAGAAAACCCCAAACCCCGAAGTTGCGAAATCAGCTTTGAAGTTCTACCCTAAAGTGTCTACCCTTCTTCACCTATTCTTTTTTATTTTACGATAAAAAAAAGCGATTCGTAACGTCATGACCAATTTGCAATATAACAGATGGGTAACCGCATGTGGGCGACCGGAAAGAAAAGGTTCCGTGTGTTTGTTGGCTGCGCATCCAGTTTACTGCTCCTTCTCCGACTTACCATTGGGTCCGTACATCAACTCGGTGCCAAAGACTTTGTCCCAGAACTTGGAGGTAACTCCGAAGCCCTTCTGGTAGTCGGAGAAGTGGTGCTGGAGGTGGTACTTCTTTAGTTCCTTGTAGTAGGAGGGAAGGCTGGAGTGGGTTAGTGGGGGTACACCAGTATGGGGGTGGGAATGAAGCGTACGATTTGTGGTGCAAGAAGTAGTGAGTAAGGTCGTAACAAACGTATCCGAAGATTCCACCACAGAACACTGCGGTGGCGATGTACCAGTTCCAGAAGAAGACGGTGTGGGCGAGTTTCCAGAACGGGATCGCCAGTACGGTGAACAATGCGGGCGGCATTACCAGCCGCAGCTTATCCATCGGCAGGTAGTGATGGATTCCGTGCAGCAGAAAGTGTAGCGTAATGAAGACTCTGTTGTCGGGCATTTTTCTAGTCTCGCATATCAGTACGCGTGCATACATATCCTGGGATGTTTACGTGGCCTCTTACTCGTCGATGTGAAAAAGACACCTGTGCATTCCGTACTCCACCAATGACCAGATGCACAGACCCAGCACCGCCCACGACGCTGTGGTAGTCGTTTTCTCCATCCCCAGGTTCGCCCGGTAAAGCCCATACAAAATCCACGGCAGCCACACCGTGGGCACCACCCACCAAGGCGTTTTGCTCAGAGGCTCGAGGAAGTTCCCAAACAGCGGAGCGCTCTCGCCGCCCTTGTAGTGTCGTGGCTTATGTACCTGCTCAAGGTAGAAGTCCTTCGAGAACCCGCCGCCCCACACCTGCATTAACAGCGGCTTGCTGAGATCCAAAAACTTGTGCGTCTTATAATCGCCCGCGATATCGGTGGTGATCGACAGCTCCTCTTCCGATTCCATTCCCGTAGCGGTGTGGATGCTGGGCGTGCGAGGCGTGCGAGGCGGCGATGGTGGCATCTTACCTCCTACCACGGCGGGAATATGCGACAGCGGCAGGAAACCGACGTGGTAGTCCGCAAGGATTTCGTAGGCTGATTCCGAATGCTGGTGCGAGATGTCGTCGGCGAGAATCGCCGTGATGTCTTTACCGCCATAGCTTCGCGAAGTTAGCTACAGGTTGCGTGTGCGTTGCAACATGTGCCCAAAAGGGGGTAGGTGGACGAACTCGAGAATCAAGTCCTCACCACCAGGGTGGTCAGAGAGGAACGATGTCACGTCGTAGACCTTGCTGCCAATCGTGACATAGCATGACTTCGATGAGGAGTGCTTTTCGAGCTCGGCCAGGGAGATGGTAGGGAAGGATCGGGATTCCATTGTGACGCGGAGTAGTGTTTTGCTAAAGTTTCGAGAAGGCAGTTGTTGTGTTGACGAGAGGTAGCGGCGCGGGAAGGGTTGGAGAGGTACAACGAATGGAAGGGGGGAAAGGGGTGTTTAAAGGTAACGGGAACGAAGGCGTTAAGTGGTATGTTAGTTCTCGGGTGGTGTGTGGTGGAGAGATTTTTCGGAATAATAACCAGGGCCTCGTTTTTTTTTTGATGTGAGTAGGAAGTTACGCTCTCGAGGCTGCAGGAAACGGGCCGCATTGGATTTATTAGCGTCGCCGTGAAACGCATAGGTCGATATCATATCACAGCTGGATAGGTACACGGCTGGCGACTTTTGCCGGGGGGGGGGGGGTGGTTGGCTGCGGGAAAAAATAATTAAGGATCTCAAGCCAATCAATTGGCCCTATAAAACATAAAACGCACTCACGAACATCTAAAATCCCTGTGGCGCAGTGGTAGCGCGTCGTTCTTATATGGGAAACTCGGCTTCAGTCGATCTTATATCGCTATGCGAATGTCGTGGGTTCGACCCCCACCAGGGATAGGAGTTTTTTTTTTGCAACTCGTATATCCTGACTTCAGATGATAATCCATGACTAGCAGTCGTAACGTGGTCCGTGCGCTAATACGTAGACCCCAGCCGGCAAGTGGGTGGCCACGAAAGCATGTTTCTTCCGTCCCCCTAGATATGATTTTTGACCCACCATCACACCTATCACTCGTGGTTCTCTACTCTAGCTGACATCACCGCCGCGCGTCAGTCTCCGTTTACTCGCCACAAGAAATTGATTTTCCCTCTCTCTCTCTCTCTCTCGCTCCGTTCCCTTAGCTTTCTACCTCGGCTTCAACCTGGCATCCAGATTCCATCAAGTGGGGGCGGACAGTTAGATTCTCCTATCCGCGGCTGCGCATAAATATAAGCATAATCCCAAACTCGTTTCCGTCTGTGCGTGGCAGTGGCACTCGAGCCTTAAATATAGACAGATCTGGGGTACTTAGATGGGGGGATGAGTCCGAGCTCAAGCTCGAGCTGGAATCCAGCCGGTAACTAATGACATGTAGTTACTCTAGATGTGCATGCAGGAGGAGAAGCTGGCCTCCGCCGGCTAGAACTGTCCTCTATGTATGGCGCGGTGGAGGGTGCGAAAAGTTACCCCTTTACATACGCATAAATTTTGGAGTGAATGCTTCCTCCCTCCCTCCCTCCCTCCCGACATCGGGTCCTCGCTGCGGCCAAAGAACTTCATCTTCTTCTCCTCCTCCTCCTCCTCCTCCTCCTCCTCCTCCTTCTTCTTCCTCTCCGCCTAGTACGGGGGGATAGGAGAGCCAATCGCAATTTCCCGCACTCGAGCCCTGTCTAGTACCTCTAGTACCGGTAGCTAACCAGTAGCCATCGGTAGAGAACACCTATTTACGGTCTTAGACGTGCACCAGCCACAGGCACAGGCATCAAGCGCCTCTCTGCTCTGTTCTGCTTCCTTTCTTTCCCCCTTTCCTCAAAGCACGCCGCGAAGGCTTGAACACGGCGACCGTATGTATGTATGTAGAGGAAAGATCGCCCTCGGACCCAGCTTCAGTCCTACATACGACCATGGAATAGGGAATTCTCGGGCACAGCCGTACCAGGTGGCAGGAATTCCCAGGGCCCATACCCAACCGTAGTTACCAGACATCCCCAAACCCAAGTTACCCAACCACGACAATTCTAGATGCAACTAAATTTGTGACTCTTTGGGTCTCGACGACTGAGGTCACCGGCGGGGGATTTGGTTGAACATGACCGTAGACCTGGACCTAGAACACCTAGACGACCGTCTGTGGACATCAAGGCCGTCCGTACATACGTGGAATAGGAACCGAATTCTCCCCCGCCGAGTATCTACAGTATAGAGTAGTACTCCGTATCTGGCGGACATACCGTGCCTACAGACATACATACAGACCCGACAATTCTCGATGTATGGTTGAGATGGCCGAGTCGTCCGCAAGTGCAGATCTGCACAAAGCCGAACCTACATATGCATATATAGGAGACCCCTTATCGCGACGATAGCCGTCCTTAGGTACTGTAGTATAGTAGAGGCCGTCTCCTCACAGAGACGTCTGGGATTGCTCAGGCGTGGAAATATATAATCCATTGACTGCTTAAAACTTCATACTGTAACTTTGGAACATAATAACTAGCTTTGCCTGAGAGCAATAGCAGTGCATGACAGCTACATAGATGGGACAATACTATACCCAAAGTCTCCTCCGTGATGCCATGTATGTAGATAGAGGGATCAACCGGGCACAGCAGACGATCACGATTCACAGGGTATCACTAGCGCTTCCTACATATAGTACTCACGCCTACCCAATTCTCCACCCACTTCTCCACCCACTTCTAATGCGGTTATCCATTTCTCTATTCCCTATGCACATCGTCTAGATCTAGTCCGCCCTATCTAGGTACAACGATGCAATTATGGTTCATCCTTCGGAACCTGAGAGAAAAGCCAACCCAACCCAACCCAACCCCGCTCCGCCAAAACCCGTCCCCCCACTGTTGGTACATGACTCCCATATTCCGTCGACGTCGAACCAAAGAAAAAGAAAATCAGAGAAAAAAATGACCTAACTCTAAACTTCGAAGCGCAAGAAACAGCTCTTGTTTCGAATCCAGTCAGCCAAACGAAACACTCGAAAAGAAGGAAGAAAAATCACGAGAAAAGAGCAATTCGGGTGAATGCTCGGTACAAGAATGCAAATCGACAATTGGCAAAAAAACCAAATATGGACAAAAAACGAAACGTGATCAAAATACCACATCTACAATTCAATCACAAATCTCAAGGGAATCAAAGCAGGAGCACATTGGCCTTGGAAGCCTCGACCTGACGGTAGGTGTCACCATTTTCCTTGATGGAAACAGTGATGTAAGGAAGCATACAAAGACGAATCCATGCACCACGCAGTTCGAGGAGAAGGGAAGCCCTAATCTTCGCAGCGGCGTCAGATCCGAGATTATCGGCAGTCACATCTTTCATAATGTCTGCGCTGAAACGCTCTCCGAAATGAAAGAACTGCACGTTGAAGGCAACCTCCTTCTTCGCTGCTCCAAGGACGATCCTTGCCGCATGCTGAGTGACCTGGACGAATTGCTTGTGCGTCTGCTCGGCGTGCGTCTTGTCGGTCATACGGCTCATCAAGGGGCGTATCAATTTCACGAAAATGCCGGCCTTCTTGCTGGCAGCTTCCTGGAAAGCATCGTAGATGAGATCGTCAAATTCAGGATTGCCTGACACAACATATTAGTAAGTGGCGAGTTTATACCGGTGCTTGAAGGCTTTACCTAGTCTAGCAAAATGAATGATCTCACGAAGTCCGTCTCCAGCCTTGACATCAGGGTTTCCAAGAAAGATGCTGACAACCTCATCCAAGAAAGCCGGCTCAAACAATCCAGCCAACATGCGAGTAGCCATGGCAACTACGACGAGGAACTTGGTCCGTTCACTGGTCATCAAGTAGCATTCGTTATGCCAATCTTCGCAGACCTGGCGCAGTTTGTTCAGGATGTCTTCACCCAAGGTCTCCGTGGTTGGGAACTTGTAAAACCGCTTCGCCCAGCAAGAGACCATACGGAAAAGCATGGCAAGCTCGCTCTCGTAAAAAGCAGCAGCATCATCTGTCTCTTCGGGCTCATTGTAAGGACGAAGACCTTCTTGACGTAGTTGACGCTTGAGACTCGCGATTTCAGCCTCACGAACAGTGATGTTTTTAAGGGCAACCTGACATGCGTGGTTCAGATTCGACTGATACTTATAGGCCTGCTGCTCTAGACGGTCGAGGTCGCTTCTGAGTTGCTCGTTTTCTAACTTCAAGGCATTCTCCGAGTCATGACTGGAGGGGACGGCACAGATCTCATTTCTCGAAGGGCAGGGGGCGATCGAAGGGCAGAGGACGATCGGAGTACCGATGACAGTATCGCAAGAGCGGTGGCTCCCATTCATAGACACGACTTGACTGTGGGCAGCGTCGTTGTCCTTGCCGGTCCAAACGGGTTTGCCATCGGGACTTTCGGCAAAGAATCCGTAGTCATTGACAGGTGGGATGTAGGGGTCGATCTGGCTGGTACCCCTTGGGTGGTGACTGGAGCGGGACAAGTTGTCCGGACGACCAGAGAACAGCTCGTTTCCCATCACTCGACCCTGGTTGCTCGGCGTTGGCGGAGAGTAACCAAACCCAGAGGCCGGAGCAATTGGAGTACGCGGTTCTTCGGAAGGTTCAGTGCCATTAGACACAGAAAACGAGTCGGAGAGTCCAGGCTCGTTGTCCGCATCCCTCCGATCCATCGACCTCATCAACCTCCTCTGAGCGATGTCGAGGATTTCGGCGGCGGTAGGAGAGTTGTCACCAGCCACCAGACCGAGGTGACGCAAGGAAAGGGCAAGTTGCTCCTCTGTGGGGGTGTAGGTACGTCTATGACCAGGGTTCTCGTGAGAACCTGAAGCGAAGAGATGTCGGACCATGCCGTTGGTATCAAGCGCGAATTGCTGATCGGTGCCACTATCGTGATGCTGGGGATGACCGTTGTATGGCAGAAGCACACCGGCAGCTTGCATCAAGCCGGGTCCCGACATGTCCTTCGCTGGGTGCACGCCGTGAGAAGCCCGCAGGGCACTTGCAGGGCCAACGCTCCTATCCGCATTGTCTGCTGGCGACATTAGTGGAATTCCGAATATGTTTGAGTTGACTCAAAACACAGTAGCAAACAAACAAACAGCGGGAAAAAGAACACTGGACAGCCTACATCCGAGGGGAATACCGGCGTTGGCGGTACGCAATCCGCTGCCGATGACACCGAAGCCCATGGCACCGAAGCCCATGGCACCGTTCCTAGCATTAATAGGCTGGCGAACAGGATGTTGAGGAGTGGTCGGAGCAAGCGAGTGCCCACGACCACGACCGCGGGGAAAGCGAGTATGGTCCATCTTTGTATGATCAGTACGATGGGTGTGAGTAGGTAAGGAGAGTGGTTGGAAAACGATGGTAATCGGCAAAATTTGGAAAGAAGAAGAGAAGGAATGTGGGGGTAGGAGGCTCTGTCGTTGAATGAAGGATGATGGTGAAAGTAGCGATGAAGAGAGGAGAGAGGAAGGGATGGAGGGAGATGAAGATGTGTGGAAGTGTTGTGAAGACGGATAGGAGAGGGACAGTGAGGGAGGATAGAGGGAGCATGAACGATGGAAGAGTAATGGAGAAGGTAGAGAGGAGAGGCGGACCGATCTCAAGAATAAAGCCAAACGACAGGAAGCAGTGAAGGCCCGACTTGGGACAGGCGGAGTCCTCTTTTGGGTATGTCCCGCCCCAAAGGGAAGCATGCATCATCGCACCAAACACGGTCGATGCAACATCTACAAGCACGAAACAAACGGGGCTGTACATGAGAGCCAAGTTCACTGCTCCCATGGAGTGCAAACGTCTGATGCTCATCGCTGCGCTTGCACACATACACACCATGCACAGCGAACTAGGGTTCGTGAATCAATATTTACTATCCAGGGCAGCAATCACTCTGACTCTGATACGAAAGTAAGCCTGTGTCCCAGTGAACTTGAGAAGACGGACATCTGATGAAGAGAGGGCTGCGGCCTTGGGACGGATGAGGGCGAACAACAAACACGGCATCGTACATCAGCGCATAAGTATGTTGCTTTATGTAGCCAGCCCAAACCCAGCTATGCACCTTCTTTGGAGAGTCGGGAGAGCCTAGCTCTCCTATAACACCGCCCGGAGCGCTTCCCCAGTATTATGCCCGGCCAGTGTCTCCCTCCACCTCTCCATACAATGACCTAGCTGCCGTGGGATAATCGATAGCAGTGGACTAGCCTTCTGTCTGATTGAGCTCCTCTTTGCTTCAGAGGAATGCATGTAGGCAATGTCCACTGAGCTATCCCATGCTCGTCCGGAGCTCAGCCCGATTTTCCTCTACCGTTTGCCGTATTGAGATGTCATCCTCAATTGAATGGTATCCAAAGAAGCTTCTCGAGCGAGGTGCGAACAAGCCTTTAGAGCAGGCGTCACTACGAGTCTGCGCCGCGGGAGGATAGGCCAGGGGCCGGAGGCCGGGGCTTATGTGTCCACTGTCTCTCCCCCACGTGCGGCTGGCTGCAGTTTGCATTTCTAGAACATCTCAACACCGGTGGGTGGACGTGGCTTTGTTACGGCTGTGCGTTCGCACCGTAAGCCGGTACTGACCTGGCTCGTCTACGGCAGTGCTGTACGTAGGTGGGTAGGCCAGAGATCTGAAGGACAGGGCATACGATCAAGTTTACACCGTCCAGGCGAGTGACAGGAACAGCACACTGAAGCAAAATCCTGCTTCATTCCACATACGGCCGTGCACTCGGACGGCGGACTGGTGATCTTGCTTGAGACAGTCGGCGTGTGCAGCCGCGGAAACGACCTGGTCATAGGGAGCAGTTCGGTTTCGACTAACAAATGAACCAGTACCAGCCTACCCGCCAGTCTCTTGCAGAAGCCCAGGAACAGTGGTTGGAATTTAGCAGTGAGCTCAGGTAGAGTAAGCCGGAGATGTGAAGCAACCCCATAAACATCCCGACGAACCCACGAGGAAAGCCCCAAGTCTTTCTGCGGGAAAGCCCCAAGTCTTTCTGCGGGAAGTCGCTGGAAACTGGAATCTGGAGCGTGTAGGCGGAAGCGGAAGTAGGACCGTGCCAGTAATGGCCGCCATGGACTCATGGTACATAGGTCCATTCTTCCCCCTTCAGTCTTCGGACATGCCGTATCGTGCCAAGCGTCCGCTCTCGAGTCTGCCCAGGCTATCTCCAGTGTCCACACCCTCCAGGCCGTCCAATCTTCCCTCAGGTTTAGAGGAAGTGGACTGGAACCGCTACCAGAACTCAATGATCTACAGCTTCAATGGATGCATGATGCATAATGGCCCCGCAGACTGTCCACGGAAACTACCAGAAGATGCCGTTTCGTCCAGCTCCACATTCCGAGCTACCTCACGGCTATAGTCTAAGTTTCCATAGAGTCTCCAATACCTATTCCTCCGTATGCTCCTCTTCTGAGTCCTGACGTCCATCTCCGTCTGAATCCATATGCACCTGTATAATAGAGCATGATTCCACCCTACTACTATATAGCGCTCTGCCTCCACTAATCACCCGTGATGGTTCAACTTGGTTGAGTACTTAGGTAGGTGAATCCTGCTTCACATCCCTAATATTCACTAGGTAGTGCTGAGCGGGGGGAGGTTTGTCTTGAGGGGAGGGCTGGGCGGCGAGCAATAGGGAACCGGCATCGAGCCCGCAGCCAGTGGTCGAGAACAGCCGGGTGGAAAAGGATATACGGTAATCTGCCATGATTTACCTACTAAGGTCGAATGCAATCATGATTGAACAAAACAAATCCTCCAGGTAGTTAAGTGCAAATGTAGTGAAGCATCGCCGTAGACCCGTAGGCATCACTGGTTTCTGATCTGAATAAGCCCGTAAAATGATGTGCTTCACTCCAGCGTGCTATCTCCTTTACTAGTAGTCATCCAAGTCGTTTTGACTCGATCAAATACCGGTGCTGGTACTGGGTGGAGGCCCACGGTTGGCTGACTGACTGCTGCTGCCCCGGAGGACAAGCACATTGGATACGGAGGGTTGAACCAACTTGGACGAGCGATATACAGGACACGGGATAGAACATAATTTTATTCCGAAAGAAAGAACAGAAGAGAAGAGAAGAAGCAAGAAATCACCACATCACAGCAAGACAAGTTGCAAAACGAAGGTTAATACACCAGAATCCCAAAAAAAAATACAATTCACATATTCCATCGCACGTTTACTCAGAGCAACGGATAAGAATGTTAACCACAAGATGTAAAGATGTACCTAGAGTAGAGCTTACGCCCTACTACTCGCCCTACCGAACAAACTGGCGTACACCGCGTCGACAACAGGGGAGGCGGAAATTCGCCTGCCTCCGAAGAACCGTCCGTTGAGTCCCTGGATCGCCTTCTCGCCGCCGTTGACTTTATCAAACTTGATGTAGATCTCGCCCTGGCTGTTGGGGTCAAGAGATATGTGAACAACGTGGCCATACTTCTCCTCGCACTCGCCCTTAACGTCATCTTCAAGTTCTTTGATCCACGCTTCTCCGGTTTCCCTAGGAAATCATTAGTACTAATCAAAACCACAAGACGAACGACTGTTTACTTACTCGGCGGGATCGAACATGTTCTTCAGAACAACACATCTACTGGCCATTGGCACGTTCACTGGGAGTGGCTTCTGGGCGTGGACAACCGTGTCGGGAGCTCGCTGCCTGGGGGCATCTTTTCCGGCGCCGTTCCTCTCCGGAGGATCATCCTGTCGAGCCAACTTGCGCATAAGTAAATCTCTGCTATAATTATTGAAATTTACTCCTGCAACATCGGTATCGTCGAGCGCACTTGCGCCAGTTCCGGTGGCTTTATCGTCTGCACGGCCAACACGATCAGTACCGCGGTTACGGGACTCGAAAGCAGAGCCCTGGAATCCCTGATTGTAACCGGAGAAGCGCTGGAGCATCTGTGCGGTGGATTCGGGCGTGAACTTGTCGTTGCCAAGGCCAACCCGGATGGGACGGCCAGCCAAATCGAAGCCGTTCATTTTCTCAAGAGCCTCGCGCGCATTATTGGGATCGCGGAACCTGTGATTCGTTAGCTGGATGAAACACAAACCTGAGGTCGAAAACGAGTGAGAGGAACGTACTGGACAAAACCATAACCCCTGCTCCTTCCGCTATCCTCCTTTTGAAGTTGAACAAATTCCAGCTCGCCGAAAGGCTCGAAGACGTTGGTGAGATCGGCTTCGGTAATGCTGAAGTGGATGTTGCCGACATATAGCCTATGGAACGGAACCTGATTCGCCGAGTTCGACTCAGTCGCGTTGACACGAGCCTGTCGATTCTTCTCTGCTTCCGTGAGCTGTGCGATGACGGGAATACCGAGTAAACGCTGTCCGGTTAACTGAATAGCCTTTTGCACAGAAGCTTCATCCTTGAACTCGACGTAGCCAACACTATTTTCACACCGGAAGTTAGCGAGCATCTCCTAGGGTGGGGCAGAAAACCAGAACGTACCCTTTCGACCTGCCGCTAACTCTGTCCTTGACAATCTGAGCTTCCTTGACTGGGCCAACCTTTTCAAAGAAAGCAATCAGTTCCTTGGACCTCAGTCTCGCAGCCAGCTGCTGAACAAACACGGTACGACGATCGCGCTCGTCTTCTGTCAATTGTGGAGAGCGACTTCTAGGTGACGATGTTAGCCCCCTGCAGCAAGTACCAAAGACATTATGATACTGACCTGGTCCTGGGTCTTCCTGCACCACGCTCACCGCCACGCTTGCGCGGGCTCCTTGACCTCCTGGGCGTACGTTCCGATTTGTCGCGGTGGTCGTCCCTATCGCGCTCATCGTAGTAGTCTCTGTCACGGCGGTCGCGTCTAGAGGAGTAGTATCTGTCGTCGTCGCGGTCATCGCGGGATCGGTGCCTGTAGCGCGACGAAGACTCATAATACTCATCACGGTCCTCGTAGTAAGAATCCCTACGACGTCTATCGGTTGCTTCAATGTCAGCTGTGGTATTTCGGTGGGATATTGAGGGTTCAGACCTGTCACCACTCTCTCTGCTCCGGCTTCTTCTTCTGTGACGTTCGCCCCTATCGTCCCTATTCCGGTCCTTGTCCCTTCTGGACGAGGAGGACTTAACGCTTCCGCCGCCGTTGCGTTCCGGCCTCGGGGATGAAGGAGAACTGTTGTTTCGATCAGGTTGCTGTCTTGGCTTATTGCTCTCTGAAGCTTCGAGAAGGGCTTCTACATCTAGACCGGACATCCTCGCGACGCGTATGTATATCTTCTTTCCCGATTATCGATCCTTTTCGTCTCAATATGATTCCACGAAGCTAGTCGTGTTTCGGAGAAAAGGTTTGGTGCGGTAATCACTGGAACGAGATGATGCGTCACCAGCTATTAGGAAGATAGCCTGTGGTTGACTGACAGGATGGAGAGTGGAGGGCAGAAGGGAAGTATGAGTGAGCTCAAACCCTTGTATGAACGGAAGCGCTTGAGAACCGGAGGGTGTCGCGGTAAAGGTTCTGATCAAGGATAGGCGGCAGGGCAGTTGTTGATTGATGAAGACCAGTTAAACGATCCTGTCTTCTTCTGGGCTGGGGGAGGATGATTCTCTATTGCGAAAGTCGTACAGAGAAGGCTGCACTGCGTTGGAGGAGGAAAAGTATGCGGTGGAGGTGATGTGGTGTGAATTAGTAACGATCTGGGATGTTGGGTTGGGTTGAAGGCGTGATGCGTCGGTCAAAAGAAGATGTGAGGCGTGGGCGTCGGAGACGAGGCAACAAAACAAAACAAGCACTCGACAGACGATGGCTTTGCAATACAGCTAAATGTGGCAATATACACGATTTTTTCAAGGAGCGCAGTAAATGAGCAGCTGATATGCAGGCTTCTCAGAATACAAGGGTACCGCTTTTTGATACATTTTCTAATAATTCCGTGGCAGCAACGGCTGTGGCTAGCTCAGCCTCTGCATCCTGCGCCACAGCTGCAATGCCCTTGCGCTGTCGCCCCACTTAGGGCTAATCAGCCTCAACCCAGTCACTGTGCCCTTTAGCTTCCCACACAACGAACGCCGTGTGCGCACAGAGAGAAACGAGTTAAGCAAATTCACTTCGACGTACGACGAACGACAGGCCTAACGACAAGTGCTACGCGACACCGACGGTACGTGCAATCTATCCCTCAACACGGATATCGAAATACTCTCGAATCGAACTTGTCCGGACAGCTCGCTAACTCCCACCACCACACAGACCCAACCTCCGAAATCCCACGGAAGTTCCTTTTCGCCCCGATCAACATCCCGTAAACGCACTACCCAACATGTCTGACAACGGAGAGATCGAGGTCGCTACCGCGGCCTTCCCCCCGCTTCCCAAGGAGGTTTCGGACGAGATTGGCAGCATCAAGCTCTTCAACAAGTGGAGCTACGAGGATGTTGAGGTTAAGGATATCTCGTTGACGTAGGGCTACCCATTCACTGTCTTGTTTGGTTTGGTTTGGAGGGGCTTTTGGGAGAGAAAGAGGGAGACAATGAACGGGCGGGGGAAAGCAAAGGCAGTTTGGATCAGACGAGCTTCAGCAACCAGCAGGATGACGGATCATTGCTGGTGTTAGATTTGGCGATCTTGAAACGGAGGCGGAGCGAGTTGGCTGACAATCATCTGTGCCCGGCAGCGATTACATGCAAATCCGGTCTCCCGTCTACCTTCCTCACTCCGCCGGACGTTACGCCACCAAGCGTTTCCGCAAGGCCCAGTGCCCCATCATTGAGCGTCTCACCAACTCCTTGATGATGAACGGCCGCAACAACGGAAAGAAGCTTATGGCCGTCCGCATCGTCGACCACGCTTTCTCCATTGTTCACTTGATGACCGACCAGAACCCTATCCAGGTCGCTGTTGACGCCATTGTCAACTGCGGTCCCCGTGAGGACTCCACCCGTATCGGATCTGCTGGAACCGTCAGGCGTCAGGCCGTCGATGTCTCCCCCCTGAGGAGAGTCAACCAGGCGATTGCCCTTCTCACCATTGGTGCTCGGGAAGCTTCTTTCCGAAACGTCAAGAGCATTGCTGAGTGCTTGGCCGAGGAGTTGATCAACGCCGCCAAGGGATCATCCAACTCTTACGCCATCAAGAAGAAGGACGAGCTCGAGCGGTTAGTATACGCCATACCAAACACGAAAGTATTCCTAAAACTATTACTAACAAGAACCTTGAAACAGTGTCGCCAAGTCCAACCGTTAAGTGGAGGATGTGGTTTCCTTTCGGGGCATCGGGCTAGTGCATATAAAAAAATGGGAATTCGACTTCGGCGAACTTTTGCGTTTCTTCTTTCGATTTTCGCTGGTCTTGGTGTTCCTGTGGATATGTTGGGTTGTATGTACGGTGGGGATTCTGTACGCAAACAAAGACAATGCAAGCTCTTTGTGACCCATCTGAATGCCCCTCCGGGCTCTAGGCTTTTATTTGGTCATTGGAATTGGGCAAGGCGTTTTCAGTGTAATGCAGTAATTCTTGTTCTCCTACGCCATACCCCGTCAATGCACGTATACTCTGCATCAACGCGTTCTCATCTACGTGAGTAATTCTGACCACTCTGACAACTTTGTGGTCTTACTTGTAGCTCACTGTAGACAATTGTTCTGTAATGCTACGCGGCGTCACTCGTAAATACGTGCTTATTTATGCACCCATCTGCTTAAGTACAAGTCCCATCCTATGATTTACATTCTCTGCCTTCTGGAGAATGCGATTTAATTTACGACTTACGATTCACCGATGGTGATGGATTTGAAGTTTAGCACATGTTCTAGATGATTACCTAAATGGATTAGCGTGAATAGTGCCAAGCCGAGTGAGCGTAGCCTCCTTCAACCTCCCCTTGGCGATCACCTTCTCTTTGTTCCTCGATCAGCTTCCTCAGTTTCTTACCCTACAAAACCCTTCACCATCACCGCCATCCCCACCGCCACCTCGCCGTCTCTGTCTTTGCCGTTACTGCCAGAGATCGCTCGTCCGGTTTGAGATCACTGTTCACTTGCTAGGACATAGGTCAAGCTTCGAGTTTGCGCAATCGGAATCCTTGCAATTTGTCCCATCAACCCACGTTGTCGCCAGTCGGTCACAGAGCGCGTTTTCATTCCTCATGTCTGCGTGAGTGTTTCCTCGGACGGCAGTGGTCGATACGCGATTGTATTCGGTTGCTGACTACGCGACTAGCCCCACGAAGCAGTATGGCACCACGCCGCCCATCAACACAAACCCGCCCACCAGGTTGGACACTGAGCGCAATGGCGAGTTGATTGAAGAGTTGAAGAATCAGAACTGCTTCGAGGCGAAGGTGGAGAGCGATAAGCGGTATGTGGCTAGCGAGTACTATGCGGAGAGGATATCGGACCTGACGTGGTGGGTGTGAATAGTGTGCAGGTGTTGGAAATCCTCCAGAATTTGGCAGAGAACTTTGTGAAGGATACATGTCGTGCTAAAGGACTACCGGAGCACATGATTCACAACTCCGGAGGAAAGGTTTTCACTTTCGGCTCGTATCGATTGGGAGCGTACGGTCCAGGCTCCGATATCGACACACTCCTCGTAGCACCAACCCACATCTCGCGTGCAGACTTCTTTCAACTTGTTCCGGGAATGTTACTGAAATTGACTCCTCCGGCCGAAGAGGTTTCTCCTGTTCCTGACGCATTCGTCCCGATCATCAAGTTTGAACTGCAGAACATCTCCATCGATCTGATCTTCGCCCGGGTTCCTAGTGTGAACTCGGTGCCGAGAGATATGTCCTTAGAGAACAAAGAGCTACTTAAGGGATGTGATGAGCCCAATCTGAGAGGATTGAATGGTGTCCGACTCACCGACGAGCTGCTCGGCTTGGTCCCTCACCCAGGAAACTTCCGCATGGCGTTGCGGGCAATCAAGCTGTGGGCCAAGAGTACGTCACTCACCTTGTTTATCCGTATGTGAGCGTTTTGCTGACCACATTCTAGCCCGCGCGATCTATGCCAATGTGATGGGATTTCCCGGCGGAATTGCGTGGGCTATGTTAGTCGCCAAGATCTGCCAGCTGTACCCTATGGCTGTCAGCGCTGTGATTGTGTCAAAGTTCTTCATCATTTACACTAAGTGGAAATGGCCGCAGCCAGTTCTCTTGAAGGACATCTTGGAGGAGGGTGGCCAGGGTGCTGGGCTTCGAATCTGGAATCCTAAGGTGAATCCGCTGTTCCCACCACCGAAGTACTGCCTCTAAATGTTTTTGACAGATCTATCCTGCGGATCGTAACCATTTGATGCCCGTCATTACGCCCAACTATCCGTGCATGTGTTCCACCCACAACATCACGAAGTCAACCAAGAGTGTTATTCTTCGCGAAATGGAGAGGGCCAATGGTATAGTGAATGACATCATGCTTGGAAACGCTCCTTGGAGCAAGCTGTTCGAACGACATACATTCTTCACTCAGGATTATAAGGTTTACTTGCGGGTGCTTGCCGCGGCACGCACCAAAGAGGAGCAGCTGAAATGGTATGCAATCACTATAATCAGTTCGCTTGACGTTCTCTGACACCCCACCGCAGGTCTGGATTGGTTGAATCCAAACTTCGTCATCTCGTCGCGAAATTGGAGCAGTTGGAGAATATCCAGCTTGCCCACCCCTTCAATAAGGGATTTGAATACGAGGCCGTTTGCGATACGGAAGACGAGGCACTTCGCGTAGCTCACGACGGACATCACATCGTCCCTGGCACTACTAACGGAGTGACGGCTGATGGTACGTCTAGCGACGAAACTGGCGAAAAGCCTGAAAAGATCGGAGTTTTCACCACCAGCTTCTACGTTGGGCTGGTCCTTGACACCAGTAAGCACTGCATATTGCATGTTGAAGCCGTCTGTGCTAACCAGATGTGTAGGTCAGGCGAAAAAGTTCGACATTTCATGGGCTTGTCAGGAGTTCTATGATATGTGCAAGACCTGGAATCTGTACAACGAGGATCTTCATAGCATCAATGTCCTCTATTGTCGAGCGTATGTCATTCTTGATCCTCCTCCAGATATCTATTAACGATTCCCTAGATGTGATCTGCCAGACAACGTCTTCAAGCCTGGTGAAGTAAAGCGCCAGAAGAAGACCAAGCTCGTCAAGAGGAAGATGGCCAATGGAAGTACCAAGAAGCGTTCTGCAGATGAGGTACGTGCAGCCCCCACATTCCTGCACCGAGAACTTCGCCATGCATTAGGGGAGGAGATGAGAAGGATGAAGATCACTGAAAAAGCCGTCAATCCGAGAGCCTACGAGCGTCTCATTTCATGAAGACACCACCCAAATACAACGGTGAAGTGATTGACAATTCGAATCTGTCGTCTACGACGGTTTTGCCTGGATCTCCTCCCGGGCTGGCGTTGTTCAGATGATTAATGACTGATGCTGGAGTCGGTGTTATCTGTATAGGCACTTGTGGACGACGTCAAGAGGAGCCGAACGGCGCCAACTGCGGCGGTGCAAAACGGATCCGTGGGAGTTTGATTGCGAGTATTCAGGGTGGGCTTCGTCTTTCTCCACTGTTTCTCCGTGATACTGACTTCTCCCAGTGCGTTCCCCTTGGTGTCATCCTAGTGCCCGTTTCCTTGCTTGCGACCTCTTTACTCCTGATCACGGAACCTTCCCACCTCATTTTTACTCTAGGACGACCCTTTGGCGTGATGGAGAAGGGCGATTCATTTCGTGAACAGATATCTAACTCCAGCAAAGTTCAGGACACTGGCGGATCATCCTCAACAAAACCAACCCCCACATGTTTGGCCGACTTACATTCTCCACATACACACCCACGGCCTTCTGGAATACCCGATTTCAATTCGTTTTTTCTTTTGCAAAATTTTACTAACACTACGCCCGCCTTTCCGGGAAACAGCTTGACATAGACAACAGCTACAAAAAAATCATGACTGACTGAACGTGACTCGTCAACCTATCGCCCTCCGCAATACATGTCCCCAGGAGGGAGGGAGAGTCACAAGGTGTCTGTCGTCCTACAATGTCATTACAAAAACAAGGCACAAACCAACACCTTCAGATAGATTGTGTTTCTTTCCCCATCCTTCCATGTTTTTTTTTAGTACTGTGTTTTCCTTTCACGTTTGTATTTCAAAGGGTCGGTGTGTTTTTCTCGCTGCTGGGTGGGGGGTTTTCTTTCTTATGGTTCTTTCTGGGGGTATGGAGCTGTAAACTACTTCCTCTCTTCGGCTCGGAGGGTTTTAATAGGATAGGATAGGATTCATAGGATAAGATAATCAGTTTTGTTTTCCGCACCATCACGGCAGCTTCTAGAATGTGAAGAATGCAGGGCATGATTGATTACACTGCACATGCAGGGCAGCAAGGTATGAGTCAATGCCGAGCTCCGAGATTCATAGATCCCTGGGTCCACGGTACTCTATCGTAGTTAAGCATCTCGTCCCTGTCTGCCCCACCATATCCACCCCACCCCCACCAACGCCCACAAGATGTCGCAACTAACCGTCCCCGTGCCCACGCTCGGCAAGACGGAGCCACTGTTTACCGACGCCCTCGCGGTGCGCATGCCCGTGTTCGTAGTGGAACAGTGCATACCCCTCGAAAACGAAATCGACTTGGACGACGAGCGGAGCTGGCACTTTGTCTGCTACTCCAACTCCGGCTCCACGCCCGTAGGCACGCTGCGGATCGTGCCGCCGCCGCATGCGCACCACGAGGGCGAGGGGGTTCCTCACGATGGCGATGGCGGACATGTTAAGGTTGGCAGGTTTGCGACGTTGAAGGAGTTCAGAGGGAGGGGCGTGGGGAGGGCGTTGGTTGATGCTGCGGTGGCCTGGTTGGAAAGCGAGGGGGACAAGGTTGAGGGCTGGGATGGGAGGGTGCTGGCGCACGCGCAGGTCGGTGTTAGGGGCGTGTGGGAGCGCTTGGGGTTTGCGGTTGATGAGCGGATGGGAGTGTGGGACGAGGAAGGTATGTTGTTTTCTCTCTCTAGTCGTGGATTTACTCTAGCGGGAGGAGGGGGGGCTAATGGTGGGGTTGTGTGTGGGAAGGGATCGATCACTGTGGGATGTGGAGGACCGTGAGGAAATGAAGTACAGAAGTAGACTCTAAAGACAATGGTGACTGTCGTAAAATAAAATAAAAAAGGATATCCCCAGTAACCCAAACTTGGCTGCTACCTACTCCAGCTACTCCCGATCCTTCATGATGTCCATCAGCCTGTTGATCCTATGAATGTGCATCTTGTTCCCGTTCATGTCCACCTCCTCTTCCACGCCCTCCCCCAGCTCCTCCTCATCCTCGTCACTTCCTTCATCACTCTCCTCCTCCTTCCCCGGCTCAAAATCACTATCCTCCTCATCCTCCTCCTCATCGCTCCCCATCGCCCACCGCGCCAGCGTCGTAACCGGAATCCCCTCGATCGTCGCTTCATTCCTCCACTCCCCATCCGTCTGCTGAAACTCGACCCTGCGGCGTTTCTTCTCCCCTCCCGTCCTCTCCCCTCCCATCCTTTCCCCACCCCTTTCCCCTCCCAACTTTTCCCCACCCTTTCCCCCTCCCATCTGCTCCACCACAGCCAGCCCACTCCCTCCCCCCGAGACCTCGGCCGAGGCGGACTCCTGCAGCATCCCAGCCAACCCAGCCATCCCCCGGTCCCGATCCATAGCCAGCCTTACAAACGGCCTGCCCCAGGGCACACCATCCACCAACCTCCGCCCAGAGGTGGTGATCTGACATCGGCCGGTCAACTTCCGCGCGCGGATCTCGGCCTGCCTTAGCGGGCGCACGCTGTCCACCATCCACATTGTCAGCAACTTTCCCATCCCCCTCCCCCTCCCCTCTCCCCCTCCCTTTTATCTTCAGAAAGATAGGATACATACACAACCTCATCCCCATCCCGCAGCGTCCCCTGCGTCCCCCGTGAGCCAGACACAACCGCGAAATGCAACACCTCGAACCCGTCGAGTTCGACGACGTAGTCTTCGAGTCCGTGGCCGGCAAGTTCCAGCGGGATTATTGCAGAGATCTGCGTGAGCAGGTCCGAGATCAGGTCGCACGAGGATGGTGAGGGGCTGTGCGTCCATAAAAGTTTTGTTGGTGGGAGAACGGGGTGCGGGTGGGAAGCTGGGGTGGACGAGGTTGGAGGTGTGCTGGCGGGCGGGAGGGGGAAAGGGCGGTGGATTGTTAGGTGGAGACGCATTGTGGTGGTTGTGTTTGTGATGGGATGGTGGTAGTGGAAGTGGTGGTAATAGTAGTGGTGGTGGTGGGTGCGCAGAGATTATATTGTACAGTGGGAGGTGAGGAGTCCAATTGTGTATTTTATCGAATAGCTCAGGGGAATCGGGAAGACGCGTTGACGCTAACGTAGACGCGAGTAAAAGTATCTTATGTAATTACGGTACGAAGGTAACTCAGTACTAACTACCGGGTGCGAATGCTACTGGAGAAACTGAAAACCAAAGGAATCAGGACTACCTGGTTAACCCGGTGATTGATGGAATACCATATGGAGGCTTACTGAAGAAAATTACTATGCTACGGTGCTTACCCCAAGCTTATGGTGAGTTGTCATTATTCACACTGCTTTTCGCCATGCTTTGAGGTATGAAATACCATCCGCGTTTCCTAAGCATGCACTCCAAAGAAACACCGGCGAGACCTCGTATGAACGACTCCAATCGGCCCACAAGCCCATCTTATATTCCCCACACCTTTACTACATGCCGCCACAAAACCAAAAGTTGAGAACACTATATAATATAAAAACCAGATTTCGAACGCCCGCGCCCCGCGCCCCGCACCCTCAGCCAGCCCGACAGCTCACACAATACCCAAGAAACCCCCTCACCTCCAGCCATTAATACCCCACCTCCAACCGCGGCACCACCACGGGCCCATACTTCCCCGTCATGGCATAGACGCCCTCGCCCTGGACGATAAAGTCTACCGCGAGACTAGTAGCGGGGCCCTTCGCCTCGATGCCGCTGTCGACCTGGAAGCCCGTGAAGATGACGTATCCCCTCTTCGCCATGAGTTTCTTCTGTTCGCGGGTGCGCCCATCGACCTCTGCCTGGAATAGCTCCATCATGTCCTCCTTGGTGTCGCTGGGGGCGTTGGTGCTGCGCAGCCCGTTCTGCGGAATGTACAGGATGCGGTTGTTGTGCAGCATCTTCGTGAAGTAGCTGGACGGCGGCGCGTCCACCATCGACGAGGTGACGACCTGGTACATCGTCTTGTGGTCGTGCGGCTTGTTGGGATCGTGCACCATGCCCACGCCGCAGAGGTGCACGGCGCCCGAGAGGAACGTGATGCGGAGCGAGCGCGAGTGCGAGATCCCCTGCAGTGTGCGGATGAGGTATGTTCGCTCCAGGTCTTTGGACTCGTGCGTCCAGTGGTCACGCACGTCGTCGAGGAGGTCGACTTCGCCGAACACGTTGACAACACCACCCATGAACCCGTGTTTGCCGACCGCCTCCTTGACGCTGCGGAAGCCAGAGCCTACGACTTCTTTGGCGCCGATTACGCCAGCTGCGGAGCCCACGACTTTGCCGAGGAGATTGTACGTGCCTGTCATTGCCTTCTTTCCCGTCGCCACTGTTGTCATGACGTGCTCGGCTGTTTCCGTGCGTGGGAATACCACTGGAACCGAGACGACGATGATGGCGTGTTGTATTGATTGCGGAAGAGTGGCTATCTTGGGGAACAGGCCTTGATACGTAGGGCCGGCCATCACCTGATGCTGATTGCGCTCCGACCTGGTGTCAAGGCCGACCACAGCGATGGCGGGTCCCATGAACTTGATGAAGTGCCAGCCGGTACCAGTGATGGTGAACAGATCATTGTCGTCTGTTTTCGAGTGCAAGATCTCGAGTGTCGTATGGTGCTGGAATAGGAGATACCACAGCATGCCTATGCGGCCAATATTCTTGAATATGGCCGAGAACTGCAGGTATTCCGGATGCGAGCCAAAGCCCTCGAAACTAAAGCTTGTCAGCACTCATCCATGGCTATAACGGGGGAGGAACTGACATATCATGATCATCTAGCTGAAACATGTACGGAATCTGGGCAAACGCCTCCCTCAGATGTGGCTGATCCCAGCTACTAGTATAGTAGTGGAAGTACGCATGCATAACCTCATCCTCGTGGCGTGTTGTCCATTGGGCATTCCTCCGATTCTCCTTGCCTCGAATTTGCAGCCATTCCTATTGAAAACAGTTGTCAGCATTCTTCCGCCACCACAGCCACAATCATCTCCATTTAGGGTTCAAACCTTAAGTGACGGTAACTCCCTCCACATGCGATCCGCATACACCTGATCTCCGTTTCCAATCTGTGCATGGAACCCTCCGCAATCCAGATGTTTCTGCATCAAGTCCTTCCACATGAACCCATGTCCGCCCAGTCTCGACCGCTCCTCGCTCCGTACGCTCATCGAGAAATCGTTGCACGACGTCGAGATAAACCTCCAGTTACGATCGTCTCTCGCCGCCACCAGGAACTCATAGCGAGTGCACCCCACCGGTGTCGAGATTGCATACGTCCACATATCTCCGTCCTCCATCGGAAGTTCAATGTCATACCGGAAGAAGGTCCACGTCCGATGCGTGTAGATCGCCGAAGCTTTGAGTTGCGGTGGGTTGGGCGAGAGATCACGACTTCGGTGGATGTGCACGGTCGGTGGCTGCATGTACTCCGTCACCAGCAGGATCGAGCCGTACCAGATTCCGTGCTCCAGGTTCATGTTCGTGTATCGCAGGTACGGTCCAAAGTATTCGCCGTTCACTGGCGCTGGGTTGTACATGACTATGCCGGCATTGGGAAGTGGAGTCGGCGGTGGATTGAAGAACCCGGGAGTGTTCGGCATCGAGTCGTATGGGTTAACTTTGGGCGGATAGCCCGGAGACATTAGTGGCGGAAACCCTGGAGTCCCAGGCGCGAACCCAGGCGTTTGTGGCATGAACCCGCCCTTCATCGGGAATCCCGGAGTGCCAGGCGGTGCAAACCCTGGTGTCTGCACCGGTGCCATTTTCAAGGGCGTCGGTAAAGGCGCCGGCGGAGGAGCGAGAGCAGCAATGTCCTCAGCCGTTGGAGGATCCCATTGGGTATGCGAGGAAGCAATGTGGATATAGTAGTATGCCCCGGAATTGGCATCTTGATGGGCCATCCAGCCTTCTGGCATCACCGGAGGAGCAGAAGGGCCGGCGCCCTGAGGCGGAGGAGAAAACTGTGGTTGCGGCGGTGGCTGCTGTTGTTGCTGCTGATCTGGATAAAACTGCTGTGACTGGCCTGAATTCTGAGGCTGTTGCTGCTGCGGTTGAGGCTGCTGCTGCTGCTGCTGCTGCTGTTGCTGTTGGGGTTGCTGTAGGGGTTGCTGTTGGGGTTGCTGTTGGGGTTGCTGCTGCTGAGGTTGCGAATTCTGTCCCTGCCTATCGTTTACCGGACTTGTGTGATTTGGATCGTGCTGGAATGCGGGGTGCGAAGACGCTGGCGGAGCTGCAGCTCCAACCACGACTGTCCGCTTCTCATCCGGATATTCCTGGCCCGCTGCTCCGGACTGCTGAATGCCATTCCGACCCGCGCCAGGACTCAGGCTAGCATACGAAGGCGGAGGACTTGCGTTCAAAGCCATACGATGGAAATCACTTTCGAGCACCTCCGGCGCATGTTCGTGGACGCTGTAAACTCTGTTATGGCCGAGAGCATCACCATTCTCCTGCGGCCGTACTTGATAGTATCGGCTTTGCGTTGTGTGGGCCGGTAAACTGGGCAGGCTGGGGATACTGGGTTGGCTAGGCGGGTCTGGCCGGCTCGTTCGGCTCGTTCGGCTAGATCGACTGTCCGGTCTATCCTCTTGCTCCTGCAGATTCTCTTCGCTATTCTGACCTCCGGTTCCATGCCAGACCGTCGGTGGACCATGGGGGTACGAACCGGGCTGCTCGGTCGGAGTCCACGGGCGTGGAGCAGGTACCGGTTGGGAGCCGGGGACTGCAGTGGCAGTCGCACTGATTGGCGACGGAGCCACATTGATTTGCGTCGGCGGTTGACGTCTCCGGCCAGCAGCGCCTGGTAGTGGCTGGTGGGGTGCTTCGCCGAGCCGGAACGGCGGTGCTTCACTTGCTGCCGTTGCAGGGGTCTCGGGAGGTGGCGGAGAACCTCGACGTCCTGCTGTTGTCGACGTTGACGTCATGCGACTCGGAGGCCAGTACTGCTGATGGAATTGTGGGAACGGGTTCACGGGAGGTTCCTCCGTAGGAGGGCGGTGTGGATGCTGGTTCTGCGGCGGCGATTGGGAGTGGTGGGATCGACCGCTGTCGGCCCTGAGTCTGCCGGTCCGTCCCACCTCGCGGCTTCGGTAGGAGGTTGGTGTGTCATTGCGGCCGACGGAGCCCGCTTCCGAGGGTGCTCGGGGTGCTCCGAATGCCGGATGTTGGTCGAAAGCCGGATGCTGCTGTTCCAAGGCCATGTGCCCCTCATACGCCGGGTGCTGTCCCAAAGCAGGGTGTTCTTCATACGCTGGATGCTGCTGCCCCAAAGCAGGACGCCCCCCATATGGCAGGTGTTGGTCGTACTGCTGCAGCTCCTGCTCGTGATGCTGCTCATACTGCTGCAGCTGCTCCCGATGGTGTTGCATTCTCTCCTCCGCGGATCTATCGTTGAAAGGGAGACCCTGCTGCTGTTGGGGTTGGTATTGCTGCTCCTGCTGCTGTTGCTGCTGCTGTGATGCTGCAGTGTAATAGTTGTTCGTGGGCGGAGGTGCAGGCTGCCGACGATTATTACGCGAAGACGAAGACGCAGCTGAAGACGGTCGCGGTGCTGTAGTCGCCGAATTCGAAGCTACCGAATGTTCGCTGAAGGTGCTCATGCGTCTGGTTTTACGGAGGAGGGGATCGGGGGTACCGCGGGTGGTGGGGGGAGAAGTAGATTTTGGGGGGAGTGCAAAGTAGCCATCGTCGCTGTCGGACGAGCCGGGTCTTCCGTTACCAGCGGGCATGTTGGACGGAGGCGGAGGGGGTGATTACGATGGATGGGCGCGCGCACCGGTGGACGGGTTTTGAGGTCTCAGTTCAGTTCGTGGCGCTGGTAACTATACGTGGAGATCTTTTCAGGAGCACGAGGACGGACGGTCTGTGTGTAACTGCTACCACCGCCGCGGTCACTGCTGCTGCTGATGATGCTGGAGTTGTGCTTGCCGGCGCTACGTACGAGGCAAGGAGGGGATGATCTCGGACCGTCCAAGCGTGTGCGGGCGGAGATGGGATGGTGATGATGATGGGAGGAAGCAGCGCAACGCAACGCACAAAGAGGAGACACGGTTGTGGGGGTGGGATGAGAAGTGTGTGATGAGGGGAGCAGCAGAAGAGCAGAAGATGTGCCTACGCCGTGACGACGACGATGATGAAGATGAGGGTTGAGTATATGGTGCCTGAGATGGCGCGCGAAAGGGGATAAGAGGGGGGGCAATGGGGGGGCAGGAGCGGTTGTGCAATGAGCAATGTGCAGTGGGGGAGGATGGGGGGGTGGGGAGCAGATGCCAGACAGGCGGGGCAGCTCAGAGGGGCAGTTAAGATATGATATCAACCAGGGCCACCCAGTTGCAGTTCCAGTTCCAGTTCCCATCCACCCATCCATGATCCATCCATCCACCACCCATCCATTTCGTGTATCGTATCACGGCGGCAAAATCCCACCAAGGATGTCCGTCTCGACTCTCTTTAAAATTCCCATTGCATTGCAAAACGCCCCCTACCCACATCTGGCATCCAATAAATAAGTAACGACGCCCTCCCTCCGCCGCCCTCCAAAACCCGACAATTCCCAGCCTCATACACGTCACATACCTATGTGCGCTGCCTCCTCGGGAGATCGCGAACGGCACATCGCACACCGCAGCAGGAGGTCCACGCAACGCTCCTCGGGCCAGGCCAGGAGTCTTCTCGAGAGGTCTTGCCTTTGCCTCCGCTCAGCCTCTTGAGCCACTCTTTTCGCGCGCGGGGACGAATGCACGCACCCAAGTACCCAAGCACCCAACTCGCTTGCTTCCTTCACATGTCCCAGACCAGTCCTACCATACGTACCATACCATGCCATGCCAAAAAAAACAAAAAAAAACAAAAAAAAATAACGAACAAGAAGGAGAAGAAGAAGGACAACGCCCAGCTTGTGTCTCTACGCGCCCGCACTTGTGAAATCGTTAGTACTGGTACATAGCGGGATACATAACCTCATGTGTACCTGACACGTTGGGATTGGAGTGTGGAAATGGAGAGAAAGAAAGAGAAAGTCCAAGAACGAGCACGAGAGCGAGTGGATCCAGCCGGGGCCGGGCGGCTGTGCTGTGTGCACGTTCAGATGGAGATGAAGTCCACGGCCGGGCGGTGGGACAGAGAGACGTGCGAACAACCAACGACGGAGCGCCGAGACGCCCTGGGCCCTGGGGCCGCTCGCTCGCTCGCTCGCTAAAGTCGAGGAAAGGGTTACACTGCACTGCGCTTTGTACCCGCCGGAAACACCCAAGAGTCTCAGACGACGGCAACCATACTCTACTTGGTATGAGGTAGGTAACATGGCGACTCGAGCAGAGGAGGGATATCCTTTTGAACCCAGCGACTGTATATCATTTACATACATAGACATTTAGACATTTAGACATTCAACCTCGTTCCCCATCTTCCCTTGCCATCCCTTTGCCATCCCATCCCCTCCAGTCCCATCCGGTCTAGTCTAAACTCCAAAGTCCGAGTCACCGTCTCCTGTCCGAGTCCGATCTTCGTCCACTTGTAAGTTATACGCCGAGGGGCCGAGGGCTGGTGAGTACTGGCGATTCCCAGGCTCCCAGCTCTGCCCGTCCAGTCTTTCTTTCCATGTTTCCTTGGTGCGCTAGGCTTATATCTACACATCCTCAGGAAAGGCCAGGGGAGCCACAACGGCCCGCCAGACTCCAGTCAGGTCTGGACAGTGGACAGTGGACGAGGAAATTGCTTCTGTATATTGCCATGATGCCACTCACTCACCATCACGATCACGATCACGAGTTTGACACCGCAAGCACTACTGTAGGAATATATCCCCTTGCCATCACAGATGTACAGTTGCCCGCCGTTTTGCAGTGGTCTCGCCACACAAGTTCACAGCCCATACAAACGGGCGATCAAGCATTGCATATGAACGTGATAGGTACCTGAAAGCAACTATGATTACGAACATACAGAGAAAAGGAAAGAGGTTAAAGAAAGGATATCTATAGAGCAGGTAACTCGAGAACACAATGAAAAGTTAAAAACGCAATCTATCTATCCAAAAAAAGAAAAAGAAAAATATCAAAAGGAGTTAAAGTGGGTATTGAAAACAAAGAGTCGAAGGAGGTAGGTATCCGCCTAGTACGGAATTCCGTTGGTCAAGTGCTGGAAGCGATCATACTGTCCCGTCGAGTAAGAGCTGTAACTCTTCTTGACCAGGTATCTCATATAATCCGCCGCTTCGCGATCCGTCTTGTCGAGGACGAACCGGTCCTTAAAGTTCTGGATTGTCTCGGGCTTGAAGCAGGGAAGACTAAGCTATCTGTCAGTCCACTGCCGCGTGAGGGGGAGGAAGGATAAAGATAAACATACCCGCTGTCCAGCATCAGAGTCACACAATCCGTCAACTTATCCACATGTTGTCTGCAGACTAGGAACGACTTGATGCATAGCTCCTCGAACCAGAGGTATGGCTGCGCGTCGACGCTGCCGCCCATGACGCTGATCATCTCTGCGGTGAGCTTGAAGGGCGCACGCTCAAATGTAATGCCACCGGGAGCGATGTCGAAGCAGAAACCGAAGTCTATTTCATCCATGCATTAGCATGTGTAAGTGAGCCAATGGCTAGGCAGGCAGCTTACCAATGTGGATGATATGTCCGGCATCATCAAGCATGATGTTTCCGTTGTGACGATCTTTGAACTTCAACAGGTACGAGATGACCGAATACGCCGCCATGCTCTTAACGAAACAAGTTCTCGCCTCCTGGAACCGGATTGAGTCCTCGCCACCATACTTGTTGATGAAGTAATCGTACAGACCCATGTCGTAATCACGACCGAGCATATCTCTGGAGATCGACTTGGGTAAGACATCGATGACACCGCACCCCGGCGCGGTAGCCGTGACACGGTACGGGAAAACGAACACGTCCAGTCCAACCGAATTGAAGATGCTGCGGAAAGCAGCGATGAGCTGAAGGGCCAGCATGTCCTGCCGACAGTCATCACCGACTTTGAAGATGGCCGCTTGCATCATCTCCTTGGTAACGGTCGACGTCGACTCGTGACGGCGGCCGTGGCGATCTAGGGCTTCGTGCTCGTCGATGTTGCCCGGAGCCTTTCTCCTGATCTTGAATGTGGCCATGAAGGGAGCCTTTGCATGCGATTGCAGTGATTTTCCGCTCTTCCTATCGATATCGATGACCACACTGTCCGGGTTACTGGGTAGGTAAACACCAACGTCGACCTGGATTTTTGCCAGTTCCTCGGCAATCTTCTCGTTCTTCTCCGGCTTGGTCTTACGAATGTAAGGCCTAAGTTTGCCTGAGATCGCCGTGACTTCTCCGAAGAAGTCGAACTCACGTTCGTAGAAGCTCCTATCCGTATCTGAGAAGCTCTCGATCAACTTCGCCATAACGTGGTCCAAAGTCGGCTTCACAGGATCCGGGATCGTAGATTCCTCATCCTTAAACGCGTTGGCCTTCATGTTCCAAATGATCTGATGGGCAAATAGCTGCGAGAACTTCGCTGTTTCGAGTATGAATCTCTCGACGTATCCAAGGAAGTCGTATCTCAGAGTCTGCACGATCTGCGGAACGTAGAAGAAAGTAACATCCACCGAATGACTCTCTAGGGACCTCATTGCGTACTGCAAGATGAACGGGTCATTAGAATAGGACGGCAAGAAATAGGTGGAAGCAGTGATCGGAGTGATGGGAGCCCAGTAGAGAAGATAGCGCAGTTGGAACGTGATATCTCCAGATAACTTGTTTCCCAGCATGATCTGAGCAGCTCGGGGTATGTGCATAACCTGTTCTGGGAAATTCATGATCAAGCTTCTGACCTCTCCCTTGAGCCTCTCAGATGGGAAACGCTGGCTGAGCTGAACCGCAATGGCCGGATCCTCCTCCCAGGCTGCCGGAAGGATAGCGGAGATCGAATTGTCGCCAGTCGGTCTGGCCGCATAACTAGGAAGCAAGTGATGCCGGCGAGAGTGTTCGAGCGGGTAAAGCCAAGTGGCTAACCTGTACTGTTCGTTCTCCAAAAGCATCATCAGGAGGTCCTGACGTACTCGCAGAGTCCTGGACTGCGCGCCGATTGTCGAGATTCCGTTCAGGAAATTGGCGACATCTTGCAGCAGATGAGCTTCAGACTTCACCTGCAATTTGTTGCCGCCAAACGACCACTGAGGAGGAAATTTGAACCACGAAAGTGCTCCAGAAATGATGAGATCCTTCAGGCTGGTTTGCTGGCGCTCGGTGAGTCCAGTGCTGTAGCGTAGCACTTGCAGGGCAAGCAGCACGAGCTGGAATCTAGCTTCTCTGGCCAACGGATGTCCAGTGGCTGTCTTAAGACCTCGAAGCGTAATCCTGACTAGTCGCAAGAAAATCTTCTGGATGTGTGGATTCTCATGGCGGTTGGCATGGTAATGACTGGAGAGAAGCTGGATCAGTCGAAGATGCGGCGACAACAAGTCGATGGCCGTCTGCTGTTCAAGATTGTGCTCTTCCTTGTTCGAAGGAGCATACTCCATCTTGACATCAAAAGCATCGTCTATGGCAAAATCCTCAGCAAACAATCCAATCTTCCTCTCCACAGTCATTTCAAAGTTTCTGGCAATCTCGACCAGCATTCTTGACGACAGTTCCGGCTTTTCTCCAATCACACCAGTCCACAAGAGCAATCCGACCTTAATGGCGCTCGAGGTAAAGACGGCAAAAGGCAGACCAACCAGATGGCGGATGAGCGTCCCTTGGTCCCGATCCGAAGAGCAGATTAACGTCGCAGCCTTCCGCAACATGTCCCGAACATCTGCCGTAGGCACGCGGCCGACTGTATAATCCTTGCCTTCCATCTGGGCAATGAGCCGTTCAAGAGAATCCGAGCTGGGAGAAGACAATAGGCCCTGATGGCCTAGCGGTGCAAACTTGAGTGGGCGACGGGCATTATCCGTACCAGGCTCACCCTTCCGGTAGATCTGACGTACGGTGTATTGCTTGATGAAATCGGACGCGACGTTGGCACCAAATTCACCAACAAAGTCAATCGAAGCTGCAGAATGTACAGTTAGCGAATCTTCGGCCCAACCACCATTAGCTAGTGAACATACCAAGTCTCCGGTCAGTATTAGGAAGAGTGCCACCCATTTCCAACGCAAAAGACCGCCCTAGGGACACGTGGCCTAGACTTCCCTCGTCCTCAAACTCGGAGAGATATGTCTGGAAGAGTCCCTTCAAGTCAAGAGGCGCAATGTTCAGAATCTTCAGAACCCATGCTTTCGCACGCGTAAGGAAGTTCCTCATCGTTTGCTTCCGGAATTTGTACGAATCAGGCATTTCGATTGCTACTCTGCCCCGCTTCGAAGCGAAGATTGCTCGAGTTGCGTACTCATCGGTTTCCTCCTTCAGGCAACTGGCCCACAGTAGGCCGAGAAGCTCAAGGAGTGCAAACAACGAAGCTCTCCTGCAGAGTGCCGAGGGAGCGGCCGCAATGATTCGGTCCGCCATGAGGGTTGCCGTCGCCTGCACCTTCTCGAGTCTGTGACAGCATCCTACGAACACGTCCGCAAGCTGGTCGGCCACACTCGAAGCGCAGAAATCGGGGTAAGATCCGGTGAGGATGCGGGTGATGTATATGTCGGTGACCTTGCCGGCGATAGCTGCCATCACAACCGACGCATCACCGGTCTTGAAGGCGGGCTCGACAAAGTATGCCAGCACCTTGGAACATCCTCCACCCTCGGCTCTCATGCATTCCAAAGAATACGCGGCCTCAAGGAAGATGGTCCTTGGGTACGTCAGAGTCCTAATATGAAGATCCTCAGCCGGAAGCACGCTGAGGAGTCTGCGCTTGTGCTCAATAACATTCTGAGATGACATGTCTCTTTTGAAGAGCGAGTGCACGTCTAGATTAGCATCAAAGCTCTGATCCTCAACCACACCGTCGATGAGAGGGGGAGTGTATTTCGCGATAGTCTTGAAGCTCTCTCCATATTTGTTTGCAGTCTCGGTGCCGTAGGTAATGCCATGGATAACGCAGTTGAGCCAGAAGTCTCTCAGAAGAGACGTAAGCCCGGATCGAAGAGCGAAGTTCACATCCGTCTTATTGTGTCCAAGGAGGATCGCAAGAGGGCGTATGTACTGCTCGATTTCGCGCACAGCCAGCTGTTTCCCAGATTTCTCAGCATCTCTCGTGCCAACGGCCGTCTGATCACCTACCATACGATCATCCCGCTTCTTCTCTACATCCTTTTCCCGCTCATCTCCGATTACTGCAACGGCCTGGAGGATATCCGTAAGGAGCGGCTCATACAGTTGGGACTCCACTGTGATGGATTCAGCCAATAAGCACCGCGCCTCGAGTGCCTATGATATAAAGTTAATTGAGCATTCAACTCAGCGGGGTTCGTTGACACTGACAGCATCCAGAAGGATATGATCATCACTATAAACTGCATCCGTGCTCGATTTCACAAGAGCTTCAAAGATCGATTTATAATCTGCACGAGACGATATTGGGACCAGCGAAACAAGTCCTGCCAAAATCCTCGCGCTGACTGCACTGGTGACTTTTCCGAGCCTTTGCAGAAGAATACTGTTGGCGAGCGAGATCATCTGTTTCAGCCACATCAGCGGGCCGAATTTTAATCAATGACAACAAGCTGCATCCAACCTTCGAGTCCTTGCAGTTGCTGGAAACTCCTACTATGTTCTCAATGACATTGCAGTAGATGTTGTATCGGAATTCCTCCGAGTTGGAAACAAGTGACAGCGTGCTACCCATGGCTTGTTGCTCAAACGGTTGCAGCGTCTCTGCCTTCAATGCACGTTCCGGATTCACGGATGACAATACGTGGCCCATCGTGTTCAAGGTAGTGATAGTGGCATCTTGAGAAGAATGATGCAGAATGTAAGAAAGACATTTGGCAGCTACTTTTACAACCTCACGGCTGGGGGTGCCTTCGACGATGAACCTGTGCATGATGCTTATGAAACCATTGCTGGAATTGATATCGTCCTTAGAAAGAATCGCCAGAGTCTTCAAAACTGCGTTGGCGAGGGCCAAGTTCGACATCTGAATCGGATCAGCGATTGTAGACTGCAGCCACTTAAGCAGGGCATTTGGATCTGCCGAACTGCTGAGGACAACACTGTTGCAGTACGCTGAAAGCGCATGAGCTTTAGTTGTGTATGCCAGTTGCTGTCCTGCCAGCGTGATTATCTCAGGGTCTGTAGTGCTCTCGTCCACCATTATGACCCCCGCCGCCGCAAGGTCCGATAACAACTCGACAGTACCAAAGTCCTCCGAGGTGAGCGAAGTAATGACACCATGGCCGTCCATGATGACATCTAGAGTATCGCCGTCATAAAACGCGGCAGAATTTGCAACGAGAAGGGAAGTGCTGGCGATCAGCAGCTTCATGAACCCATTTTGTAGCAGCATGGCTCCAATGGGGCGCCCTATTGAGTCATAATGCTGGACATAGTGCTTCCACTGGCCCGTTTCCTTCCCTTGCGAGCTACGGATCCTGTCGAAGGCTGCATCTACGTCCATGAGGAACCCATCCGAAAGGATTTGCTGCACGTGCTCAACTAAACCCGCGCGTTCGATGGGTGTCCAGAAATTGGCGACTTTGGAACAGGATTCCAAGAAACCAATAAGAGAGGCTACCAGGCAAGCAATATCCGTCACATCATCTTCTTCGTCCATTGACTCGCAAAATGCCAGTACTTGCCGGGCGTATTTCATCACCGTGTCGGCGACCCTCGGTCGAAGTTGAGGAAAGTTGAGGCCAATCGAAAGCACCGCAGTAACCACGCTCGAAGTGAGACACTCCCACGGTGAGGGTTCAGCATCGCGTAGGAACGGCGAAGGGACAAACTGCTGGCTGGACGACTCGATCATGTACGGCGAAAGCTGTCGCAATAGCTTATCCGCATTTTGGGGTGCCTGTAGCGCAGGGGCAGCCTTGCACAAGGCAAGAAGAACCTCGAGTTCCCGAACCGACTGACAGAGTTAGCGTCCCCGAGGGGTGATTGGAGAGGGTATTCGGAGCGTAGTACCATCGGAATCTGCGATGTCTCTGCGGGCTTTTTCGCATATCCGTTCGCCGTTCCGTTGGTAGGAGCGTCCCGTCGCAGGGTACACTCGCTGGCGAGACGCTCGAAGCTGGAAGCTTCGGGGGCGCCATTGTCGTACGTAGATTCGTGGGCAGAGAGTAGGGCAAGGCGCTGTAAGGCACTGCCGCGGAGTCGACGCGACAGACTATGGAGACGCGGGAGATGAGCCTGATGTTTCATGTGACCGGCGGTGCCGCGGATAGGATAATACTGTACCGATCCATCGTGGTTGGGTTGTGTAGGGCTAATCGGGAGCTGCTGGGTGGCTATAGGCAACACTGATGGAAAAGGAGGATTTGGTTGGTGAACGAGACTCGACGGGTAAGCAGGAAAGTGTATGTATCTCGGAGGACACTGAATCACGAGGTTGTAGCCGCGAAGAAGCCGACGAATAAGAAGAAAACAAGAAAGAATAAGAACAAGAAAGCTGTATAGCTTGGTTGTGACGAGAGAGAGCGTACAGGTTAGCTGAACGAGGGTGGGTGTATGAGTCGATCGATAATCAGCATCAAAAAAAGGTCGGAAGGCAGCAAGGAGAGACAGCTCCCCCGATGGTTAGCGTTGACCGTGTCGGGACACTTACGGCTGCATATGGTTCCGGACTAGTTTGGACTTGGCACGATCTCCACCAAGAACGAATCGTCGGGAGATGTTTCTATGTGTGACGTCCCGCCATATGTACTTGACACCCCGCACATGCTCATCCCTCTTCACGTTCCAACACGATTCGACGCCCGGCCTCTTTCTCGGCAAGAACACCACCTATATTCGACCGCGATAGATGCGTCTTCTCTTAACCGCAATATTCTACTTTAGTTACCGGCAGTCAGTTTGACTCCACAACCACCACCACCCATAAGCCATCTCTCTCTCCTTCAATTCCAGCTTACAGTCATCCTTGTAAGTGACTACCACCAGAGTTGTTCGATCCCGACCCAACTACCGAAAGTCCAGTGTTGGCACCATCATTTCAAAGAAGACTTTTCCATGTAGTTGGACTTCCCGGGCACCTATGTACTCGTGATTCTTTCAACGTCGTGGGGTACAATAGATCACCCTTCCTTTAACTTAATCGCTCGGAGAATCATCCCTAGGTAGAAGGCCACACTTGCAAAGACTTTGCATACGGTCGTTAAAGTTATTGCAAGTTTATGGGCGGACTTGGCTTGATTGGTGAGATCAATGAAAGCCAGTCATTGAATCTCACTCTACAGTTACCGTTGGACAGTTGATCTCGTCATGATGCCTAGCCATATGGCTTAGCTCAAGATATAGTATAGAGCTTTCGGGGAAATCATACTGCTTCGTGGCTAGGTGGAAGGCCGAGGGAAGCAGGGTACTGCACCGAGCCCGTCACCGGGACTGTGGTCAGGATCCGGTGGATGTGTCATTTTGTGTAGATACCTCGCCAGCGGCCATACCGGCAGTCTCCTAATATCATACTAGAGTATATATATCTAGTATAAGCTGCATGCGATTAACAAAAAGACGTCTACCTACTCGAGAGAACCTCCGAATAACGTACGGAGCACTTCCATAAAAGTTTTTAGAGAGCTTCTTTTTCAGCTCCTCCGACGACGTCTGGTCAGTGGTCATAAAGGCACTCACTTGCGCACACATAGCCACCTAAGCTGCCGCCTGATACCGGTAACCAAGAAGTAAGCCCTTAATAGTACTAACACTCTACGGTTTCTCTTGCAGATTAGATTAGATTGAAGACGCGAGCCAGCTGAGCCACTGACATCAGCCATGCTATCGATAGCCTCCATTCTACGCGTGTCGCGACTCGCGCACTTCTTCAGCACAACAGACAGCTGCAGCTCTTCCCACACATTTAGCGTAGCATCTAGTTAAACTCAGCCTGTTTGTTTCGCCCATCTCAGGATCTTGTGGCGGAGCATCTATGTTTCTTTCCGAGTCCGTTTGTTCGTTTGTACCCCCCGGTACCTGGTTATCATGTCGCGTTGCATTCTGCATTCAAAACGGGCTTCAGCCATCCTCTAGCATCCTCGACGACCCCGTCTGACCTGAACTGACTCTCACGACTTCAAACCGATTAAGCCCAAGAACATTCCGCATTAATATCCCCACCATATATCATCCCATTCCCGCCGCTTGAGTAAGCCATCTCTACTGTGTTTCGCTTCACCTCCCGTTCCTGGATACCCCCCCTCTTCCCTGCTCTCCTCCCTCCTCCCTCGTCTCGAGTCCAACCGAGCCTTAACACGCTCGGATCTCACCTCGACACTTCCTCCACGCGCTCGCGCAACTTCCATACTATCAGTTACCTCCCACCACCCACCACCCACCACCACCACCGCACTTGTGATCAATATTGTCTCGTGTACTTAATCACTCCACCTTCTCGAGCCCGTAGGCAACTCGATAAATCACCGGACTCTCCATCCGAGGGTTGCTGACTCGTCATCACTCACCGAAACTCAGCCCCTGATACGTCGTCGATATAGACGTGACACTTGTGATGAGTCCGCACAACGATAGAAAGCGCGGCCAGGTGAGCAACAACAACCTCCTTTTTGAGCCTTTTGCGTTATCGTCGGCCTGTCAAAGCTGTGAACCGTTATACACACACATATACACGAATGGACTTCCTCGCTAACATTTTCTGGAAGCCACCTTCTTCTCCGACCTCCCCGACGGAGGCCAAGAAGCAGCGAGTTCGGGATGAGGACGAACCACGGACCCCCACTAAGGCGACAGGAGCGGCCAAAGCGGCGGGAGCAGCAAAGCCGACTGCAACGGACAAGGCGACGAACGATAACGAGGTACCCGAGTCAGTCGTAACCGACTCGGCAGAGACGACGCCGGCGATGGCGCTCGGCTTGATGTCACCACCAGGTCGCCAACCAACCCCGGCCTCGCCCGGACCTCAAGATACCCAGTTGAGCACACAGGTTGCCTCGCAGTTCCCCAACCTACCGACAAACGACGGGGAATATGATCCCAAGGTGTGGGGATATCTAGATCCTATCACGGACGATGGCGCCAACTTGAAGAGCATCAGGCTTGACAAGTCCGCCCAGCTTGGGAATGATAAATCGAAGAACGACAAGAAGCCGACCAACAAGACCCCAAAGACCACTGCCGGTGGGTTCTTGATTGGCAGGCACCCCGAGTGTGACTTGCAAATCAAGGCCAGGGTTATATCAAATCGTCACTGCATCATTTACAAGGTATGCTTCGAATCTGGTTCAGCGTCCAGTACTTTTCTGACGGCGTCTTATGGCAGGAAATCACCGGTGGTCAGCCTAGAGCGATCTTGGAAGATCTTTCCAGCAACGGAACTTGGGTCAACGGTGTCATCGTTGGTCAAAACAAGCGCCGTACGTTGGCCAGTGGCGATGAGGTCGTATTCGCTGGCGGTCACAAGTATCATTTCCGTTACCCGACGGGAATGTTCGCCAGTGGATTCCTTGACACCTTCGCACTTGGGGCTCCCTTGGGATCTGGTCACTTCGCCACCGTCTATCTGGCAGTCGAGAAGAAAACGGGCACCCAGTACGCGGTCAAGGTCTTCGCAAAGCAAAAGTCTTCGGACCGGTCTGGAAACTCCTCCGGTCTTCAGCAGGAAGTTGCGATGTTGATGTCGGTCTCACATCCCAACGTCTTGTGTTTGAAGGGAACATACGAAGAAGAAGATGGTGTTTACTTGGTCTTGGAATTGGCTCCTGAGGGAGAATTGTTCAATTACATCATTAAGCACCAGAAGTTGACGGAACCCCAAGCGCGCAAGATCTTCAGGCAGCTGCTTGATGGGCTCAAGTACCTGGTTCGTCGTTTCCCCGCAACTCACTAGGCTTCCGCCCAATGGCTGACCCATTCATAGCATGACCGTAACATTGTCCATCGGGATATCAAACCTGAAAATATCCTTCTGACGGATAAGAACCTTAACGTCAAGCTGGCAGACTTCGGTCTCGCTAAGATCATCGGAGAGGATTCGTTCACCACTTCTCTTTGTGGAACTCCCAGCTGTGAGTAACACGTGTTGTGTGCAACGTTTCGCTAAGTGCTGACTTCTAGTTAGATGTTGCACCGGAGATCTTGGAGAGTTCCCCCAATCGCAAGTACGACCGTGCTGTAGACATATGGTCGCTGGGTGTAGTGTTGTATATCTGTCTCTGCGGCTTTCCGCCCTTTAGTGACGAGCTGTATTCGCAGGACAACCCATACACACTTTCACAGCAGGTATGCATTCAAGACCCTCCATTGCGATAGACGTCCCCTAATCGGTGTTACAGATCAGGTTGGCTCGCTTTGACTTCCCATCCCCTTACTGGGATTCCGTGGACGACCTGGCTCTGGATCTGATCGAGCGCATGCTCCAGCGCGATCCGGAGAGAAGGATTACCGTCGATGAAGCGCTCAGGCACCCGTGGCTTATGGAAGCTGCCCCAGCTGATTCCTGTGGGAACTTATCAGAGGCGATAGAATCCCTCAAGTTCACCCGCAGAATGGTAACCCACCAGCGGACCCTACTGGCTGAAGCCCCCGGCCTTGCAAATCCTGCGTCCCAGAATCCAAATAAAGTCAAGGTTCAGGTTCACCAGCCTGGAAATGGTGTCATTAGCAGACCCGGCAATTCTCCCCACAGCCCCGACAATCTCGACGCCCAGACCAAGGCTTTCGTTAACCTTGGCGGCAAGGCTGTCGACGAAACACTGTACGGCGATTCCTTCTACAACGTCGCGGAGAACGGCGAGGTCTCTTCTGAGGAAGAGTCCACCTAAACCTTCAGGTTGGTCTCAAAAAAGCCGATTTCTGTTGGCTCTGGATAGTTTCTTTTCTGCGATGGATGAGCAATTGGATTGGGGTGATGGTACTGCACTGGTTTTCGAACTCCCATCCGTTTGGATTTTGAGCATAATTTACGGCGATAAATACATTCTGTTCTGTCTCTTTTTTTCACGCATAAAGACGAGGTGAGGGAAAGGGTAGGGGGGGATTGGGTGGTAGGCTTTTTGTAACTTCTTCTATCGGTGATGGGATTGTGGTATATTTACCCAGATTCTGTGTGCATATGTCTGTCATTTTTGGTGCTTCTTTATTACTTGCTGGCCGCTGGCGTAGGATGTCTGGTGTCTGTATCTACTGTATCTACTCTACCACACGAACTGAAGTAGCTCGTTGTTTCACTTCGTAACCGCAACGGAGATTCGCGATGGGTCGATGGTCTGCCTGATCTCCAATGCAGGTACATACTTTATTGTGTGTAAGCGGGTGGGAACACTCGATGCCCAATTGTGACGGATCCGGTAAACAGGTCATCACTGCCAGTCCACATGCCAATGGTAATCGCTTCCCATCCCAGAGTAGGCAGTCGATAACTTCTCCGTTTCAGCTTTTGGTGATATGTTCCCCTAAATCCGTTTATTTACGACGATGGCTTATTGGGGGTTTTTGATTTGGTTTCTCAAAGTGGCGATGCTTGGAGCACGAATGTCGGAGTTCGAATACCTACCAATACAAGGACTCGGATACGAATACGCTTGAATCTACATACTAGGTATAAGAGGCGCCAAGTCCGCATGCTCGGGGGCCGGGGCGGCGTGAGTGTGCACATGTCCGGATGTGCTCTTGCCGGTCGGCCACTCCACTAGGCAACTCGCAACTTTTTACACAAGACTTCTCCTTGCTACACGTATGAGCCCGGTGTGTTACCGGTGTGGACTGTGCAGGCACATAAGAATGCTAACTCAATGGTTCCAGAGTACCAGGAAGGTCGTTCGGGCGCACCCACAGCCGATGGCACGATATATGACCCGACCTCTGGTGGTGGTGTCGTGACGATTCTCCTGCGGCATAGCGGCTTGCCTATTCGTTTGTGTCGTATGTTCGGATGGTTGGCCAAGCACTTTTTTTTGCCGGGGTTTGGCTATTCTACGCGCAGACATCGGTGGACATCTGCAGAGGCTTGGCAGGGCACTTATCTCGCTCGCTGCCTAACCCTGCCAGACAGAGCGCGCAACTTTGTAGAGGTTACGTTAGTAGGGCTTTCTCCTTTTTAAATCAACGCCTTCCGCTCTTTTGGAACGGCTCTCTCCTCCCATCACCACTCCTTCGTTCTCCTCCTCAATCCTCCCTCCCATCCGGGTTCGACATTCTCATTCACCTGTCGTCCTGAACTCCACCACGCAATGGGTGTCTTATCAGAACTGCTCCTGCCGCTGCGGCCATTGACCGGCGACCTTTCGAAGCTCAACACCCCCGTGCTACTAGTTGTCTATACCGTGTCGTTCATCATCGTTTCCGTTGTCTTCAATGTCCTCTCCCAGCTTCTGTTCAAGGACAAAAGCAAGCCGCCGGTGGTCTTCCACTTCTTCCCCTTCTTCGGAAGCACAGTCATCTACGGAATGGATCCATACGCGTTTTTCTTCTCAAACCAGGAGAAGGTATTGTCACTACTCTACCGGTGCGATTGATCGGAATGGCATTGACTGACGGGACTTCGTGGTGATAGTACGGTGATGTATTTACGTTTATCCTGCTCGGAAAGAGGATGACCGTCTGCCTCGGCCCCCAGGGAAACGACTTCGTGTTGAACGGAAAGCTCGCGGAAGTGAGCGCCGAGGAGGCCTACACCCACCTGACCACTCCTGTTTTCGGTGAGGGTGTCGTCTATGATTGCCCCAACCACCGTTTGATGGAGCAGAAGAAGGTTTGTGCTACCGCCCTTGCACTGATGCTTCCCAGACACCTGGCTGACGATTGCACAGTTCATGAAATTCGGCTTGACTATCGACACTTTCAAGGGATACGCGCCTCTGATCGTTGAACAGGTGGAGGACTACATCAAGAAGTCCAAGCACTTCAAGGGTACCAAGGGTTCTGTTCCTCTAGGCGAGATCATTCCCGAGATCACCATCTTCACTGCTTCCCGCTCGCTGCAAGGCAAGGAGGTCCGCGACGCTCTCGACGGCTCCTTCGCTGGCCTCTTCCACGATCTCGATCTCGGCTTCAACCCCATGAACTTCATGTTCCCTTGGTTCCCGTTCCCCGGCAACAAGCGTCGTGATGCCGCGCAAAAGAAGATGGCTCGTTTCTACATGGACCTGATTGAGAAGAGGCGCAAGGACCCCAGCATGGCCGGCAAGGAGAAGGACATGATCTGGAACTTGATGGACCGCAGCTACAAGGACGGAACCCCCATCTCCGACAGAGAGGTCGCCCACATGATGATTGCCCTCTTGATGGCTGGTCAGCACACTTCGATGGCAACCACCATGTGGGTCCTGCTCCACCTTGCCGAGAAGCCCGACCTCGTCTCCGAACTCTACCGTGAGCAGCAGAAGATCTGCGGCACTGACCCCCGCCCTCTCGCCTACGAGGACATCGCCAAGATGCCCGTCCTGAACAACGTTGTCCGCGAAGTCCTCCGCATGCACCCTCCGATCCACTCCATCATCCGCAAGGTCAAGTCGCCCATGCATGTTCGCGAGAAGAACTACATCATTCCCGCCGGATACCACGTTCTCGCCGCTCCCGGAGCTTCCGCGATGGACCAAAAGTACTTCAAGAACCCCAACGACTTCGATCCCCACCGTTGGGACACAATCGACTCCGAGGATACCGCCGAGAAGTTCGATTTCGGTTTCGGCCTGGTCAGCAAGGGAACTGCTAGTCCCTACCTCCCTTTCGGTGCTGGCCGACACAGGTGCATCGGCGAGCAGTTCGCAAACGTCCAGCTCGGAAGTATCATCTCCACCTTTGTTCGCGAGTTTGAGTTCTCGCTTCCCGGTGACGGCAAGGTGCCTGGACCTGATTACACTGTAAGCTCACCCCCTATCCATTCACGTCGCTTCGCACGAGCCATATACTAACTCTATCCTAGTCCATGATCACGCTGCCCACACCCCCGGCCGCGGTTATGTGGAAGAGACGAAACCCTTAGATTTTCATGTATTAGCATATGACATACGGACGTACGGAGCAAGGTTCTTTTGGTTGTTTGCTGTTTAGACTACTCTTATGTGTGCAATTAATATCCTATTTTTGAGGTTCTTTGCGCGTTAGTGCTGGTGTAATGTTGGATATGGGATGGAATGGAATGTGGATGATGACGAAGTGTAGATATCCTTATTTGGTACATTAATGAGGGAATGAAGTGAGATGGAACTCTGAGGAAATCGCACTTGTCGAGTGATGCTCTGGTGGACTGTACTGCTTTGCTGTGGATTCACCCCGTACAAAAATCAGGTGACATTGTGACATTATTGCAAAAACGGGAGGCGAATCGTTACGTGTTCACTGTTCTCTCAGGGGGATACATGCTCCGCGCCACTCTTCACATCCCTCGTGTAGGTAGGGAAACTCTACGCGGCTAGTTTCTCACCAGGCCCCAGGGTGCACCACTCTACGCGACGCGAATCACCCTGGCAACCCCACCCACCCTACCACTCACCCATCTCCTCACATTCATCCGTAGTCATACGCCTGATGTCTGTCATGTGTCGTACTATACACGCAGAGCGCAGAGCAGGGCTATTCCGGTCACGGCCTGATGGAGTAGAGTCTACCCCGCATTCTCACTGTGCAGCGTGTGTGGGCTGCCGGGCCGGGTGTTGCTTGAAGCGACGAGAATCGAGGGGGATGGGCGGAGGGAAGGGAGAGCGTGGAGAGGGATAAAAGGACTAGTACCGAAACGGCGTAATCAAAACATTTGCATGGACTACTGTACTTACTTGCACTTACTTTCTTCACCGCTCCGCTGCTACCACCACACCCCGTAGACAGACAGGCAGAGGCGTACCTCGCAAAGTCACGATCCTGTCCACCGTCCACTGTCCACCGTCCACTGTCCACCGTCTACTGTCAGCCAGCCACAACTCCGCACCCTCCCTCCCTCCCGAACGCCCGACCGCCGGCATCACAACCACCATGTCGCTCCTCTCCGCCTCCGCGCCCACCGCACCGCTCGCACTCCCGCTCCCGCACCTTTCCCGCAAGCGCACGTACACCGACTTGACGGGGCCGGCCCCCTCGACGCCCAAGCGCACATGCGTGACCTTCGAGCGGCCCAGCTGGGTGCTGGAGCGCACCCACAGCACCCGCGTATCGACGCGCATCGACGCATCGGCGCCGGTCGACGTGCTCCTCCCGTCGGGGGAGGTGCTGCAGCAGCGCCCGGTCGGCGAGCTCATCGCTGGCGAGTTCACGGTCCTCGTGTTTCTCGGCTTTGATGGCGAGATGACGCTGCGCGCGGTGGCCGCGGTTAAGGGCCTACTGGGCGGGATGGGCGCGAAGGTTTTCGCCGTGAGTGCGGGTGCGGAGGGGCAGGGGATGGGGCACGGGCAAGGGCAAGGGAGGGGTGTGCCGGTTGGTTAGTATTCCATACCTCCCCACCCGAGTGAGGAGGGGAAGAGGGCTGATGAAATGCGTAGTCTTTGACGCGCAGAGTATGCTTACGAAACGGCTTGGGCTGCTGCATCCGCTTGGTGGGGGGAGGGTTGCGCTGGATGCGGTTGTGGTGTTGGATGCGGAGGGACGCGCAAGGATGGTGCTGCCTATTGGCTGGGGGGCCAGGGGGTGCTGCGATAACATGGCGAACCGGTGGGAGAATGTTGTGGGCCGGTTGGTGAGGGGCGTGGAGTGGTTGAGGGGGGAGGGGGTGGAAGGGGAGGTTGAGATGACGATGTGAGTGGTTGCATGTTTTGGTCGAGATGTCGAGGTGATATCCATTGAGTTTTGCGTGTCCATTGTTGCTTTTGCATCTTTCATCACCTAGGGGTCTTTTGGATTGTTTTATTTTCGCTGGAGCTGGGGGGAGGGGAGGATTGTAACTTTTACGTACTGTTTTTTGTATTGCTTTTTGTTTGCAGTGTTGTGGCTTCCCGCTCACTCACTTTTCTTGTCTCTGTTACATATTCTTTTCTTTTTTCTTCTTCTGCTTCTTCGTCAATTTCTCCTGCATCGTTTGTACCATATTCTACCATCCTTCTTTTTCTCCTATGGAGCAATGTCGTGACCGTGACCGCACATCCTGCTGCATGACTGTAAGAGTCACTGGCTGTACGGATCGACTGTCCGGGGCCGCCGATCGCGGGGTGCGGATTGGGGTGCAGCGGGATGATTTCCTGGAACTTTTGATGATCCCGGAACAATATGGGGAGTTGATCGACGATTCCCCACGGGTTATGCTTGCGTTTGCAGCTGCAGCCTGGTTGTTGAGCCGGGCGGGCGGTGACATCAAGCGGACATCATCGGCATGATCATCGCCGCACAAGCCGCTAGCACTTCACTTAGTGTCACTCGGCAGCGTAATTGGGTCGGCCGCTGTAGATCACGGCCGTACCTGAAAGCGGCGGGACTTCTCCCCCGGTTTGATGCTCTCTGTGACTGGAGCGGGTACGAGGGACGTCACAGAGATGTCATCCTGTTGCGGACTGAGGCGGGTTGTGGAAAGCTGGAGAGTGCTCGGAAGGTCTGAAGCGGGTGGGAATGGGGACGGAAATTCTATATAACTCCCGTCTTCCACCGTCCCTTTCTCCCATCAACAGTCCGAACATACCCTCACACACTCTACATATCTACACTCACAAAATTCTAAACATCAAACCCACCGACACCCTCCACATAACAATCACCATGTCGTCAGCCGAGAACAACCCCGGAAACTTCGCCAACCGGTTAGCCTCCTCGCTCCACTTTCCATTTCTACATCTCTGACAGCCATGAGTAGTCCCAAGGAGGAAGTCCGCGAGATCGCCGCGAAGGGTGGCCGCGCCAGCCACGGCGGCAGGAGCTCCAACGACAACGACGACGACAGCTCTACCCAGTCCCACTCCGGCGGCACCCAGAACACCAACCCTGGCAACTTCGCCAACCGGTGAGCACTCCCTCCCCCCTTCCCATAACTTTCCACCGCCATCTCGCTGACAGCGCGAACAGTCCTAAGGAGGAAGTCCGTGAGATCGCCGCAAAGGGCGGCCGTGCTAGCCATGGCGGTCAGTCGAAGGACGAGGACGAGGAGTGATTGGTGAGTGGAAACGATGCGCTGGCGCTTTGATTGAACTTGGAATGTATATTTTAGCGAAGGGAACGGAATGGAAAGGATCATCTGAAGTCAATGTTCAGGTTCTGTGGTGTTCGTGATTAAATGTGACTTTCGATCCGAATGTGAAGAATCTTCTACACTGGGAGAGATAGTGAATTTGTAGAAAGGCTTAGTTGTGCTGCTGCTGTTTCTGGTAATCTCAATACTGGTACTATTTGTGCCCTCATCAAGGGTGAATGGCATTGCAAACAGCTATTGTATCTAAGCTTGACGTTAATTGCTGGCGAAGAATATAGATCTGAATTTCTTGTGGAGAAGCTATTCACAACCCCCGAGGCAAGCCTGGATGGACAATTCCAAGTAACGGACTTAATTCCAAGCTTCAGAACGAAGTGAATTGACGTTGTCATAAAACTCCTGATAGCTGGTGATATGCCATGAACATGACATCATCCAGTATCTACCTCGGCATCCACCGTCCACCGCCCATGCATAGATATCACAACTCATCGCCATCGCAAACCCACTTAGCACCCACTAACAATGGAATCCCAAATCCGCACCTTCTTCCGCAGCCCCCTCTACGCCGTCGTGGGCGCCTCAACGGACCCGTCCAAATACGGGCACAAAGGTTCGCGCTTCCCCCCCTCCAGCAGCTCACCCACTAACAACCCCGTAGTCTTCGCGTGGTACCTATCCCGCTCGCTCCCAGCAACACCAATTAACCCGTCGGCGAAGACCACGGCGGTCCTCTCGATCCCGACAGTGCGCAACGTGCGGGACCTCCCGAAGCCCGCAGAAACGAGCGTGAGCATCATCACGCCGCCAGGGATCACGCGGCAGGTGCTGGAGGAAGCGGCGGACGCGGGAGTGAAGCGCGTGTGGATGCAGCCGGGCGCGTGGGATGAGGCGTGTGTGGCGCTGGCGAAGGAGAGGGGGCTGGAGGTGGTGGTGTACGGGCATCAGCAGGAGCTGGGGTATGAGGGAGCGTGCGTACTGGTTCACGGAGAGGAGGGCATCAAGGCGGCGGGCAGGGGGAGTCTTTGATGATACCAATGGGAGTGGGAAGCTTTGAAGATACCTGTGGGCGTGTGAAGCTTGTCGTACAGCTGCTTACGTGAACCGCCAATGCGTCGTTACGAACTTACGAGTGACATCCTCGGTGATCCCAGCACGGACCCCGCAGAATTCGTGAAGGCGGGATCATGTGGGTTTTTTGGAGACCGCTAACTATGAGCTGCCGGTTTGGGGTAGGCTCGAGTGCACCCGAAAGAACCTGTAACCACCCGAGTTATGATGTGGCATCGTATGTTTTGGTGAAGGGAACTAGCAGAGGGAGAAGAGGGACCATCGCTCGCCGTCCGTCTATGTACCATCCACTGCTAGCAGTCTACCGCTATGATCCAACCATTGGCAAAAGCAAAAGAAAATGCAGTCAAACGAACAGCCAAGAACATAATCCACCCAAAGGTATCCAGATCCCCTCGTTCGGCAGCTAAATTCACGACTACCATTATCCTTGATTGGGGACCGGTTTCCATGGGAAATCAGCCGATTCTCCCAGTCAGATTTCGTAAATGGTACTTAACGCCGATATGTCCACCATTGCGAAACCAAATGGGGGGATTGCGAGGGGTCGATACCTTAAGTACCTAGTCTACTATCTTCCGAGATCTCTGTCAGGACATATGCTATCACTTTTCCGAGGCCGATAGTAAAATGATGTCGAATCACTCGGTGTGTACTATTCATAGCCCAGCTCGGGATATAAAGTCTGCGAAGATAGTTCTGATATGTGCAAGCAAACCGCAAATCAGTGATGAGGTTTCTATAGGTTTATAGCAAAGATTTTGTAAATCCCCTCACAGAGTGCAACAAGCATGGTCTCCATCTCCTTGATATCGTCTTCCGGACATCCCAATCGTCCGACGGTAGGCATCAGCCTGCGTCATCCGCCGTCCTAAACTCTAAAGACTGCGGAAGACGACAGATGCCCACAGATATCCACAGATGCCTGCTTTAAGGAGTGACCCAACGAAGCAAGGGATCCGAGTTTATAGCGGAGAAAATGCTCTTGGACATGAACCGGCAAACAGAGCACATGAAGCGGGTAGCACTCACGATGAGCTTTGAGGATAGGTGGTTAAATATGTGTGTCCATTGTAACGGTGTGGCGGACTGCGGTCCTTTAAAGAGTGTGGGCATTTCCGGGCGGTGAAGGACCATACTGTACAAAACCGTAGGCAGTTCCCTTGACTCCTTGGATTGCTGTATTTTCAGACCTCGTATTCTGATGTCTGCTAGCCGTAGTTCATCCGCGAGTTTGCCTTAGCGCGGACGGGGCGGGCGATTGGGATTCCTATCGTCCTTTGCAGAAGAAACTACAAGTTCATTCTTGACCAGCTTCCGAGACATTCCTGTGCCTCCCGTGAGTCATCACCCATGCTGCAGCGGTGATCAGAGAGAGTCGTCTTGGCCGCACCAAAGATTCGCCTAGGCTCTGCACTCATGAGTCATGGTGGATATGCTCGAGCAGGTACTTCAGTCCTACCTCTGGCGGTACCTAGTGTTTTTTTTCTTAACAAGTGAACGAGGCGTTGACGGTAGCGAGCGAAAGCATCTTGATAGGATAGTGGTTGAAAGTGAGAAGATGAAGGTGCAAGGCCGGATACGAGAGTGGTGTTTGCAATTTCACGTGGGGGTTGAAAGATTTGTGGTGACGACATGACGTTGCTTTTACCGAATTCGGTGGGGTTCCAATCCGCTAGTCACACCGACTGTTTGTGCGCACTGCGGCATCAAATGTTTGACGGGTCGTCTATCATCACCTATTTTTATGAACTGGACTAGTCCAACGCAGTCCATCCTCCTTTAAATATCCATCCTCACAACGACAACAACGGTCATCTATCTCTTCCATCAACATCTTTGCCGTTCAAGTCATCATCATTTTTGCGGTTCAAGTCACCTGTGGACGCCAGTTCGCCAGGAGTTCTGCACCAGATAGATCTACTACCAAGTCGCTCGCTGTACTTATGCAGCCCGAGCCGATGGATCATCGAAACAATGCCTCCGGGAGTGGAGGACTCTCAGAAGAGGTGCCCCGTGCGCTGCCGCCGCTTGGCCCGCTCGGAAGTTCTGTGATGGTATGTTAGTCTTTGCCGTGTTGTATGGTTTCAATTATCTAACCTCCGCAGAACCCACTCGGTGGGGCCTCAGCCACCTACACCACCAACTCAGCACTTTCTCCTTCGCAACGTCTTGTCGTGGCTGGAGCTCTCTGACGTGCTCACTGCTCTGGTGGACCTCAGTGAACTCTGAGTTTCTAGCACGATGCCGGATATCATAGCAGGAGGAAAGGCTAGGTGGAGAGGAAGAGAACAGATGTCCGGTGAAGCTACCGGCAGGAACCAGATAGAGCTTCTGCAGCAGCTCTCCCTCGACGTACGTCTCGGCGGACACCGATGCCGGAGATTCACGCATCCCGGAGGAGTCCCAGGACTCCGTGGGCAACTACGTTACCGTCGAAGCTACTGTGGTAGGCTTCGGGAGTTCGGCTCCCAGATGGAGATGGAGGAGGAGATAGGAGAAGGAAAGGCTGGATGGAGAGAAAGAGAATGAAACTGAGGGGGAGATAGGAGAAGGATAGGTTGGATGATGAAACGATATCAATGGCAACGATGCTGGCACATGTGTAGGATTGACGGTTGTAAGAATTAAAGAATATATCGGAGGAGAATATTGGATGATTTTTACTTATGAGATGGCTGCTAAGTACATGGGAGCGTGTACACCGTCTTCGGTGTTGCTTCTATTCTTCCATAAAATTTGAACTTTTGAGGCGCTTGGATGGCCACAGTGCCCAGTCCAGTACCTACACCTTCCGTCGGTGAGAGAGCTTTGGTTGAAAAGCTCTCTTTTCTTTGGGATATATGCTTTCATGAGATTCTCTATTACGTTATGTTGTCATTTAAATGGATGGCATCCTCGTCGCTCATTTCCTATGTAATATGTTACGTGAATACCTAGAATTATGCTGGAAGTAGCGATATCTCTAGATTGAAGTTCATAACACTCGTATCAAAATTGGAAACCTCCTAACCCTTCGGTAGGATTTGGAGACTCCTTCCTCGTGTTTAATCCTACTACCAGTGTTATCTCGGGGCCAACATGTGCGTAGGAGCAATGCTCGAAATCATTGATTTCACCATGGCTAACAGCATGAATCATATCAAGCAACAGCTCAGGCCGGCGCTTCTTTCCTTCGATATATCATTTATTGTATACGACCTATCTAGATCAAGGCAATAGATATACAACCACACATCGTCTCCATGTCCACTGTCCAACTCAACTTTCGTCAAGCCGCCCAATGTGGCTTCTCCTGCCCTCCGCCCTGGTCTTCCCCGGAGATACATGTAGGCCCACCAGAGAAAAAAGCTAGGAAAAAAAGCGTCTACTAAGTTACACCGGCCCCACCTCCTGCCTCTTCGCCAGGAGATGCCATGAAGGAGGGTGTGTGGGGAACAGGGGAGGGATCCCGGCGCCTGGACCCCAGCGCCCTCCTCTTCCTCCTCCTCTCGCCTCCTCTCCGCCTGGCTCTCTTCCCGCTCCCTGCGCTCCCACTCGGACACCTCACCGGCTGAATCTTCCCCAGCAACCTCCAGGATCCGCCCCCCCACATCAGTGGTGGCGGCGAGAAAGCCCAAGATGGCCTGGCTGCACCGCTCGTCCGCGAAAAGGTCACGGATCTTGAAGCGATCCTTGCCCCGCCTCCTCCCCCCTTCCCCGTCCCCTTTCGAGCCTCTGTCCACAGGATCCTCTGCTGGCTCTTCCATCCGGGACAGCACTTGAAGAGGTGCTCCCGGATGTGAGTCTTGTAGTGATATTTTACCATCGGCACCGAGCGTCGGAGCGGCTCTTTTTCCACTGGATGGACTGGCCGGAGGGGCAATGCCCCGTCTCCAGCTGGTAGAATCTCGAGACCAGACGCTTGGGGGCCCATGGCTGGGATCGGGCCCGGTTTCTGGCAAGGTTTCCGGCTGTGCCGCTGTGCAGGTGCTTCTTGTTGGTGACTCTTGCTTTGGCTCATGACTTGGCTTTCTTCCACTTGGCCTCCGTGATGCCGCACTTCTGGTGGGCGAGTGACGGGGGAGCCGCACTGGTTGAGGTAATTAGCGGGGGCCCCGCACTCCACGGGCGGTGGGGTTGCCAACTGCCAGCTTGGCCCATTCGTCGGCCATTTCGTTCCCCAGGGACGCCTTTGTGGGCCGGTTGGTTGTGGATAAGTAATCATGGGAATCGAGTTCCATTATGTTTCTCCTCACCTGGGATATGTTCTTCGCCAAGTATAAAGGGCAAATATAAGTGATCTTGTATCATACCAGTCCGGTGCATTTACGTCGAGACAGTCATCCTGTCTCAGTCTCATCGTGTTCTCACTTCACCGACGAGTGCAGTCGTCTGCTGGTACGTGTCAGGTCTCTGATGACGTTCCGCATCTAGGCGGACGGTTAGACCGGATTCTTCATCAATAGAGAGTGAGAGAACACCAATTTATTGTCGCATACGGCCCGTCCAGACCATGGCGACTATCCATCAATAGGTAGAGAGAAAGAATCGATTTATTATCGCATACAGCCTGTCTCCATCAATAGACCGAAACCACCACTGAGCATCGCCGACGCCAACAGTCATGTCTCATGAAAGACACCTGAAGAAACCCTCGTTTCTTTCGGAACGCATACGACAGTAGATTGACGCCGCAAGCGCCAACAAGACAAAAAAAGTAAGTACACAAGTACTCTTCTACTTAGGTAACGGTATTCGAGAGAGCCCGCTGAAGGGCTGCGTCCAGCCGATCAAGTGCCTATTGGCTAAGAAAACCACACTCCAAAAGTTAAAACCCACCTAGCGAATGAAAGACAAGTCCGTCGACGTCAGTATGAGTCAACAGCCGTGCGGTCTCGGCCCGCTGCTGCAGTTATTACGGGGGTAGGTCCTGCGTTTCAGCGCTAAACTCTTTACTGCGGCAGTAAATAAAATAAAAACAAAATAAAAAAAGTACAGCGCCACAGTGCTCAGGGGATATCCGTTCAGGGCGGGCATCCTTTTGCAGACGCGTTACCATCACCAAACATTTACCACGTACACACCTTCCGCGACACGGACAGCACACTGTCTCCGCAACGAATCATCCGCTGGTAAGTTCACTGTCCTTCGCTGTCCGACTGACAGCTCCTGCTTTTTGGCAATTTCCTCGCCCTGAATACCACAGTTTCGCGTCGCGGATACCACAGTTTTGTCGTCGCGGATAGGTACCACAGTGTCTTTGCCGACTCACCGCGAATACCATCGTTCAGAAAGATTTCTCTGTCCTCGATTCAAAGAAAGTACTCCATTGGGTAATGGTTTTGGTGTTGCCATCGCGGGTTGAGATTCTACAAAAATGGGGACACTTGACACAATTGACTCCACCCACAAAATGAACAAGTGGAAGAATTGTAATAGATTTATTTGCCGAGAGTGTTTTGTCTCTCCATTTCCTGTCGCGACATTTCACAGAGCGCACCGGGTGATGCAGTTGCCTATATACTTTTATTTCCAGTTCACTGAGCCCACTGGGCGATGCGGTTGCCTAAATACTTCGATTTCTAGTTGATTGAGAAACCGAGTGATGGTGATGTCGCCGCGTGCATACATGTTTCCACTCCAGTGAGCGCGCTGGGTCAGCGCGCCAAGAGTCAGTCAACGCGCCAAGTGATGCCATAAATTGTACGGTGGGAGTGAAGGTGTGGCAGTGCTAATTCTTTTAAGTGGTTAGTGTGCACTAGCGACTGCAACGCAAGAGAGTATCCCGTTATTACTCACATCGCTGCCGACATCGGCGATACCCGCGAACATTTTTCGCATGGTGCCGGTGCCCACGCTCCTCGATAATAAACCGGAGATCCCGGAGGCGGTACAACCCTCTGTGGCGGCGGCTGAAAGTTGATCCGACCCAATCTCAACTCCCACCACCCACATCCACGCTGGCGGATCGGCCCAAAACAGAGGGATGCGCACCGAGGGCTGCCGTGGCACATGAATGGAGGGTTCAAGTGCACGACAACAACGGACTTCCGAGAGCGCGAGAGTCCGAAGTGGCGCTTTCGACTGGCCACTGCTCGCGGTCAGAAGTGAAGGATGAACAAAGGAATAGGAGCTGAAACCCCCCAAACTCAAGAGTGCCGGTACATTGTAAAGTATTCGCCTTTGCTTTTTAAGGTGCGGAAAGATAGTCGACGGAGTTCCGGACTCTTGGCCCAGCGAAGAAGCCTCCAACCTCCCATTCGCCTCGCAATCGACCATTTACTAGTTGGTATTCTAGCGACTTCGCTTCGTACCCCGTATTATAGTATAATTGTAGTGTGGACTATCATCCCAAGCTCCACCGGGATAAAATTGGGTTGGTGAGCCAGCCAGAAACAAGACATTTTTTCGCGAGCGCATACGCCGAACGCTAGCGGCTAACGTTCCTAATAACTCTAATTGGATTCGGCACAAGCGAGAGATACTAGCAAGAGGGGTGTCGGGATGGTCGGTAGGCTGTTACACCGCGTGAGCTTCTGAATCCTACCTAGAGTACTCTAACCACGACCACTGGAGTGTCACAGCATACCGGTACGATGGCGAGGATTGCCCAGGACCAGCAGGAGGATGCGGGTATACTCTATGTAGGGGCCTGCATGAACTCGGGCCTCGAATGACTGCGGAAATAAAAATCTCCCAAGTCCATAGATCCGATGTATGGAGGTGGGTAGTGCGATGTGTGGGTGTGAGTGGTGTTGTTTGGATCGGCGCCAGCGGTCCGGCAAAGAACGACGAAAGAAAAGAAAAGCTCCCCCTCTCACTCATTCCTGCCATTACCTACCTCCACTTCTCCCGCTGCACTCTTTCCGCAGAACCAATCTTACTCCAGCTGGACTACGGGATTCCGTCGGTCAACACTCAACCGATCCACCATCCAGTCCGTTGGATAGCCGTCGTCGAAGAGAAAGCCTCAACCGCCACCACCTTCCCGCTCTCAAACCCTACGGTATCTACATCAAGACCTCCCACCGTTCATTCAAAAGGCACTACTACCCGCTCGACTTCACGGTTTGAGTTTTCCTTCCTTCCTTACCTCCGTCACTCTGCGCGAGAACTATCAACCCTTCAACGACTACGACATTACATCACCCCCGAAATGACGGCTTCTGACGGTTTGCCGTTTCCAGTGTCCTCAAGTGCCATGACCTCCACCTCTCCGACCCTCGCCGGGTCCACCGTTGAGCCAAACGAAAAGGCGTCGACCCGTTCCCCATCGCCCGCTGGAATGGTGCTGCCTTCGAAGGAAATCGAGGATGTGACGAGCAGCGATAGCACAGATGTCGAAGACGGAACACAGTATCCGGGAAGGCTTCCCCTGACATTGATCAGCATTGCGCTGTGTCTGGCCGTGTTTTTGGTTGCGCTGGTGAGTGATCTTTGCGACGGGTGTCATGGTGGCGACATGGGGTAGGGGCTAAGTGTAGTTATGCTGTGTTACAGGACCAAACAATCATCGCGACTGCGATCCCCAAGATCACGGACCAATTCGAGGCTCTGGAGGACGTCGGATGGTATGGCAGCGCATACATGTTGACGGTCGGTACCCCTTCCGTCCTACTACTACATCCACCACATGAATGGATTGTGCTGAACTTGGAAAATTACCATAGATGTGCTCGTTCCAACTCATCTACGGGAAAATCTACACGTACTTCTCGATCAAATACTGCTTCCTGGGTGCTGTGACGTTGTTTGAGGTTGGGAGCTTGATCTGCGCGGTGGCCCAGAACTCGGTGATGTTGATCGTCGGACGTGCGGTCGCCGGCGTGGGTTGCGCAGGAATTTTCTCCGGGGCACTCATCATTCTCAGTCTCTCGGTTCCCCTCCGGCAGCGACCCATCTATACCGGCCTCGTCAGCGGCATGTTCGGTGGGTGCTCGTTATTTCTTGACACAATATATTCATGGTGCTGACTTCACGGCAGGCATTGCAAGTGTTGCTGGGCCGCTGATGGGCGGTGCTTTCACCGATCACGTTTCATGGCGGTGGTGCTTCTACATCAACGTAAGATCCACGGACACCACACGGACTCCGCGCTTCATCAGGCTGACGTAATTTAGCTTCCTCTCGGCGCAATAACAATCGTTGTGATAATCTTGATCTTTAAGCCACCCAAGCGCGAGAAGGTCGATACCCTGACGCTGAACCAGAAGATCGCCCAATTCGACTGGGCCGGCACGGCGGTACTCCTACCGGGAATAGTATGCCTTCTTCTCGCGTTGCAGTGGGGTGGCTCAAAGTACCCATGGAAGTCGGGCCGCATCATCGGATTACTCGTCACATTTGGAGTGCTGGCGATTGCCTTTGCGGTCATCCAAGTGAGGAGTGGCGACAAGGCTACACTACCTCTTAGGATCCTGAAGCAGAGGAGTATTGCGTCCGGTTGTCTGGTTTCGTTCGGTATTGGATCGTCATTCATGATTCTGATCTTTTACATTCCGATCTGGTTCCAGGTCAGTACTACTTACTCCCCCGTCCGGTCCACACATGAGCATATTTGCTAACGTCATCCAGGCCATTCAAGGTGTTACGGCAACTCAGTCCGGAATCCGCAACCTCCCTCTCGTCTTGGGCGTCACAATCTTCGCTATCGTCTCGGGCGGGCTAACAACCTGGTTGGGATACTACGTCCCCTTCGTATACATCGGCAGCGTGATCCTCTGTATCGGCGCAGGACTCCTTACAACGTGGGACGTCGACACTCCGGCTGCCAAATGGGTGTGCTACCAACTCCTGACAGGAATGGGCATTGGCCTAACCCTTCAACAACCCATGATCGCCGCGCAAACCGTGCTGAAGCAGGTGGACATCCCAATCGGTTCCGCCGCTGTGGTCTTCTTCCAGACGCTCGGAGGAGCACTGTTCATCTCGGTTGCCCAGAACATCTTTGCTACTGAGCTGGTCAAGGGGATTACCTCCAGGATACCGGACATGTCGGCCTCGTCGATTCTGACTACCGGTGCCACTGCGCTCACGAGTACCTTTTCGCCGGACGTCCTGCCGCAGGTCATTGAGGCGTACAACGGCGCGGTCACTAAGGCGTTCTATGCTAGTGTTGCACTCGCGATTGTCGGCTTCATTGGAGGATTGGGAATGGAAATGGTCAGCGTGAAGGGCAAAAAGATTGAGGCCATTGGTGGAGCTTAGGACATGATGTGACGAGTACCACAGTAATCGTAATACCAGATGGATCATGGGTGTTTCCTTTTTTTTCTTTTCCTTTTCTGAGGCTGCGGGCGTTTCTGGTTTTTTTTATTGACGAAGGGCTGGATGGATGGATGGAAGAATGGATGGATTGTTTTTATATAAAGATACCCTCTCAGCTCCTGCTCGCTCTTGAAAATTGGAATATAGAATATGTTTTGATTATTAGACGATGGTGCATGCCAGGCTGATGAAGTGTTCGTAAAGGATCAAATGCGTAATGCCGACTGCTTTTGCGTGAGGATGCCGTTCTCCTGAATCAGCACTGTCTGCCATCCACCCTTACCGCCAGCCTATGACCCAAGATCAAAGGTGCCGGTAGGCACGTGAATAATAAGTTGGGCCATTGTAAGATCTATCGCCATCCAATGGTAACAATGAAGCCGGGGGAGTGAGGATGCATGATCAGAGTCCTCCGGTGTCAACTGTCAGTAAAGATGTCTACCGCCAACATCTAACTCGCAGCCCTCCCAGACCAGCTCGTTCAGATCCATTAGTCGACGTTTTTCCAAACCAATGTAATGGAACTACGCTCAGGGTGGAGACGGCACGAAACGGGCCTGTCCAGGAAACTGGTGAGGAAGAACCCGGTTCACCAGTCACTTCGGGTCCCAACACATACATGGCTCGGTCACATCACGAGATATCACACGCACAGAAGAATATGTTCCTCCCAAACCCGTTCTCAATTTTCATGGCGCATAGTTACATCCGTCCCAAGCGCCCAACAGTGTACAATCCAACCATCAACCATCAATGAAGCGCCACCCTCAACTTGTGTTTCTTGATGAGAAACTTGTACATTCCACCGGCCCTATTGAACTCATTATTGGGACACATGAGCTTGATCCACATCAAACCCCACGAGATAGCCGCGCACTCGACAGCCCTGCTGGGGGATCCGCACAGCGAGACGTCGCCGCCTTTGGAGGACTCGAGCCTCGTGCACTGCGATCCGCCGCCGTTCCTCTGCACGCACCAGGGAGGGCGCTTGAGCAGCTTGTATCTCAGATCGTCGATCTCCGTGAACGTGGGCGAGGCATTCGAAGTCTCGCAGACGACTTGGCCCGCCCATACCTTCCCATTTATCCACTCCACTTCCTTCTCGCCCGGGTTTTTTCCGTTGCCGGTCGAGACGTAGACGTCGTAAGCACCCTTGACGGTGGTGGACGGATGAACCTCGAAGGTGGGCGGGGCGTAAGGCTGCGAGGCACCGGCCGTGCCGTCGTAGTCGATGCCGAGGATGGCGTAGTCGAGGCCCGGGATGTCAAAGGCTGGGAACTCGATCGTGCTCTCTGGGAGCTCGGAGGGCCTAATGATGACGACCGCGGAAGAGGAGGAGGAGCTGGAAGGAGCGGCCATGGTGAACCTAACTATCGCTGAGATGAGTGTGGGGATGAGAAGATGGATACGCATGATGATCAAGATGTTCTGAGGGGGATTAATGAGGGGGGATTGATGGAGAGTGAAGGGAGGAGGAAGAAGGAGGAAGGAAGAAGGAGGAAGGAGAGCATACGGCCAAAATTGATTTTTATGTTTCGTTTTATTTTTATTTTTATGTTCAACCATTAATTGCATGCGACCTGTCTAGATGATAGCAATGTCTACCCAGATCGACACTCCCTCCCTTTCTCCCTCCCTTTCCCCCTCTCCCCCTGTTCCAAGAAACTGTCTGACTCGACTTTCACTGATTTGCCCGATGTGACTTTTCCTGCCCTCCTCCCTGGCCTGTCCCGACGATGTATGAGCGCACCAAAGAAATCAAAACAAACACAAAAAGACACCATCCGCTCCCTCGGTTCGTCACTACCCCACCACGGGCCTCTAATCTGCCTTACCGCGCCCCCTCAGAGTCTTCCTGCAGTCACTGCAGCTCCCCCTCTCTTCCCGTTCCCTTAGCTCCCACTCAGACACCTCACTTGCTGCATCTTCCTCATCCGCCTTTGAGTTCCGCCTACCCACAGTAGTGAAGGAAAGGAAGTCCAGGATGGCCTGGCTGCACCAATCGTCAGCGAAGAGGTCCCGGACTTGGAATCGGTCCTTGTCCCTCCTTGCCTGCTTTTTTTTTTGTTTAATCATTGATTGCATGCAACATGTCTAGATCATCGCAATGTCTACCCGTACACCCCGTTTCCTCCAACCCAGTTTTCATCAGGTGGCCCGACTCCCCTCTCCTCCTCCTTGTCTGCAGCCGAAATTGAATGCATCCAACACCGCCAACCTCTCTAACCGAGTGAGGCCTCATGTACCAAGCCGCTATCCAAAAACAGCTATTGAAGCACTAGGACTGGAAAGACCTTTTGGCAAATTTGATAATAGATAGGGGGCCGACTGTATGTAGTTCACAAGAGAGGAATCTTAAAGTAGAGAAAACCTTCCTGTGTTATTCAAGAGATCGTAGAACCTCACGAGTCGAGCTCAGGACAAATAACAACGAAAAGCACACGATGAGAACAATAACTGCTAACAAGGACAATGAAAGCAGCCAAATTGGGCCGCTCAGTGAAAGCTGGGTTGGACAGTGGCGTGGAAACGGGGGGTGAACGGGGTGATATTGCCATGATCTAGATAGGCCGCATGGAATTACTGATGAAACAAAAAAAAAAAAGGACGATGAAAGCAATGATGAGAACAATAAAACAGACAGACAGACCCGCCGGCAAAGTAAACAAGAGCACTCTGAACCTTTCAAGCCCTCTGAACCTTTCAAGCCCTCTGAATCTGGTCTAGCCAGGTCGGCGAAATTTCGCCGCTCGTGCATCTGCCATGCCCGCCGTTTCCACTGTCCCACACTATAAAAACCCCCCTCCCCCCACCGCTCTCCATCTTTTCTTTCTTCTTCAATTACGTACCATGATGTAACTTTGGTGGCTCAACCATCACCAAAGTTCCCGGGACAATACCTCCATTGCACGGCGAGGGAGTCTCGGCGACGGATCTTCGGATCTTTCGGCGTCTCAATTTTTGATTACTACGAACCACGAGGTTTCCATTGATGACTTGGGTGGTCTATGAGACCGAAGTGTCGAGGGAAGCATCCTTCCCAGTGCTCTCCCGCTGCGCGCGCACTCTGTATCCGCACGCTCTGTCTCTCTCTCACCCCCCCTCCCCCCCCCACAGCAAGGCGAACGAGATGCAGTGCGAGGGCTCTTGATCTCAACAACAACAAACCCCCAGTGGGAGGGGGGGGTGACCTAAGAACTTCTGAAGAGATCGGCTCGGTAACGACACGAGATATCACACGCAAAAGAAGTATGTCTCACTCGAACCTGATTTTCATTTCCATAACGCATCCAAATTCCATTGCCAGTTTTCCCAAGCGGCCAAGAGCAAATTAATGAAGCACCGCCCTCAAATTGTACTCTTCGTCTTCGAGGGCAAACTTATACATTCCACCGGCCTTGCCCCACTCACTATTGCCACAAATAAGCCTAATCAATATCGTTGCCCACGATACAGCTGCGCACTCGACCTGCTTGCTAGGGGTGCCGCACAACGACACGACGCCGCCGTAGTGGGACACGAGCCGGGTGCACTTCGAGCCGCCACCGTTCTTCTGCCAGCATATGGGCGGCCGCTTGGATAGCTTCGCCCTAAGCCCGTCGATCTCCGAGAACGTGGGGGAGGCTAGCGACGTCTCGCAGATCACTTCGCCCAACCAAAGCTTCCCGCCCTTCCAAGCCTCTTTGCCGGGGATCGTACCGGGCCCGGTCGAGACGTAGACGTCGTACGTGTCGTTGGTGCGGGATGAGGGACGGACAACGGTGCGTTGCAGTGCGGCGGCCGTGGAGGAGTCGATGCCCGGGATGACGAGGTGCGGGAAGGCGATCGTGTTCTTCGGGGGCTCGTTGGGTCTGTGGGTGACGGTTGAAGAGGGGGAGGAGGAGGAGGTGCCGGGCGGAGCGGCCAAGATGACCGCGATAATCGCTGACAGGACTGTGGGGATGATATGGATATGCATGATGCTGATGATGATATTCTGAAGGGGTTGATGAGTTTAAGGAAGTACCGAAGTGGGAGGAGAAGGGAGAAGGAAGAGGAACGAAGAAGAAGTAAGAAGAGCAGGCGGCAGAACCACAGTGCTGCCAAGATTGAATGCATCCAGCTCCGCCGACCTTTAGATCCGAGTGAGGCCTCATGTGTCAAGCTTGAATGCATCCAGCACCGCCGACTTTCTATCCGAGTGACGTCGTGTGTGCCAAGCCGCCCTCCAAAAACCGCTATAAAAACCCCCCATCCCACCTCTCTCCTTTTTTCTTCTTCATACTTACCTTGATGCGACTTTGGTGGCTCACAAATCACCGAAGTCCAGAGACAACACCTTCATTGCACAGCGAGGGTCGGAGTCTCGGCGAAGGATCTTTGGATCTTTCGGCGTCATAATTTTTGATTGTCTCAAAACTTGAAAGACGAGGTTTCCATTGATGGCTTGGGTGCTCTGTGAGGCCGAAGCATCGAGGGAATTCATCCTGCCCAGCGCTCGCTCGCTGCGCGCGCACTCTGTGTCCGCACGCTCTGTCTCTCTCTCTCACCTCTCTCCCCTACCTTAACACCGCCCCTCACTCAAGTTTCAAGTTTCAACTCCCCATCTGGAGTACCTAGCATGATGCATCTCCTGCACTACCGATGCAACGTACATACATAGAGTATCCATTCCTCTCGGGGAACACAACATATGCACGTAGCCCGGATGCAAGGGTACATGTTATCATACCAGTTACATACTTACAGTGTTGATCGTGATCACCATTGGCAATTTAGCAGGCGTGTACCGCCCGTGTCAGGTCGACTACCTGCGGGGTGGATATCAGCTTGGTAGTCACATACTTGATGATGCAATCGCCAACTCTCAGCTCTGGGTGCAGGATATAAAGCCGCTGTGATCACCGCCCGCGGCCTAACCACGGGCCCACCTACCAACCTACCATCGTGTACTGTACCTCTGCAAGATGCGTTTCCCAGTCCTCAACCTCCTGCTATTCGCATTCGCATTCCCATTCCCATTCCCGCTCGCAGTCGCACACCCTTTCACAGGCCCCCTCACAGGCCACGGCGGCGGTGCTACGGCCTCCGAAGTAGCCGAATGCTCCAACGCGAGCGCCTCGATCTACAGCGCGGGCGGCAACGCGGTAGACGCCGCGGTAGCCACGCTCCTATGCGTCGGCACGATCGCGCACCACCACTCCGGGATCGGCGGGGGCAGCTTCGCGCTAGTCCGTCTCCCCTCCGGAGCGACGCACTTCGTGGACTTCCGGGAGGCGGCGCCGGCGGGGGCTACCGGGGATATGTTCCTGGCTCCCAACAGCAGCTCGCTTGTCGGAGGGCTGGCGGCAGCGGTGCCCGGCGAGCTCAGAGGGCTCGAGGAGTTATCGCGGCGCTGGGGAAGGCTGAAGTGGGAGCAGCTGTTTCGGCCCGCGATTAAGTATGCGGAGGGTGGGTTCACGGTCAATATGGATCTGGATGCGGCGGGGAATACGACTGCATACCCGTTCTTGCTGCGGGATGGGGCGTGGCGGAGGGATTGGGCGCCCGGGGGGAAGAGGGTTGGGGTGGGCGAGGTGATGTATCGCAAAAGATATGCGAGAACGCTCAGGGCTATCGCTAAGGGCGGCGCGGATGTGTTCTATAAGGGAGCTATGGCGAGACGTACGGTGCGTGAGGTGCGGAGGCGCGGCGGGATACTGACGGTGCGGGATTTGGAGGGGTATCGCGTTAAGCATCGGAGGGTCAATACTGCGCATTATAGGGGATATAAGTTGTCTGCGGGCAGTGCGCCGTCGAGTGGCGCGGTCGTGCTGAGTGCGCTGAAGATTTTCGAGGGCTGGAACGGAACGGGGGACAGAGGGCTGGAAACACATCGACTCGTTGAGGGAATCAAGTTTGCGTATGGCCAGCGGACACAGCTGGGGGATCCAGATTTCGTGGACGGCCTGGAGAAGTTCCAGAGGCAGATGGTGAGTGAGGAGGTCGCAGCGGGGGTTAGGACACAAATTCGAGATGACGCAGTGCTACCGAATATTTCGTATTACAATCCGGAGGGAATGGCCAGTCCGACACCGTAGGTATTCAGACGTGTTGGAATTGCACGGCGAGTGCTGATCCGTGCAGGAAGGGAGGAACGTCCCATATCGCGACGCTGGACGCAGAGGGAATGGCCGTTTCTCTCACCAGTACGATCAACACCTTCTTCGGCAGCCAAGTGATGACACCCTCCGTATAACCACCTCTTCTTCCTCCTTCCAGCTGCCTTCACGGTTAACACGTCCAGGACGGGATCATAATGAACAACCAAATGGACGACTTCAGCACTCCGGGCAGCTCCAACTTCTTCGGGTTCCTGCCCACACCCAACAACTACATCCGACCGTTCAAACGCCCACTATCCTCTGTATCCACCGTGATCGTCGAGACCCCCGACGGGCAGGTGTACTTTGTTATCGGTGCCGCCGGCGGTAGTCGCATAATCACGGCGACGGTGCAAAATGTGTGGCGCGTCCTCGAGAAAGGCCTAGATGCTCGTCCGTTCCCCATCCCATCCCACCCCTTCTCTTCCCTTCCCTCCCTCACGCACCCCAGCTGACGCCGACAGGCGCGGCGCTGTCGTCTCCCCGTCTGCACGACCAGCTCTGGCCCAATCTGACCAGCTTCGAGGTCGGCTACGATTCCGCCGTGGTGGCGGACATGGCGCGGCGCGGACACAACGTAACGTTCGTCCCCGCGCGCCCGGGAATAGCCTCCGCCCAGGGCGTTATGCGGTGCGCGGACGGAACATTGCAGGCTGTTGGAGAGCCGAGGCAGTGGGGGAGTGGCGGGTTCGTGTGCGCGGCTTGATCCATGATTGTAGTAGATATGGACCGGATATTGTGGTGGTGATGGTGGTGGGTGAGAACAGGTGACTTGCAGGCTAGAGGTTGAGATAGAGTTCGAGTTAGAGTTTTGACGGGACTGCTTGCTCTACATATCTACCGGTATATGTACGATCTCCGTCTCCATGGCCTTGCTCTAGCTGCCGTCGGCGTGCCAGTACGCACATATGTAGGTACCGGTATGTAGGCACATTCCTAAGTATATCTATAGTTTGGTGAGGGGCAGGGAGGGAGGAAAAAAAACGACTGGTGTTGGTTCCTTCGGAGGCCGGATGTCGATGCTTCCGGTGCCGTCGATACCGTATCGCCCGGCGAAGATCGATCGGTGCGTGCTTACCAACCAACCAACCAACCAAGGAAGCGAAAACGTTAACCGCGTTAAAGTTGCATGCGCAGCGAGCGATGGAAGGGAAGGGGTCTTTTTGCCCATCGCAGACCGGTACCAGGCTGTGGGACGTTATACGAGCCGCCGATGTGGTACCGGTGGGTCGGTACTGGAAAGCTCGGCGGGGAAGGGTACATACAAACATGGATACTTGGTATGTACCGTATATAATGTACCGTATATGCTTATCTTCGGCTCGAATCCTGCACCAGCTGCGCCGCGGGGTGAGAATACCGGTACCGATCGAGGGGAGGGCTCGGGAAACTCTGGCAGGAACAAGAACGGGCGACCGAAGGCGGCCAAGCCTCACGACGGATGCGATTTCCTATTCATACGGTGGTTACTCCCCAAGCACGCAGCACGCAGCAGCATCTTGCTCCCTTCTGCTCCCGCTCCCACTCCCGCCCGAGATGGCAGTGGGAACCCAAACCTCGCGCTCAAACTTTTCCGCCCTGACATGATGCCGACACCCACCCATCCATCCATCCATGCCAGACTCTTTCCGACCGCGGATTGAGTGCCCCGACCGACGAATTCGACGACGATGAGCATGAAGCGATAGAGATCAATCGAGCCTCGGTCCCTGGCCGGAGAACTGCACCACCACGCGTGCTACGTCCGAACCTCAGAAGAAGTCTCACCATCGCTTCCCCGCACATCATCATCGATTTCATCACTCTAGGAGAGCCTGTTCAGCAGGCGATATGGCGACGGCGGGAGGAGAGTGAACTCCAGGAGGAGAGCTCAGGGCTTGGCCCAGGACCACGTTGACCACGACGACTGGCATTTTGCCAACCCCGCCTTCGATCCAAATATCTTCGCTGCTATTCATTGGGCTTCGGCCTTGACAGCTACGCAAACCCCAAGACGACTATTCCCTTCGAGCACCATGCCGTGTGCACTAGACTGGTTATGTTGAGGGTAGTACCGAGTGGAGGTACCTTTTGGAGAAGAGGAGGGCTACGAAGCGCCGCTACAGCGCAAAAACCGACAATCCGAGCCTCTTCGGAGGCTCACTTTTAAAATATTGCGAGGACGAGGGGATTTGCTGTCACTTCTGTATGGATTTGGTTGCGGAATTTCTTTATCAAAATGTTGTATTGTAGATACCTCTACCGGCCATAACCTTAGGGTTCCATGCTGTATGAATAATCAATTAATCAATCAATCAATCCATGCCCTCACTCGTCGTCACTCCACCCCTCCCTCATTCACTCCACCGCGATCGATCCGTGTGACGTTCGTCCCTTCCACACGCCCCCGTCAAGTTTCAAATACCTGGCACCCGACACACGCACGTGGGGTGTGTACCCACGGGCGAGACAGACAGCCAGACAGACAGCCAGACAGACAGCCAGACAGACAGCCAGACAGACCAACCGACAGCTGCAACTCGCCACGCGTAGTAGCAGGAAAAAAGTCTCTCGTGTTCGTGCAGGTGGCTTCCCAGGGGATCGGGGTCTGGGCCTTGGCTACCGTACATGCATGTACATACTTGGCGTGCGTGTGTGCGTGCGCCGTGCGGGCGGCGGCGGCGGGGGCGGCGGCGGTGTCGACGGTGGTGTCGGGGTCGGACAAACTGCCGTTGCATACATACATGCATAGGAACCTGTACCCAGTACCCAGTACCCAGTACCCGTGGAGATATGCAGATACACCAACACCAAGCAGTTACACCAAGCAGTTGGAGTTGCGGCTAGAACTTCGAAGTGCGGGGTAAGTAGCCGTCTGGCTGGCTGCTGGCTGCTAGTCGGTACCTACTAACGATAGTGGCTTGCGCGAGTTGCTGTGACCCGTGAGGAGTTGGAGTTGGAAGTGGGGGTGCGTCCGGAGCGTTCATCCTATTTCCTGGTCTGGCCTGCTCTGTGTGCCGTGAAGCTGATCGTTTTGCCACACTTTGTTTTTTTTTCTGCTTGCTTGCTTGCTTGCTTTCTGCTCCCGCTCTTTCGCTTCCGATGCAGATGTCTGATGGATGCATACTTCTTGTACCGACGTGCGCCGAGCATGCGAGCGAGCGAGCGAGACTCACCGACCGGCTGGCGGCGAATGCCTACCTACTCCAGCTGACTGCGTCCATCCAGTGTCCACCCCCAACACAGACGTCGCAATCGTGAAGGTACCTACGGAGTCGTGAGGTGAATTGCGAATCACGAAATGCGAATCAGTGGTCCAGTGGTTCAGCGATCCGTTGGACAGTGAGCCGGTGACGTCGGAAGCCGCGCCACCACTTTGTGCGGCCCTGTAGCCTCCGGGGCTTGGACTTGGGCTTGGTCCGGCGATCAAATCTCTTCTGACACCCCGGGGTAGCCGCTCGCGCCACTAATTACGGCGGGCCTCTGTCCGTGGTCGGTGGTGGCCGGGGAAGTGACGACGACTATGGCTGTGGCTGTGGCTGGGGCTGTGGTTGGACTGGAGGCTACCTACTGGTAGATAACCGACGCCGCGACGCGACGCGGCACAGCACAGCACGGCGTGTAAACGCACTTGAGCACGCAAATCGCCGCTGGGAAACAACTCCAATCGTCGCTCCGGCGTGCGTGCAAACCTCATGCCACCAGAATTATGGTCGCCCGATAGCCACGATCTTGCGGGTTACATGCTGCATAAACCATCAATCACGGTCGCCCAACGCCAGCACCATGGTCCATGGGCGCGGTCCCGGTCCACGGTCCACGGACCTTTCCCCCGTACTCTACCGTATGTATGTAACGTATTCGTGCTCGTTCTGCCAACTTCTTATGTAGAAGTACGTACGTTTGCACAGTGCAGCGCCCATCCACCGCACCAATCGACTAGACTAGAGTACCTAGCCCACATACGGGAGGCGCCATCCTCGCCACGGAAGATGCCGTGCTGAGAGCTCTGGACTGTTTCGCGACTCTTGGGCTTTGACTTTAACTTGGACTTCTCCCCGCGGATAAGTGGGGGAGGGGGGGCGGTACTACGGTAACTAGTACTCTATCTAGAGTACTAGCAGCAGCAGTGAGTTGCGGGGGAATTCTACTCTCGCGCTGCAGCGAAAGAAGGGAAAGAAAACACCTCACGATTTGTGCATAGAGTTACTATGGTTTCTGTGGCTCATCTAGTCGGAGCGCTACTAAAGGTATGTAAGACTTGTAAGTAGGAAGTGTGTAGAGTATTTCGGTTGAAGAACGGGACGAAGTGCGCAAAGTTCAAATCCAGCCTGGCTGACTGAATGTATGGATGGGATATATGGGATGCGAATCCTGCGTCCCGCAGCCCACTGGATCCCGCAGGATCCCACTGATTCCATCAATTGGGATTGGGATTGGGATTGGAATCCGGATGCTGCTTCAATGCTTATCGCACATATTGCACATACCGGTACCTATCGCACAGCAGCACACGAGAATTCAAGCGAGCGAGCGAGCACGATGTGTCGATGGATGCGTGTGCGTGTGCACTGCACCGTAAATATGTGTAGAGTACGAAACCGCGCTGGAATGGGGCGCGCTTAAGTGGGTGGAAGAATGCTCCGGCTTCGATCTCTCTCATGTCTCTCTCTCTCGCGGCGGCGGCGGCGGCGGCGGCGGCGGCGGCGAACGCAAAGAGCTGCACGAACGCAAAAGGCGCCATGCACCGCGATGCACCTGCGGGGCGATACCTACCTGCTTACCTAGTTTACGATTGGGGGCGGGGGGAGGGGGGGCTAGATATCTACGGTAACAGCACGCTTTGATTTGCCACAATGCACACATGCAACTGGAGAACCTAATGGATTCCAATTCATGTTGCCGCGGATTGCTGAGCGAGGGAAGCGCCGGCCAGCCAGCCACGCTGACTGTAAGGGTGTTGAGAACAGTACTGTATGTAGAGTGGAGTGGAGTGGAGTGGAGGACTAGCAAACGATTGAACGCGAGGCCAGAATTGCTCCAAAATAACAGTTTCATCGGCGGCCGGTGATCGGCGGCTGGGCGGTTGGGCCGGAGAACGGAGAACGGGAATGGGAACGAATGGGGACGGATTGAGAAAGATGACGACGAGTAATAGACGCTACATACAACATACTTTATACCAACCCGAAGACTAACAGAGCCAACGGCACCTGCGGGCGTCTATTTATGAGCGCTCGGCGTCTATTGTTCGATCTACTGGAGCACACTCTCTCTTGCTTCTTTTGGCAGTGAAGGATAAGAAGACGAAAACGACGTACTCTATGTAGGATGACTAGAAGACGAGAACGACGAAGAGCGGCGGCGGCGGGAGATTTCAGGCGGTCTTGTAGAGTGTAGAGTGGAGTGGGCCTGGATTATCTATGTGGAGCAGGGATCAAAGGCTGGCCGCCGGCGTGCAGGCTATCGCTGCAGATAGGGATCGATCTTCATTGGCACTCCCGTTGTCGTGGATAAATGGGCCCATGGGCAGAAGCAGGTACGGACGGACGCGACGAGCACGAGCACAGTGCCTGGAGTACCACGATAGCAGCACTTTTCATCTTGAGCCGTCGATGTCTCCATTCGTCAATTATTTGACGATTGTTCGACGATTGTTCGACGGTTATTCGACGATTATTCGACATTTATCGTCCTCTATTTGTCCGTTCGCTCCTGCCTGTGGAGCTCTTGGCCGCAACCGACGTGCAGTCCCGAGACTTTCAGTCCATCGCGATCTGCCCGGGCTGCGGTCCCACTAGTCAGTTACAACTAAGCCCCTTCTGAGCGGCGCATGAGTTCGGATCGAGGCAAGCGCAGGGGACACCCTCGAGCAAGCTAAACAACATTAGAGTAACCTTACATGCTTGCTGCTAGCTGGTATTAACCTTAACATCCCAACGCCTGCCGACCCCTGGGCGCAGCCCAACATTCGTTCGCCCGCCGTCGCCGTCGCCGCGAGCTCGCACTCGAACTCGCTCCTCGCTCCCTCACTCTGTCGTGGGTGTCTCGTGAAGTGCCAGTACACAGAGTACCAAGGCGACATATCTCCTGCCGTTGCCGTTGTCTGTTGCTTCAACTTGCTGCTATTGCTGTTGTGCTGCCGCCCGCGATTGTTCCCAAAAGTAAATAAACGCGGCTTCCTGCTTTCGGTGAACACTACGCACTTGCAAGCACACACGCATCCTTTAACCCCCCTATTCCTCCCCGGGGAGCCCGCCAACCATCCACCGCAATCCACCACCACTACCACTACCTACTAACAACTATACCACCACTACCACCATCACCGACAGATGCCATCATCGTGAAGGTGTGGCTGCACTCTCAATTCCTTCCGATTCTTTCCTTCTCAAAACCCTGTCTGGTGGTTGAGATAATACCCGGAAGTTGGAACTCGGTCATCGTTGGTAGCCATCAATCAACCCATCTTGTCCGTCCGTCAGTCCATACTTTACGCACGCACGCATACCCACCCACCCACCCTCTCTACCCACCACCACCACACGGGCACGGCTCCTTATATTCATCCACTCACCACCACCACCACCACCACCACCACCACCACCACACGGAAACGGCTCCTCATATTTCACCGACCCACCCACCCACACTCTCTCACTCACCCACACAACCCTCCCGCTTGGACGAGAGAGATCCTCTTGCAGCTCCACCCTCACCCCCTGGAAAAGAAAAAAAAAGAAAAGTGCGAAAAGTCGCAGCTGCCTTCCCTCATCCTCGGATACCCTACTCTAACGAGAACTCGCGTGGCCGCTCACGTACAATTGCCAAGCGGTTGCCCTTGAACCTTTATCTCATACTCCCCCCGTCCTCCCTCACTTCAACTCCTCCACCTAAATATCCTCTCGCGGGCACAACTTTGTTGCTGAGGTTTCGCTCCTACAACTTCCTCCTTCGCATTACCTCACACTCCCATTGCGTGTTTGCTGCCCGTGCAAACAAGAAGAAGGTCGGTTCCCTCCTAGTCCCCGACCCCGTCCCCCGTGCCATCGCCTGTCGGGAACCCCATCGGATCCGAACATTGCCCGCTCCAATTGAAAATAAAATGGTCGTCTCCAGCAGCTGACTCGTGGTCGCTTTCTTCTATAGGTCTCGCTCAACTGAAACCTAGCCCAAGCGTCGATTCGTTCAATTCGACCACCTCGATTCAGTGGGTCCGCTCCAACAACAACAACAACAACAACAACAACAACGCCCCGTCCGTCCGTACCTCCTCCGCCAACCAACTAGCACCCCCCGCGACGCTCAGTCACCTCCTTGCCGCCCATATCCATTTAAGTAATCGCCGGAACCACCTGCAATCATGGGATCGCCGCCCCAGTCCAACAACCCCTTCAGAGCTTCTATGCTCCCTCCGCCAGAAGAATACTCCGAACCCGAACAGGAGCACCAGCCGCAAGAGCAACCGCAGCAGCCCCTCTCATCGACCATCGCTTCGTGCCCTCCCATTTACAAATCCCCCTCGACCACCACCACCATCGCCGAGGCGCCCCGATTCTCGCAGGAGAGCTATCCTGCTTCCGATCTGGCAAACGCGAGGACGGCCACGGTGTCGACCACGTCCCTACCGATGGCGTCGACGACGATGCAAACACCCAAGGACAAGGAGGTCGTCATCACCGTGCACCACACGACATCACAAGTGACGATGCCGACCGAACCCCCGCCAACCATGCCCCGGAAATCGTGCGTCGGTGATAGATCGCGAATCAGTATGCAGGTGGACGAGAGCGGCATGTGGCCGGCACGACGCTTGTTGCAGAAGCAACATGCCGACAAGAAGCGGATGTGGATATTCATCAAGATCGGAATCGCGATGCTGATCATCGGCGTGGCCGTCGCCGTCGGACTCGGCATCAGCAAGGCGGTGCGGAAGAATTAGACGTGTCGTCGTCTCGGAACTCTTCAAAAATACGACGGACCCTTTCTTTTCTTTGTACAGAAATACCACCACCATTACCGATGGCCCAACAACATGCACAGACGATATAATTCTTTACCCCTGGAGCCCGGCCCCTTGTATGTACGCGTTTTTTTTGTTCCCGCTTTTTCCCCACGGGATTGGAGTTTTGCCGGACCTTGGATGGATTGGGGGGAGGATTGAGGAACAAGTGAAATTTGTTCATCTCTGGGTTTTTTGACTTCTCGCGCTCCTGTTCCAATGGGAATGTCATAATCAATGGTCTTCTCTCGCCGCTTCATTTTATTTATTTTTTTCCTCTGCGCGTCTGTCTTGTGTGTGGGTGGCCTTTTGTGTTTGTGGGATGAGTTTTTTTTATTTCTCCCCTCGGTACTTCTTTTTTAGTAGTTTTCTGTTTCATTCATTCCTCGGTGTTTTTTTCTTTCGTTACATTTTGTGTTTTTCATTTGTGTTTTTTTTGTTGTTTTTCTTTTCTCTTGCTTGTAACAACTTACAAGAGCAAAGCCGGTGTTTATGGGGGGCGTTTTTTCTCTTTTCCCTTTCATTTCCTTTTCTTGTTCTTTTCCGATTGAGGGGATCTTTTTTGTGTGCGGATATCTTGTTGTTGGTTGCTCTGTGCTAGTTGGGAATCGTGAGTTGGGAATCAATCGTGCTGGTGGGATTTTTGTAGATGGTAGCTGCTGGTTTGGATTGGATTGGATACCTAGCGGAGGAGGAGGAGGGCATGGAGGGGCAGGCAGGCCATGGAGGGGGCAGGCAGGCAAGGCAATATATGATCCAACTCGTGCATGGGCACACCGTACACTTTCTACCTATCTATGCGGATCTATCTTGGTGGTGGCGATGTGATGAGTGGAAAGGTGGGGGGGGGGGGGGGGTGACTGGAGGGGGGATGGAGGGGCAGTTTAGAGGGGCAGTTTGGTGGGGAGGTAGAGGGGGAGATGGCAGTCATGGCAGAGCACTCGGGATGCGGGACGATGGACGGTGGATGGTGAAGAGGTGAAGAGGTGAAGAGGGCTGATATACAAATCTAGGTTGACATTTTGAATTTCCAGCTATAACTACTCGAAGCTGCGGACTCTTCAACCCGGGAAGCAGTTTGAGCCTATGTACGGTGTCGAAGCTTATTTTGAATTCGGAGGGGAGGGGGTCTATGGTTGAGGAGGAGAGGGGGTAAGCACTCGGCGTATGTATTGGGTTCCCTTGGTCACCATGGCGGGGGAGAATGGTTGTGGGGGGGTTTTGGGCCTGCAACCTTCTTGGGAGTTGTGATATGCTACCGAAGCACCGGCTCACACATGCTACATACATGCTAGATACGGTGGAGTACCGACGGAAGCTCTAGGTTTGCAGGGACGGGACCGGCTGTCGGGTGGGAGTCAATATGGGGTACATACATCTTACTTAACCTATTGAAACACTGAAGATTTATTGAGTTTTGGGATGTATATACGGTTTTTGGTTTTTGGGTTTGGTGTTGTATGCTTTTGAGTAGATGGGGTGAGTGGGTGGGTGAGTAAGTGAGTGAGTGAGTTATAAGCTCAAGGGTACCGCCGACGCTGCCGCGATCAACGGCTTATCTACGGTAAAGTACTTAAGGTAGAGTACCCGACGGCGACGGCGGCGGTGGTGGTGGTGGTGGTGATGGTGGTGGTGGTTTAAACTCACACTCACTCACTCAATGGACGTTAAGCTCCTACTAGCATGTAGGTCAATGGATATTAAGCTCCTACTTTGTAGTAGGTAAATTAGGTACATAACTGTTTCTTTCTGGTAAAGCTGGTGGATCTGGTGGATCTCGCACGACTTGACGAAGACGAAGACGGTGGGGATAGGATATGTAGGATATGTAGGATAGGATAGGATATGGCACCTTACCATCCCACCGTTATTCGGTATACCGGTAGTTAGCAGTTAGCGAAGATCCCGAGTCCTAGTCCCAGTCCCAGTCGCTTCCCGACTCCGGCATCGGCATTGGCATTGCGCCTAACTACTAGTTAGTAGGTACCGTATTCCCGAGACGCCAATCGAGCGGCGAGCCTCCACTGGCACCGGGTGCGAAGATTTCTAGATTCTGGAGGTCGTGCCGCTAAGAGCGGACCCTGAGCGGGTTCTCACGGCACGCGGTCACGGCGAGCGAGCGAGCGAGCGAGCGAGTGACACGCCGAAACCTTAGAGTCTAGGTTCGTTTACTCTACCCATCCACCAGCTCGGCACCGACGCACCGTAGACCACACTACGGGATTGCACATGTCGGAAATGGTGCCGAGTGAGGGGTCCTCGAAAGCCGAAAGCTTCGTGGGGGTGGGGTAGGGGGCAGTGTAGGTTCACCTACATAACCGTCGGTGAAAAGGTCTTCGACCTGGGTATCATACCGCTGGCCACAGACTGGATGCACTGCTGCTTCACACTGCTGCTTCACACGTCTTGCGTCTGTATGTAGATACCTTGTACCCATGTAGCGGAAATATCATACGGCAAACGAATGTCCAGCAGGCAGGCTGGGGCTCCCCCAGAGCTCTAATGAGGTTCATTTGCTTCACTGTGGATGTGTAGAAGAAGGTAGCTCGGTGGACTCTCTTCCCAGCCCTAGAGCATGTACATACCAGTGGGAGTAGGTCAGTACTGGCTTACAACTCCAATCACTCGTTTGCCGAGCTGCGCCAACTCAATAAGACCTAGACTCTAGGCAAGATCGAGAATATCATATTTCCAGACTCAAGCTTTCGGTTCCTGTTGCCTGGTGCTTTACACTCTCCTGGGGGCCGTAGGTTTTGCTCACCAGTGGGGAAGGTTTGGTGGGAGATATAGGGTTGTTCCTAACGGCGCCTATGGCTATGGGGATGGTGAGCTACGGCTTCATGGGATGGTGAACCTTCGCAACTTCGACTTCGGACGGTCCCTAGAGCGTCCGGCTTCACATAAATAGGGACGAGATCCGGCTCCCAGTCTCATTCTCATCAGCTTCATCTGCTTCACTCATTCACTCATTCACACACTCGTTCATTCATTCATTCACTCGTTCGTTCATTTATTCTTCTTCACACTCTTTCCACCAACCAACCACCACCACCACCAGCAAGATGTACGCCTCCACCATCCTCAGTATCGTCAGCCTCGTCGCCACCTTCGGCGTCGCCCACGCCGCGCCCATCGCCGAGCCCTACGGCGGCTTCGGCCTGAACGGTGGCGGACGCAACTGTTACCAGCCGCAGCCATACTACCGGCAGGAGCGGTACTGCCCGCGCCCCTACTGCTGCAACTCGTCGAAGCCGTACTACAACAACCAGCACCCGGTGCTCGGTAACCGGCACGAGCACTACCACTGCGAGAGCCCTTCGTGCAGCTGCGCCCCCGGCGACTACCACCCGTCCTTCACCGTCATCGCTGAGAACGAGTTCAAGCCCTACTACGACTGCAAGGATGACTGCCGCTCCCAGGGTTATGGGTGCCGCAACTTCAGGCCGTGCTCCTTCGGACAGTACGGCTGCCAGGATGACTGCGACTTCGCAGACTTTTTGAATGATTGCGACTGCGAGTGCGAGTGCCAGGGCTTCTCGAAGCGCGCCGTCGCCGCCGCCGAGGAGGAGAAGAAGGAGGAGTAGGCCGACCTTCCTGCCTCCCTCCCTCGCCCCCGAGGCTCCCACTGTCGGCCCGTCAGCTGCTGCGCTTGATGGCTGAGATCTTGTGGATTGTGTTTGTTTTCTAGTTCCATCTGATTTTATCTGGCCTCTTTTTCTTTTCTGAGAGTGTATGAGTATATAAAGCTTTGTATATGATACTGTTATTTACGTGGCAGCATGGCATAGCATGTATATCGGTTGTTGATCGGCGGCGGCGGGGAAAAGCAGTTGCATGTATGATAGTTGTGGAAAATCGCGAAATCTTCTGTTTTTGTTGTTAAACGGGTATCGTCGAGTGATTTTGAGTGAGTGAGTGAGTGAGTGAGTGAGTGAGTGAGTGATGCTGTCTTCCCGTCGTCGCACTCGCCTGCGGACTGATCTCCTTTCCTCTACTATACTTCCCATTCGCTCTCTGCTTCAGCCTTGCCCTGGAGAGGAGAGAGAGAGAGAACTTCGATGGGGTGCCGTTGCGATTAAGGGAGCTAAGTTGGAGGTTGGACAGCTCCATGGACGGCTAAGCGCGGATTGGCGCGATGTATCACCGAGAAATTTCCCCAGAATTTTTTCCGTGAGCGGGGCAGGGTAGGGCGGGTTGTGGCTGCGCGTGATATGGCGACAGGGAGTCCGCTCGATCGATCATTGAGATTGCTGCCACTCCCGTAGATGAACCCGTGCACTGCATCGCGCTGGCTGCTCAGCAGCGCGGTCCGTACCCGTGGAAACAGAGGGATGCGTTCACATGTCTGTGTTCATATGTTCAGCAATATAGTATCTATACCCGACTACATACATAAACTCCGCCTGACAGCGAATGTATTATGTTGCGCATGCGAGTGTTCAGGCCTGTTGACACCCTTGTCGTCCGCAAGCGAATCACGCGGATATGTACTCTACTCTAGTATGGATTCACTTTTGTGGGGAAATTCGAGCCTCAGACTTCAATCCTGGTGATGCGCGGTGGAGACGTTCAAGTTCAAGGCTGTGTGTTACTACATATACCGAGGCTCAGCACCCTGCACAGTTGGTATTGGCAGCGACGGCGAACTCCTAACCAACTATCTAGTTGGCTGCGGCTTTCTATTCCCAATATGGGGACGTGGATGCGAGTAGGTAGTCGGTACATATGACAAGCTTCGAAGATCTTCAACGAGGTGCCGGCTGGGTGTCGAGTTCGTCGACCCCACCAGCTCGCTCACAAACGGCCTCGGCCAGGAATCTAGCTGCTCGGGAGTCAACGCCATTGCGCAATGCGAATACCTACCTCAAGACGAGATGCACGGCTACGGACCTACGGAGAGCCCGAGACAAAGCCTACTCCCACCCCCACACATAGGTGTGGGAGTAGCATAGGTACGGTACATACGGGCTGGAATATAAAGATCCCCTTATCCATCCTCTGGACGATCCAGCTTCTTTTCCTCGCTCCCATCACCTTCCTTCGAACAGCCACCAGTTAATCCCTTCACCCATCCACTCCTTCCCCTTCGAAACCCAACCCGGTCTTTACCCCCCCCCCCCCCCGCAACAAAAATGGTGCACATCTCCCTCCAGCTCCTGGCCCTTCTCCCAGCCCTCGCGCACGCCATCCCGGGCACGGGGTGCACCACGATTGGCATAATCACCGCGCGAGCATCCACCGAATCCCCAGGCGAAGGCATAATCGGCCGTCTCGCTGCTTTGATCCAGTCGGAGTCCTTACAGACCGTGTCACGGGCGTCGGTGTCGTACCCCGCGCGGCTATTCCCGTACGCCAGCTCTTCAGCAGCGGGAGTCGCCGCGCTAACCGCGTCAGCTCACTGACGCTACACAAAAGTGTCCCGACCAGAGGATCGTGCTGCTGGGGTATAGTCAGGGCGCCCACGTCTTGGGCGATGTCCTCGGCGGCGGAGGGGGGACGGGGCTCGGCAAGAAGACACCCGCGGTTGCGAGCGAGGTCGCGGATAAAGGTACCCCATCCCCACCCCCCCACCAACCTGCACATACATTCCAGTGGTAATATACTGACACCGCACAGTCGTGGCTTTCATCCAGATGGGCGACCCGCGGCACACGCGGGACGAGCCGTACCACATCGGCAGCGCGAAGAACGATGGGATGTTCCCGCGCGCCACAGACCAGAAGCTGGAGGGGTTCGCGAGCATCGGGCTGAGTTACTGCGACCGGGGCGATACGTTCTGCGATTCCGGGAGCGATACTGATGTCCACCTCCGGTACACCGAGGTGTACAATCAGCAGGCGCTGGAGTTTGTCTTGGATAGGATTGGGGGGTAGAGGGGTGGGTGGAGGGGTGGATGGTGGGGTGGATGGGGAGGGGAGGGAAGGGAGAGGATAAGAGGCGGTGGAGTTGAATGATCGCTCGAAGCACACATATATTCTACATACTCAATCTCCCATTCCGTGATCTATAACTACCCTCGGGTGAGACATTGTGATGCAATCGCAGTATTACTAGTAGTATCAATGACCTCACACAGCCTCACTCACTCACGCATCGACATCGTGCCACCAATCCGCGCTTAGCCGTCAATGGATCTATCTAACCTTTAACTTACATAGCTCCCTCAATTGCAACGTCTCTTCTCCGCGAGAACCCACTCCAAAGACATGCAGTGATGGGTAGCACTCGAGTGTGATTGTGTGATGGTGGAGTAGCAAGCCCATTGTGTATTGCAATGTAGAAAGACATAGGGTCCTTCCTTAGCCACACTTCTCAGGGGTATAATATCTCCCACCCGGGAAAGGTCTAACCCCGCCGTATAACGCACCCCACCCCCCTCCGCATCCCCGCCGCATCCCACACAGCAGCCACAGGCACCACACCCACTTGTCCACCCCTTCCACTCCAAGCCCCCAAGAAAGCCTGCACGCTCCCCGTCGCAACGGGTAAATACACCGTAACGACATCATTCCCACCCCCACCCACCTGCAATGCCAGCTTCCTCACCGATTCCCCCACAGTTTCCGCATCGGCAAATACCATCTCCACCTCCCTCTTCACTGTACCGTCTTCATCTTCCTCCTCGGCAGCAGAAGCAAAACCAACCCACTCCACTGCTGCACCCCTCGGTAGCTCCGTAGCCTGCAGTACCATCAGCGGCCTCGCAGGGCAGTGAGCTTTCCACGCCGCTGCGACAGTCGGAAGCGTAGCCTCATCCACCACCCATGCGATAGCAGCGAGCGTCTCTGCCGCGCCAACGGCATCCCAAATCTTGTGTAAATGCTGCAGCGCGAGGACGCATTGCCCGCGCACATCGCTGGCGGGATGGAGCGACATCTCCGCAGGCACCAGTGGGATCTGCCCGGCTACTTCCCACCACCCGGAGGAAAGCACAGCTTGGCTGTAGGGGCCGATGTTGGCGGGGGCCCAGTAGGAGCGGCTTTGGACGTGCAGCCCCTTGCGAGGTGAGGGGGAGAGGGAGAGCGTCGCGGAGAGCATTATGTTGCGCGAGGCTGGCAGCCCAGGTACAGAAATGCAGACGCGGCTGGGTGGAAGAGGGAGCGGGAAGTAAGTGGTGTAGGCGCTGTTTATTGTGGCGAAGTCGGACATGTGGCGGAGGAGAAGGGTGATAGATGTTATGGCAGTGAGGGGATGAGGAGCGATTAGGGAGGTAAGGGTGGTGAAGACTTCGTGAAGCTCATCGATGAGGGAGGTATTTGCGGATGGGGAGACGAGGTTGGCGATGTGGAGAATGGTTGCCGTGGTTGTTGTGATGGGGAGCAGCGGGGTGTCGTCGGAGGTCTCCTGAAAAGTCTGCGGAGGTACAATGGGCACTGAAGGTGTGGGCAGTGTCTCCAGTAGCGATTCAAACTCGGGGTCGAGGATCGACGGCTGCTGCAATGCCTCCGCCCACTCCTCCTGTCGCCGCTCACCACCCTCCACTGGCTGGACGCTCGCCTCCGAGAATCCAACCCAGGCCGCACCCCCACCCTCAGAATTAACCACTCTCGCCTCCTCGGGCACGACAATCCTTCCCGTCCAGCCGGGCGCACTCACAACGAGCGTTTCATACTCGCCTCCTTCACCAGCCGGATTGATTCCCCACCTACTTTTCAACGCGCCTAACCTTGCTACCACCTCCGGATCCGCGACATTCCTCCACAGCCAGGCGTCATCCAGTCCCAACGCAGCGACCTTGACAATCTTGGCGTCGAATCCTAACGTCGCCAATTGCGCCAACACCTCCTCCTGCTCCATCCTCCACAGATACGCCAGACTGGTGAGCCCAAGCCGCGCACACACGCTCTCGATGCGCGTACGCTGGTAGGTGCTCAATATCGCGCCGGACGTCACGGCGATAACGTTCGGATGCCGCGCACGAACGGAGGATAGGAGTAGCGTGAGATCCTCTGTTTCATCCCCACTCCCCTTAGAGAAGCCGTAGTCTAGCTGTGTGTTCACGGTGCCACCGGCGATTTCCCGGCGGTACAGCGGAAGACCGAGGCATTGCGCATAGAGCGGGAGCAGCGTGTGTCCGATTGTTTGGTACATGTAGGAGTCGAGCTCATCGCTCTTCAGGGCGGCAGGGCCGAGGGAGGAGGTCGTGGACGGCTCATAGATGCTTGTGCCAGTGGCATCGGTGGAGCAAGATGTGGGGACATTGGAGGTGGTAGTGATTGGTGGGTGCAGGTTTGCCAGAGCGACGACGTTGTAGCCGTTCGCGATTGCGTGGTAAAGTGCTAGGAGACTGTCTTTCCCGCCGGAGATGAGCGCGACGGCTTCGGGGCGTGGAGTTTCCATGGTTTGTTTGGTCTGTAAGGTTTCGTTCTCACTGGACAAGCACCACGATCAATAGATTCAGTTCACTAACACGAAAGGCGGGGAAGTCTCAGCGCAGCTTTTCAACAACCACTTGTTTCTATTCTTCGTCGCAAACAACGTCTATAAAACACGCAAGAAAAGATAGAATGTACCGATCATAACCTATAGATTCATCTCCACTTTTGTAGAAAGATGCTCCTCAAACGAGACGGCATGTAAAATCAATCTTGCAATTATAAGGGACCCATCCCGAAGGATAAAGCCCCTCTGAACGACCTGTGGCTGTGGAGGAATGACCTGCCCAAGGACCGCCCTGCTTGCTGTGTGGGGACGGGGGAAACGCGCAAAAAAGAACACGGACAATCGCAAATCAGGTTCAATTGGCTTACATTGAATTGAAGTTAATATACAGGACAGGGGTAAAAAAACGAAAACGAAGATACGAAGATGCTACCGCGAGTATACGCGTGCGAGGGTGTTGGGGAAACGAGCTGTGAAGCGGGGAGGTTGATGTCGAGAGAGATGATGCAGCAGTTTTGAGCGACGGAGCCTGGAGGTTGCGGCGAATATCTTCTCGCTTACGTTAGGGTGGCTAGGGTTTGGGGCTCATAGTATCTCACCAGCGGCCAAATTCAATCAAGGATAGTACCAGGAGCTGCCAATAAGTGGGCCTCACCATTACGAATTATAAGCACTAGTCTATATTATGAGCACACTAAGCCAGATACAATGAAATGAGTGAGTGGTTGTGATTAAGTTGTATGGGGGAAAACCTGGTGAGGCAGCACTTACCCTTACACCCGAGTACATGGAAATCGTAAGAGAATAAGGTCAGCTTGCCTTTGCTCAGAAGAAACGTCTGCTGCTGACATGCTTGGCTATGTAGAGTATTCTCGCTTTGCTTTAGATCAGCCAAACCGATCACGATGGACGAGGTAGAATCCCGAGTGATTATTCATGCCCAGTCGGCTAAAATTTCTGCTAGCTGGTGACCTAATGCTTGGCACTGTGCGTCGCGTGAATAAAACCCGCTCTCTTCCACCCGTTTCTGCTCTTCTTTTTTTTTCTTCTTCATCAAAAAGTCCGAAGACAATGCCACGTCAAACATCACGATTTCTCCACGGTGTTTAGATGCCAGATTGTTCGATCCTCGGATCGTCTTTCTCGTTTTCCAGACGAATACTATTTCCCCGATAGGAAGTCCGCAGTCCGTTGAGTCCCATTTGATTGGGGCGATGGACTGTGGATGCTGATAGACGGGATACATATTTTGGTGAAGAAGCAAAAGTTTAGTTTGCGAAGATTCGGAAATCTGCACTCTATTTCTCCAGTGTGAGCTGTGTATTTGGTGTGTGCGCCTTACAGGTGGGAATGTGTAGCAATTGTCCCACAAGTGACCAAATTCCACGGTTCATAGCTCGTTTTCATCGTGGGAACTGTTCTGCATGGTGCTCCGCGGCGAAGACGGCGGGAACAAGACGTTACATCGCCGCTAAAACATCAAAATCTCCAAACCCGTATGCCCGTCCGAGACTGCCGCTGCCACCGAGCTGCTCGGGATCGGATCGGGGGAGGTAGGTAAACGAAGCATAGCGGACGCAGGGATTGGTGATCCGCGAGAGGCCGTCAATTTTTTCTTCACCCGCAGCTCGTGAGCTTCGGTCAATCAGTGCCAGCATCCGCGCAGAACCCCCACCACTCATAGGACTTCCCCCCGTACTCATCCTCCATTCGTTCGCATCGCTTCATTCTACGCCGACCGAATTGAGGTGCGAAGCGGAATATAACGATAGCGACGGCCGCCATAAGCAAGCTTTCTTTCGCTCTCAATTGCGTTGACGGAGACCGGAGATCTACGCTTCCCGCCTTACCCACCCCCCACATTCTGAGGATGTTGCGCTCGCAGATCACAAGATCTGTCCGGCCACTGCAGCAACAGCAGCAGCAATTACCCCGCCTCAATTCCTGTTCAGCTTGTTGCTCTGTGAAAGCTGTCCAACCACGGTTGCTTCTTAGATCCATACCCTTGAGAGTTCCGGGCTGCGGCAGCGTTCGATCGTTGAGCACATCCGCATTCCTGTCCACTAATAATACAACACCGATTACCTTCCCCGCTCCACCATCCTCCATCTCTTCCTCATCCACACTTCTCTCACGACCATCACGACAGCTATCTAGACCATCAACCCTCCGACCCAGAACCTTTGCGAGAAACTGCTCGTGTGCCAGAATGTGTCGTACTATGGACGGAGCTTCTGGGAGCGTTGACATCACCCAGGGACGGGAGGTGCTCCCCTCCAATGTCAAGCCGCTCCACTACGACATTGAGCTCGAACCCAACTTCAAGGACTTCAACTTCAACGGGACTGTAGCCATTGAGTGAGTCTGACTGCTTTTACGAACACTGTGGCGATGCCGGAGTGATGGAGTGATGGAGATGGAGCTTAGCTGACGATTGATGGAATTACCTAGCATCGAGATTACAGAAGCCTCCAAAGAGATCTCAGTTAATTCTCTCGAGATCGAAGTCAAGGAAACGAAACTCGAGATCAACGGGAAGACCCTGACACCCACTTCATCCATATACGATGAGGACATCCAGACCAACAAGTTCACCTTCGACGAGACTCTGCCGGAGGGTGCGAAGGCTACCTTGACCATCAAGTTTGTTGGAATCCTCAATGATAAGATGGCCGGTTTCTACCGATCATCCTACAAGGACGCCAATGGAGAGACCAAGTACATGGCTACAACCCAGATGGAGCCTACAGATGCGAGACGGGTATTGCTACAGCAGTTCCGAGCTTTCCCACTGCAGCAGAGGAGCTGACTATCCGCAGGCCGTACCTTGCTTCGATCAGCCCAACCTCAAATCGACCTGGTCCGTCACCCTGATCGCCGACAAGGAATTGACCTGTCTATCAAACATGGACGTTAAAGAGGAGAAGGATCTTGACAACGGAAAGAAGTCTGTTTCCTTCAACAAGACCCCTCCTATGTCCACCTACGTAAGCTTCCCATCTACCAAGCTATCGGTTGAGATCGCGCGGACCAGCTAATATTGTCCAGCTTCTGGCTTTCATTGTCGGTGACCTCAAATACAAGGAGACCAATGCCTTCCGTCTCCCCATCCGTGTGTACGCTACCCCCGGAAACGAGCAGTACGCCGATTTCTCCCTTGACATCGCCGCGCGCACCCTCACGTTCTACGAGAAAGAATTTGGCGTCGATTACCCTCTCCCCAAGATGGACATGGTTGCTATTCCTGACTTCTCCGCCGGTGCTATGGAGAACTGGGGTTTGATTACCTACCGTATCGTCGACCTGCTCTACGATCCCAAGACTGCCTCCGTCGACCGGAAACAGCGTATCGCTGAGGTCGTTCAGCACGAACTTGCCCACCAGTGGTTCGGTAACTTGGTCACCATGGACTTCTGGGAGGGTCTGTGGCTCAACGAGGGTTTTGCTACTTGGATGAGTTGGTACTCGATGAACGAGTTCTACCCTAACTGGAAGGTATGGGAGAACTACGTTGTCGATAACCTGGCTTCCGCCTTGAACTTGGATGGTCTGAGGAGCAGTCACCCCATCGAGGTGCCAGTGAAGAGGGTCGCCGAGATCAACCAGATCTTCGACAGCATCTCATACGCCAAGGGATCCAGTATTCTCCGCATGGTGTCCAAGTACCTCGGAGAGGAGGTGTTCATCAAGGGTGTCAGGGCTTACTTGAAGAAGCACGCCTACGGCAACACTCAGGTGAAAATTGATAGAATGTGCACTGATACAATGTATGCTGACATCGCTTGCAGACTACCGACCTTTGGGCCGCTCTTAGCGAGGCCAGTGGAAAGGATGTCGAGAGCGCCATGGCAACATGGACCAAGAAGATCGGATACCCCGTCATCACCGTCACCGAAGACGGCAAGAAGGTCCACCTGAAGCAGAACCGCTACCTCAAGACCGCTGATGTCAAGCCTGAGGAGGACGAGACTCTCTGGCCTATTTTCGTCGGTCTCAAGACCAAGGACGGAGTTGACGAGGACATCGTCTTCGAGACTCGTGAAACCACAATCGAAGTCCCTGACACCGACTTCTTCAAGCTCAATGCCGATCAGTCTGCCGTCTACCGCACACTGTACTCTCCTGAACGCCTCAAGAAGCTTGGAGAGTCGGCCAAGACTGGTCTCCTCTCTGTCGAGGACCGCGCCGGTATCCTCGGAGACGCCGGTGCTCTCGCTACCAGCGGCTACCAGAAGACCTCCGCGCTGCTGGACCTCGTTGCCGGCTTCAAGGAGGAGGAGAGCTACGTTGTCTGGGCTGAGATTTCTGCTCGTGTCTCGAGCATCAAGAGCGCGTGGCTTTTCGCTCCTCAGGAGGAGAGGGATGCTCTGAAGCAGTTCCAGTGTGATCTGATGGCACCCCTTGCCCACAAACTTGGATGGGAGTTCAAGGAAGGTGACGATGAGCTTACCCAGCAGCTGAAGACCTTGGCTTTCAGCATTGCCGGTCTCAATGGCGACCCCAAGGTCATTGAGGCGGCCATGGGCATGTTCAAGAAGTTTGCTGCTGGCGACCTCGACGCTATTCACCCTAACCTTCGTGGAACCGTCTACGGAATTGCTCTGCAGTACGGCGAGAACCAGGGTGAGAAGGAAGTGAGTTTTTATCTTCTTCTAATGGCGATATGACCCTTATGCTGACGATTGTGGATAGTGGGATGTCGTCTACAACGCCTTCAAGAACGGCCGCAATAACGACGAGAAGAACGTTGCGCTCCGATGGCTCGGTCGCTCCAAGAACCCTGAGAACATCAAGAAGACTCTGGCCCTGGCTCTCAGCTCCGAGGTCAAGGACCAAGATGTAATCACCCTCCCCGCCCCGCTCTCCCGCTAATCATCCACTAACACATAAAAGATCTACCAACCCATCTCTGGCGTCCGCTCTCACCGTGAGGGTAGCGAAGCGATCTGGGCCTGGTTCCAGGAGAACTACGAGCTGTTGATCAAGAAGCTTCCCCCGGGGCTCTCGATGCTTGGCAGCGTGGTCTCCATGTGTACCAGCAACTTCACATCCGACGAGCAGGCGCGTGAGGTTTCCGACTTCTTCAAGAACAAGGATACCAAGGGCTTCGACCGCGCGCTGGCACAATCCCTGGATACCATTGCGGCCAAGGCTAGCTGGATTGCGAGGGACAAGAAGGATGTCGAGAAGTGGCTCAAGGATAACGAGTACCTTCCTAAGGAGTACCAGCCAAAGTTGTAGATTTTACACCGTATTGATACTTGTAGTCATCACAATGAACAATAAACAAAGCGGTACAACCTGTGCCCAGCGACTTTATTACCCAAGTGATATCCATTCAATTACTAAAAATGTGTCTCACAACAAACTATCCCCTAACCTCTGTAGGCTCCTCGTCACCTTGCATCTCTCCCCCTCCTGTGATACTCGCTATGGCATAAGCGGCGGCGAGTTCTTGTTGTGCTTCGTTGGTGCTAGATGAAGGAAGTGGTTCTTCGATGTTGGGAAGAGGCATAGGCGTTGCGGGGTCATGCGTGGGGGAGCCGAACGTAGCAGCCACCGGCGCATCACTGGCAGGCGTAGACAAGGCCAGTGGAGCATCAGCAGCAGGCGTAGACGAGGCCGGTGGAGCGCCAATGGCAGGCGTAGACGAAGACGAGACCCTCGGGGCGTCATTGACCCTTTCCGTTAGCGGGGTGGCTTCACACGCGTGGTTGAGCCTATCCTCGCAGTCAGCCACCGTTCGTGTTCGCACTTCTTCACACCAGGAGAGGGAAATACCTCTCCGCATGACTACGACTGTGCGTTTGTGTCCTACACTGAAACCCGTACCAGCATTTAACCCTATCATCCTTGATTCCGTGCTGCTTCTGATACCAAATCCACCAGCGCATTAACGCGCCCTCAAAGATGTTCCTCGCGCATCCCCGACAGAGGGTTTGTTCCCGTCTCAGCTCGTTCGAGGGAATGAGTATGTGATCCACTATCATCTTGCCAATCTCTTCCCAGCTCAGCTCTTCGGGGTGAGTTTCGCGGAGGTCCTGTAGCCGCGCCTTCTCGACGGCGTTGAAAAACGGCCATGAACGATCATCGCTGACGGAGAAGAACCTCTGATCTGGCACGGCGGTGATGTAGGAAGTCTCGTTGATGCAGGTGAACATGGCGCCACAGCTGATGTCGGAGCAGACGGAACATTTGTACGGCTTCCAGTCGGTTGGCGTTGCCCGTTCGCAGAACGTGCATTTTACGTGTGCATGGAATATGCTGCTGTAGTCGTGGTGGTACGTGTCAATGGGTGGGATCGGGTCCGGGCATACGTAACCGTACGGGTTGGGCGTAACACACGTGGGACACGGTCTCCACCAGAAGTGGTTGTCCCATGGCTCGTCATCGAGTTCTTCTTCGTCTTCAGATGAGGGGGATGAGTCGGAACAGATGTTGATCTAGCCGGGGCATGTCAGTAAGATCGAATGGGGGATATGGGGGATATGGGGGGTAGCTACCTTGTCGCCTGGCTTGTAGATCGCCTTCAGCTCGTCAAGCTCCTCCTGCGGCCGTGCCTTCTCTGGAAACTTGCGCAGCAACAACCCCACCATCTCCTGCGCTCCGGAGTTGGGACGAGTCTCAACGACCTTTCCACGGCACGACGGACAGGTGTTATTCGTTTCCAGCCAACGGGCCGCGCATGATCCTGTCCGCCCCCGCATCAATCAGCCTGTCTCCCATAGCAACCTCGAGGCGGGGCGAGGAGGTATTACCACAGAAATTGTGCGAACATGGCAAGACCAAAACCGGGTCCAGATACAGCTCCGCACAGATCGAGCAGTTGAGCTGCTTCTCAAGCAGCTCCTCAATAGACTCGTCGTCGTCGTCGTTGCGGGAGGGCGGGCTGACGCGGGACGCCTTCGCCTTGTGGATCAGCTCGCTCATCTCTTCGGCGGTGGAGGATGCGGAGCGTTTGCTGCCCGTAGGACTGGTAGGACTGTCGGGCGTCATGGTGGTGACGGGGTTGGGAGTCGCCATATATGTGGTGAGGTAGTAGGTAGAGGTGGTGGAGAGAGGTGGAGAGAAGATGGGAAGACGCGCGGGGACGCGAGGTAGATGACACGGGAACCCCTCCACCTGATTTGACTGACGTACTCTACAAAGGGTTACAGCTAGCTCGATGATTGTGACTCTTACGAGAGCTGTGCCTGGACAGGGAGCTCTGGATGCTCTATTCTATGTGAGTCACAGTGTGCGGTTCCATTGGGCGCAAGATATTTTTATGGAGATTGGTATCTCTGAAGCAAAGCAGAGATCTTGCTTCTGTATGTATTTCATATTCACGGTTTGCCTGATCGTCGACTTCTCCGTGGGGGGGCGTGAGGTAACTTAGGGTGGGGCTCAACCGAGCATGTGTAGGGCTGAAAATAGACTGGTTACGTAAACCGCACAGTGATCGTTGGTGATTGAGGTTTTCTTGGCCATGAACTACGAGTACGGGTAAATAGAGTTTCGGACTTGCAGGTTGAGCTTGAGGTGAACTGCTAACCAGTGGATATCATGAATTTGTATGAGGGGCTTAGATGGTAGTTTCATAAGCGTTACGCACTTACGTATGAATTGAGTTTGAATTGTATTCACGCATTGGGTTGGGGCGCGCGACACCGGCGGATCCAAGGTGCCCGGTTCGAAGCTCCCCAAATGCCGAAGGACTGGTTGTGGCGCTTTGTGGCTAAAGGCCAGCGAAGCCACTTCTGCATTAGACTTCCACTTAGTTGCTGGTAGCGTGCCGGTTTCTACGCGCAATCCCCTGATTTTCCATTTCGCGCAGCCGCATCTGTGCAACCCCATCCACATCCACACCAACCACTCACTTCTCACCAACATCACCACAACAAAATCCCAACTCCAAGAACGCACCCTTCACAACAACACGACAAGAACGACCCACCTACGTACCGCCTCTTCCCCCGCCAAAATCAAACACGCGGATCCGACAATGACGGACTTTATCCCCGCGGACGAGATGAAGCCCGAGTTCGTGGAGTTTGAGAAGGCGAATCGCGTCGTCATTGAGGATCCCGACGACTTCGAGTCGTGGGAGAAGCTTGTACGGATCGCCGAGACATTGGAGGGCGGGTTGAACAGGAATAGCTCGCCCCAGGCTATCGCGCTCACTCGTGGCGTCTTCGATCGGTTTCTAGCCAAGTTCCCGCTGCTGTTTGGATACTGGAAGAAGTATGCCGATATGGAGTTCAGCATTGCGGGGACGGAGGCGGCGGAGATGGTGAGTGCTGGAATGACCGCGCGATAAAGAAAAGCGGGCTGACGGATCTAGGTCTACGAACGAGGAGTCGCCAGCATCGGCATTTCAGTCGACCTCTGGACCAATTACTGTGGCTTCAAAGTTGACACTAGCCACGATCCGGACATTATCAGAGAGTAAGTTTTGTGTTATCTGCTAGCAATTTGCAGCATTCCATGGACATGGCGTACTCCGTGTTACGCTGCAGTTCTTCGTCTCCTAATTCCTCCCTTCCACCCTCCACCCCCTCCCCACAGCCACAGGCCTGTCTCCTCTCCCTCCCTCTGCATCTCACCCAAAACACATAGCTATGTACTCCGGCGTTCGAACGAAACCAAATTAAAGGGATCTACTGGTGAGCTGCTATATCAGAACCAGCCATCCGTCATTATGTGGTCTCACATCATCGTCCCAGACTCGTTGCCCTTTCCTTAGCCTCCACCGTCGGCACACACAGAACACCGAGATTGAGGGTCGGAAGCTTGTCATTGAATGCTAATCTTCCCGTATTTGCTCTTTCTTTCCATTCTTCCCTTGCTCGACCCTCACGGCAATCCCCTTCCCCTCTGGCTCGAAATTAAGCTAACTCCGAGTGCCTACAGACTCTTTGAGCGTGGAGCCAATGCCGTCGGTCTTGACTTCTTGTCGCATCCTTTCTGGGACAAATACATCGAGTTCGAGGAACGTCTCGAATGTGAGGATAAGATCTTCGCTATCCTAGAGAGGGTGGTTCACATTCCGATGCACCAATATGCCCGCTACTTCGATCGCTTCAGAACGCTGGCGCAGACCCGGCCTCTGACAGAGCTTCTTCCTGAGGACACTTTGGCTCAGTTCAGACAGGAGGTTCTTGCCGACCCGCCTCCAGCCGTGCAAGCTGGCCAGCAGCAGATCAAGATGGAACGTGGTGAGCTCGAGGTTGAGCGTGAGGTCCGGTCTCGGATCGACAACTTCCACCTTGAGATCTTCTCGCGCACACAGACCGAAACTACAAAGCGATGGACGTACGAGTCTGAGATAAAACGACCCTACTTCCACGTCACCGAATTGGATGAGCCACAGCTGGTCAACTGGCGGAAATACCTGGACTTCGAGGAGGTTGAGAGCGGATTCGAAAGGGTTTCTTTCCTATACGAGCGGTGTCTCGTCACTTGCGCCTTCTACGACGAGTTTTGGTACAGGTTCGCAAGGTGGATGTATTCGCAAGAAGGTAAGGAGGAGGAGGTACGGAACATCTACCAGAGAGCTAGCATGATCTTCGTGCCCATCAGCCGCCCGGGAATACGGATCCAGTACGCCACATTTGAGGAGTCGCAGGGTAGACCGGACATGGCGAGAGCCGTCTATGAGTCTGTCCTGGAATGTAGTAAGTCGATTGCCCACGTAGTATCGATGTTTTGGTACTAACATCTGTGCAGTTCCTGGTAGCATTGAAATCATCGTCGCGTGGGCCAATTTCGAGCGTAGACAAGGTGGGCTCGAATCAGCGATTGCCGTCTACAGATCTCAGCTGGAGAGCGACAAGTGTGATATCTACACTAAGGGTGCACTCACAGCTGAGTGGGCACGGTTGCTGTGGAAGGTTAAGGGAAGCGTTGAGGAGGCACGACAGGTGTACCAGAAGAACACCAGCTGGTACCTCGACAGTCGGTACTTCTGGATCAACTATCTCAACTTTGAGATGGAGCAGCCCACCAGCGCCGAGACAGAGCAGGCGAACCACGAGCGGATACGTCAAGTCGTGGATGACATCCGCAAGAAGAGCCACCTGCCGCCGCTTACCATCAAGGATCTTTGCCACCACTACATGGTTTACTTGATGGAGCGAGGCTCCAAGGACGCCGCAAAGGAGTTCTTGCTGATGGACAAAGAAATCAACGGGTATGTTCAGGTTCCTCCCGATGGCTTCGTTTGTCGCATTGCTAACTCGCCCCGACAGTCCTTTCTCTGTCCAATCTGTAGCCAAAGCCAAGCTTGCTGAGGACGGAAAAGAGACCACCACAAACCGCCGAATGATGCTCGAGAATGGCCACCCCGGTGTCGAGGTCGATGAGGCGGCCATCCGACGAGGAGAGAACCCCTATACCAAGTACTTTCAACAGCAAGGCGAAAACCCTCTCACAACAAACGGCCAGGTGAGTCGTCTCACGCCGGAAGCCTCAGCAATGCGTCTCTGATTCGGGTCCACTGTCGCTTCCAGATCGCTTCGACACAGACATGAAGAAAAGAATTTCCGTCTATGTAAGCTAGCCCTTCACCTAGTTGGCCTGGCCCGGGTGCCGCCTTCCCTTGTACCTGTAGTTCTTTGTTTCCTAGTAATGTGTTTCTATCCCTGTTCCGCAATCATCATTCACCCCGCCTTCTCATCACCACAGTTTCTTCTCAAAATACACATGCTCCCCGCCCCTTTTCTGGTCCCTTTTTCTTCTTTGATGTTGTGCCTATCGTTGTGTGCGTAAACAAGGGGAATTCATTGTGTTGCTTGTACCCGTAATCGTGAAGATGTCCCAAAAATGCTGTGATGTGCGGCGCTGTGGGTTTGCTAGTGAAATGCAGAATTAAAGTATTTCTGTAAAAGAATATTGAGTTTCCCAGAAGTATGCTAGCAGCTAGAGTAGAAACCCAATCGCGCTAACCATATGTGGGGGCGAGTACCTCATGTGCGGGTTCGCAGCACTATTCTGACCTCACTCGCATCAAACGCGTTTACCCACCATCCAGACACCCATCATGTCCAAACGACCAGCCGACGAACCGCTCGGAACTCTTGAGGAACAACAGGAGCAACCGCTTACTCCCAAGCGAGCCCGCGTTGATGACACCGACGACGAGAGCTATCCACCACCTCCACCACCTCCACCGCCGGCGGAGGAGCACGAGGATACGGACGAGGAGGGGGAGGATAGCGCGTATGCTGCTTTCGTGGAGGATTCACACCAGGGGCCTGCGGAGGGATTCTCAGATCTGTATCTCGACACGATTGATAGGTGGGGGAGCGCTTATCCATCCGGAGGGAGGAAATCTTCGTGCTCGTTGCTGACCTTTGGGATGCGAGTACCTAGGAAACTGCTAGATTTCGGTACGACAACAACTACCACCAACCAGGCAGTTTTTTTCCGCGGCCGTATCAATGCTGATGTGTCTGTCTTAGATTTTGAGAAACTCTGCTCGGTATCGCTCTCGAACATTAATGTCTACGCGTGTCTCGTCTGCGGCAAATACTTCCAGGGCCGCGGCCGCAGCAGCTACGCATACACTCACTCGCTCGACCAGGACCACCACGTTTTCATAAACATGGCCAGTCTCAGAGTGTATGTCCTACCCGAGAGCTACGAGGTGATGAACAAGACGCTAGACGACATCAAGTATGTAGTTAATCCTACGTACTCGAGGGACGATGTAAAGAAGTTGGATACAGAGGTGGCGACGAAGTGGGATCTGGGGAAGAAGAAATATATACCCGGTAAGATACCTCTAGAGGTTGGAATGGGGGTGACAGTGGGAATGAAGTGCGGCTGATTCGTGGTAGGTTTTGTCGGTCTCAATAATATCAAGCAGAACGACTACCTTAATGTTGTCGCACATGCGCTGGCTCATGTTCCACCACTACGGAATTTCCTCATGCTTGAGGATCTCACTTTCAAGCCTGAGCTCGGTTGGTCTCCTTCTGGTCCTGTGCTCACGGTAAATGCTAATGGCATGCAGCACAACGTTTCTCCACTCTCGTCCGCAAGATCTGGAATCCCCGCGCCTTCAAATCTCATGTCTCGCCGCACGAACTGCTACAAGAGATCTCCCTGCGCTCATCCAAGAAGTTCACGCTTCTCTCTCAATCCGACCCAGTCGACTTCCTCCACTGGTTCCTCAACAACCTCCACCTCTCACTCGGCGGATCCAAGACGAGGCCCGGGTCCTCCATCATCCAAAAGGTGTTTCAAGGCAAGCTGAAGATGGAATCGCAAGCGATCACCGCCAAGGCCGATGCCTCTGACCGCCTCCGCTTCGAAGAAGCCGGCGAGATCAAAACGGACATTGCGCGCTTCCTAATGCTAACGCTCGACCTCCCACCGAAACCCATCTTCAAGGACGAGCAAGACAAAAACATCATCCCACAAGTACCGCTCACCACGATCTTGAGCAAATACGACGGGCTACACTCGCAGGAGCTGCTCGGACAGCGACGACGATACAGACTACTCCACCCAATGCCTCCGTACCTGATTTTCCACGTCAAGCGCTTCGCAAAGAACAAGTTTGTCGAGGAGCGGAATCCTACGATTGTGACGTTCTCGCCCCGCGCACTAGATATGAGTCCGTACATCGAGCCGTCGGAGGGACATCCCGGTGGTGAGCCGGTGCTGTATGATCTGATCGCGAATATCACACATGAGACGGTCGTCGAGGCGGGGAAGAAGGAGGGCGAGCTGAGGAGTGTCTTCAAGGTGCAGCTGCTCGAGAAGGCGAGAGGCGAGTGGATGCAGATTCAGGACTTGTTTGTTGAGGAAGTCGCTCGGGAGCTGTTGTTTACCAGCGAAAGCTATGTGCAGATCTGGGAGAGGAGGCGGGTGGTCGGGAAGGGGAAAGGGAAAGGGAAAGCGTAGATGTGGTCGATAGATTACATAATTTATTCTACATACCTACATAGACAGGAATTTACAGTCCCAGCACTGCGGCTTAGCGGCGATATCCGAGTGACGAATTGGTCATCTTTCTAGCGTGTGTGCCGGGTAAATTTCCAGAAGTCGCGAGAAGCGAGAAGCGACGCCGCGACTCCCAGCACCACCAGCACTGTTGTTCGGACAGACGACACCACAATCATCCGCCACCTTACTTCAACCTCACGTTTCGCCTTAACTTTTACTCCTGACCCAACCCAGCGATCCACGAACGAGCGGTATCCTAATCTCCTCCCACGATGGCCAACTACCTCGCCTCCATCTTCGGCACAGAGCAAGACAAAGTCAACTGTAAGCCACCTTTACTGTCACCATCCACTCCGTCCTTCCTCCCTCCAATCCCTCCTGTGACCGTGGCTAACCCCCCCTGGCACCTATGTAGGCTCGTTCTACTACAAGATCGGTGCGTGCCGGCACGGCGACCGGTGCAGCCGGAAACACGTGAAGCCGTCGTACTCGCAGACGATACTACTGCCGAACCTGTACCAGAACCCAGCGTTCGACCCAAAGAACAAGATGAACCCGTCGCAGCTGCAGAACCACTTTGACGCGTTCTATGAGGACTTCTTCTGCGAGATGTGCAAGTACGGCGAGGTCGAGGAGGTCGTCGTCTGTGATAACAATAACGACCGTACGTCTTACTTTTTCCGCGGGGGGCGAGGGGAGGGTGTGCTAACGGGTCTGAGGACGGGTAGATCTCATCGGCAATGTGTACGCGCGTTTCAAATACGAGGAGGATGCGCAGTCGGCGTGCGATGCGCTGAATGCGCGATGGTACGCGGCGCGCCCGATTTACTGCGAGCTCAGTCCCGTCACGGATTTCCGCGAGGCGTGTTGTCGCCTGAACTCGGGCGAGGGCTGTGTGCGAGGCGGGTTCTGCAATTTCATCCATCGCAAGGAGCCGAGTAAGGACCTTGAGCGCGAGCTCGAGCTCAGTATGAAGAAGTGGCTCAAGATGCGCGGAAGGGATAAGAGGAGCGTCACGCGCTCGCCGAGTCCGGGAGGGACTAAGAGGAGAAGGGGTGAGGAATAGGCAGTGCGATGGGATGGGCGAGAGGGGGCTGTAGGATACCGGGATAATGTGATTGCAATGATGGGGGTGGTTCCTTCATGGTTATGACTTCTTGGCCTATTCGCTGTGAATAGTATGTATTGAGACAACACAACTACCGAGTCCAGGTCGGCCGCCTGCATTGACTCCAAGGATGGCGGGTAGATACTCGAGATCTAACCGGGATCTACAGAGTACACTACATGTTTCCAACTACCAAAACCAACTGTGACCGCCGATGGCTGTTCTACATGCCAAAAGCCGATCACCACTTGTAGATTTCGCGAACTGGGTGAGAGCGGAGCCAGTCCTAGGGCGTCGGTCGAGCCCGAGCTGGGTCCGGAAACTAGACGCATTGCGTTGCTGTCCTCCGAGCCGTGTCTATGCCTCTCCACCCTCTACCCTCCGCCCTCTACCCTCCGTAGTCTTCACGCCTTCACTCATCCAGCACCTCAAACCCCACTCTCCACCACAAACTGCAGCCTACACAGCCCACGACGACCTCCCTCCCGCCCTCCTCCGCCGCCTGCTCCAGCTCCACCTCTTCGATAACAAACCCCTTCTCCTCGCCACACCGACACGATTTCACATACCTCCCGCCACCCCCATCCCCATCCTCGTCCTCCTCTTCGTACGTAAACTCGTCTAGATCCACCGTTTGCACGACCTCGCTCCCCGCCGCTCTGGCAGCGGAAGTGGAAGTGAAGGAAAGCGTGAGCGTCGCGTTGTATTCCTGCCGTAGGCCGGGCGAGGAGAGGGTTTTGTAGGCGGTGGTGATCTGGTCGACGCTCGGGGGTGGGGCACTGGTGCTACTGCTGGTGCTGGTGCTGGTGGGGGTGGGGGAGGGGGCGCTGCGCGAGTGCTTGTCTGGGTGGTGCCGCAGGAGCGCCGCGTGGTAAGCTTTCTTTATTGCCGCCGCGGGCAGCACTGCCGGTGGCAGCGGCAGGCGCAGGAGCGTGTAGTAGTTGTTGTTGTTGACATCTTCCGGGTGTGTTGATTGTGTTTGTGGTGGTGGTGGTAATGGTGGTGGAAGTGGGGGGGAGGGGCGGGTCATTGGGGGCTGCTGCTGTGAGTGAGTGTTCTTGAAACTTTCTCCAAAACCCCCACCACAACGCAACGATCGATCCGATCGCGGGATGCGTGCGTGCGATTGGCTTGGCGCGGAGGGGCGGAGGGTCACCGTCCAGGACGGTGATCGACGCGGTTGATTAAGTGAGCATAATAAACCGTTTCGAACGGGAAACTGACTGGACCCTTTTTTTCTGCCGTTTTTTTCCACCCTGGCTGCGTCACCTCCAGTCAGCGATCGTGAAAAAATCACAAGAATTTTCTTCTATCTTCTTTCGTTCCGTTCAATTATGGAGCTTGTATGTTTGGTGGATGACACAGCCTAGATACGGGATGCTTGCTGGTCTCGCTGGTCTCGCTGGTCTGGCTGGTCTCGCTTGACCTCGGCTTTGCGCCTTCGGCGAAGGAAGGGGGGGTCTGGATCGCTGCACTTATAAACCGAGTTACCTAGAGTACGGTACTGGTCTGAGCTTTGCCTTGCGGGGTGTGGCCGTGCCTTACCGAAGTGGTCGAGCATCGATCGCTACTCTACTTATGATATGGGACCATTGATATGATCTGTTGGTTCGTGTTTCGTTTTGATCCATCAATCAATCAATCAATCAATCAGTCAATCAGTCGGTCAGGGGGTGTGCGGGTGTTCGCAGCAGCCGTAAACAGGTGATTCTTGAGTTCAATGGATCTGAAGCTGAGTTTTGGAGGAGATGGAGGAGGGACGGGGACCACGACGAGGACGAGGAAGCTTCCATGAAACGTGCCGAAGCTGGGGAACCCTAGCTGCAGGGCTAGCGTTCACAGCTGAGTAATTCCTCTCCGGACAGCTTCCGACTCGACCATCTATCGGATGGTGGGGACAGGACAGGCCAGGACAGGGAGTGGGGGGAAAGGGAGGGAAGGGACGGGTGGGGTGTATGTACCGTAGTTTGTACCCGTATATATAGGTGCCAATATCCCCCGGCCAGCAGCCATTCCTTCCTATCTCCATATCCCCCACCCATATCACCACATCACATCACCATGGCATCCGTAGCACGAACACTCTTCCGCAGCACTGCCCGCGCCGCTGCCCGGCCACAGCTCCTGGCCTCTCCCATCCGCCAGGGTGCTCGTCGGAGCTACGCCAACGCCTCTGGCTCCGCCGGCGGATCGTCGACAGGACTGTTTGCTGGTCTGGCGGCCGCCGCTGCCGCCGCCGGTGGCGGTTACTACCTCTACAGCAATGGACAGCTGGGACCGCTCAACAATAAGCAGGCTACCCCCACCATTCTGAAGCCTACAAAGGAGGACTACCAGAAGGTGTACAATGACATCGCCGAGCTGTTGGAGGACAATGACTACGATGATGGATCCTTCGGACCTGTATGCCACCCCCATCCCCCATCCCCCATCCCCCCTCGTCATTGCCACCCGAGCCCAAGCTAACGCAAGTGTCCGATACCCAGGTCCTCGTCCGCCTCGGCTGGCACGCCTCGGGCACCTACGACGTAGAAACGAAGACCGGCGGCTCGGACGGAGCAACGATGCGGTTCGCGCCAGAGAGCGACCACGGCGCGAACGCGGGACTGAAGGTGGCGCGCGACCGCCTCGAGCCCGTCAAGCAGAAGCACCCGTGGATCTCGTACTCGGACCTGTGGATCCTTGCTGCCGTCTGCTCGTTGCAGGAGATGGGAGGTCCCAAGATTGCATACCGCCCCGGACGCTCGGATAAGGACGTGGCTGCTTGCACGCCTGGTTAGTATACCCACTCTGGATGGATGGATGGTTGTGGTGTGGTGAAAATGGATGGATGGGGGCTGAAGATTGCTGCGCAGATGGACGTCTTCCCGACGCCTCGAAGACGCAGGACCACCTCCGCAACATCTTCTACCGCATGGGCTTCAACGACCAAGAGATCGTAGCACTCGCGGGGGCACACGCTTTGGGGCGGTGCCACAAGGACCGCAGTGGCTACGATGGGCCGTGGACCTTCTCGCCGACGATGTTGACGAACGACTTCTACCAGCTGCTGCTGAACGAGAAGTGGAACTGGCGCAAGTGGAACGGCCCCAAGCAGTATGAGGATAAGGGCTCCAAGTCCTTGATGATGCTGCCCGCCGATATCGCACTCATCCAGGACAAGGTCTTCCGGAAGCATGTAGAGCGCTACGCCAAGTCCCAGGATGAGTTCTTTAAGGACTTTGCCGCAGTCATTGAGAAGCTGTTTGAGCTCGGTGTGCCGTTCAAAGAGGGCACTGAGAAGTGGCACTTTAAGGCCACTACTGACGAGTAGAGGAGGTGGGGATGAGGGATGGGGAAAGGAAGTGTGATTTTCCTGTGGAAGATGGTTCTTGTTTTTATAGCGATTGTTCGAAGGAGGAGTTTGTTCTTGTTGCTAGCATGGAATACCTATATCGCCACCATCATCATAATCATCATCATTGCATGCAATTGACTGCCCAAAACTCATCAATTCAATCCACTCATCACCCTCATCCTCATCATATGGCAACGGAATAGTATTCACTTCGCACACGGACACGCAACGCTATGATACTATACAATCTCATCTTCATCATCTTCAGAAGTGTCTCCCCATTTCAAAATCTCAGCCCAGTTTTTAATTGCCGTCGCAGAACCAATAAAAAAACCAAATGCAAAGAAAGAATAGAAATTACCCGAGAGTTATGTATGATATGTAGTAGCCGTCGTCGTAAGTTCCACACTGTACTGTCTGTCTGTCTGTCTGTCTGCCATCCACCCTCTCCCGGCCCACCCACCCAATTCCCATCGGCCTTCGGTAGATTTGAGGGTAGATTGGGATAGATAGATATGCAATCAGTCATCGTCATCATCCTCCATCTCCATCTCGGCTTCTTCTCCATCATCTGTGTATTGCATTGTCAGTTAGCCGTCACTCCAATCACCCGTCCCATCACCCCCCCCCCCTCTCTCTCTCCCCATCCACCCCACCATCACCCCACCATCCACCCATCCCATCCATCGGGGAGTCAATCGAGAACATACCACTATCCTCCTCCCTCAGCCTCTTCTGTCCGGTGACCGCGTCCGCGGCGGGGCTCGCTGCCGCACCCCCAGCCGCCACGGTCGCACCACCAGCACCAGCACCAGCCGTAGGAGCAGATCCAGGCAGTGGCACGAACGGCTTCCCGTCCGCGCCGTCTATGCCCGCCGCCGCAGCCGCCGCCGCAGCCGTCCCCGGCATCCGGAAGGTGCCGTCGTACTTCGCAATCTTGTGGGATTTCGTTTTCGCGTAGGCAATTTTCTGTGTGCGTAGGTCCATCAGCCCGTGCTCGTGCCTGGCTGTCGGGGGTGGGGAAGGGGGGGGGGGGGGGACAAACCATCTCCCTCCCGAAGACATTAAACCCCTCCAGGGCGCGCATCGCCTGAGTAGCGGAGGGGACATCTCGGAACGCGATGAACGCCTGTCCGCGGTTCTGTGCGGTCTTTGAGGCGACCACGTCGATTACTACCCCGTACGTTGTGAACAGCGTGTACAGCGATAGCCGAAGGTCTTGCTTGTTGATCTTGTCGTTGAGGTTGCGCACGTACAGCGTTTGGTTGGGCGCGTTGGTCTGCGACATCGTGGTGGTGTTGCGTCGTCGTTGGAGTGCGGCCCCGGTGAGGTCGTCGGAGTCAAGGTGGGATTGAGGGTGGGTTGGGGGACGTGACGGGCGGGCGGGGGAGGGGAAGGGTTAAGGAGGGTTACCCGGGGTGCTGGGGGATGTGACTTCGATGATACATAGAAAAGTTGCGGCGGCTACTTTCGAGTTTACTCACGGTCACTCGAGAGCCTCGGATCCGATGGAGGTAGAAATAGTCACAATTCTCAAGAACGAACCACAGATGCCACAGAGGAAACAAAAAAACAAGATGGTAACTGAGTGATGCCCCCCATTAAAGGTCCCCCTCCCTCTTCATCCACCCAAAGGAAACAAGCAGCTTCGCATCCATATCTAACCGTACACCAAACGGAAGACGTCGTTGCGAACGTAGTAGCTACCCGCCCTGGAGATCAGGTGGAAGGACTGGCAGTAGTTCTGGGGGTTCTGTTCCTCGTCGAGCTGTAGGTGTGAAACGGTTTTAGCGATCTGCACCCACAACGGGAGGAGGGAGAGGGAAAGAGGTCATACCAGCAGCTTGCCAGTAACCATGACGAGAAGGCTACCGTCGGGACCGGCGGGCTGAGCATCGAGAGTGGCGACTTGGTGTTTCACCTTCTGGAAAGGCAGGCTCTGAACGAGATCGTGTGTCAACTACTAGTAAATCGCTCCGCGGACTACCGAACTTACCATCAACTTCTCGACAATCGCAGTGACACCTTGGACCTGGTTGGTCTCAAAGGTGAGCATCGACTCCTCGGCCTATGTTCAACCCCCCATCAGCCTCGTTCCTCCTCCCTGCTGGCTAGTGAGCCGGATGGTACGGCGTTCATACATAGAGAGGGGCGAGCGCCGCGCGGTCCGTGTCGAAGGTGGAGTAGTAGTAGTCGGTGAATTGCTCTATCCACTCTGTCAGATACCCCCTTTCCTCCTCATCCAGTCCTTGAAGCCGAAAAACATACGAGCAATACTGGCGACGGCTGCCACACACGCATAATCATCAGCAACCGGCATAGACCTTCCTTCCCTCCTTCCTCCGCCGGGAAACAAAACTCACTGTCCATTTTGACGGGGTTTGGTATGCTGATCACGATTTGAGAGAGGTGTTGGGGAGTATCGGTGGGCTGGTGTTGGTAGGAGACGAGGTGTACGGGCACGCGAAACTGAGGGTGGGGCAATTGAGGGGTTGTGGCTGGTCCCGAAGAGCGGCAGCGCCAAGCCGGCCTCTGGTTGGCTGGCTGGGTTCGTACCTACATCACACGTCAAGTACGACAACCGCGCCACATACCGCACATAGAATGAGGATCCGAGGTGAGCTATGATGTTTTTGGGAGGCTGCTCATCGTCTGCTGTGCTTCTTCGACTTCTATGTACAACCACCGGCATAACTCCGGATTGGCTCCATGATTAGTGCTCAGAATAAAATAAAGTTCGAGAGTGGGGCATATAAAGCCTGCCTTCATCTCTGCGTCTCACTCCGTCCATTTCAGTTCACTTCGCTCCACCATCTCGCTGCCGGAGGGCGTGCGAACAACCGAAGTAAGTCCTTTCTCCACTTCCCATCCACAACCCTGCTGCCATATGATGTTCAAAATAAACGATAACTTCTGAACCCCCATGAAGTCACACTATACCCTGATTATCCGCTTGCTTTCTTTCCTACGGCTCCACTCTTCCACTGCTACACTGAGCCGCGTTGACTTGGAGATTTACCAGGCGGGTACGTGTACCTATACCTACGGACGGTGTTGTAATCTCTTGCCACCTACTAGTAGTCCTATTTGAAGCGTCTTGGAACGAGCAGAAGCACGTCTCCGAGGTGAACGGGTATTCATGTCGCTAAGATCTATTGGGCAGCGTGGCTTGGAATTGATAAGAAGGGTGTGCTGGCCAGAAGTGTAAAAAAGGGGAGCATCTATCGGTGAGCTTTAGGCCCCTGTTTCTCCAGGACCGCCGTGACCACCGTAACCATACCAACGTCCAGGCGATGCTGATCGCCGCCGGACCAGAGAACAAGAGCGGCCGCTGGAGATGAGCGGTGCCCTAGTCTCTCTTAGAATCATTGCTATGTTTGGCCAACGTCGGTGAGAAGGTCGCTCTCGAAGTTCGAATAGGTTCTTCAGAATCAGGCGGATATTGATGGACCATATGCATGTTTTGTACATTTGTGACCAGCACACGCTGAGCCACCCTCATCCTATCTGTTCGCAAACTGCGCTACCTAATAGATCTCGACGGCATGAGTAGGTAGGTCGGGCTGTCGGGATGGAAGAGCACGTCGAATCACTCCATCTACCTATATCACCCGCCACTGTGTCCACTCTCCGTATCAGAAAACCGTTGTGATTAACATTGTCGCCTCTTACCTACACATGGGCCCAAGCAGAGCTAATAGTTTCCTGCCCACGTCGAACCATAGAACTTTTCGAGCTCTTGAATCTTCTTCGCGGGCTCTCATATCCCGAGTGGTGTACCGTGATCCGATGGCATAAAGCCATTGCTTTTAGGTGCATATCAGGATTTCAGCATGCAGCATAAATTGTTGTGCGGGTATGTAGCTATCCCTCACAGACGCGCATCTGCGGGGGACGATCCTAATAATCCTATCCAGGAAGTTGTTCTGCACTGAGCCCATCCAACGACTCCAAGGAGCTCATCCATACCAGTACATCTCCCCACCGCCGAAAGACTTCCGAATGGCTGGCTGACTTTCCCTCTCAAACGTTTCCTACGAGATCGTCATAATAACTTGTGACTGTCTCAGCATCCGATATATATCCTCGTTCGCCGTCAACGCCTTCATACGTCTCCTCCTGCTCCTCCCCACCCCGAACGCTGGCATCCTCTCCCACCCGCAGCCTTAGTCTTAGTCCTCTTCCAACCCCCTTCCCTCTTGGCCGTGCAAGCCAATTATGCGATCCTCTCTGTCGTGCGCCACAGTGTTTGGGGAGCTCACCTTGTGGTGTCACCGTCACGACGAGACGCCGGCGGGCGATAGTTAAACGCCCCCTCCCCCTCCCCTCCATCCGCTGCCCTTTCCCCACCCGCTGCCCTACCCCACATCATTCTCCTCTCGCTCTTCTCTCGCTACCACCCCATCCCCACCTCCATCCCCATCCACTTCCCCTTCCCCTTCCCCCCATAGCGACGACAGGTTTACGATTCGTTTCGGCATACACATATATAGCCGCAAGGTATTACGTCGCCCGTGATGATTGGACTTGGACACCAGGCATAACTACATAAAGTTAGTTGGTGGCACGTCCATCTCCGCCCTGCCAAGTCTCGCTTAACCTAACGCCCATAAGTTACAAAGGCGCACCACCCCTGTTGCACATCTCCCGTTGACACACGCCATGGGGTTTGGAGTTTGGATAATTTTACGGGGCTTTTGACTGCTTGATTATGGATATTCCCCCAGACCCCCAGTGTGGGATGAGCAGGGTGAGCGGGCTGAGTGCCTGGGGTGCGTACAGTTCCGCTGGAGATGCTGTCGCTGCGATGGTTGAGTGTCGGTGGGCGATGGATGCTGGTGTACGATGGATGCTGGTGTACGATGGTAGAGAGAGACGAGTCCCATCTGGAGACGACAAGTCGACGATCGTATGTACGTACTCTACGCACGTAGGGTTGATCGCAAGATCGTCACTGCAAACCACGATTATATGTATGTACCTATACTAGTAGAACGGCGCAGTGGTGATCGAGACATCATGCGGGGTTCAGACTCCATAAGGATTTCGGGGATTCAAAGTTCAAATCATCCCCCCCCCATGCACCGCGAGAATGCCACGCCCACGCCCACGCTCACGTCAAGCACCGATGTACTCACCGGTATCGCCCGTTGAAACGGTGAAACGAAACCGAAACTGTGTTGCTCGGGAAACAAAGTTTGGATACTTCATACTCTGTCTATTTTTACGTGATCGTGAACACTGAACACTGAACACTGATATCGACGCCCGACCGGAGTTATGCAGGTACGGTACGTGCGGGCTTAAGTAAGGGCAGCTCTTCCTTGAGGCTTGCATGCGGAGTGAATGGCTTGAGTGGCTTGCCGGCAGCTGGCGTCGCGACTCGCCCGGCCCTGTAACAAAAGTACGCGGCTGTAAGGCGCACGGCGCATGGCGCATGGAGCCAGGGCTTTGGGAGTCTGGGAGTCTGGGACCTTGGTGGTGCCGCTGGGCTGCTGGGTGTGGGTTGTGGGACGTGGGATGTGGGATAAGCCACCAGGGCTGCGATACCGTAATTCTGCGCCACGGCAGTAAGTTGTAACTTGTAACCAACCATCGGAACCACAGGTCCGCAACGGAGCGAAAACACCACCCATATTTCCCATGTAACTCGTTGTTCTCACTCGATCTTACCCGCAGCCACTTACATACTACTATGGATTTGCATATACGAGATGCATGCTCCCGCCAAGCCACGCCCGGAAACCCCCCGGAAGCCCCCCGGAAGTGTTCTGACTCTCTGAGCCAACCGGGCGGCGCCGCGGCGGGCGTGCATGTTTATACATACTACATATAGTGCCGCCGTGCCGGACCGGTCAAGGGGGCAGAAATGAGAAATGAGAAAAACTGCTAGTTAAGTTAATGCCGTCGACGCGCGTCGCTTCCGATGGCTGCCGTTGGACGCGACGGTGCCCGGGGGACGGGGAATGGTCAACGGAGAAAGAGAGAGGAGGCGAAGGCGTATGAAATCATGGAATGGAACTCGGCGGAGAATTATTGCCAAGCATATTATCTAACCATCATTGTCGTCGTCGGCGGAGGCCTGAAAGCGTCGAGAAAGCGTCAGAAAGGGATACATACAGATTGTTGAGGCAGTGCTCACATGCGAGCGAAACGATTACGCTCCGCTAACTACGGTAGAGTACGGCGGACAAACCCTGTTGCCTAGAGTAACGTGCGAGCTGCAAGCAAACCTCTGGTTGCATACAAAAAGGACTGTGGAAGTTTGACTCCGGCGTGCGGCGTTGCAGTAGAGTGCTATATAGTGGCTACAGACGCATGATAATCTTCGTGATTGGAAGAAGGAAGAAGAAGAAGGGCCAGATGTTTGAATTTCGATTCCTCCTCCACTACCGCCACAACGCCTAAAGATAGCTGTGTAAACTAGAGCACAACTTGCGAACCGCTAGGAGATCCAAAACTTCACACGCAAACTACCCGGCCCTCGGGTGGGCCAGCTTGCGGACGCTGACCGTGGGCATGGCCATGGGGCAACTGCAGCTGGACATATGTAGATACTCGCCGGTGAATGGCGGGCTAACCGTGGCGCCTATGGACCTCGCTTGCGGTGTGCAGACAGAGTTACCGCAAACCCCTCTCTATGTAGATTCGGGCTTGATGGACCGTATGTAGTGAGGAAGTATTTACGTGAGGATGTCGATTTAGACGAGCGATTGCTATTAGTTAATGTATCTACTCTAATCCGCTCCGACTCGGTGTCCAAGTCATAATCAGCACTCCATACGGCCGCAGCAGGAGAACACCGGTGCACCGAAAGCTGCAGCCAGTTGACTGTGAGTTTACATACCAGCTAGCCGTACGCGGCCGTGCGCGGCCATGCGACTGGCGTCCGTCGTCTCGTCTCGTATCCGGACTCGGAACGAAATCCATTCTGCGATGCTGGTTCTCCTGGAGCGGCTTTTCTTTCTTGTCTTTGGCTTGCATGGGGTGGGAGGTGAGGCTGAAAAGCAGGAGCCAGGCTGCAGGCTGCCCTGTCTATCCCAGACAGCAGTGAAGAACAACCGCTTCCTCGAGTGTCCACTCATTTCCCGGCCGGTCAACCTCCCCCCCTCCCCCCTCCCCCCTCCCCCCCCCCAGTGCCATCCCCCAGACAACCCTTTTCCCATTCAAAAAAGAAACAACACAACTGAGCGCACACCCTTCCCTGACGCCTGCTTACCACCTTTTTTTTCCACCTCCTGCGTCTTACATACTCTGCTATACAACTCCGCTTCTGTCACGTATAACGAACAGACACGCCCATCACCCCCTCCCACCCATCAACCTCCCCCCCAAGACATCTACTACCGGCACTCATCAACGAACGATCCGATACATACAACCCCCTCACCACCCGGAATAATAACCTCGCTATCAACCACTCCCGCAACATCACCACCTCCAGTCTTCTCGTCTACCTAGTGCGCCATGCCCGGATTCGCAGACTCGTTCTGGTCGGGCGACTACGCCGGTGGTAAGCTCGCCCTCTCGCGGAAGCTCTAGGTGCGGTTGCGGAGGAAGCAGCAGCAGCAGCAGCAGCAGCAGAAGCAGAAGAAGCAGAAGGAGGAGCGGTCGCTGATAAGAACCGATGTTGCAGGCCTCGGCGTGTTGTTCAGCAAACTTCAGCAGGGTGTCATCGAGAACCAGCAGGTGCTGATGGTGGCACGGCTACGCGCCGATGCGGAGGAGCTGTACGGCACCAAACTTTGCGCGATACCGGCCGCTACCGACAAGAACGGCGGGTTCGGGAGAGACGATGGCGCTACTGCTCGGCAGGTCTGTTTCTCGCTATCGGTCGCCAGGGAAGGGGAAATGGAAAGGGAAAGGGAGAGAGAGTCGCGTGCTGACGATGGGTGCTGCAGGCGTTTGAAGGGTTGAGAAATGAGATGGATGAAGTGGGTGTTTTCCCCCCGCTCCCCATCTAACTCTGGGCGGTTGGTGGATGGTGAGCTGACGGAGACGGCACGCATAGGCGGGAAAAGCCCATCGCAAAGTTGCCGACAGCATCCGCAGCCTCGTGATTCAGCCATTTGCTCGGTGGTGCGAAGACCACGCGGACCGAGTTAACAACTCGCATGACGAACTACGTGACCTTATCCGGGCATACGATAAGCAGCACGAGCAGGTCAAGAAGCTGCGGTCGAGCTACTTCAACAAGTGTCGCCAGGTTGAGGACATGGAGGAGGAGACAAAGTTCATTGCCGTGCCGGCCCCGGTCGCGACGGATGCGCCCGCGTCCGCTGGAACTCCGACCACCGCCAAGATCACACCCATCATCAAGGTTGCATCCGATCTCGAGAAGGACGACGAGGATCTGGATCCCCTGGAGATCGGCGACGAGTTCGTGCAACCCAGTATAGTCAAGAAGAAGCTGGAGGATATGTTGAATGAGATCCCGCTGGGCGAGGTCAAGGTTGCCATCTTGGGGACATACCCAAATATAGCCACCGGAGATGTCCTAGTGAACTGGATCATGAAGAACTGGACCGCCACGTCCATCTCTTACGCGGAACGCGTCGGGCAAGACTTGGTCGGTCACGGCTTCTTGCGGCTGGTGGGAGCTGTGGGGAATACTTTCTCCAATAGCCCCAAGATGAACTACCAGTTCCGACCGAAGGCGTTCCAGTGGGCCATGGTCAGCCCGAAGCCGGTGAACAAGTCGCTCGCCAGGACACCGACGATCCACATGAACGGCGAAGTCAGCAACGATGCTTCCAGCCCAACCATGGCGTATGTTGGTGACTATCTCGGGAGTCTTCTGAGCAATCAGCACCCGGGAGAGACACCCAACGATAGATTGAGGAGGGAAGCAAAGGAGGCCGACGCGAGGTACAAGGCGGGTATCCGGGCTCTAGATCTCACGAGATGTCAACTGGAGGAGGCGATGATCGAACACCTCAAGTTTATGGAGAAGTGCGAGTTGGACCGGGTAAAGGCCATCAAATCAGGTTCGTCTTTAGGGAGTTGAGTGACAGTTGGTCCAGGCTGACGTGAAGGTCCACCATAGTCATCCTAGACTTCTCTGGAGCCGTGTCCAATGTGATTCCTACTCTGCAGAAGACGTTGACACAGATCGAGACGCACCAAGAGTCGATCCTGCCTGCGACCGACCTGCGGTACTTGATTGAGAACTACCGGACTGGGTCATTTGTACCGAAGGTCATCCCCTACGAGAGCTATTACAATTCTCCAGATGGTCCGTTCATCATCATCCCCATTGGCTTCACGGCGGGTTTCTGATACTGACTGTATGCAGAGCAAACCTTCGGTGTGGATCTGGAAGCTAGGGCGAGGGCGGACCGGAAGCGAGTACCTATCGTCATCACCAGCATCTTGACTTATCTGGATCACCGTAAGTTCACAGGGAGGTGCAGTAAGTGGGAGCGGAGATAACTAACGATCAACAGACTACCCCGATCTCGAGGGCGACGAGGCTAGGCGTGGTATTTGGTTGGTCGATGTCCCGCTAGCTGCTACCCATCACCTCCGAAACTCCATCAATGACGGAAAAGCCCCTACGAAGGAAACTCTGGCCAACTACGAGATCCCTATCGTTGCTAGCGTCTTGAAGCTTTACCTCCTGGAACTTCCTGGTAAGTTCTCGATGCTCTGTTTTTGGGGAGGTGTCATCTGATCGGCGGATAGATTCGATCGTGTCTTCGCAAAAGTACGAAATCATCAAGACAGTCTACACCACGCACGGCGGCGAAGGCAAGGAGGCGGACCGTCTTACTGTCATCCAGAGCACTCTCGGTTCGTTGCCGCTTACCAACATTGCCACACTGGATGCCATCACCACGCACTTTACCCGACTGATCGAGCTCACCTCGGCCGACGAGGCCTTCGTCCAGGCTCTGGCGCAGTCTCTCGCCAGTGTTATCCTCCGTCCCCGTGTCGAGTCCTCGCTCACGCAGAACGAGCGCCACACCTACCGCCTCGTACGCGACCTGTTTGCATACAAGGACCAGATCTTCGGCGCACTCAAGAAAGCTTCCTCCGCCGGAGCCCGCCCGCGCGCCGTTTCCACGGACGAGAGCCACCGTCGTGCGCACGTCGAGGCACGCAACCGCGCAGTGATCGGTGCTGCTAAGAGCAGATCGTCGAGTCCGGCACCGCCTGCCCGGCACGGACGGGGCACATCCTCGGACGTTACCCGCTTCCCCATCAACACCTCGCCCACCAGCAGTAGTCCCCGGAGCTCGCGCGGATACAAGCAGCGCGATAGCCTAGAGGTCCCCGGCGCCGAACCCACCACTCCGCTCGAAAACGAGACGGTCCACTCACCGCCTCCACGCGAGGACGGTGCACTGGACTCCGGCGCCAATTCGCCACCGACATCGGCGGTGGTGCAGGAGGTGGCGGCCCAGGGAGGTCTGGAGAAGAAGAATAGTCTGAGCAGGAGCGGCCACGCAGCTAGCAGTCGCTTCCCGCGGAGGGGCGCCAATCTGACGCGCGGTGGGAAGCGGGATTCGCTCGTGAGTAATGCGGATGGTGAGAACCATGAGGAACCGTCCAGGGGTGTCGAATTGGTAGACCCGCCGATGGATTACTAGTGACAACAATTGCACGGTTGGGGTGGTGGGGGAAATTGCACTGGATGCGCGGGGTTGGTTTGGTTGGAATGATACCTGCTGGCTTTTACTGGAGTTCGTGTGTTTTTTTCCGTGGCTTCTCATTTTTTCGGTTGGTTGGTTGGTCGATTGGTTGGTCTGGACGACGTCGCACGTGCGCGGGTGGGTGGGTGGGTGGGTGTCATTCGTTTTGAAAGATGGTTAATGTGTTCTTTGGCTTTGGCTTTTACTTGACTCTGTTTTTACTTGCTTGTTTACTTTACTTAGGTATTTTATGTTGCGTGCTGATTTGATATCATGATGAAACTTACTTAACTTGTATGGTTTTTTTTTTTTTTTTTTTTTGAGAGAGAGAGGGATGTGAGATGTGGGATGTGTTGGAACTTAGAACTTGGAACTTGGTTCTTTATATAGGTATGAGAGGTATACTGCCAATTTGTTTGGTCTATGCTGCAGGTGGGAACTTGGAAGTATCTTGCCAAATGGATAGTTTTCGTGTCCAAAGACAAAGAGGAGATCACGTCTGAGGTTGGGCGGGATGTTTTTGTTGAGGCATCATGGCATTCGATCTTGGTAGATCATCGCTCTGTACATCCCCACTGCATTGCGGCTCGGTGTACGTAGGTTTCCTTATTGCCCTCTATCCTGCTTCCCTTTGAGAGATTAGAGTTCCAAGAGTTCCAAAGGAAACACATGTGAATGGAAAGAAGCGCGCTCGAACAGCCCAAAAGTTAAAACAACCGCCAGTGTCGAGCGGGTCGAGTGGGTCGAGTGAGGTATTGTGAAGCGAAGCAATCACAGCATCTCACTATCCCCCAAACCTCGAATCTCTCCTCCTCCTCCTCGGTGGCCACGAGGGGATCATTTTCAAGTCTAGCGACCAGCGCCAGAACATATACACCATTAGCGTCACGGGTAATGCGACAAGCCAATACATCCAAAACTCCCCACTCATGGAGAAGTCGCCGTCTTCCATCCAGAAGAAATTACTTCCGAAAATCGTCTTCACACACCCATCCCATCAGCACACCCTTCCACACCCGACCACTAGGAATGAGGAGGAAGAACTCACCGCCACCGCCGTCCCGGGCAAAAAAAACATAGTAACACAGGCTATAACCTTCATCGTGGCCGAGTCATCAAGCATGATCCCATTCGCCTCGACCCCCCGCTTGCTATCCTGCTGGGCCACGATGTGAAACGTCAGGTTGATCGTGTTCTCTACCTTCTTGCTCAGACTCGCCAGACGTAGGTTCGTCGACTTGAATAGATTGCGGACGTACTCTATCCCCTCGTGCACCTGTGGACTGGACGGGAATAGCCGGCCGTGCGAGGAGAGGAGACTCTCCAGGCTGCAGAGTATTGCGGAGCTGCTCTCCGAGAGGTGGATTATATGCTTCGCTAGGTTGTGGAGTTCCTGGTAGTCGATTTCCAGAGTTGTCGTGGCGGAGTGAGTGATGATTGACTACATGATGCCCTTCTTAGCCATTTCCCTGGGAGACGGTTTGATAGGGAGGAGGAGGGAACAACGAACCGCCTCCATTCCTCCGAACACAGTAACCAGCCCCCAAGTGACGTCGTCAACAAACTTCCACGCCTCCATCAGCGCCGGAATCCACAGCGCGTACGGATCCTTCTGGACTGTTTGCAGATTCTCGCCCGCCAGCAACCACACCTGCAGGCGACTCTCCAGCTCCGGAAACTGTCCCGAGGTGAGTAACAAAACCCTATACCCGCCCGTTGCTGCATCCTTGGTGTAGGAAAGATGCCACCCGCCCTGCAGCCAGCTATTGTCTCTACCATTCGACCCCTCAATCCGGTAGCCAGTGGGTGTCTGCTGGAGCTTGATCGCTTTGCAGAGGAAGTGGAGCCATGCAGCAATGGGCGTCGAGCCGAAGGAGTGCGTTACTCCCTGGTGCCGCTCGAGGAGGTAGGCGCTCGGTACCCCCACGGCGGCGTGTAGGGACTCGAGGTGCTGGAAGTTATCGTCGTGGGGACTGTCTGTTGGCGTGAACAACACCGCCACTGGATGTTGCGCGGAATTTTTGAGCGTGATAAGACCCGGGAGCCAGACGTCGATCTACCTAGGTATCCGGTGTCAGATTTTCCGTCCGTCCTGGTCGGGATTTGGCGGCGCAATGGAACTGGCTTACGGGGGTGTTGATGGCTGCAATCTCGGCGGCTGTAACTTCCAGTGGGGCGGTGCTGGTGGTGGGAGAGGCCCGGAGAGCCCGGAGACTGAAGGCCGGCTTGTTGGTGGACGGTGTTCTCTGGCCGAGAACTCGGTAGGCGTCCCGGTCCGGCTGGTGTTCTAGCAGGTGCGAGGACATTGTATGTTGACTGCTCGAGTGATTGGACATGCTGAAAACGGGCGAAGCTTTGGGCACTGAGGGAAACGTCTACAATTACGAGCCTCCAGGTCGACCGCAACGGAAGGAAAAGATGGCGAGTGCTTCATATAGGTACTGTCTACTCTGGAATCCCACTCTGCCGGGTGTTTAATGGTGTATCAGGTTGTTGAAAGGCAATTCTTGTAATACTTGCCCCTCCAGCGTCTCCAGGCCTTGGCGGTCACTCTTGAAGACATTTCGTAGTGTGGTGAGGCTGTGACTGAGATGCAGAATACGAAGGAAGGCAGTACTAATATCTAGGTAGTCGGCGATATGCTCATGAAACCTTCTGGCCCCTTTCCACGGCCATGGGGAATACGAGCTCAACCCAAATTGTGGTAGGTATTCCAACAAATCTCCCTGTCAGGCCCGAACCCTCAAGCACTCCACTGCCATCGTCATCATATTACCTCTCACCATGGCGACTCCCTGTGTTTCCCCAAAAGCAAAACAAACGTGCGCAGTCATGGTGAGTCCCGTCCAGGGGTGCAGATAAGCTTTCTTCTTTCCGCCCCTTTCCCCTGTTTTTATGCACTAGGAAACCGCCACCAACAAGCGGCGTTCAAGATGGCCGACATCGTCAGCCTCACAGAAGAATGACCCGGTGCTTCAGCATTCAGCATTCAGCCTCACAGAAGAAAAATCTTGATGTTTCGGCCTGTGAGGAATTGGGTATGCGCACATGTAAATACGAATGTGGTGGCGGCCTCTGCATTGCTATGATGTATGATACCTACACTACCTACGGTGTTTGCCGCCCTCGAGCCAGCCCTGATCATCTCAGCCTTCAGGATGGTTATGCACTTGGTCCCTGCATACCGTAATTGTTATCTCACTTGAGAGGTAATACTTCTATTATCATATCCGGCAATAGGCCTTCCATATAATTAGCTATCCTGGCTTGTGCTATTACATAGACAGAGTACCTACCGTATCTGTATAGTTGTATCTGCTTTACTTCCTGTTCAAGCAATAATAAGCCCCCACAAAAACAGAACTGAGACGTTACCTCTGAGTGGGTTATTAGAGTACGGTATGATATGTTACTCAAGGCCCAGTATAACGTCTCGCCTACCTAAAACGTGCGAGTCTACCATGGTCTAGGTATTCCGGTGAGCGGAGACGAGAAATTCATCATAACATTTGCAACTTCAACATCATGGGCCCCAGCTTACACACACCGTTCTATATCAAAATCCGCATCCCCATCCGCATCTCCATCCCTTTCCCCGTCACCTTAAACCAGCAACCATGGCCAACACCCACCCCATCCTCAACATCGTTCACGCCTCCATCTCAGACCTCCCGCAACCCGCGCCCATATCCGTCCGCGAAATCCGCAACAACAACAACAACAACAACAACAACAACAACAACAACAACAACAACAACAACAATAACAACAACAACAACAACAACAACTTCCCGAACAGGGCTATGACCGCTGTCCACGGCAATGGCTACTACAACGTTCAGAACTCACGGATCCTGCTGGCACCTGGAGATAGAGACGGGGATGGAGACGGGGACGGCGACAAGGATCCAACGCTGCCGCCGCCGATAAGTCCTGGATGCCTCAGGGAGAGGATTGGCCGGCCAATGCATGGAGGCGGGTATTTTAGCGCGGGGTCGCAGTGCATCATCGAACAGAGGGATAGAGATCCGGTGTGGTGCGAGAGGGAGCAGGGGCAGAGGAGGACGGTGAGTATCTCTGTGCTGTTGTGTGGTGAAGGCGCTGACTGGGTAGGCGACTATGCCCGTGAACAGTAGTGCGGGGATACAGCCGGTAGGTCAGGTGGGGCGCTGTTTGACCGGTACTACCGGGTATAGCCAGACGCAGGTGCCGGTTGGGTACAAGACGGTGAAGAAGAGCAGGTCGTGGGCGTTCTGGCGGCGGTAGTAGGGTGGGCTTGTCGGATACTTCTGTAATACATCCAGCAGCGCAGGCGCTGAGTTCTTTTCTCAATGCTGTCATATAGAGCTCATTTTGTCTTTTGCTATGTACGATGGGCAGAGCCCCCAACAGTTAGATAGCAGTTAAACTTGGAAAAGTGAGTGAACTGGCTCAGTTTGGAGAAGATTCAAGAACCAGACACGATTCGGACCAGGGACTGTGGTTGCTGGTAAATAGCAGGCGAACCGAATGCTGTATCAGGGAAGCCGCAATGCTACCTCCCTGTGTTACAGACATAGCGGCAAAAACGAGGCTTCGGTGGAACCAGAGACATATCATATTTCCCCAGACTGGCAATGCATCCCACGATTGAACCGCTTGCTGCTCTCGGGGGCCTCCACGGAGAGCCTCCTTCCCAGAGAGCGTCCGCCGTCACCGGTCCGATGATAATTTCACGTTCCGAGAAAACAAGCCGCTGAATTCTTGAAGAACACGGCAGGAATGAACGGTAGATTAAGCGCCATATATCGTGGTGGAGGTTGGAAGAATGTCGACGCTGGCGCTAGATACTCAAACCCCCACACCATAGCGGCAGTGTCATCACCGATGCCCCTCCGATTGGCAACGAATAGCAGTCAGTCAGTCACAGCGGGCTTGGAATCTACCCCAGGCGCCACCCACTGGTTCCACCGAGTCAACCAACCCTAGAGCGAGTCAGCTGGCTCAAATTACCGATTTACGACCCATCAACAGTCCCAATCGGTACAGTTCTATCCGGAAATCTACCGGTTCAAACTATTGGCGAGGCTGACGATGGGGCTGAAGGTTACTCATGCCTTCACCAATTCTCACTCGTGCTTCTGCATGCATCCTACAATTTCGTTTCATCACCCGAGCCCCTACCGCCTCCACACTTCTAGACTCAATGCGAGTATCCAACTACGATCAAACGAAATGGAACTCCCCGGCTCCAACCCAGCCAAAAAACACGAGATCTCATCTCTAGCCCCCTGCATATTCCATAGAACACGGGCACTTCTAGTATGAAAGTAGGTTGTCTGCATCACCTTCCGAGTTAATCTACCGGTATGTATCAGACTTGGTAACGAAGTTGTACTGCATACGCTACCATACTCTACCACGGTACCACCCGGTATTTTCATTTCGAAATAGTTACAGGCAATAAGTTGTGTGCGCATTCTCGCCTCCTTCCACCGTATTTTTGGTATCTTTTTCGGTCCAGTTCGCAGGTTCTGGGCGACAATGTCTGCTTTGTGAAATCGTGAGCCACCCACCACCACGCTAAGGGACTGAGATGTGAACCAGAATCTCTCCAAAAAATACATCATCGCGGCCAAGGCTTCAAAGAATACTCATCCTATGTACCCAGAGTAGTTCAAGTGATCTTGATCTTGGCCGTTGCGGGGTGTGCTGCGCAGATAGAGCATGTAGGTAAAAAGAACCATTGGCACTAAAGTATATACTTGGGTAAGTGAATGACAGTGGATGGATATAATGGATCGGATGGATACAATTCAGTGAGTGGAGTCGGTACAGTCAATGGGCACTCATTATTTCCACCGTGCTGAAGCGCACAGCTATCAGTAACGGTCCCTTTCATAATAAGCATAGTGCGGCAAAGTTTTTCGGGGTATGGGGTATGCGTATCATTTCTCTGCGCTTGTGCTTCGCCCTGCGCATGTTCTACTAGGTACTCCAACATAGCGTAGAATTTAGGCACACAGACTGACAGGATGCAAGAGCCTAAGGTGGACAGTGGTGGGTTATTCCGCAGATGGGGAAAGAAGGAAAGAAAATATATCCTCCTGGATCCTGATGCATGTGGTTATTACAACCCCACGGCGACTTCTCCGAGGGCTTGCAAAACCGGCGAGCTGGTACGATATGTATGTGCAGAGAAGAAATTCCAGAGTTGAGCAGGCTCAAGAAAGGGATATAAACCTGCCCGAGCCCGTCGTGGAGCATAACCATCCACCGAAAAAGATATTCCTTTATACCCCCGCCCCCCACTTCTTCTCCCTCTCTCAGGATGGATCCCGACCAGGTCTCCACTTTTGAACTGGCTGTGAACGGTGCCACGGATGAGGGCTATGAGATACCCCAATACTATACCTCCGAGCAGCCAGCAGAAATCCCCACTCGGTACTCCACTGCCCCGGAGGTGATGGAGCCGGGTATGCGCCGGAGGATGGTTGGCGACAGCTCTTCCTCCACTTCCTCCTCACCTTCTGAGGATGTCCCCGTTGACCGGCGGTTATCACACAGTGTACGTCCCTTCTTCGGGGAGACGGAAAGGAAACCGTACTGATAGTGAGAAAACAAAAAGTACCTCCACCCAACACTCGAGAAGACATCACACAAGCGTACCCCCCAGAATGGGCCCGTAAACTGGTTCCTGACCGGCGTCCGGTACCGTTTCCTAGCCTCGCCCCACTTCTATCGGCCACCGACGGTGCAGAGCCACCTGCCGTCGCTGAAGCTCCACCGGGACTCGATGGGCCGCACGTACACCGGACTCGACGACATGGATCGGTATATGACGCCGGACTCGGCCGAGCTGCGGAAGCTCGTGGTTGCCGCTACCGACGATATCTACACACTCGACCGGCCGGGTGCGAACTCGTGGAGACGGACGCACGTGCGTAATGTCGGGCCCCTGATAGTACGGCTCGCCTACTGGCCCTTGAAAGATATTGAGGAAGATTCCGGTTCGGCAATAGAAGGCAGTGGGGACGCGGTGTGGCTGGTCGCATTGAAGTGGCTACCATCGGTGGTGGGACTGTTCTTTGTACTCCCGTGGCCGACACGCCTCGCGGTGACAGGGAACAGAGGCTTGTACGATCCCTTCCCGTACCAATATTGGGGCTACCCGAAGGTATTCAAGAACGTCCGCGAGAACCGCCAGGACTTTTCGGAAGAGCGGACACTCGAGGATGTGGTGCTGAGTGCGGACTCGATCACTCCGAACCCGACGCAGGAGCGGCTGCTGAGGCCGTCGTATCTGTGCTATCTCCACGAGCAGGGCACAGGAATCCAGATCGCAGTCGGCTCGAAGGATCCAGTACGGAATGGGGCAACTGCTACGCCATACGTTTTCCTCGCATTCTCGACAAGGCAGTTTGACGAGCGGAACGAGGCGGATATGGCGGCGCTCCAGGAGATCGGCGAGGTTGCGGCAAGACAGGCGGGCGTGAAGGCGTTCTGGTGCTCCGCGATGTGCATGCCCTCAAGGAAAGTGCTGGCTCAGGATATGTACCGGATGAGCGATATCATCCGCGGGGCGGAGACCCTCGCCATCGCTCTCAAGCCGAGCCACGACCCCGAACACTGGGAGGACACCAGGTCAACGGACCTTCTGGTCCAGTTCTCGGCGAGGATGTGGACTTTCCCGGAAGTACTGCTGAGTCCCCAGCACAAGGATATCGTCGTGTACAAGAAGAACTTTGCCGATGTGTCCAGTGAGAAGCCGGAGTCGAAGTCACTGGATGTGGAGATCATTCCAAAGCGGGACTTTGCGCGGCGGGCATGGAGCGATGCCGCCGAGGCTCGCCAGCTGCTCGATCACTACCTCGGCACTCAGATTCTCAGCCGTCTGGAGCTGACGGTGATCGCCTTCCGCTGCCTTCATCGCCGACGAGTGAAGGAGCTTTACTTCCAGGGCGACCTGGCGTACGCCCTCATGGGACTCCTCCGGCGCCGCCCAAAGATCGATAGCACCGACACCGAGTTCCAAGCCACGGCCCGCCTGTCTCTGGTGAACGACACCGACCGGCTCTTCGAGCGTCTCATCTGCCTTCTCCCGCGGCTTCAAGGCGGACACTGGCTCACCAGCGACGATGCCTGGGGCGCTTGTCCCTGGGATATCCAACCGCGCTGTCAGATCGCGGGCATCTGCGACAACGACACGGCAATCCTCGATGGCTGCCACGCCGCCGCAATCCAATGGGACGGTTTCAAGCGGGTCGTGTACACCCGGCGCGTCCGGTCGTGGAAGCGCTTCTTCGCCCGCCTCCTCTTCCGCCTCTGTCCCGTTACTTTGGTGATCTTCGCCGTCATAATCAGCAGCACTGCGCCGTACCTCCGCGCCTCCATGAGCCAAACCGGGTACCGGGACCCCTATACATTCCAACTGCAGTCCACCGCCATTGCCTGCATCATCATGTTGATCGTAAACATCTTCGTCCTTTTCACGGCGCCGTACCTAGTCAAGATCGTCTACGGCGGCAAGATCTGGGAGTGCGAAGCCCGCCTATTCGGCTTCGAGGGGTACATGGACATCCAGACGATCGAGGCGCACATCTTCGGCCACGCATTCGGCCGCATGCGATGGAGCGCCGCAGGAAGCAAGTTCTCGCGGCACTCGACCAACGAGCTCGGGGAGCGGGTCGGGCGCGACCCCACCGACGACCCGAAACTACGTAGGATCATCAACAAGGCAAAGAACAGCCCCTTCGGCGCGCAAAAGGTGTTTACCATCGTGGACACGCTCTCACTGGTACGTACCTACATACCTGTCTCTTTTCCACCCCCATCCTTCGAATGTGGAATCAGAAAGCTAACGAGTGAGTGACAGACCGTGCACATGATCACCGCCGTGCGCCCACCAGTGATGGCCCTGGTCGCCGGCAGCGAGGGGGGAATGCTCCGCGCGGTGCTGTGCTCGTACGACTGGAAGACGCAGACGCTCTTTCGCGAGTCGGTGCTGCGCATGGAAACGCCGAGCATCGACTATATGACTCGCATTTCGAGGGTCAGGTTCGGGTTCGATCGGCCGATGCCCCGTACGAAGGTTGTGCAGCCGACAGTGTTGACGAGGGAGAAAGGTATAGAGGACCTGGAAAAGGGTACGTACGATAAGGTTGCGAGGTAATGGGTCTGGTAATGGCGTTTTGTTTTGATTCGGTTCGGTGCTGGGGCGTGTTGGGAATTTATGGCTTTTTGGGGTTTTGTTTTAAAGGTGTGAACGTGAATGGTCGTTAACGTCGAGAGGGGGGTTGTCGTGCGGACGGGAGAATCAATGAGCAAGTACGGTTCATTATTGAATGGGCTGGATGGGAAGGGTTAGAGTAAAGAGCTTAGAATACCATGTGGAATTCATTACATATCACTCCGTCGTTCATCCGTACGGATAACGTACGGCTGGCTGCTGGCGTTTAGAGGGAGAATTGAGGGAAGCAGACGTTGATTTCAGGAGACTAGTGAATATCTTGAACACTGAATCTAAATCCAAAGCCAATCCAACCATAAACCAGATCTCCACAAAATCGAGCACAGAACAAACGCGGTGGGACATGCAATTGAACGGGTCCACGGAGTACTCAGAAGTAGATAACCAGAGGTTAAGTCCCATGTACGGGATGTGTACGGGTTGCGGTAACTAAGTAATGAATAGAATTTAAGGTATACCAATCCAAACCACCACACACAATAGACAGAGGACCCTCCCGGCACAATTGGCATGGGATGGGCCGCCAGTAGGTACACACTGCGCACAGGAGTCAGGATAAGCATACAGGACACCGCAATTCCTATCCCCCAAAACTGGGACATTCGCGCGACCAGAGGTCCAGAGCGGCATCGTGATCCCCGTGTTCTACTCTCCTGGAGACTCCTCCGTTTCCCCCTCCGTCTCCAATTATTCCCTTACTCATGCAACCTTCTCTTATCAGTTTGCCCTTCAACTTCTTGAACCGGTAGGTAGTAGAGTAGCTTGACGCTTCCCGCTACTTCTCGGTCGTCAATAATCCAATAGTATTCGCGTCGACTTTACAGTGTATTGTAAGTACACTGCATCCTCTCCCACGACATGTTCACAAAACAGTAACAACTGGTACACAAGTAGGATTGCCAAAACAAAAAAACAAAAAGTGAGGTAGGTATTCTTAATCACCCCCCTCCAGAAACTCCAAACTCCAGTATCAAATGTCAATTACCATTACTACCAACCCTACCAAGCCCTAGCATACCCAAACCACCTCACGCCTACGGCCGTCGAAGTGATCCAACTAACCTCAAAGAGAAACCACATGGCCGCCCACTCACCCGCCACGAGGGCTTTCGCGATCAATCCCTGGCCTGCGCCAAAGAGCTGCAGCGGTGGGTAGACGAAACCGTGCAGGCCGCGGGCCGCCAGTACACCCCTAGCCAGAGTCCTTAGCATCACCGACTCAGTTACGAGCATTATCGCCGTGGTGATGCACTCGGTAGCGTGGGAGGCGGCGATATCGGCCGGGTGGCCGGAGAGCGTGGTGATGCGGTGCTGGATGCGGTTTGTGTTGGCATGGTAATTGTGCCATTCTTGACGGCGACGCTCGTTCTCCGCTTCTTCTTCTTCTGCTTCTTGCTGTTGGTGCTGTGCGAGGGATGACGCGCGGCGGGGTGGGCCCGGATGCGGCGACGGCGGCCGCGACGCTTCGCTGTCGGTTTCGTCGAGCTCCAAGGGATCAGTCGTTACCTCGGGTGACGGCGTGATGATGTCGCCGGTTACTGGGTCGAAGGGGATGGTGGCTGTGTAGCCCCCCGCGTGTGAGGAGTTCGCCATGTCCTCAATCGTGAGTGCCGATGGCCCTACTGCCTCAAAGCTCATCTCGATGTCGATAGACATCCGGTCATTGTTGATGCCCTGGAACGCAGTGGGCTTTTTGCCATGGGTTGGATCCGGAATTATCGACATAAGACGGTGGTAGAAGTAGTTTTGTAGCTTCAACGAAATCGTCTGGGTTACGAAGGACTGGAGGAAGTAGGAAGTTGCCGCCTGGTAGAGAAGGGATTTGCCGGTTGCAAGGGAAAAAAGCGGGCCGGCAATGATGGGGGGAGAAACTGGCGAGGCTGCGGAGAAGGCCACAAACGAGGCGAGGGTTGGGAAGAATGGTCTAGAGCCCACGAGATGAAGGACCTGGAGATTCGAGTGATACCAGACCGGGTAGACGAGGAACCAAGTAGCGAAACCTACGCTGTGGGCGAAGTCAGCGAACGAAAGACAACGAACCACCACTAGAACGGACGTACCACTTCTCAATTGCATACAACCAACCACGGCGCCGTGGTCGGCGCGTAATCGGATGGCGAAAGAACGACCTCTTCTCGAGCCAGACCTTGAGCATTGTACGAAGGTAGTCCCGGGTGAGGTTCGACATTTGGAACAAGAGATGTGCGGGCATTCCCGAGAACATCTCTTCCCACGTACTCCTTGTCCACGCCAACTGTAACACGTCGCGGTACCGCATGCCTTCGTACACTCTGTAAGTCTGTCACCTATCAGTTCGCACCCCCAAACTGCGCGCTCTCTATCCGGACAGCACTGACCTGCAGTCTATTCCTGATCCCAACCAACGGCCAGATTGCCAAGTAGGTGACCGTGAGGTCCAGTGCCTCGACGCACAACCCCGCCTCGTCCTCAGCCTTCCGGTTCTCGGTCTTGTCATAGTGCTGCTTGTTGTCGCGGAGACATACACCCACGGTCGCGAGAACATCATTTTGGGCCTTGATCAGCTCGCGCTGCCGTTCGTTCGCTTGCTCGGATGGAAGCATCTCGTCATTGGGAGAGGATGTGGACGCGGGCTGCGAGGGCTGGAAGGACTGCCGGCCCAAAGCTTGGATGTAGTTGCCGCTTCGCATCGTGAAGGTAGATTTCAATCGGCCCAGAACGTTGCAAATTGGATGATGTAGGATCAGCGCGCAAGCATTCGGGAATGGGAGGTGATGGAAGTGGGAGGTGATGGAAGTGGGAGGTGATGGAAGTGGGAGGTAGAATTGAAGGTGAGGTCCAACGTGATGGCGGGCATCCCTGCGCCCTGCACGATATGGCGCTAGCGTCTGCGGTAGCTCTTGAGTCCCGAGTCCCGAGTCCCGACACCGAACTGATGGTTTTCAATGGAATTGTTTCTCCGTAGTCCGCTCGTTAAACACACCGCTACTCGATCTTCAAGAGGTATAAAATGAATGTGAAGAAGAAAAAGAAGGAAAGAAGGAAACCAGAATCCGCGATGCTCGCACGCCCTTCATAGTACAAAAAGGAAACAATAAACAAACCCCAGTCTAAAACAAAACACGCAACCATACCATACGCTTTTCCTCGTTCCAGATCTCCATCCTCGTGATACTCATATCGCCCTGCATCTAACTTCCGAGCACCTTCACCAGCCCCTCCCGTCCCTTTGTCCCCTCGGAACTGACCGCTGTCAACAGCTCCATCCTGCCAACTCTAGCCACCGCGCGCTCCTCCTTCTCCGCCTTCCCCTTTCCTCCCGCCGGCAATATATCCAGCACACCGACAGCCTCCATAGCATCCACCACCCCGCGAAACTCCGCACCGACAAGCGGCATGAGACCCAAGCCGTCTTTGCACACCTTCGTGTACGCATCCTTCAGCTTCACCAGCGACCAAGGCGTAGTTCCGCTTCTGGCTACCAAAACGCAGAGCACCGCTTTCTGGTGAGCATTGAGTTTCGCCACACGGGCAGAAATCGAGGAGCCGAGGGTAGCCGATGACGCTTTCGCCACATGTGCAAGCATTGCGCGCGGTGCTGTCACTACCGTCCAGTTCGTTACAATCGTGGCGGCACGGGGTGTGGCGGAATTAAGGCTGGCTTCGCCGAGTGCTGGGCGGGGTGTGGTGAGCATTGCCAGCGGCTTCTCGGAGTCCTGCAGCTTTGAGCGAAGCGCCTGTAGACTCTCCATTTCCACCAACTCTAATGCTCTTCGAAGGATATCAAATGCCTTCCGCAAGTCACCGGATGCACCGGCAACCTTCTTGGATAGCAGTTGAATAGCGGCTGGGTGAACGAAGGGCACGAGGTTCGGGTCCTGATCTTTTTCGGCTGGGGAAAGAAGTGACCGGAGGCGAGCCGTAAGGACCTGCGAGATTTGTGGAGCTGTGTAAGGCAAAAACGGTAGGAGTTCTGGCTCTAGGTTCTTTGCTTTGAGGCGGGGGAGAAATCGGTCGGCCAAGTCCAATGCGTTCGCGATGCCTACCAGTATCAGGCGAGAATTCTTGCGAAGAGAGAGCTCGAATAACGTTGGGAGCAGGTCATGAGATAGAAGGTGGTCGATCTCATCGAGCACAAGAACGTAGACCTGTGACTTCTTTGTAGTGATGAAGAGGGACTCCAAGTCCGAGAACTCTGCTGTCGCCGACGCTGCCGAAAACGAATCCAGGAGTGAAGCATAAATTGAGCCGGGTGTATGTAGCGACATGCAATTTATCCACGCTTTCTTGATGGACACCTTCTCGTCGCCGGCAAGCTCGCCCATGATCTCGGTAAGAAGCGCCGACTTTCCGCAGCCGGGAGGACCACTGATGTAAATGCATCCACCACTCTTTAGAGCGATTCGAGGCTCGAAGAACGACTGCAGCGTGGATCTCTCCGTGTCGCGTCCGATCAGTTTGCCGCCTGAGGTGCTGCGGGAGAACAGCGACTTCGCCGTCGTTATTACAGTGCTGGGAGTAGATGCATGTGTAGGTGTTGCAAGCAACTTTGAACGGGGGGTCATAGGCCTGCTAACGACACAGACACGGTGGCGAGGAGTAGTGGGCTTTTTAGCGATCGCATCGCGGTGTCGCGGTGTCTTTGGAGGTGACGATTTTGTGGCATCTGCGGCTGGCCACGCGTTAAAATTTGCAGTTTCCTCAACTCGAAGCGGGGACGCATACCTATTGCCGATTTGAATACGACGTTGGCTTTTGTTGGAGAGAGAGGGGTTCGGGTTGACGACTTCGGAGGCGGAGCAGTCCGTCGGGTGCGCTTAGGTGTGCGAGGCTCGATCACGACAGACGGCACTGGTAGGGGATCTGCACGGACGAAGATTTTATCTCCGGTGACTTCCTCGTCTTCCTCGTCTTCCTCGTCTATAATCGAGATCCGACGCTTTGAGCGAGTTGATCGTGTAGAGCGTGGAGGTGGTTGGACTGGATTTTTCGTTTTCTATCAGAACGCGATGGCGCGACACGGGAGTTGAAAACGAACGCACCAGCAAGCTCAAACGATCTCGAGCGTTTACCGAGAACAACTGCCATTGCGAATTCGTTGATAGAGAGAAAGATCGATGTCTTTTTTACGGCGAGAATGACAGTGAATTTTGAAGCCGAAAGAGTGTCTATGGGGTTGGCTCTGTGAGTAGGGCTGTGCGGTGTGCGATGGTAGTGTGTTGTGTGTAAGGAGTAACAAGATGTAAGCAGGTTTCGGGTTAAAGATGGCTGGGCGGGCACGGATAAAAGGGCGACACGCGTAAAGCAATCATCTACGCGTGCAACCCGAGTTACCACGCGTAAATATCTACACTACCACACACGAAATAAACGCGTCCGTTTCACGAGTGATATCTTCTGCCGCAGTCCGAATTCCTCACGATGAGCATTCGGGCATTTATCTTGCACATCCGGATCAATTTCGCTGCTTGGCTTTACTGAATTCCAGCCAAGAGACAAGATCTTATGAAACTAAAATAGCCACGAATCGGTGCTGTTTCTCGGTCACGACCTCGATATAGGTATCTCGGTGCCGGTAGTTATCATTGATGCCAGTCAGAGCTCACCCTGTTCGTTTTGGAGATCCACCCCAGTGTATATTTGGTGAGCGGGGTATCCGAGACCCACACTGAGTAACGCTTGAACGAGATATTCGGGTTTGAGAAACCGTACATCATATTGAGGTAGTATCCAAGTGTCCACTAGCTGTCTTTAGGAGGTGCAAGAGATGAAGGCCAAATTGATTCCAAGGATGGGCTAGGCTCGTGGGGAAACATCACGGCGGGCTAAGCTAGGTAGTAAAGTCATGGAGAATGGGTTATCAAAAGCGTGGAAGAGAATGAATGAATTAGATACATTTGTCCCTAAGGAAACATTGAAAGTCACAACGCAATTATGTATTTTACACATCATTATGCAGCACTCGCGTAAAAAAGAATTATCAGATGTGAGCCCAAGAACTTTTAGTATAGAGGTAGTAGGATGTAGTCACCAAATGGTGTGAAGAAGGACCGAGATGACGAGAATGTGGAAAATGGAAAGGAAATTGAACCCCCAGTGCCACGTCAGGCCATGAAGAAAGAATGAAAAAGGGAATGCCAACCGCCCAGACGCCCAGAGAAAAGAAAACAACCCAAAGCAAGGAAAGCCCGTACAGAGTGCCGCAGTTGCGTTGTGTTTACCACTTTCCGCGAACCAGCACTCGATTCACTCCGTCTCCGCCACCACGGTACGGGTATTGGTGGGGGTATTGGTCATCCTCCTCGGCGTCGACGAACTGGTGGTGGTGGTGCTTGTCATCCTGGTTGGGGGATCGAGACCTTCCGTCTTTATCGGTGTTGGTCTTCAAAGCGCCGAAAGACATAGGGTTCTCCTTCGTCGTCTCCCAGCCGCCGGTCATGTACCTGCGATCGTGAGGATCGGGGCTTCCGGCGCTACCGTTGCCGTAGGTATTATCGCTCCAGCGAGCACCACCACCGCCTTTACCACCACCACGAGCTCCACCACGGCCTCCTCCTCCACCACCTCCTCTGTAACCCAGATCTCCACCGCGACCCCTCGGATGCTGACATCTATTCCTCGGGACAGAAGGATAGGGTGGAGGAGGAGCAGAGCTGGCGTGAACGACATGCTCGGCGAATTGATGGGCGAGCCTTGCTCCCGAGCCCTCCTCGTCAAAGGCGTTTCCCAAGACTTTGCAAATCATATGGAGCTCTCCTCCCTTGTGAATGGTGGTCTTCAGGACCCATTGCTCGAGTTGCGGAGAATCGGAGTAGCTTGATGTCGCCTCCGGACCGGCGACGGAAAACTGGCAATCGGCCAGCTTCATGGAAACTCGGAGTCGCTCCTCATCGCGCTCGATACGGCACAGAGTGGCCGGGCAGGAGATCTTGTACTTGTTTGACTCTAGGGTCATGGGGAAGCACAAAGATAGGAACTGAGGACTGTAGCGGACGTCGTTAATAATCTGATACGAGAGGGCAGCAAACGAGGGGAAATATTATGGTGTGGAGAAAAGCGGAGAGGGAGGGAGGGAGGGAGGGGGAGAAAGTGTGTGTGACTTGCTGAGTAAAGTAGGCTAATCGCAAGGAGTTCTTGCTGTGGCTCGGGAACAGTTGCTGGTCGAGAATCTGGCAATCAACCAGAGGGACGGTGCGGCAGACTCTCTCGGAGGTTATGGCAGTGGCCGGATTGAACTTGTCTGCGGAGTGGTAAGCAGAGCATGGCGAAGGTGAATGGCAACAAAGAGAAAGGAGAGAGATATGGATTGATACGTACCTGTTCCTCCTCCCGGGGGGAGAGGAGCATCGCCTATGTATGTGTATTTGCAAACCATCTTGTGCTTTTCGTATAGCTGTGAAGCTTTGTTGCTTGGGCGAGTGGTGGCGGGAGCCCAACTTGTTGCTGCGTTGAGCTGCTTAGTGGTGATAGCAGTGAAGTATCGTTGTCGCCAGGAACGCTTCACACGATTGGAGGAGTGGGGAGGTGTGTAAAGAGGTCGGAGGCGGACGGATGTGATGAAAGGGAGGGATGGAAGTTGTGGGAACGAAGGAGGAAATTTATGGTCAGGAAGAGCTGGTTGCGTTGGCGCAGTGTAAGCAGGGCGACTGCGATTGAATGTCGATGGTTGTGTTCTGTCACGGAAGCCAGCAGAAACTTGCACTCCAGGTATTCAGGCGAGTGATCTGAGGTGTCGCCAAGCCACCCACGAATATCACGAGTGACGAGGGGTCTAACTGCAGTTGCCTTAATTCAGGCCAACTTCACTGTTCTTTGCATCATGCGGCTGTGGATTCCGTGTTTGTCGCCTAATCTTTTCCAATGCAAGCCGCTGACTCCGATCTGGGAAAGCTATTCCCGTGCAATGATATCAGTCAAGGCTCTAGGTACTGAGGGAGCGCGGAGGCAGAGGCGGCTTGGGACCTCTGTTGTCACTACTTCTGTCTTCCTGTCGTTGTTCTCTATCACCACTTCTCATCAGTTCGTCAGTCTCATCATTACTCTCTTTATCAGTCTCTTCATCAGTCTTAATCAGTTCCTCAGTTCATCACCTTGTATCAGCACCGCTACGTTACGTTTTCTCTGAAGTTTTTCTAGTTTTGCTGCTGCTGCTGTTTTCTACAATTGATCGATTTCTCTTTTCACAATCACAGACACAATGAGGCCAAAATACTGCTGGGTACCGCTACCGCAATCCGGTGGCTAGTATTGAAGTAAGCAGGAACAATCAACTATGTCGACCGAGCCAACAGTAGAGTAAAACCCCCAGTGTTGGATACGGTACCTATTCCGCGGTGACTTGGATGGCACTCTGCTCTCAAGCCGTCCCATGGCTAATAGCTCTCCATAGATCTACACTCATCGCCTGTCCTAAAACCCTTCTACTAAAGTCCGAGTCGCAGATGATTGCTGTGAGGAAGACGAAAAGGATGAGACGACTCGTTAGTGACTTGTGATCGACGGGGATGCTCTCGGATAAACTGTGCAGTATCTAGCGGGAGATTCTTCGAAATGATGAATTCTGTTGTATGTGCTTCCCCAGAATCCCCGCAGCTATTTTTGATGCCCACAAAGCCAGAGCAAGAAGGAAGGATGTGATTGTCACAGATCCAGATAAGATAAGAAGCATCCATCACGGTAACCAGGGTCCCACCGGATGATCATCCCCCACCCTGCGGCGTGCGCCGGTTGTCAGGATCCGAGAGTACTCAAAGCTTGGGATCAGCAAACATGGCGAAGATCAGGCAATACCTGACCGCGCCACCTAGCGCAAAACATCATCCAGCATCAGCCCACACGCGCGACAATATCAGCCCACAACACCGGTCTATGGAACGGCAGCAGCGTCATGTCTGTCCTCGGGGCGAAAAATTCGAACGACAGAGAGCTCCTGTTTCGCCCGCGGCGTCGCTTCGGGCGGACTCGTCTGTCAGACGAACAACCCCGCCAGCCAGTGGTTTTCGTTTTAATGCCTCGAGTCATGCGTCCTCGCGATCACGGGTGATGCTGGTATAAAGACGATGTCTCCCCGTCGTGGTCTGCAGTTGTTTTCGAGTCACTATCATCACCGTCGCCGCAAGCGTTTCGAGCTCATATCCACCCCATTCTCGCCGAATAGACATCCATAGCCGTTGCCCCAACTAGGAATCCTGACAGCTTTGGCAAACATGGAGCACATCGACAGGAAAGAGCTGTATACCAGCTTGGCTGCGAGAATCCAGTACATCCATTCGTTCCTCGACTTCAATGCAGGTTTGCAGCCCTCGAATCCACCATGTTACGGACGAGCAGCTGCTGATTGAGATCCCACCTGCAGACGACGTTCAGGCATTGACTGTTGGCGCCAAATACATCCGATCCCTCATTCCGGCGGTTGTCAACATCGTCTACAAGAAACTACTGATGTACGACATCACGGCGCGCGCCTTCACCACCCGATCGACATCATACGAAGGTCCCATCGACGAGATGCCAGACGAGAACTCGCCAATAATCAAGTACCGCAAGATGTTCCTGCGAGGCTACCTGCAGAAACTATGCTCGGACCCTTCCAGAATGGAGTTTTGGGAATACCTTGACAAAGTGGGAATGATGGTATGCACCCCGTCCCCTCCTCCCCCGCTCCCTCCGGCTGCCCTTTCCCTTGCTTACACTTTTTCCGCAGCACGTCGGAATGGGCCGTAAACACCCCTTGCACATCGAATACATCCACATCGGTGTATGTCTCGGGTTCATCCAGGACGTAATGTTCGAAGCGATCCTGTCGCACCCGCGGCTGAAGCTGGAGCAGAAAACAGCCATCATCAAGGCGCTTGGTAAAGTTCTCTGGATCCAGAACGACCTGTTCGCGAAGTGGTACGTCCGTGATGGCGAGGAGTATGCGGGCGACATGGACGATCCAGAGATCGAGCAGGAGGGGTTCCTGCATGGAAAGAGGATCGTCGACCCGGAGAAATTGAGTGAGGAGGATGAGAGCGATGGTGGTGGATGTCCGTTTAAGGGCATGGCCGCGCAGACGGCGGCGGCGGGAGAGGCCTCGAAGATCCCCAAGGTCGTGCCACATATCACACCACGTCTAGCTGCTGGGTTCACGAGAACCGCGCCGGTGGAGACGAAACTTCCGACTCCTCCGGTGGTCTAGCGGGGTGCTGCATAGCTGGGTTGGATTGGGTTAGGCGAAGGGCGGGGGCGTTTTGTATTCGTTTCTGCATACCTAGGCTTCGTTAGATATATGAGCACCTACTTTTATCTATGCTTGACCCTGGTGATATCGACGTGCGCAACCTACAAAGAAGCTGCTGAGCAGATGGTCAATATGCGCGATGTGGATGATGATCCAGTAAACTGGGAGTGATAGGAGAGAGAGAAGTAAGAAAAATGCTACGTTCCATCACCTCCACCCCACCGGGATGCCATGGCCCATCCCCGTCTGGGGTTTTTTGTTTCATCATCGTAGCATTCGACCTTTGCAGATCATAGCTGTGTACACGTCCGGCTCCACCCCACTGTCTCCGACCGCTGGCCACGAGCCCGATGTGGGTTCCCTATTGCCCTCCGCCCGGCCCATCCGCGCATAACAAAGGGAAAGATAGAAAGAAAGAAGAACAAATGAGATGACAAAATGGAACGGAAAGGAAAAGCGTCAGTCTTTTCTCAAAACCCGCCTCAAATCTCCCTAGCCAACTCCTCCAGCCTGTCTAGACCATGGCGACCAGACGGTTTACCTCGTTTTTTGTTTAATCAGTAATTACTTGCGACCTAAGTAGATCATGGCAATATATGTACACATTTCGGTTCCCCGCCATTGTCCGACCCGATGGCGGTTTATCTCTCATACATAGCAACTGGAATTTCCCACAGTAACAATACAGAGACGAGTGAGATGCCGTGAGTGTGCACGCTCGGAACTCCCCGGCCCCAGGCTTGGGACATCACGGTAATCAGCTGCTGGAAGTGAATCATTTTTGAAGTCATAGGCTCTGGGGCTTAGTTCCTAGAGTGCCTTAGTTATCAGTTCAATATGTACCTGGGGAAGAAATAGGTACCGAGCAAGCCTACCACTGAAGGGGTCCTACGGAGCTGGAGGGCTGGAGGTCTCAGGGCTGGCGCAGCCTCGTAGGTCATCAACGAACACTGGTGACTGGTTTGTTGAGCGGACATTCAGCCTGCCACTTTGGTGATCATTGGATGCGCCTGGTGGATGGTCAGCTTAAGTATGACTGGTCCTGACTCCAGAGGCAAGGGCCAAATAGCTATTCTACCTAGAATGAGAGAAAGTCTGGAAGTTAGAGAGAGAGAGAGAGATCTTCCTGTTTTATTTCGCATCCAGCCTATCTAGACTATGGCGAACCGTAACACTCCTTTCCTGCCCACCCTGGCTGGCCGGGGGTTAGGACCCCGTTACCAGCCAGCACGATGTGGCGCCGCTGCCTACCAAACAAAGAAAACATACGAAATTACACCACGAAAATTTTACCGCCCATCCTCATCTCCTGCTTCCTCGCACCGGCCACAGACATAGTACCCTGCTGGGCACTCTTGCTTTGCCCCAGATGCGATGCTTGCCTCCTCCTCATCCTCGTCCAGGTCTGCTGGTGCTTTCCTCCCCACATCCGCCGTTCCCAGAAACTTTAGGATTGCCTCGCTGCACCGCTCGTCGGCGAACAGCTCCGCTATTGACCACCTCTCTTTCCTTCTCTCTGTCTCCTTCCAGACCTTCGTCCACAAGGCTTTTCTGCTGACTTCTCCACCGTGAGCAGTTTTTGAAATCTGGAAGTTAATTTCTTTTAGGCTTCTGTAAGGACGTAGCGGGTGAGTGATCATGACCCAACATGAATAATCACTCTGTCTTCCTCGGAGCGGCCATTCATGTTGCCGCCTTTTGTTTTCGGCTGGTCTGGATAGGTAAATATCTGCTAACATGTTCTCATTCATACTTACACGGTGGCCGTCGATAGATGTGTAGAGGCTCGTTCACTTGGCGTAGGTACTCTTCTAACTTGCTCTAACATCTAAGCCCGTACTTCTTCTAAGCCCGCACTTATTTCCAGCCCATTGTTCTTCCAAGCCTGTTGCATAAGCCTGTTCCAAGCCCGCACTTCTTCCAAGCCCGTACTTCCTCAACGACCATCCCTCTGAATGCTCTATCGCCGGCTCACGTTGATAACCAAGTATGTGTATACAAGAAGTTAGAATGGCTTGGAGTTATGAGAACATTGACAGCCTCAAGCTCGTATGACAGACGCCCGCTGGAGGAGGGGGGAAGATGTTCCAGGTTCCACAGTAAGTACGAATAGCCATTGAGGCTGTCGTAACCGCCTGGCGTACACAACACTCAGGAGTCCGGTCTTTCAAACCGAGTGATACAAGGTGACTGGCTGAGTACCTATCCCCACATCTATGATAGGTATCGCGAGCTCCCGCGCACCGTACTCGGCAGCGCTGATCTATGTACTATTGTACAAGCCTGTGGACTGGGCATACGCCGAGTGCGTGAGTCCTATGATCTCCTATCCAGTCAGCAAAACCCGTGAACCAGAGCTCATGCACCCATGCACCCACGCACCCCCCCAGACTCCCAGAGCCAGAATTAACTACTACCTAGGTATACTACCTATACGAACGGCGAGCCAGTATCGGCCCGCCGTCCAAGTCCGTTTCCGAATGTTTATCTCGCACTTCATCTTCCGTCCTCTTCCCTCCCGATCTCCCAAGCCCCCCCCCATAGGTATGTGGAGTACCTAGCTAGATAGCCAGTGGGATGAGCTCCAGCTCCAGCTCCAGCTCCATCCATCCATCTCATCCCTTACCGAGCTCCCCAGCTCCACATCGCGGCTCCTCCAAGCTCGCGGTCGGTGAATGTAAAAAAAAAAGGTTGGGGGCTTGCAAGTTGCAAGTTGCAGGGGTCGGGGGGGATGATGTCACTCAGCTTCGCTGGCATCGGAAATTGCCTGCCCGCCTACATGCTACTCTAGTTCACGGGGGACAGCCGAGAGAATGTTCTTTCTTCGACTCAAGACTCAACTCAACTCAACTCAACTCCCGTGCAGCCTGCAGGAAAAGCTTGCGGGAGGGGAGGGGAGGGGAGGGGAGTCACCTGTTGATCTAGAGTGGTCTGACAACACACGAAACAGCCTCCCCCAGAGTCGGGCGGCGGGCGACGGGCGGGCGGGCAGGGTGCGGGAGGGTTAGACATCCTGGATTCCTGGGCCTTGGATTTTGTCGCTTTGTGGGAGGGTGGGCTGATGAAGCCTGGAGGGCTGGATGTAGAGTAGGGTGTCGGTATTCTAGAATGAATGTCGAGGATTGAGACGCGTGTATGTATGTAGGTTGTCATGGCAGAGTTGTTTGACTTCTCGCCGTTGGATGGGTATGTAGGGAATGTAGGGTATGGGAATTGGATCTCCTACGTGGGTACGTGGGTAGAGTACAGTACGTGGGTGCTCCGGCCGGTAGTTCGACTCCCGCGATGTCTAGATTCTAGAATCTCGCACCTCTCCCTCCTCAAGTTCTAGAGTCGAGCTTCCTTCCTTCGAGAGCTCCCCACTCCCCACTCATCATCACCATCCGCATCATCATCATCCCCATCATCACAATCTGAATGGCTGGCTATGTAGGTGATGTCGAATCGCGCAAATACATCGATCGGCAAGCAATACAAGGATCAGGATGGTAGGAGATGCACCTCAACGTGGCCAGCAAGACTCAGCGCGTACTTAACCCCAGCAGCATGCTGGTGAAACAATCGGGTAACGCCTAGCAAATCGAGCTTTTGGGATTTCGGGAGCCGCGTAGTTATGTAGAGAGGAGAAAAATATTTCGCCACTCAGCCTTCTTCGCGGCATGAGGTACTCTAGGTACTTCTCAGACAGGTTCTGATTCGTTGGGGACTTACCGATGTCGGAGCTCAACGGAAGCTCTACGATTCGCTCGCTGATGAAGACAGCTCGAGCCATGAGTGTCTGTGCGTTTGAGACTCCGTTTCCTCCGGGAGTGACTGGTTAGCGGTGGGACAAACAGCTCTGTACATAGGGACAATAGAGTGCTCAAGCTTCAGCGACTGCCAAAGTGCAGGTCTGGTGATCCTGGCCTGGTGTGTCACGCAGGGAGTGGCCAGGAAGCAGGACGGGAGTTGAGTTGAGTCTGATGATCGTACATACAGCCGACCCAAATCACTCAATCCCATCTACCACCACTTTCACACCCTCTGCACTTCCACAACTCTCCGTAGAATCACAAAACTCAAAAGCCCAAACTCAAACTTCATCCGGGCTAAAGTTTTCCTCCAACAATCTTCGTCACAATAGGAACCGGATGTTCGTACTTGCACGGTCACGGGAGGGCGATTAATCCCGTACTTTTAGTATTCGACTCAAGATTTCAGCTCATCGTCAGTGACCCCGAAACCTGGCTGGAATCGTATCCAAGATCTCTTGAAATTTAGCCCAAGCGTAAAGTCTCCCAATGCGTATATTCAACGAAAGCACTGGGCATCACAGCTGGCATATGGCGGACATGGCATCAGTGCAGTACCCGACTTCGGTTCACCCTCCAGCCCCTCGTGTGGATTGCCGTTGTATGATACGAGGAGTCCTAGGAATTGGCCTAAGGAATTATCGGTGTATTGTCTATGCTTCGGATGCAAGCAGAGAACAGGCGATTCAAGAGTAACGACCTTGAATAGTGGGCATACTCCACTGCATCCTTGGCCTGTTAATGGGTACAGACAGTTTCGCATCTGTAGTATAGTACCGTGTAATTGGGGAGGAAGTTAAGCTCGTAAACAGATCCTGCGGGGGAGCATGCCACCGGAGGCTGAAGCGGCGGATGTAATGTGGAGTTAGAGTGGGGAAATGAATTGTCGTCGTAGTCATCGTGAGGATGGAACTTCATGGAAGTCATGATATATACCGTCACTGTTATCCGAATTAGGTACATATCATACGCGGACTATTTCGAGAAACTGCAAGAAGGTTAGCTGGAGAGCGGTGACGGAGTGTACGAGCAGCGACACTTCCTTTGTATGGGAGCCGGCCGGTGCTGCTTTGTAGCTGCAGGAGTTCGAGACTCCCAATCGACTTGGCTTTGGCCGTTTGATTGGCCTGAACGCTGAGCATGAATTCTGCGTGATGTGCAGATTGACAAGCCATGCATAGTCCCAGACTGTAGGCGAATTTAATGTATATCATCTGGCCGACCGCGCCCGCTCTTCCCTTCCATTCCCTACCAGTCCAGTACTTGCAGCTGCTTTTTCCACTCCCCAGAAAAAGAAGAATAATAACTATCACTTGATCTGCCCATTGTAGGTACCTCCGTCGCGTCCATCGGCAAACAAGCTTCACTGCTTCATATCTTCTCCACCGGCAGCGAACTGGCGCTTTTATTCTTCCCGAGCCCATCTCTGAGCGGCAACCGAGTGTCCTTTTGTGCTTCCCGAGCCAATGAATCAAAAAGAAAGTCCATAGTGCTCGGATAGGATATAGTGTCATTATTTCACCTGCATCCTTCGGAGTGTCGAAGTCCTTTGGCCTTCGAAAGAACCAACTGCGGCCATCGCCCATCCGTGAATCCGGTTGGGACACGCAATCCGAGTTCGAAGTTCGAACCATTTCTGAAGAAATCCTTCGCCTTCAACCACTCTCCGCCCACATCGCCTACCTTCAACCTCTCCACTCACATCGCCGCCGCCCGACTCGACTGCGGCAGGGACGGGCGTTCCGTTGGTCTGATCTCATCACCCCGCCTCTACGGGTTGCACTGCATCCCTTGGCGTTTTTGTTTCCTTTGCAGGTGAGCGAACAGCGAATCAACGCCAAACCCGATCCCCTTGTCCCCTCATTCTGTGTTTGGTGGCTCTTCTCGCAATCGTGCCCTGTCCGCGCGCTCCTTAGCATATTGTGTACGGTTATCTGGGAGCTTGAGGACTGGAAACGGGAGAAATACATACCAATCGTAACGATTGAGATGCGCAGACGCTAAAAGATGGTCGGTCGTGGTTCCCGCAGGTGGCCTCGTTCTCTTTTGTAAGCGTGATCCATCGTCGTCCTGGTGCCTCGCATCGCCTGCGACGGATATCCATATCTAGTGCGGAAGTGTCCTAGTCGCTGGCGGAGAAAAAAAAATCGAGAGTTCGGCGGGATTCACCCTGGCGGGGGAAGGGGGACGGGGGGTTGTACCTACTTAGACACTGGTGAGCGCATATCTTTCTTCCTGCCCCTCGCCTTGCCAACTGTCAACCTCAACCGTCGCCGGACCGCCTACCCTCTCCATCAATGGCACACAAAATCCGCGGAGCTTCCACTTACACATAGCAGAATCAGCAGTGTTTATCCTCTCAGTCGCACACGCCCATCTCCTTTTCCTTCCACCTCGCCCACCCTCTTTTGACGCGCTCAGCCAGCATTTTATTCGGCTGCAGACTGTTGGGCGACATCTAATCCCTATTCGAAACCCCCCCATCGATCGGTCTCTTTGAAACCTCTAGACACCTCAGTGGCCCCGACGACTTCCTCCTCGAACCGACTCCTATCCCCATAAAGAGGCCAGTTCCTTCGTTCGCTACAGCGACGAGGCAGAGCTCGAAAAGAAAACGCCCGTCTCGTCACGGTTGCCGATTGGGTTCGATTGTTAGTGTCTCTCTTCCGTGGGAAGCGGAAGCATCCCTAGGATTTCGATTTATATCTCGTTTCGTCTCCATCTATCGTTTATTTCTGGTCTGGACTGTGGCTTGCTATCGCCGGTCGGTCCCCTACCCCGCGAACTTCCCTGGATAAGCGATAAAAGCTTGAGTTAAGCTCGAAACAATGCCGTAAGTAAACAAACAAACACTCCGAACCCGAACCCTGGCCTCAACCTCAACCCAACTCAACCCAACCCAACCCAACCCATCTCAACGTGCCTCGGTTTTCGGAGGCCGGCACTAACACAAGTGCCGTAGTATCAATATCACAATAGATCATACGTCGACTACGAATGGCTCGTCGTCTTCCTCCCTCGGATCCGAGGGAGACGAGACGGCGAGCAGCGGTGTGAACGTGGCGAGCCATCGTTTCGGCCACCCGCAAGCCATCCCATATCTACCTCAACATGCCCATTCGCATCACTCCGTAGGACACCATCCGCACTACGCTCATCATCCCCCCCATCCACGCACAGAATACTCGACAAATCATTCGGGGGATTCGTTCGAGCAGGACGGGGATGGTTGGGAAGAGGTAGGCGAGGACGACATCGTGCCATCGGACTCAGCGTCTCGTCCGCGTACTTCCAGTCGGTCAGCTCCTATTCACCGTGCAGCGTCGCGCCGTATGAGCCCCCATCGTAGTCACCATGCTTCTCCTCCGACCACCGCGGCGCGGTCTCACCGTGTCAGTGCACGACACCAGGCGGCAGCTCCTGCACCAACCACTCCGGCCCACTCGTCTCATTCCGACAGTGATACCGAAGAGATCCCGACGTACGGCCGAGGCCTTGCGTCGGCTCCTCTTGGCCCTGCACATGGTTGGCCGCCTGGCGCTACTCCTGCTTATGGGCCGTACGGTATGGACCCGCGAGTAGACCCTCGAATGGATCCTCGAATGGCAATGGATCCTCGGATGGACCCGCGGATGGACCCTCGGATGGCGATGGACCCTCGGATGGATCCCCGGATGGACCCTCGGATGGCGATGGACCCTCGGATGGACCATCGTATGGACCCTCGAATGGACCCCCGAATGGCCATGGACCCTCGTATGGATCCCCGGATGGACCCCCGAATGGACCCTAGACATGATCCTCGACACGATCCGCGACATGAAGCGAGGGACCCTCGGGATCCTCGCGATCCCCGAGACCCCAGAGACCCCAGAGACCCTCGGGATCCGCGGGACCCTCGGGATCCTAGAGACCCTCGCGCTGCGGCACAAAATCAGTTTGCGCTTGTTCCAAGCAGCCAAGGACATTACTCGCCGATGGGTGCTCCTCCTCCAAACCCTTTCGATCCTCACGGTTACCCTCCGCACGCATACCCAGGACAACCACCCCATCACCCGGCGGCCGCACATCCAGGACAAATCACACCCTATCATTACGGACAACAGCCACACCACGACCCGCGCTACCCTCCACACATGCAAGATCCACGGCACGACCCACGACACGACCCACGGCACGACCCACGGCACGACCCCCGCCACGATCCCCGCCACGACCCACGACACGATCCCCGTCACGACCCACGCCAGGATCCACGACACGATCCGCGGCACGATCCACGCCACCAAGACCCGCGACACCACGACCCACGACACCACGACCCGCGACACCCCACCTCTCCACTCTCTCCTCGAATGCACCAGCAAAACATGCAGAACGGCATGTATGGTTCACCTTACGGTTCTCCATACGGTTATCAACCATATGGACCCTACAACCAAGGCTACTTTTCTGGCGCATTCTCCGGCCATCCGGGTCATCCGCAACAGATGATGATCTTGGGTCCTGGTGGGCACCCAGTCCCTTTTCCTGGAACAGCATCGCCTGGTGGCCCTGGAAGCGACACTGACAAGCCTCCGGAGAAAACAGCAGCAGAGTTGCAGGCTCAGGAGCGACTGGAGATGCTCCAAGCTGAAAAGAAACTTCGGCAGGAGATGCTTGACGACGAGAGGAAATGGCACTTGGAAAAGATTGAGCGCCAGAGGCAGGCGGAGGAGGATGCTAGGCAACGGGAGGAGGACGCTCGGCAGAAGAAAGAGGAAGCTCGGTTGAAGGAAGAGGAAGAGGCACGCGCGAAGGCCGAGGCCGAGGCGGCGGCGGCAAAAGCGAAGGAGGAGGCTGATGCGGCTGCCGCTAAAGCAAAGGAGGAGGCTGATGCGGCTGCCGCTAAAGCAAAGGAAGAAGCAGAAGCGTTGGCAGCACAGGCTCTGGCCGAGGCGCAGGCAAAAGCGAAGGCTGATGCCGAGGCTGCAGCTGCTGCGGCCGAAGCTGCTGCCGCTGCCGAGGCTGCAAGGCAGGCAGAGCTTGATTTTGTCAGGGCGGAAGCAATGGAGGCGGCTACGCTCGCTGCTGTGGCGGCTGCTGAAGAGAGGGCGGCCAGGGAGGCTGCTGCTGCGGCCAGGGCGAGGCAGAAGGCTGTTATCAAGTTCCGTGACGCGGTTGGAAGAAAGTTCTCATTTCCCTTTGAGCTCTGCCGAACATGGAGTGTACGTATATCGCTCTATGACACCATTATACGATTGAAGCTGACATCTGCAAACAGGGTATGGAAGAATTGATCAAGCAGGCGTTCCTTCACGTGGACCTCATCGGACCCCATGTGATCGACGGACACTACGATCTTCATGGGCCCGCCGGCGAGATCATCCTCCCGCAGGTGTGGGAGTCCGTGATCGAGCCGGACTGGTTCGTCACCATGCACATGTGGCCGATGCCGGAGCCGCCTCCACCACCTCCACCACCACCACCACCACCTCCGGAGCCCGAACCAGTGCCCGAACCCGAGCCTGAACCCCCAAGGGAGCCAACCCCTCCACCTCCACCTCCTCCACCTCCACCTCCGGAGCCGGAACCCGCTCCTGCCCCCCCTCCACCAGCTCCCGAAATCGTGGTGGTCGCTGAGCCCGAGCCCGCTCCTGCTCCCCCACCGCCTCCCCCTCCTCCTCCTCCTCCGCCTCCCCCTCCAGTGGTCGAGATCATCACCATCGCACAGCCCGCCTCGCCACCCCCACCCCCTCCTCCCCCGATCGACGCACCCCCGCGCCGCCTGCCTCCCATGGTGGTCACCGCACCCGACCCACACCCACCGCGCCCCAAGCCGCAGCCCAGCATCCCGCCGCTGCTCATGTGGACCGCCGGCCGCTACAACAAGAGCCGCAAGCGGTAAACTAACCTTCCACACTTCTGGAGGACACATTTACCGAGTGGATTTCTTTGGTTTTGGTTTTGGGGGTTTCTCTTTTCTCATCTCACGGTTGTCTTGTCTTGCTTGTCTGTTTGTCTGTTTGTCTGCTTAAGGGGCGAGCATTTACACGGGCTGGGCTGGTACGTAGTAATTGGGTTTCCATTTTCTTTCTTTGTAGTTAGGGGAGCTTTCCTTTCATGTCATGCCATCTACTGTACTGTACTCTTCTCTACTTCTACTGCTACGTTACGACTTGATGAAGTTCCTTTCCTTTCTTTTTTTCTTTCTTCTGCGTTGTTTATTTTATTCGGTAGTTACGAGGGAGTCGGAGTTTCTGTGCTTTTGCTTTACATACGATATCCATTGCTTTTAAGGTTAGTGTGCTCTCGGAGAAAAAAATGGGGAGATGTAAGGAAGGAGGGCGGGGAAAAAGGAAATTTGTGATGACTTCACCCAGGCTCGATCTGGGGACCTTGTGTGTGTTAGACACATGTGATAACCAACTACACCATGAAGCCATTTTATATGCTACAGTGTAGAAATTTGGAAATTTATGAGTAAGGTGCATTGAATGGGAAGAGGTTGACGTTCAAGCTCAATGGAGGTTGGCAGAAGGTATTGTCGCATCGTGCGGCCAGAGTGTTGTGTTGTAGTTACAAGCAGCGATTGATGTTTGGAGCGTCCATTCGTGATGAATAATAAACACAACCAGCTGCAGCAGAAGCTTGAACCAGAATCACTGTTGGAAGACCGTAGCTATTGCGGCACGGTAACGTTGAACCAACCCACATTCGTACCGATGATATCGGACCGGGCCGTGCCATGCGACACCCACCAACCCACCCACCAACCCACCCTGCCCCGTGAGGCTGAACTCTTTCGCCGCCAATGGCCTATCGTGATTCTCCATTCCCACCGAGTAACAGTGGGCACTGGGACACGCAACTTCTTGCATCAGCCATAAGTCGTTAGGACTCAGTCGTCAGCAGTCCGGGCGCCGTCGGAAATAGTTAGCTGTTCGTCGTCGTCCTCGTCCGCATATATACTACATAGAGGATTGTGGATGAGCCCAGCGTCCTTGTGTCGTGGTCGTCCTGCGGTGGGAGGGTGGTGGTGGTGATGGGAATGGGTGATGGGGGGTGGGTGCGAACCGCACTTCGAGCTTGGATTCGGGAGTCAGAGTCGGAATTAATGGGGTGAGGCAGGACTTAATTCGTCATGTACCACGCCCGTGAGGCTGTAACATCTACTACCTAATCAACATGCGATCCCGCCACAAAGTTTCAACTCGATCCTTCAAGCACAGCTAGCCATGAAGTTGAAGGAGGATTTACGCCCTCGCAAAAATGTTTATATATAAGCAGCCGTCTCCAGCGTCGACCCAACCCAACCCATCATCTCATCCCGCCAGTCCAACGGGAGATTTCAACACTGAAAACTGCGAACGGGTATATACAAGCTCTCCCGAAACCTGCCACAAAACCATAACATCTGCCACACAATCACAAAATCGGCATGGAGACTGGGGGCTTGCACCACCGCACGGAGGAGGACTCTACCCCCAACGTAGCAGCACATACCCCACCCGGGACAGCGGCGGAGGATGGAAAATTTCCCTGTACCGGACTCCCCATTCAGCAACGAGGAACCACCGCGCACTGCACAGGCCGGCGTCGCAAACCACGCACGCGGGGGAGCAGGTGAACCCGCAGGACCTCCATCCTATGTAGGAATGAGTGAGAGTGAGCGGAAATTTGCAGGGCCAGAACAAACAAACGGAGTAACATGTAGCGAATGTTTTGCCGTTGAACTGGTCCTGTGTATCGTATCCGCCTTCATTCTGCCCGACCATATATACCGGACACTCACTCGTGGAACAGTACCGGAATGGTGGACTGATTGGTGGTAAGTCTGGCTGTTCTTTGGAATTTCCGTTTCGTTCGTCGTGTGGGTTGCGATGCGAGGCTGTCTTCTGTATGATGTCTTGCGCTTCATGGCGGAGGCGGGGCGGGGTGGTGGTGGTGCGAAGCGGTCCTGGTGGGCGCCATAGCCATAGGCGCCGGTGTAGGAATGGGGATCGAAGATCTCGGGCTCGGCGAGCTGCGGAGAAATGGTGGTGTAGTCGCGGTACATGCCCGAGCTGGTCATGCTCGAGGGACTGTCGAGTGATGAGTCGAGCGACGGGGGGCCGCTGGGGGAACCCGGGGCGGCAGGGGCGCGAGGGAGTCGCATGCGGCCGCCACCTGTCTGCGTGTTCGGGATTAGAATGTGGGAAGGATGTAGGGGTAGAGATTGGTGCCAAATCACTAGTTATCTAGGTAGGTAGTCAAGCGTTCGTTGAAATGCTCCAAGAGCCACAGGACTTCAAACTTCGCATGGGCCGGTAACGGCGGGGATACTAGAAAGTTAGTTGGACAGTAAATTCAACGCAATTGTGTGGAGCCACATAGTGGTACTGGCAAGACTCATCCAGTGTTGACGTCGACGTTGGCTGGGGTCAACAGTCCAAGGTCAATGGGCATTGGGAGAAGGCAAGACTCAAGACTCAATCCGGTGTGACGCCGCACGTCAAGCACCACTTCTACAAGGCTGCAACTTCTGGTACTAAGTAGTACCGACAAGACTCATCCAGCGTTGAAGTTGACGTTGGCTGGAGCCGGAGTTTGGAGTCAGAGTCAATTGGGGGAGGCAAGGCTCAATTTGTCATGTACTCGGCCTGTAACTTCTAGTACCCAGTAGTACTGACTAGTACCGACAACTTACAAGACTCATTCAGCGTTGACGTTGGCTGGAGTCGGGAGTCGGAGTCGGAGTCACGACGGATCACCTCACCTCGACTTTCCAAGTTCCAAGCTCCGTTCCGCACGGCTGCTCCCTGGCACATCCCGCTCCGAACCTACCTTTCGCTGTGGTCCAGACGGATATTCTCATACACTCTCTCTATCTCCTGCACCGAACCAGCTCGCAGCTCGCATGCAATTTACTGATTCCACTAAAAAAAGGTCGTTCCGAATGATGCGCGTATGATCGACCAAACAATCCTAGCTCCAGCCCACCCTCCGAATCGTGGGTCATAGGCAAATCCCGTTTCTATGTATCTCACTCATCTCACCCGTCGACAACGCATACTCTACACTCTACACTCTCCACCTCTCCACCCATTGGACCATTCCGCAGCAGGCTGGCGAACCAGTATTATATTAAGAGCTTATGACTCAAGCCCGTATTCCAACCCACGACTCAGTCATCGCGAGCGGGGTTTACATATGTAGGGTATGTAGGCGGGCGGGCGGGTAGGCTGCACTAGAAGGGTAGGTATTGGCGTCTACATACATACAACGCACGCATCAGGCTGAGCTGAACATGCGCATTGTCTGCGCACTAGTGCAGTGGTGCTCCTCCGAGTGCGGCGGGCTTGGTCAGTCCGGTTCGTCTGGTTCGGATTTCAGCTGGGCTAGTGGTGGGTGGTGGAGGACGAGAACTACATACATACGATCAACGAAAGATTGTTGAAAGTTGAAACATCGGATCATGATGGGCGGATGGGCGGTCCCCCACAGAACCGCTGATTGCGAGTCACGAGCTTAGGCATCTTCGGACAAAGTTCTCCCCATCCCCCATCCCGCATCGTCTCCAGACTCTCCAGGCTGCAGACTCTCCAGACTCCACTGGAGCTCATCCCATCTATTTATCTCTCCCACCCACTACATCTATCTTTCCCTAATTTTTTCCCCCCGCCTCCCGAGAGGGTGTGTGCAAACAAAACAAACAAACAAATCCTCCTTGCTTCCACATCCATCCTACCTTACTTCCATCCCACATCCCACCTCAATTCACTATCCCCACCACCATCCCATCCCACCATTCCAACCCACCACCCCATCCCACCATCCCATTTCAACCTTAAGTAGGAAATTAAAAAAAAAAGGCGCACCTCTTCCCCCCTTCCTTCCCTTACATGAACGTGAACATGAGCATGAAAACATCGGATGGCGCGGGTGAACTACTACATACAAAGAAGGAAGAAGGGTCTCATCGATAAACCATAAATCACCAGACCAGACCACCGATGGTACATAATAGAGGCGAGACATCTGCCGACTATCACTCACTCACTCACTCACGCATTCGAAACGGTTTGCTCTCCGAGGAGCGGGGACGGGGGACATAAGCAAGAGCTACCTATGTGCGAAAAAGTAAAGATCCGGGCGGAATCCGGATATCGAATGGAATCGAATCGATGAGGAGCTTAGGTTACCGATATATGAGCTTCGTTGCCAACTTGTATGTATGCCCAGGTATGTAGGAATGTAGTCGACAGCTGCCAGTTAGTTACATATGGCGGCGGCCTTGGTAAGGTGACATTCCGATTCCAGCTACTACGCCAAATCTTGCTGGTTGCGATTGCGATCGTGTGCATGATACATGTGCAGTGAAGTACTGTGCAGTACCGGTTACGATAAGCCTTGTGGTGGTGGTCCGTGTGCGTATCCGTGGGAGAGAAGCTTCAACCTTGCTCTTGCTCTTGGGTAGAGAGCTCTTCTGGCATACAGACCTTCTCCGGCCCGGGGCATGATCCGTGCTTTGACTCTGGCTCTCGGTGGCAAACATGATGAATGGGTATGAACGTGATTATCTCGTGATGCGTTGTTCGAGTACGTTAATATAGCGAGTAGGAATATAATCGTACCCTGGACAGTACGGTGGAGTGTTGTATGTTGTAGTGGTGCAAGTGATCAGATACGAATCCTGATCCGCAAACAAAAGCTATGCGGGGTTCCGTCCCAGTCCCAGTTGCTGCGGGATCAACAGCGCCACAGCTACCTATGTAGAGTAGGTACGGCAAAAGCACGAGGCACGAGGGCGTGCACAGATAATAGAGTGGGTTGGATGACTCTGGTGCAGCGGTGCGGCCGGAGCCCCGAATTTTCCTACCTTCCTCCTAACTAGCCTTGGGGGGAGGGGGGGGAATAGAGTGAAGAACTTGAAGATGAGAGCATCCCACGTTGTCGACAATATATAGCAACAGTACGGTAGGATGTAGCGTCGTGCGAGGAGGTACGTAGGTTATAGGTATCATGACGTCCTGTCTGTCTGCCTGTCATAACTATCATATGTAACCCCTCCTCCCCTCCCTCCCATCCGCTCCCCTCCCCTCCCTGGAGTATCCCCGTATTTGTCCGATGTTTATGTTTATGTTTCCATCCTCTTGTTTCCACCGTCTGCACAGTGCACTGTGCAAGCACAACTTCATTGGTCCAGTCCACGGACGTCCAATCGGAAATTGTCGTATTCGCCAGTTCAATGCGGAGAGTGGACATGTGCTGCAAAAGTCTGCAGTTTTTCGTTCTGCAGGTGCAGTGCAGTGCACAGGGGTCTCAGGGTTGTGTGAGTGGTGGACAAGCTTGTTTCCGCAGCTTGTAGATACGAGAAGGACACCCGTAGGGCCTGGGACGAGTGATTATCAATGGAAGGCTCTGATTTGGCGGCGGGAGAAGTCTCAAAGAATACGAATGGAAGCATCAAAACTGCGGCTGAAGTGGGCGGTAACCACTCTACTATTTTACGCGGTGATCGCCGCGTAGCGACTCCAGAGTCCAAGCTGAAGGAACTTCCCGAGCGCTGCTACCGGCTCCCGGGCGGTGCTCAATTTAGCACAGCCCTGAGCCTGGCAGTTCAACAAACGCCTGTAGCATTCCTGGGTGGCTTTTAAGGTTTTGTTTCACACTGGCGACTGCGGAGCCAATGTCGCAGCGATTGGGGGATGTCCAGGAAAAACCAAACCGGTGTTCGGGGCGGGGACGACATGTTCGATGACTATTCGGCCGCAATACAGACTAGAGTAGATAACCTATCATAGTCGCAGCCGAGAAGCCCGGCGGGCGCGGGCTGCAGCAGGACAGCAGGGCAGCGGCCGCCAGGCTCCAGCCTACCGTAGAGTACCGCACCTACTCTACCGGGGCGCAGCGCGGCGGCCTCAGTCGTGCATGTATGCATCGTAGATTGGAGTGAAGAACGCCCCGCGAGGCCGCACCGGCACCGCACCGGCTGAAGAAGTAAGTGGGTATCAGTATCAGCATCAGTCTCTCGAGTGCGGGACGAGTGGGCAGCGGACAGCAACAGCCCCCCAAGTAGGCATGCTCGGAACGATGCCACCACTTCCGGAATTTCGAAATTTCGAAGCTGACCAACGTCGCGGAATCGGCAGGCTGGCGGTGGCGGCGCATGTAAATATGTAGCGAGGCGGGTTGCTCATTGGAATTTGGGTTTCGGTCGGTCGGTCGTTTTGGTGGTCGAGCTGGCCCTGTGGATTTGGCCATATGGATTATGCTCAGTCGGCTGGCTGTGGTGAAAACACATATTCTTTATCGATCATCTTTCCCTGTGTAGGATATTTTTTCATTTGTTTTTTTCTTTCATCCTTTGCGATTGACGATTGACAACACGCGACCTGCATTCCGGTCCCGACCTCTACCTATCATCGAGCGAAACAATCTAGAAACGTCGGTGTAGCATCGACTGGGTGGCGCCGGTGATGATCGCTGGGCCATGGGTGGGTGGGTTGGCCGCCGGTCGGAGTGGTGCGGATTTTGTCCGTCCTTCAGTCCCGGTCGTGGTTCGGTTACCATCGCACTTAGAATCCTAGGTAGTACTCTACTCCAGGCAGGCAGGCTGCCTTAGCCCTCCCTCTCGGTGGTATCTATGTAACAGAAGAGTCGCAATCGTCATCTGCGAGAGTATGACGGTACTGTACGCGGCACAGGTATGTACCATACTTGGATCGATATGTGGTTATTTGACTCAGGTATTCTTTTTAAAATTAAGGAGACTCCGTACAGGTAACATGATGCAGCACAGCAGCTCGCGGACGCGGGGTCGCATTTCCAGCCATTGGCGAGTCGAGGATTGGATGCGGATGTGGTGGGAGGTGATGGGGAGGGGGGGAACGGCCGCCGCTATCTCTCAGGCTGCGATGGAAGGGTTCTTTTCCTGCGCGGTGTTGAGCTGCTGCATTGCAGCGTTCATGCGAAAGCGCTGGTGAGCTGCAGAATTAGGCAACACCACCCAATGGCCACGTCGAGGGCTTTTTTTTCTCTCCGGGACGAGTGCGCCTGTGACGGCCGGGCCAGCCAGGCCAGGTGGAGGTGGAGTGAAGGTAGAGTGGAGTGGAGGAGGTGGTGGAGGTGGTGGTGGTGGAGGTGGAGGAGGTGGTGGCAGACGGGTGGCCGGCTTAGGGCGTGCAGCACGTAAAAGAATTTCCTGCCCGTTCAATCAAAAGAAAAGAGCCCCGTCCTCACCAGTGGTATGAAAGGAGCTCTATCGCCAGATTTCTTTTTTGCGTTCTTCTCCTCCTCTCCTTCTTCCCCATAGCTTCTTGTTCGCGCACTTCGAAACGGCCATCGAAACCCAAAGGTATGAATTCGAATCCAATCCTTCACACACCCCCGCAGCCTCTGACATTCTTCAGCACACCTCTTCACCACCACCACCGACCATCCCAGCTGTAGCACCGGGTTCGCAATAATTCACAATGTGCGCTTGGCATGATGAGAGGAGCAGGAGGGCGAGATCCCGCTCGAGGCCGCGAGCACGTCCTCAGACTGGCGTGCAGTATGTCTCTGCGTATCCACAGGTGAGATTCAATCCCGTGCACATTATTCGTCTATTGTTATTGTTTTGTTTGCGAATTTTATCTTTGTGGTGCTGTGGTGCTGTATGGTGCTGTGCCGCCGGCCCCCCCCACCTCCCCATTTTCCAGTGCTTATTATTATCCCCCCACCCGCATGTGCGCGAGTGACAACGGACACATAAAAAGTGTCCTCTGCCCGCGCGCCGCTCGCAGAGTCCTTGAGCACTCGCATTCCTATCTTCATACCACCCCTTGCCTTCCGATTTCCTTCACTGTGCTGCGCACTCTCCGAAATCATGTATCGCAACGCAGCATATGCCCCAGCTCCCCCGCCTCCGCCGGCCCCTCGATATGAATCGTTTCGTTCGGAATGGGCCCGGGTTCGAACACAGTGTTCTGCACATCGTGGAGAATAGGAAGCTAACGTGCATTGTCAACAGAGCTCCAACTACGCCCCATCCGCCGAATCCTCGTCCGACTACTCGTCGTCCGATGACTTCAGAAACCCCCACAGCATCCATGTCCCCGCCAACCGCGGCGGCCGCATGCGACTCCCTCGCGCCCCTGCCGCCCCGGGCTCCCCCAGCGGCCCCCCGTCGCTCGACTCATCACTCGACAGTCCCTCGAGCATGACCAGCTCGGGCATGTACCGCGACTACACCACCATTTCTCCGCAGCTCGCCGAGCCCGAGATCTTTGATCCCCATTCCTACACCGGCGCCTATGGCTATGGCGCCCACCAGGACCGCTTCGCACCACCACCCCGCCCCGCCTCCGCCATGAAGCGCAAGCCCGCACCCATGACCGTCAACGTCCCTCCCCCACCGCCAATGGCCAACATCTCTCACGAGCCAAACTGCATAATCGCTGAACCCGACAGCCCAACAACTTCGCGGCGTGGCGGACCCAAGGCACGCAGCTATCTTGACGCGGACGCACCCCAGGTGGAAGTGGTCGAAGTGCACTCCCAGCCGCCGCTTTCCCCCACAGGGCCAACCCAGGCCGACGCACACGCGCGCTCGTCTATGGTGTACCAATCCTACTACCCCCAACAACCCCCACCACAGCAGATGATGCACCGACACCCACACCATCCCGGCGTCGAAGCACCAGAGGCGCAATGGTTCGAAGACGAAGACGACCAGGAGGACTACGAGCCGATCTACCGGCGGCCGCGTAACCAGGTCCGACACATCCCCGTCGAGTCACGACCGCGCAGCCGGTCGCGGGCAAGGTCGAGAGGCGCGCCATCGTCGCGGGGGGGCGGCAGCGTCGCGGGCTCTCAGATCGAGATTATCGAGTACGAGCGACGGCACAGGCACAGACATCGGTCGAGGTCGAGACACCATAGACATAGATCGCGCGGTCCCGGCGAGGAGGAGAAGAAGAGGTCGGCGGAGCTTCAGGCGCAGATCGATGCGCTCACCACCAGGCTGAGCAATATCATGGACGATCCCTATGCCCAGGATATCATCGCGAGTGAGGGTATCAAGTTTGATGTTTTGTATTCGGCGGCGAAATAGGCTGTACTTTTTTGTATTTCTTCTTCTGCTTCTTCTTCTTTTTCACCTTCGCCTTTGAAGTTTGTTTTTTTAGTTAGGTGTATGGAGTCTTGTCGTCGCTGGGGGTTGGGGGTGGGGGGGTGTGTATCATACTTGTATCGGAAAGCAACTGTCGATGAAACAAAAATTTAAGCTGTGTTCACTCGAATCGAGTCCCGTCGCGGTGATTGATAGTAGTTATATGTGTCTGGCCTTGAGTCCCGTCGCGTTGACTGAACCCGAGATCCCCCAGGCCCACCACTGAGAACTGAGTCATGGCTGTTGCGCGCACAATCCGTGCGCACACTCTGTCGCCCCCACAACTCAACAATCTCGCGAAAAAACTCACAATGCTCAGCCACCCACCCTGGGAATCGAGCTCGAGAGGATCTTCCCGTCCCGTCCCATGAATCGCGTCCCATGGATATATCATCCTGGGAAGACGGGTTAAACGGTTAACCAGTGTACCAGTATCGGAATATGCCAGCCAAGAATGGAGAAGGGGGAACGGGGAGTGCCGGTTGGGTGTTTATTTTCGGGATTGTTCGGCGAGGTGACACCGTGACAGGGGAGGGAGGGTGGGTGATAAGGGGTGACTGCGGACACTGAGGGATCACTCGGTTCAGTGGCCAATGCGTAGTATCCAGTTTCCAGTATCAACACCCCCAGGCAGCCAGGTGGCAGGCAGCCCGCGCCGATGAAACTGGCGATCACAGGACGGGACGAGCAGTAGTCCCGACTCCTGAGCGGGAGCTGAAGGTGGCAGTGCTGTTCGAGAGCCTCATCAGCCCACTGAGTCCAGTCCAGTCCAATCCAGCCGTACATAGCGGCGCAGGCCTGTACTCAAGATAGACGAGTACTCCACTCTCTGCCCTCCACTCTCGATCGCCTGCGGGTCCGCGGCCGGCTGAGGAGCGAGGGAGGGAGGGAGGGAGCCACACCGCAGCACGCCGCACGCCGCCGCCGCGCCGACCGCCGGATTCGAAGATTCCCGCCGGATTATGGTAGGTACTGAGAAGCCGCGAAACAGGGGGGTGGTTGAGAAAGAGAAAAGGAGTCAATTGTAAGAAGGGGCCCTATCAGCAGGAAGCCCGAGAAATGCAGAGATCGCGACACAGAAAATGTAGCGACACAGAAACAACAAATGATCAGATTAACTCAGAGAATGACAAGGAAAGAAAAGAAAGAGAGGCAGGACGGCACCCCCTCTTTAAAGAGGGGCCGGAAAAAACACGTTTGGCCCACCGTATCCGGTCGGCTTGATGATGATGGCAACGAACAGAAACAATCACTTCAAAAGACAACTGGTTGCTACAGGCTGGACACAGCCCTCCGCCGCACTAAGTCCGGCTCGGCCCTTCAGGTCCCCCAGTACTGAGGGAGCGCAGAGGCAGAGGCGGCTTGGGGCCATCTGCGAACGGCGGAGAGAGGCTTGTTGAGACCTGGTGGTACCTGATCCCGAGTCCAGATCCGATGCGGTCATCCAAACGTTTACCTGTCTCTGTTGTCACTACTTCTGTCTTCCTGTTGTTGTTCTTGTCGTTGTTCTCTGATTGTCATCAGGTCATCAGTCTCATCATTAGTCTTCATCACCCTCTTCATCAGTCTCTTCATCAGTCCTCATCAATTCATCAATTCATCAGTTCATCAGTTCATCAGTTCATCAGTTCATCACCTTGTATCAGGACCGCTACGTAACGTTTTGTCCGAAGTTTCTAGTTCTGCTGCTGCTGCTGCTCTCTCCTGAATCGATCAATCTCCCCTCCCCACCCCCCCCCCCCCCCCCCCCCCCCAACCCATCCGTGGGCCCCAGTACGGTACGTCGGTACCCAAGATTCAAGTCCCAAGTGCGCGCTCTGCGGTACTACGGTACTACGGTAATCACAGCACTGTCATTCGATCCCCTCCCACTACCTCTCCCCGTACATACCGGTATCCGCACGCTCAATATCCGCATCCGCATCTACATGTTACTGTCTAGGACCTATGACATTAGGTACCTGGGTATTCTCGGTATTCTCGGTGTGTATCGCTACTGCACAAATACGCCCCCCCCTTATCCCCCCAAAAACCGGGTACTGCTCGTGTGATGGAGTGATGAACCGTGTCCGACATCTCGCTAATGTCGAACCATAGGATGCTCGCCGCCACCGCCGCCGCCGTCTCATGTCTGCCATCTGTGCCTACTCATGCGATGCCTGCAGAGCTGATGGCGGGGAGGAGGGCGGAAGGGGAAGCGAGCCCCGTCCGATGCAGCAGCAGCAGCAGCAGCAGCAGCACCGAGACATGCAATGCCGGCGCCGGCACCGATGTGGGATGGGGGTGTGGGGACGCATTTGCTTTGACGCAGGCTTGCTCCGACGCAGGAGACGGGGGGGCAGGAGCGGAGCCGAGCCACCTCCTGCAACAAGCGCCGATGCGGCCGCCGACGCCGATGCACAGCGGTTCCAGGGCGGGGCGGGGGGCGGCGAGGTTCTCCATACCTAGCATAGCCCGTGCTAGAAGCGGGCATCTCCTTGTCACCTGCTCCACTCTACACAGCAACTAGGCGGTCCGCGGGCGGGCAGACGGGCGGCAAGTGCGGCGACGGCGGTTTCATAGAGTACTCACATACCCACAGCAACATCAACGTTAGTGCTGGATTCCCCTCCACCGCCGCCCCCATGAAAGCGCCCACCAATTCTCGCCGGCCTCGAGCTCCCACTGGTTTGGCCCCGCCTGCGTTCTTCCAACCGCCACCCCTACATCATACATACAGACATACATGCATACTCGTGCATCTGTCGCGCGGCGCACGGCCTCCGCCATCCACCCCTCCGCATCCACCCCTCCGCATCCATTCCCAGTTCCAACCCCGACATACCCCGACCCGATCCCGATCGCTCGCTCGCCGCCCAGTCTGTGGCCCTGTGGGGGTGGAGTGGGGGGGGATCAACGCCGACGTATGCAGCTACCGAGTACGTACCGCTGACCAACCGCATGGCCGCAGTGACAGCTCCAGCTCCAGCCCACCAGCCCACTACTAGTAACTAAACACTGCAGCCTGCGGCCTGCGGCCCCCGCAGCGCGTACTCCATCACCATCGTTGGATGGTTGGATGAACTCATCATCCCGCCTATGCAACTTCGGACCAGAGGAGAAAGGGAGAAGAGAGTGAGAAGAGAGTGAGAATGCAATCCTTGCTGATTACCAATTAAATCCAGCCAGCCAGTGCTCTCTATGTCGGCACGGTATGTATCGTACTCTAGGTGCTCTATGTATCCACCATGACGATATGTACTCTGCCAATCCAATCGCCAATCCAATCGCCAATCCACCAATCCACCAGTCCCATACCTGCCCAGTAGTCCCGTCCCAGTCCCGTCCGCAGAGAAGATCAAAGATCAAACGCCATCCATCCATCCATCCATCAAACAACCCTCTCGCCATTGAATTTGCCCACCCCCCGCCCCTCCCCGCCGCCGCCCCGGAAAAAAAAAACCGGATCCAAAAAGAGGAAGAAAAAAATCGAAACGCCCCCAAAAGTCGAAAAATGCTCCAAAATAAAGACCCCGCGCAAGCAATGCCCCTCACCCCCCCCACCCCCAAAGAAAAAAGATGCCAAAGGAAAAAGAGGAAAAAGAGGAGAAAGAAAAAAGTGAAACTATAGTACAATAAAGAAAAACGAAAAAAACAACAGAAGGAAATCCCCAGCTTGTTGTACAGACCTATTGCCAGCCATCCTCCCCTCACATCGGTAGGTACTTGGTTGCTCGTTGCCAGAACGAGAAGTCAACCGTTTCCCTTATCATTGTTCCTACAATTTAAGCAGGAATCGCCGCCCGGGCGCGGGCCTTCCTCTTGTTGGGGTTCGGCGAGTAGTCGGCATACTCTGGCCTCGAGGTCTTGGGGGACGCCGGCGGCGTGGGGTTTCCGAGCATGATGCCGTTGGAAACCGGCAACATCTCGACTCTCGTCTTGAGGGAGCCGATGACCTGGCTGCTCCGCTGCGACTTGTCGATGAACGACCTGAGGATGGCCTCGACCTCGTTGCGGGCGTCGGCGCTGGCCTTGATGTCGGCTTTCAGCTTCAGCTGCTGCTTCTGGAACTCGAGGCGCTCCTCGCGCAGCCGCTGGCGCTCCAGGTCGAAGGCGTGCTTCTCCTCCTTCTGCCGGGCGACCTCGAGGCGCCATGCCGCCTTCTCGGCGTCGAGGCTGTCCTTCTCGCGGAGCAGCGCTCCCTTGTCGCGCTTGATGTCCTCCCAGACCTTTGCGCTGCTCCACGCGCCGGGGAGCGGCGACAGCTGGTCGTCGGTGTCGGTGTCGGTGGAGCCGGTGGGGGACACGGCAATGGTGGTGGTGTCGGGCTTCCACGCGGCCGTCTCGGGCTTCCACACGGCGTGCTCGACGCCCGGCGTGCCGCGCTCGACGTCGATCTGCTGCCAGTCGGTGGTGGTCTTCTGCCCAAACATCTTCTTGACGTTGCGGCTGACGAAGTCGAGCACGCTGCCGAAGACGAACAGTACCATGGTTGCGGCGAAGGCCAGGATCCACAGGGGCGTTAGTGCTGCGATCGCGGTGTAGCGGAAGTAGATGCTTTCGCCGTCCTTGCGCGGAGGCAAGTTGGTGTAGCCGAGCTGGTGGACGATGAAGACCGGGAGTGCCAGGATTTCGAGTATCAGGTAGGGGATGGTTGAGAGGGCAGGCAAGTGGTGGATGATATCGCGGAGCTTGGGGTGCGAGGGGGGGAAGAGGACGATGCGGGGAGACAGTTGGCGCAAGTGATCAAGATGGTTGCGAACGAATGTCGAAGTAGCAGCGGTGGAGAGGAAACGAAAGAGGATAAATATCAGCGAGATATTTGCGGCGCAGGCCCACAGATCGGCGAGTGACAGTTGTTCCAGGCTGGGGTAAGCCGCCGCGATATTTTTGTACCGCACGTCGTAGGGTACGGCTGAATTCAAAATCGTCGCAATCGCACATGAAACCCAACCTGCCAATGGCCGTAGTGTCGAACGATAGTGCAGCTGTGGTGCCGCAGGCGACGTGTTAGCCTGCTATCCGTAGAGATTCTCGAGCACCGATTCGTCCAGCGCAGCATGGCGGCCCGTTGGGTCTGGCAGCTGGGGGTACATAGCTAGGCAGAGAGGGGAGGTTGTCCATACCAGCCAATGCAACGAGAGGAACTTGCATGCAGGTACCTTTACGAGTACCCCAGCTGTCTGCGCCACTTGATTCACATTCTCCAGCACACACGACACCCAGACCGGTACGTGGGTGAGGGTATACTCCTCAAGCAGAAAGGCGGCTGCTGCGAGGTTGATCGAGATCCCAGCAAGGTAGCAGAGCGCGACGTGGAGGGTTGCTGCGAATCGAAACGTCAGCATGCCTTGTTCAGTAGAGTGCTATACAAAGTCGTTGTGTACAGTGCACAGCGCTCAGTGTACAGCGGCCGCGACACATGGGAACCGGGCACGGGTGCGACCTGTGCGAAAAAAGAAAGGAAGGAAGAGAAGCGTGAAACTCACCAGCGATAATCTCGTAAGCGTTCATGAGACTGCCTGGCGCGCTGGAAATGCGGACCGCGACGGGCGCCAAATAGTACGAGACATGGGGGGACATGGTCTCATGTAGCTTAGCGAAGTATTGGTCCATCATTATTCTTGGTGGAGGGGGGGGGGTTAATTTGCGAGTGATTGGATGAATGAATAAGAGAGGGAATAGGTATGGTGGTGAAGGATAGTTTCTTGAGAGGGAACGGTCGAGATGGTGGAGTGTAAGGAGGATGGAAGAGCGAGGGATGGAGGAGGATGGAGAAGAGGAGAGAGGATTGTGAGAAGAGGAGAGAGGATTGTGAGAATGAAGTTGGGATAGAATTAAGGTATGAGCCAGAAGAAGTGTTTGGGTTAGGACGTGGTGGTGGTGAGGTTGAATGGCTCGTGTGAGAGGGGTGGGTTCTCGTCACGACGATGACGATTGTTTTTGGAGAGGGTTTTTCGACTACCTAATCTGTGAAACACAAATTCGATTGGAATTGCTTCGACCCTTTGAGACATTCACTCCACAACAACACAACAGCAGAGCATCAGGCATCTGCGTGTTCAACTGCGATTCATGCGAGATGCGATGTTGGGTTGTACGCGAGAAGAGAGGGCTGTGGATGGCGGGTTAGGTACATACGGTGCCCAGCAGCAGTAGGTGCTCGGAGCGGGTGCGAGTGATATGAATCGGATCCCCCGCCAGAGGTACATACTGGTATGTACAAGTACAGAGGTGCCTTATTTCGGATGTGCCATAATGCGAGAGTGCAAAGTACATAATCAGATCTTGCCGATGGATGGATGTCCGTTCTACTCAAGGCGACGTAGGTACTATAGATGCCTGCTCTCGCTCGCTCGTTCGGGGTTGCCCTCGAGGAATGTTCCGTTTGTCCCCTCGGCAACCAACCAGAAAACCTACGAGTATTCTAGCTGGGGACTCGATAGTGGTGAGAGAAGTCTGTATTCCGGTTTGGGCAGCAGTGCTAGGTAATAGCGAAAGAGTTAAAGCACGTTTCAATCCTTCGCCACCTCTCCGGCTCCCTGGTTTCCTTCCATTTCATTGTGTTCGCATGAGCCGTCTGCCCGTACCGCAGGGGTGCATCTTCGTGAATCGTAGTCTCACAGAAATGCACTCGATCGGTATCATCGCTCGCACTGAGGATATCTCGATGCGCATCGCTTCGAGATAGAGCACCTGTAGATTACATGAACCATAGATTACATACGCACAGTACTTCCGGGAAACACCTCACTCCAACTCCGTCCTATGAATTACCGCAGCTGACTAATAAACATGTGCAATAGATACCGTGCCGTATGGACTGTCGCAAAACATCCCACGAAAAAAGAAAAGAAGAAAAAGAAGAAAAGAAACAGACAACTCTCCGACAGAGGATCGTTATGCTCCAGCTTCAATACATCTCACCGATACTCCCATCGCTACTCCCCATCCCCATCATCTGCTTCTTTGACACTCGCACGCACCTGCTTCCACACATACCGCGAGTCTCTCTCTTTCACACCGGCCCGCAGATGTTGCTGGTACAAGACCTTGATTCTGACATTGGGCCAGACGGAAAGCTCATGTCGCGGCTTTTTGTGCTCGACGGGCTTTTGGCGGCGCTTGAACCTCTCGTATCGGAGGTGGTAGGAACACTTCTGTTTGGCAACCCTCAACCGCGCACCTGCTTTGAACGGTTTGATCTCAGGATCGGGCACGAGCTGGACCATGGACCATTCGTCGGACGGCATCTGGATGGCGACTACGTATGGGCTCCGTGCACCCGCGTTGATTAGGTACCGGCACACGTTGCTGCGGCAGAGACAGTGCCCGCCATAGCTGTGCCAGTCGTCGAATGTGCCATAGTCAATCAAAATCTCCCAGCCCTTGGGGATGAGCTTCGTCGTGCGGATCGCCTGCACCATTCGGCCTTTGTGGTTCTCGTCGACATATTCGACATTGACAACTTTTGGATCGCAGTGGTGGTTGATGAACCGTGTTTCCGTCCCCGACTTCAAGGCGTCGATGTAATAGCTGAAAGACTTCGTACGACCGGCCTCGTCAACCCCGAATTCGGTATCTGCGTCCCAATGCCCGCCGATGGCGTATCGCATATCCCGGTTCTTCATGGCTTGGACGACATCAGGCCTTTTCTCGTTGTTGTCGTACACTTCGATGACACCTCTGTACTCGCCAATGTACTCCCCCTTCTTGATACTGCGTAAGGCTCGTAGGCCAATCCCTCTGCCATCGGCGGTGGTGAACAGCACAGTCTTGGGTAACTGCGCCGGAGGTTTGCGGAAGCAGTTGCATTCCGAAAAGTGCTCGCATAGAAACCCGCCAGCGGGACGGTCATCGGTTACGTACAGTTCGCGGGGATCTCGGTACTCATCCAGTGGCTTTGAATCGATATCGGGCGTAAATCGGTATTCGCTGTCATCTAGGTACCGCACGTCCTTTGGTACCTGGACATTTGAGTCCGCCACAACCCATCGTTTCTTTCCGGTGCAGTCCTCGATCACGATGAAATCGTCCACCATCCAGTTTCTGAACTCTGCTCGCCGTTGCTTCTCCATTTCCTCCTGCCGCTTCCTTGCATTTTCTTGGCGTTCGAGCATTTGTTTACGCTCCTGTTCCTCTTTTTCCCGTATTATCCTCTGTTTCTCTTGTTCTGCTTCCTGCCGAAGTCTCTCCTTCTCTTTCTCTGCTTCCTGCCGAAGTCTCTCCTTCTTTTGATCTTCAGTCTCTGACCATGGGCTCAACCCTTGGAACAAATGTGCCACACCCGAAAACAAACCTCTCTGACCGCCATTCCCATTACCGGATGGTTCAGTTGGTGGTTGTAGGTTCCCCGGCTTACCTCCTTCTTCCGTAGGTGGTGTGGGTGATTGTGGCTTTGGGCAAGATGTTAATGATGGACGGTCGTCGGGTGAGGTAGGACCCACCCCATCTTCGTGGCCAGTAGTATTCACCTTCTGCTGCTCCTCCTTCTCTACCTCCGTTGGTGCTCCAGGTGCTGGTACCGCAGATGTATTTGTATGCAGCATTTCTAATTCATCGCGACGCGTTGCCATCCGATAGACGAGATCAAACATATAATCCAGATCATCCACCTCCTCTTTAATCCTGTCGCATAGATGCTCGAAAGCCTCATTGTCTTGTCCTGCATGGTCAAGTTGATTGAACGGCACGTCGTCGTAGAGGTCCGGAGGGGTCGCTACCGGCTTCGGGCGGACATCTTGAACCTCGGAATTCCATTCATAGAGTTTCATAAATTCCAGTCTTGGTTTCCCGGTGTCTGTGCTGGGGCCGAGGTATTCTCCGGGACGGTATTCGTCGCCGGTCATGGGGAAATACTCGTTCATATCGATTGGATTGAACGGCACGTAGAGCGGCGGATCGCCGTTTATTGTCGGCGGCGAACGATGCACTAGTTCACTCCCCATAGCGGCCGCAAGCAGCGCCTCCATGCCGTCGCTGCTTTCAGCGTCCATTATCGGCGTCGGCGGCGAACGATGCACTAGTTCACTCCCCATAGCGGCCGCAAGCAACGCCTCCATGCCACCGCCGTCATCGTCATCATTTGGCTGGTCCCGGGTATCGGCTTCTTCTTCTCGTAGCTCCTTCATTTCTCCCTCTTCGTCGCGTTCCATTTCTGCAAACACGGCTTCAAGTTCGTCCGTCCAGGTCCCCTCCTTCTTCATCTCCTTCCTGTTTGCAACCCTTTGCTGTCTCCGATCCGCCTTCACCTTAAAAATCTTGTCGGTAAGGAAGGCCTTCTCTGGCGGGCGTCCTCTGCGTGCTATTTTCGCATCTGTAATACGCCGCATGTACTCCTCATAAGCCTCGAGGCTAGTGTGACCGTGGCGGTTCAACGTCTCTACCAGCTGGTTCGACGGGGACGACGGGTCTCCAATGGTGTAGAAGACGTTGGTCTGCAATGCATGTCCGACCAGCGAATTGAGCGGACTCGGTTTCTCATTTAGGTGCGGGCCACCGCGGCTCACTTTTCGGGTCGTGATGGCATTCAACCATTGTGAATGCTTGTTCGCCTCGAATGACCTCCGCACCGCGGCCAACGCTCGCCGCTGGCGTTTCTGGAGTTCCTGGAGTTTCTGAAGTGCCTCTTCGTACCCCGGTGAGCCGGGGTTGGGTAGTTTTATCACCTCCTCCTCTTTCTCTGTCATATCCGTCATCGCTACCACACCCTGCTGCTGAGCCATTTCACCACCCCGGGCTCCAATGCGGAAAGCTCACCTTGAAAGCCCGCAACCGGTCCAACGTTAACTATGGTAGTCTTCGGCTCCCCGGTTACCGTATGTATCGTCGTTTACCCCCACGCGCGGCTCCTCGACGGCTGTAACTAGTAGCGAACTCGAATCTCGTCTGGCTGCTGTCGCCGGTCGATTCCTTTGTCCACTGGGGACCTCTCTTCCGCTGTAGCGACCTATTTCTCGCAGCGACCTCTCTCTCTCCTTCCGTTGTTTTTTTCTTTGCGCCAGGCCGAGTCGAAGCTCTGCTTCCAGTCCAGTCCAGTCGGTCGATCGGGAATCGAAACGGACGAATGGATGGACGAATGGATGTCTGGCAGGAAACCGTTCAACCTGTGCGTGCGTATCGTATGCGTATGTATGTATGTATATATTGTATGTATGCGAATCCGGGGCTCGCATGCCGTAGATATGTACCTTAAATCCTGAGGGTGCTTTGTTGGCGCTGCTTGTGTGGGAAACGTTTCGACACGAGGCGGGAATGCTCCCTGTCATGTGTGGAACTATCTAAAGGGAGGGCCATAAGCTTCTTTGTTCATGGACGGCCACGGTGGGCCCCGGTGGGGCTTTGTTATTGTGGCAGCCTGGCAGCTTGGCGGGGAGGTGACAGGTGCAGACGTCAAGTCGCTTGCTGAGGGGTAGTGACATGATCGGTGTGTGAGAGCTGCGATGTTTCTGCTTGTGCATCTTATAAGAGTGAGATTGAGTCACTGCGGATCATCCTCCTCGACGACCATGGCGTTGGTTTTTTACTGCCCAACTAAGCGAATCGTCACCGGTTCTCGCTCGCATCCCCATTCCCTTCTCACGGAAATAAAATGCATTCGGTTCGCGGATCCAGATCCCACCGAGCGTAAGCGTCTTGGGAGATTAACACCAGCCAGCTTGCTACCAGTACATAATGTATCATACCGGCCCCACCTCCACCCTCCCCGGGCGCTATTCACGCATCCTCTCACTCGTCCCACCCCTACTTCGTAGTGACCTTATTTCCCCCCTCCATAAACACGCCACCAAAGATGATGCCCTCATTGATCCCAGACGGCTGGTATCCCTGCTTGACCACGTTCGAGGTGTCTCCAGTGGGATGCTTGATGAGGCCGATGTGATCTGCAGCGCTCGGATCAGTGTTTATCCATATGTGGACAGGTGCGGGGCGCGCTTACATTGTCCCTTCCCGGTAGCATCATTCTCGCGCCTCTTGACGACCTGTTTCAGCGGGTTATTTCCCGCAGAGTACCACGCGGCCAGCGCACTATTACTCCCCGCAACCATCGTCAGCTCTCTAGGCACGTTTCCCCGTCCCCCAACAGCTCACGGAAGATCGACGTACTTTTCCTCGAAATCCACCTGCACAGCAAAATTGTGCCACACGCCAGCGCGGAACTCGGTCTGGAACAGCAGCTGCGCAGGCACACCACCGGTAGTTCCCGACTCAAGACGCAGCGCTTTTGCATCGCGCCCTGCCGCGTCGGTGCCGTACGCCGTCCCCGTGTTCAGCGTCCAGATGTGCGAGGCGTAGTCGGCGGTTTCGAGGAAGGTCACCTTTTCTTCGTCAGACAGGAATGGATAAGAGGGGCGGGGGATGTACGTGGTACATATGCGTCCCGTTCAGTGGCCGCGAGGCGTCCTTCATCACTGAGAAGTGCAGTGTCGTCGTCCCCTGCACCGTCGCGTCGCTGCCGTTGTTGATGCTAGGCATTACCTCTGACCGCCGGAAGCCGCCTTGTCGTGTCGACTCGTCGCCTGGGATGAAGATCGACGAGTCGGTCAGTATTACAGCCCAGGGTTTGGCGGACTTGCGGTCGAGCTGGAGGGCGGGTGTCAGCCGACGTATCTGTGTAGAGAAAAGTCGGAGGGTGAGCACTGAGTACTCACAAGTGCCTGCGGAACCCGGGGAAACTTGATGATCTCGGACCACGTCTGATCTACAAATTACAAATATCAGTTCACCGCTCGTCTCCACCGCGGACCCATCCGTAGAAGAGGAAAAACTTACTCTTCCCATGGTTCCAGTCGACATTGAACGGCGAGAGCGCCGGATCGTCAAAGCTCTTGACATCGAAGGTCTTCGGAATGCGGCCGTCCCAAACAATCTCCGGCTTCGCCGCTGCCGTTGGGCTCGCAATCGTCGCGGAGACGAACATTACCGCAAAGACTAGTAGTGTGGATACCATGATTAACTACAGGCGTAGAGACCGTGCAAAACGAGCGTGTAGAGCGGGTGTGGATTGGTTATAGGCTTGGAGGAGGTCCGGAGTACGAGTCTCTTATATATACCCAATCCAATTACACCAGCCCCCTACTCCAGACGACATTGCGGGCCAATATATGGGGTAAACACGCTCAATCGCCGCAAATACCGTACCGTACCAGCACTCAGGCACTGCGGAGCAGGTACCGATCGAGTCGAGTCGACGTGCGAAGAAACACCTGTTTCCCGCGGTCAAACGCGCAGTCCCGCCATCTGCGTGACAACTAGGCGACAACTACTCTATACACGAAACGCCAATTTCTCCCAGTAAATAGGTACATAGCTCCTCATCACCCGCTTGCGGGCGAAACCTGGGGGAAGGAGGGGGAGATCGGCCCTGCGATACCGGGGTTGTCTACTGGTACGTACCATCGCGGGCTCGGCGCCCGCCCCACGGGTCGGTCTCGACTCTCGAAAGGCTTGTTTTGACGCGATTCACGCGACCCACGCTGGCAGGCAGACGGGCAGGGCCCCCGGCCGTCGTGGAGATCACTTCTTCATACTATACCCAGCACAGGCGCGCATATCTGATGGGGGTGATATCCTGTGATCCAGTGATCCGCGGGAAGCCGGGGGGGCCGGGACGGGCAAGGATTGGCAGTCTGGAGACGCGGGCCGCACGCTCCTGATATACATCATAATAATAATACCGGTACCGGTACGTCCCGGTTGCATATTCCGCTTCCCGCCCATATGATTATGTGATGTATGGTTGTGGACGCCTATAACCGATGGAAAAACACCCCCCAACTTTGACACCTATCTCCTCCACCGAAAAAAAAATTTGAACAAAAACTCTCTATTAATCGATAGAGAATCGCATGGCCGTAATTTAAATAACGTCCGATTAATTTTAAGACACGTGGTTGTGGAGAAGAAGAATTTAGAAAATAAATCATTTTGTATGGAGGCCACCCCAATGTCCCTCCCCTATTATCACCCGATTTACCCATGTTTGCACTGAACTTGCCCATTCTGGGCCCATAGACAGCCAATCGGGTAAGCCAAGAACCATTTTGGGCTGATATTTAGTTTAAATAGGCCTAAAATGGAATTACAAATGCCTATCTTGACTAAAAAAAACTCAAAAATCGGTATTTATTACCCGTTTTGTAAATTAATTCGATTTTTCCACGAATGTCCCACCCCATCGGCTCTAGGAGTCCCCAACCATACCATCGGGAGGGAGGAGTTTCTTAGGGTCTGGCTACTAGTAGACACACACCCCACCCCCGACCACCCACCCCGACCCCCGGCCCTCTGGAAGACTGGATCACATACCTCGGGGAATCGTACTACCAGTGCATCTGCATCTGCAGCTGCAGATGCATCTTGCTGACTCTCCACCCCGGTCTACATATGTATGTACATGTATCTACATACCATGCAAGGCCGGGATGAGATTCACGAAGTTTTGCACAGCCCCAACGACGTAGGTATCAATGTAGGGAAAAGCTATTTTTCGGTTTTCGATTTTGGTCTTGGGCTTGGGCTTGGGCGCGCGATGTGGACTCTGGAGATCTTCCATCTGTGTAGAGAAGGAGAGAAGGTGTGTGTACCCTACACCTAGTAACTAGTACTCTGGGTACCAAGTATGCCAGCAGCGCTTCCCCGCTAACTAACTCAACTAAGTAACTACCTTATACGAAGCTGTCGAAGAAGATCAGGGTGGAAGATGGAAGATGGAAAGGCGAAGAAGGACAAAGCGCGGCGGCGTGGCTGCTGCCTGTTCCGCTGCCTGTTGCCTGTTCAGATATGTACTGATACCGATAAGTGGTCTATGTATGAGGTAAGTACTGACTGCGGGCGAGTGAGTGAGCGAGCAAGCCAGTCAACAAGCCGAGCCGATTGACGTAGAGTACATAGCTCTACTACAGTCTACTATCATCTATGATACCGTATTATCTTAGATAACCGTTCGCTTTTTAAAATTGAACTAACGCGATAAAGCGCACACTAGCGTGATTAAGGTTAGCGCCGGCGCGGCAACACAACATCAGTCGAGTAGGTTGGTGCGGCTGAAACTGCTGAAGCATCGTGGGAATGGCAGATGTAGAGCTTTACAGTACAAGTAGAGTACACCCTACAAAGATTAAGTCGATAGAAATCACGGAAACAATAATGGAGAACAACGAGGTCATCTTTCCTTCGAAAGTAGCACACGCCGACACAGTCATGTCAGAATTCGCAGCTCTTGTTCTTACATCTACGGCTCAAGGTGTTCCCGATAACGACAGCGATGAAGATAACAATATCAGACTACTCGCTCGTCAAACATGTCTACAATGCACAGTGGCCGCGCTCTCGACAAACCCAGTTGACGCGTCCTCAGCAGCAGACTTGGTGGCCGCGCTCGTGGCAAGCTCGGCGAACGCGTTCTTGCCAGGCTCAGTGGGCGTGTTCTTGCGAGGCTCGGGCGCGCTCTCGGCAGGTTAAGTGGTGTGCCCGTGGAAGGTTCAGTAGACGCATCCTCAGCAGGCTCAGGCTTCAGCGGTCACTCTCTCAGCGCGCATGGGAAAGATGCCTGTTCCAGTTGAACCAGTATTAGCTAGGAGAATCAAGCAACTGGAAGGAGTAGCTAGGCGGTATGTGGTTGTAGAGGTGTTTCCTAACATCAGCGACACTGAAGATGATGATGTTGTGGAAGTCTACTGGAGAGACGAGGCCTGAAGTTGGGTGCTGTGCATGTGGAGAAACATTACGGGGACTTTGCGCTAGTGACTTTGACACTGACTAAGCGCCAAGCGCTCTAAACCAGCGTTGTAACCCGCCAAGTCTGTGTGTAACAGTGCTAACCACTCAAAAAAAGCGAACAGTTATCCGAGATAATACGGTACTCTACATACTTCCTGTTTGAGTAACGTAGGTACATTTCTAACTCCTTCGCTCTCCGCCGAAATCTACTCGGGGTAATGTACCCGTGGACTACCCGTGGACATCTCGGAGAGATTCAGTACGACCGATCGCGAAGCTTCTCTGCATACTTCATACTTCATACTTCGAAATTCCAATCCTCCCCGGCCCCCGGCCAGCAGACCACCTGTTTACCTAACCCACCTACCAGTGTATCCACGCCGCAAATACCCCCCCAACTCTATATACTAGATATATTCCACAGTAGTATCTACCATGCCATGCCATGCGCTGCCATGCGCTGCACTGCACTGCAGTTACGGGATCGCTTTGCAAGCACAAGGGTAGAGTACATAGAAATACATAGAGCATACATAAAAAAATGTACTGGTACATGATACATATAGTACTCTACATACATACATCGACGGCAGCCTAGTACTCACACCCAGTGCTCCACCTAGGTAGTACTCCAGAGTCCACACAGGACATGTCATGTCACGATCACATGACCACACGCGCTCGCACCCCTCCCGGTTGCCTCACCCTCACCCGCATGCCCCCGCCGCGGCGCTGCCATCATCATCATCGTCGGAGGTCGGCTACACCGGGGCCGTCTCACATGCCTCCAAGTTCCATGCTTAGCAAATCCCGTCCCCCCCGTGCGGTCTAAAAACAGCACAGCACGGCTACTGCAGCTAATTCTGGTTAAAAGTTAACACCCGCTCTCTCCACTGCCAGAGTCTAGAAAAGTTTTGGTTTGGTTACCTTCGTGAAGGCTTCGGCTTCGATGCGTCTTCCACGCATGTCTGAGAGTGCTCGAGGGTGCTCGAGGGTGCTGGAGGAAGCTGGAGCTGGTGGGATGCAGGTACTCTATCTGCTTACATACATGACATGAGCAAGCAGCAGCAGCAAGCAAGCAGCAGCAAGTCACGCACCAAACCAAAGGTTTTTTCTTTCACCTTGCACAGTGGACACACGACCAAACCGTCAGTCTCCTGCAGGACTGCAGGAGACGCGTGTCAAGTTTTGCAACTGCTGGACAGATTGATAACTGGCAATTCGTGGTGACGATGGTTAACTCCCAAAGTAAAAACTTGAATTCAGGGCACTCCGATGCATGAAGCCAGAACCAAAAACAAAACGTGAAAACTCAAAAAAAAAAAGACAAATATTGAACCCTTAACATGCCCGTTCCGTTTTCTATGTACGCATTCCCGAGCCGTGACCAACCCCGAAAAACACCAAAAATATACCCAAGACATAAAAACCCGATGATTGATCGAGAAAAAAATAGGAAAACAAAAACACGTGAGCAAAAAAAGAGTAAAGAAAAGAAAAGCAAGGAGGCATTAGCCACCACCGCTGCTGCTGCCGCTCGCAGCCATGACGGCATTCATGATCCTCTCCACCACATCCTCGCCGTGTCGACGCTTGATGTGATCCCTCATGTTGTCTTTCCGTGCGGTCCTGTGTCCACAAACGGCGCAGACCAGGTGCTCTTCCCTCCGGTGCTTGGATTTCGTGTGCCGGTCTCGGTCCTTTTCCGTCGAGAAGAAGGAATCACATGCCGCTTCGGGGCACGGAAATGGCTTGAGGTGGCGTTTCTTGTGCTTCCGGAGATCGCATAGCCGAGGATAGGATTTTGTGCACGAGGGATAATCGCACGCGAACGATGTAGCTGTGGTGTTGCTGGATGACGAAGACGGGTGGACGTGGGTGGCGCTGCCGGAACCGGCCCCCTCCGGGAAGAAACAGTTGATGATGTCGGGATCAACCGTTGAGGATGAGTCCGCATAGCTGACCGGGGAAGGGGTGTCGTTCGGTGAGGTGGCGTACGGTGATGGCGTGTACGCAAAGCTGGGGGAGTGGGAGGCCGAAGGCGGATATGGGGAAGTTGATGCGCGGTGACCGGCGTGATGCGAGTGGGAGTGTGAGTCATGCGATGACGGATAGGGCGAGGGGGTGGCTCCACGCTGGTGGGAGTAATTGGAGTAGCTCGAGTGCTGCGAAGATGTTGAGGCGGCGTAGGAACCGGAATACGGTGAATACACGGGGGATAGGAGTCCTTGCGTTTGTGATATCGAGCTGTAGTCTGCCGTGGGGAAGTAGGAGTCCGAGACCGACGATGTTGTGACGGGTAGATACATCAGAGCCGAGTCGATAAAGTCGGGTTCGCCGATTGGGAGCTGTTGCTGCTGTTGCTGTTCATGGTATTGATGATGATTATGAGGTTGTGCGTGAAGTGGAGGATATGTAGGGCCACTGCTACCCCCGGGAGAGGTGTAGCTGTAGGTGTCCCACTCCGGCTCCATGGTGTATGCGTGACGGGAGTGAATACGAGGGGTAGATGATAGCGCCACGCGGGAGGTTGCACAGTAGGATGTAGTATATGGATCGCGGTCGAGATATTCGTTCTTGTTTCTGATATTCGCGACGGCTTGCGATGGCATTGAAGTTTAAGAAGCTTGCTACGGTGGCGCGATCTGTCTTCCCAATAACGCGTCAGCGTCAGCCTTCCAAATCTTTCTGGAGTTTCTCGGGCGGAGGGTGGTAGCTTACATAGCTAAGTAGGTAGCTGTTGAGACTTTCGAGTGATATCGAGAGCTGACGGGGGTTGGAGGAGGTGATTGGGGATGACGACACTTTCTATCCGTGGATGATGGCTGGATGCTTGGGAACTGTTATATCTGTAGTTGCTTCGGAAAGGAAACAAGCCTGTCCAATCGCAATCCCCGGAAGCCGCTGTCGTTTGTATGTAGGGGGAGACTACCTACCTAGTGTGTAGGTAGGTAGGTTGGGAATCTAGGCAGTAGCCACTGCCCCACATCGCGAGGAGATATCCGGCCGGATCATATAGGTGGGTATGTATGTAAGTACTTGGATACCAGCGACCAGATGCTTAAACTCATTAGGGTCCCTGGTCCGCTGCACGATCGCCAATACTCTGCGCTGAGGTCAGTGGCTGCTAGCTTGTGGACTGCGCATATGCGGCCATGAGTCCTTGAGGGCCATCCATCCATCACCCATCCATCCATGAATTATCTCCGGGGCTCAATCCGTCGGGGAGGGAGGGAGGGGGCAAGGGGTCGGAAAACGCCGGGCTTCCCTGAAGTCACTCTCTAAGCAGATGGAGCGCGTCCCGGTTGTGTAGACTGCCAGGCCCTTGTCGTGTCGTGCTAGGTTTCGGTTGCGAGCGAGCGAGCGAGGATCTGGAGGATCTGGAGGAGGAGGATGAGGAGGAGGCAGTGTCGGGCGTGGTCCCGGGCTTTTGATCCTCGTTGGCAGTGGCATGATGGACTTGACCGCTACAGGCAAAAGAAAACCTTGCTTCCACGGTCAGCACTTAGAACCTGTACTAAAGATTAAGCATAAGCCAGCGGACGCAGGTTACCGGCTTGGGATTTGGTGAGAGTGTGTGTGTGAATGTGTGTCTGTTGGTGCACCCAGCAAGTCAAGATTCTTCAGGGGTGGTGGTGGTGATGGACAGATGTGAGCAGATCGGAAGTCGCGACAGTGGAGGGAGGGGGGGCTGCCGGCTGGTGGCATTTGTTCCGATATGACGGTGGTCGTTTTGTATGTAGGTCTGTATGTATGTAAGTATGGTGTATGCATACTCCATGCTCCAGAGTAGAGTAGGCAGGCTGGTTCCTGCTTCATGCGACTTTTTGACTCACGGGTAGACCATCTGCTTCAGGCCACCCGTGACTGAGCGATCAGACTACTGGGGGGTACCGCCCGTTACCTATTAGTAGGACCTGCAGCAGCAGCTATCGTATTGCGCATTGAGGTATCGGGACCAAGCAACGGCTCAGTAGCTTTTTGGAATTGTATGTACGAAGAAGTATGATGAGGATTTTGACGGAGGAAGAGGAGGCAACACAACAGGCCATCGAGGCCCCTCTTGGTCCTTCGATACACGAAAACCTCAGGACAGGCAAACAAACATCTCGTCCATGCCCGTGAGCAATGCAAGGTTCCTCGTTGTATGTACAAAATAGATATTAGGATGCGTTCCATTCTACAATCGGAGCATCAGGAGTCACAGGAGTCACAAAGACATTGGTAGGCCTACGAGCCGCAGCCATGGCCAAAAACCGAATCCATTTCCAGAAACTCCCAGAATCGGCCATGGGCAGGGCCTCCGGGGAAAACACTTACCCCCTCCTGCGAGGCGCGCCATCAATCTACTCTGCCTACTACCTACTCGATCCAACATACGTGAGTCTAATAATAGTATCCCGAGTAAAGTACTTGGTATTGTAGTTGCGGCCCTTCCAAATTCCAACTAACCATTCCACTTCCGTGACACAAAGCAAAGTTCCAACGCAAGCCCACCATTCAGCGTAAAGAAAAGGATTCAGCCCTGCGCTGCGCCTGTAGCATATGTAGGCCCTGTACTAGTAGCCGCGGAACAACTGCTTAACCGAGTTAGCCCTGCACGCACAACTCCCGCGATGACCAAGCATGGCTGCCTTGTACTCCCTAGAGCCGCATCTTGCTAAGCACCTGCATGACATGAATGTTCGAACTTCGCCGTGTCCAACTGAAGCTCAAGTGGCTGCTGCCATTGGCTGTGACGAGCGAGCGAAATCGAACTGGCTAAATCGTAATTGTAAAAAGTAAGCTACGTGAAACGTGCCCCCATATAGAAACTAGAGCAACAATAGTCCGTGGGTTGCAACAACGTTACTACTAACTCTCTACCTTATAGGGAGGATAGGCTTAGGGTGCTTCCTATCCGCTGTCTCCATTTGTCTTCTGGAACAACAGACAACTTCCCCAGCCCCACTCAGCCGAGCCAATCCAATCCAATCTAGCCCAATCCAGCCCAGCCCTCCATGGCAAGGCTGATCGACCAACGCACAGGTGTCAGCAGCAGTGTACCTATCTATGTATAGCACACGTCCAGGCCGCAGTGTGACCGTCGGGGGTTATTCGGGCAACGGTTATCGGAACGTCGGACAATTATTTGCCTCCGTTATAGGTAGTTCCAACATGACTTCTCATTCTCGTTCACTCACAGCTGTCCGCGGTTCGGTCCGCGGATGGTTGGTTACATGGCTTTGAGCGCACCGTACCGTACCATATTCCAGCCCCATGGAATCGTCACGTTAGGCATGGTCGAACGTGGTATCATGGATGCACTCTACATGCGACGCGGGGTCCGGCTGGCTGTCGCTGCCAGCTGGCTCCCCTGCAAAAACACATAGGGCCGGCAATCGACGGAGCGGCCCCCTGGGCCCCACCGCGCCGGCCCGATAGGGAGGGTTTACATACATATCGGGAGTTGGACAAGCCCTATATTGATTGCTTGATCGGTGTCAAAAAAAGGAAGAAGACGAAGGGCCCCCACAGGCCGCAACCCGTAGCCGCAGCATGGCAACAGGGGTTTCGACAGGTCTGGTTGCACGGAATTTGCTCGACTGTGTTGAGTCCGTTCCATCAGGTGACTGGATCGCATCGCCTAGCCACTGGATCTTGGGATTTTGCGAGGACATGCGACAGTTCTTGGTTGTGGTTGCGCTTGTCGAGGAAGCTGGTGATTGGTCGAGGGCGTGGGTGCAGCGTGGGTGCAGTCTGGTCGCTCGGAGATGGCCTATAACCAAGTAAGAGGTAGGCAGCCATAATCCATTATTGTTTCCCGCAAATGACGACAGTACATTCCTGCGTACGATACCTACCATCTGGTATGTATGATACATACAGCTGTGGCAGATTCCGCGGGCTCTGTGGGGCTCTGCGGACTCAGCATCCCGAGCTCGCGGTATGAGCGTTGCAGGGAACCGGGGGGAAGGGGTTCAACTTCATGCAGACATTTGAAAGCGTCTGCAGGTTGCTTGTCAAGATTGATCGGTCAATTGGCCGCGGCTAATAAGTATCTGCATCTGTATCTGCGTCTGCATCTGCAGCTCTTGAGTGACGGGTCCATTCACTGCCACCTTCATGGACCTTTTGGAAAACCTGGGACTGGGACCTTGACTTCCTGTATTATAGCCGAAGTTCGCGAACAACTGTGAGAAAGAAAAAAGCGGTAGGTACAAGGTAGGTGTCCGATCATGTTTGATACCATGCGATGCGGTGCGGTACTTTAGAGTAGGTGGACTCGGTGGATCTGCTCCGTCCGACTTTGAATTCAGGCTCTTGGCAAGACCAGACGGACTCCCTGTATGTAGTATTCTGGACGGCCTGTAGAGTAGGCAGAGTGCTCCTGACGTGGGGTTCGAATCCCATTGCGCCTTGAGTTGAGTTCGAATTGACCAGGGATATTTTTCTTTCTTCTCACAAGTTGACGGACAGGCAAAAGAGCCGATGGAGGAGATTCGCTTATTTAGACGGCAAAGAAAATAACCGAGGAGGACGAGGATGAGGACGAGGTTAAGGAGAAGGCGGGGCGTATCCACTAACTCAGTTGCGGTTCTGGTAGCGACTACCTAGCGACGATTCCTAGAATTCGAAAGGCGAAGGGGGCTGTGTGAAGTGAAGGCGAAGGGGTCGGCACGCTCTTTTTTAGTCGGCTCAGCTCACTCCTGGAGAGAAAAAGAATCACGGCAACTAGGGGAGGAGTCCGATACCTTGTTACTCGCGTGTGCGTCGGGGGGTTGGAGGCCAAGCACGAGCAGTTGCAAATAGGTACGGTATGGTCAGTTAACGAGAGTCACACTCCGGTGTTCGCCAGCCACCAGGGAATGCGGGGGTGCCCTAGTTGCCGGAAGCAACAGTAGGCGTCTGTTGAATCCGCCGCCGCCGCCAACGCGCTTCCTTCCGCGGCTTGGTACACGTTGGATAGCGGCAGGTGACGGTAGCTTACTAGCCTACTAATTCTTGCCATGTAAGTACTTCTTACAATTTTGTACATATTGGGTGCCTCTCCAGCAATTCTCCATATCCGCTCAAACGGCTTCGGTGGTCACGAAAAGCTGCCGCCTTGGATCAGCCAAAGACTGGCGGTAGGCACCTAGACCACTATCGTATATAATACATTATACCGAACGTTGTCTCCCGTTTGTCACGGTGATAATTGGTCCGATATTCGGTTTCTGTTTGCGAGTCCAACTCACCGGACGGACTATGTACATGTACAGGTATGTACGACCTGCCCGTGACGATCTGGCGAACCACAGTTCTGGAGATGTCCAACGTTGCTCGGCCTGAAGTTTGAGCACACGACAGCGGTCTCGGGCTAAAGGCAGTTGATCAAATATGTACACATGTAGAGTACACATGTGTACGCTGCGCCGACTGAGCGAAACAGATTGAATACCTTGACCGCAACGAGCTACAATCTGGGCGGCCTGATCGGGATGGAAGAGTT